TTATAGCGGATAGCTAACCTAGTCTAGGTGAGCTTAAGTAATACTAGCTCCGACTTTTTCTTAATATCGATATCCCCAAAGGCCTTCCTTATACCGGCTACAAAGTCTTTTATTAATTTGAAATAATCTTTAACGAACTAGGAGTAAACTATAGACACTAAGCCCGTCTAGGTCTTATTCTCCTAGTAATCGCTGATATGAGGCTCGATCTAGTTATAGGCCCTTCCCTCGAAGCGCGAGATTAGAAATAAAACCTTGTCCGTGTCGTTCCTAAACTTGTCTCCGTGAAAACCTATATAAAGCTAAGCCTTTATAATAAACTACTCTAGGTTAGCTGGAGTTCTATTATACTTGTCTAGAGGAGGTATTCGCAGGCCTTCTTTTGCCTCGATCACGGTAGAGACTAGTAGTAGTAGCGCCGGGGTTCCTACGACGCTTCCGGCTAGACTAGTGACATTTGGAGCTATTATTAATAATCTAGTACTTACTAAGAATAGGTACTTAAAGTGTAACGATTCGGTTCTACCCGGGGTAAACTAGGGTTATCGTAAGGTTAGTATGTTAAGAAGTAGGTATAAGATTATCACTTATAGATTTAGAGATCTATTCGTTACAATAAGAGTAAGTTAAACAGATAATATACTATTACTATAATGAGTTGAGTACGAAGCTCCTATCTAAGGAAATTATAATTATTATATAGAACTTCCTTTCCCTGAGTTCGACAGGTTCGCTAGTCGAACCCGTCGAACTCCTAGCCGGTTCGACAGGTTCGCCTAGCGAACTTGTCGAACTTCTATTATCACGTGACGGCGCCTTAAACCGGGGCCTATCTGCCAATATAAACATTACTAATATTAACCAAATTAAGCTATTAGACGGCGGTCCCAGGAACTACTCGATTCCCGTGACCTCGCCTAATCCCAGGACTTTTGGTCCTAGGAGTATTACGACGCCGAGGCCGACGCTATTCGTAACAAGTTATAACCTTCCTTTATCTATTACCTTACTTTACTGTAATAGAACTACTGTTTATCTAGCGCGGTCTATATCTTATTTTACGCTTTCTAGAGGTTCCCGAGAATTATTAGAAATACTAGGTCTAGTATTACGTATATATATACTACTTAACTATACCTAGTAATATCTATTTAGAAAGTAACTACTTCTTTAACCTCTAATTTCCGTATAGTAGAAGAGACTCTTATTATCTTTTATTTTTTATTACTAATAAACTTAAGACTAAGTTCTTTTATAAGGTCCCCGTTAATTATAGTATAGTATTAGTATCCTTTATTAATAAGAGTAAAAGTTTCGAAAGTTTTCTAAAGAATTATATTTATATATATAAGATTTCTATTTATTACTTTCTTTTCTTTCTTCTATCCTTTAGCTAATACTCTTTTAGCTCTTAGTTTCTAACTATAACTAAGAGCTAGACTTTTTCTAATTTAGAAGATTTAGGCTCTATAGTTTTATTATCGTCTTCTAGAAGTAGGCCTAACCTAACTTAGTTAATTTTAACAGGTTATATAGATAGGTTATATAGGTATTCTTAAATATAGTACTCTAAGGCTCTATATTAGAAGTAGAGTTTTTTTTCTCGGTATTTCTCTCTCTCGGCTACGTCTACCTATTTCGCTCTTTACTTTTCGTTTAAAGACTTATAGTCTCTATTACCTTTTTCTTATTTACTATATATATATATAGGTACTATTACCGTATTACTATTAGTATCTATTCTAGATATTACAAAGAGTCTCTATAACTATATAGTTATTATTATTCTTATTATAGAGTTCTTATTTTATTCTCTCTATTTTCTATTAGCTAATTTAAACTAATTAGTCTCTTTAAGGTTAGTTATAATATATTCTACCTCTTCTATAAAGCTATAGTAGTCTATTATCTTTACTATAGTTACTATATATATCTAGATAGAATTCGAGAAGGTATTCTTAAGGTAGCTAATCTTAATATCGCTTTTCTAGCTCTCTTTACTAGTATATAGTAGAAGTTTGTCGAATTCTAGCTAGTATTTATACTATAGTTAACCTAGAGAGTATCTTATATTCGATAGTCTCTCTAGGGCTTTAGCCTTCTTATTACTATTTATAAAAGTCTTATTAAGTTATATAAAAAATACTTTAGACTTCTTACTATAAGTAGTATTCCCCTTTTCCTAGAAGTACTTTATTCTAGCTCTTTTCTAGAATAAAAGGGTATTATAGATAGTATTCTAATAATACTTTATAGAGAGAGTTAGTTTTACTATAGAACGTACTCTATATAAGCTTTTAAGTCTTAAAAGATAATTCTAAAAGGTATCTACTCATCTATTCTAGGTTAGTAGGTACTAATCCCTAGGGCCCGACGGTTATTTATTAGACTATAACTTATTCGCGTTAAGAGAGGCAATTAGAGCTCTTAAAAGGTTATTTATAAAGAGAGAGTTTTCTAACGTACTTAGTTAACTCTCTCCTTTCTCTCTACGTTTTCCTATAGAATACTCTCTTTTTAACTCGGCCTCTATCTCTTATTAGTATACGTAAACCCTTTAAAGTACTTTTAATAACTTAGTATTAATTAATACTTATTATTATTATTTCTTAGTAGCTAATAAGCTTTCGCTAATAGATAGTATAAACCTATTAAATTAGGGGACTTATCTTAGATCTATAATTAATTAAACTTAATATTATAGGAAAGCTATATATATATAAGGGCTTACTTATAGAATTAAATAAGTTTAATAAAGAAGAGAGAAGAATTCTACTTAAAGCCCGCCTTTTATATATAGAAGTACGGCGCTTAGTAGTAGCGCTTTATATAGCGTATTAGGGTAGGGCCCTCGCTTAGTAAGTACTAGTACGTATAGCTAGTATTCTACCTCTAGAGTCTAAACCCTTATATATAGTTATTAGAATACTCTAGATAGTAGTCTATAATATTAAGATAAATAGAAGAGATAGAGAGATCTTTATCTTAAGCTTAGAAATAAGAGTAAAGTATATTTAAGAGAAGAAATTTAGACTAGACTATAAGTAGATCTCGGCTATAGTCTTTATAACTTTAATAAGTAGTTTCTAAGCTAATAAGCTTAGAGCTAAATAGACTATACTTAGTAGTAATATAGCTAAGTATATAGCGAGTAAGAATAAACTATACTCTCTAAAAAAAGAGTATTATATTAAAGTATTTATAGCTTCTATAAAAGATATTAATAAGATATTATAAAGTAAGAAGAAACTAGATATAAATATATTTATTAGGTTATAAGGTATATAAGTATATAGAATATATAGATATAACGTAGAGAGAATAGCGGTAATTATTATAGTTATAAGACTTAAGGTTTTAAATAAACTTATAGTATAGAGAATAAGTTAATAAATTACTTAAAGAAAGAAGCTATCTACTTAGAACTAAAGAACCCTTATATAGTAGAAATCTTAACTCTAGAAGATTCTATTTATTAGAAATTAACTAGTTATTATTATTAATATTAATAAGAATATTAGTAATATTCTTATTCTAGAATATTTACTTAGAAATTAAATTTACTACTTTAGTAATATATCTTTCTAGAATATTCTATACTTACTATAGACTCTTTATAAGTACTATAGTATAATATAGGTATTTATTACTTAATACTTATAAATAAAGACTACTTATCTTAAATTAAATTTATAATTATTATATATAATATAAAGAGTAATTATAATATACTTTATTAAATCTTAATTAAGTATAAAAGAGTTACTAGAAGTATACTAGTATTAAAACTATATACTTTAGTATATATCTTTAATATAGTAGCTATTCTAAAAGTTTTAATTAACTTAATACTTAATAAGTAAGTTTTACTAATTATCTATATAGATTCTAAGTTAATTTATAATAATCTTATTAGATTAAAATTACTATAAAAGAAGTAATTAATAATTAATATTATATATCTATACTAGACTTATAAGAGATAAGAGATTACTAAAGTTAAATAAATTAAAAAAAGTACTAATTTAACTAATACTAAAATAAAAGTAAAGCTATAAGACTTACTTTAATAATTAATTAATATAAATAGCTATAAACTTAAAGTAATTAAATAAATTAAAAGAAATAAAATTAAAGTAATAATTTAGTAATAGAAATAAAAGATATAGTTACTTAATAATTAAAGTATATTTTTAAGAAGAAAAAAGTATATTACTATTAGTTAAAAGTATTTAATATTAACTTAATCTAGTTACTTAAAATATATAATTATATAATAATTAAAGTAATTTTTAGACTATTTTAAAGTATCTTAAAATAACTTAGAAAGTAGAGCTAGTATTAAAATAATCTTATTTCTTATTAGCTATAGTCTATACTTTAAGTAAAGCTATTATATAGTATAATACTATATCTTTTATCTTATAGTTCTTATAGCTATACTTCTAAATTTTATAAACTTACTATAATAAAATTATAACTTTAGCTTACTACTAATATAAAGTATTAAGTACTATAATATAATAGTAAACTAATAATTATAGTAAACTTTAATAGATTTTAAAGTTTATATAAAGTTAATATAAAACTCTACTATCTTTCTCTTCTATTAAAAGTTATTATAGTAGACTTATAATCTAACTAGTCTAAAAACTATAGAATTAACTATAAAATTATAAAATACTACTTTTTTATCTTTACTATATAAACTATATAAGTCTTCTTAAATTTAATAATTCTACTTATTTATTAAGTTTTATATTATATACTATATTATCTTTAATAAAAGAATATTAGTAGAAAAAATTTCTTAAATTTTTTTATCTTTTATTTCTTTTTTATCTTTTTCTTATATTATTTTACTATTAACTATAAAAAGAGAAAATAAAACTATAAAAAAGAAGAGAAAGAGAAACTAATATAATAGTACTTTAATAACTACTAGATTACTTTAGTAGTAGAATATAGTAGTAGTATATATTTATAGAATAGTAATACTACTAGTATATCTTATTTAAGACTAGTCTATATATATAATTTATTTAAAATAAATATTAAAATTATTAGTATTCTTTTAGTATTATTTTATATAAAGTATAGACTTAAGTAAGCCTAGTTTTACGTCTATATATAAAAATTATATAACTTAAATAGTAGTAATATATAATTACAAAAATATAAGAAAATATTTCTATAAATATTTAGTTTCGATTTCTAAAGGTGTAAAAGCTAACCGAAATTTATCTTTCTCACCTTTCGTACCTTCGGGGGGTTACGTCATTTAGCGGTGAGAGAAATATTTACTAATAAAGAAGAGTAGTAATAAGATAGCTAAGATCTTACTCTATATATAAGACGACCCTAGTTATTCTATCCATGTAGATTGAATTATGCTTAGTAGCCCTTTCGTCGAAACCCTGGTGTTATTAATCGAACACAGCTTTACCCCTTGAAACTGAAATCTTACATCGGCTTTCTCAAAAAGCGGCTGCCACTCACTGGATTCTCTCTCTCGTGCATTGAAAAGAGATGTCATAGTCAAATCGAGGGATCTTTGAGACGTCAATGATGTCGGGGAATATGTAGTGTAAGCTGCTTACCTTGCCCGCCTTTCAGCTAGTAAATCTAATTCTCCGGGACTAGGCATAACAAAATCGTTGATAAGCACCGTTGCACCCCTTTTCAAGGCGGGTACCAAGCTTTGCAACATTGCCACGCAGTTCTCGTCTGGCCAGTCATGGAGTACAGAACGGAATAGGTAAACACCTGCACCCTTTATTGGCTGACGATCAAATGCATCATGCGCCATGAAGACGACTCGGTTCCTAAGCTCTGGTTGCTCTAGTGTTTCTTCAAGGAACATCCGCTCCCCAGTCTTTACTACCTTTTCAAAATCCTGCACTGTGAATGTAAGGTCTGGAAAAGCCTTTGCGAGCGCAATACTAGCATGGCCCATTCCTCCACCAACATCGACAATGTGCTGTGCGCCGAGCGCCGCCCAATCGAAGTTGTCAATCAGTGGCTGCAAGGGCTGTTGTACGCTCCAGTTGTACTTCATGAATGCAGCAAATTGGACGGCCCGCTCTAGGTGCTCAGCCTCTAGCTCTTCAACCATCGGCCGGTGCGCATTGTTTGCTAGCGCCCATGCAGTGTCTGTTGCCTTCAAAGATGTTCCATAATTTCGCATCGCACTGGAAAGGCAAGCAGCGGCCGGGAACATCTCGTCGGCGAGCATACCCACCGTGGCACGCATCATGGGGTCATGGGCAAGGCGGGAAGAAATAACCGTATGCGAAACGGATTCAGAAACGGGCTCTGTGAAGATGCGGTTGGTCATGGCGTGTCGGAGTATGCGGCGAAGATGTACACGAGGAATAATGCCACAGGTACTTGCAAGTTCGGAAATTGTGACCGTCCCTTTAGTAGGTATAAGTTTTGCAATCTCAAAGTCGTGAATGATGTGTAAGGAGGCAAGGTCAAATAGACCTCCCTATACTTGTCAGTATCGGTGTACACCAAGGGGCAACGTGGGAGACGGATGGTATGTGAAAATTGGTTGCGATCTAGTGCTACTTACTGAGAGACTCATAATGCTTCCCAAGGGTCCCAGTAGCATACGCTGCAGCTGTAACACCGCTTCCAAAGCTTGACTTATTGTTTGACCTTGTTCTTTCGTTGGTTTACCTCCAGGAAAACGCAATTCTAGCGCCTGCTCATCGTAGAAGTCATTGAGCTTTTCAGAGGCTGTTGAAATGGCGCTCGCTATTTCAATTAGTTGCTGATGATTTGGCATTGTTTTGTAGCAATGACGTGAACTTTGGCAACGTAACGATCAGCTGTATAGGTATAAGATTATCTCGGTGCGACAGGTTTTGCAAAACGAGTCTGATACGTTGTTGTAGCTGATTATGACCGTTTCTCGAAGCAAACCATGCCAACTGTTGGTCGGACATATGCGCCCTGTTAAGGTTACGTCAGCATATATCATATGAAAATATACTGCAATTCTCTGTACTTCGTTCTCAGCCAAATGCAAAGAGTTTAGCACCAGTTGGATCAATTCAAAAACCTCACGTTAAGCTTGGAGACTCAGCCGTCTGGCTATAATTCGAGCAAGTTAGCGGGTTGCTACACATTCGAATTGAGCACAAAAACCACAATGGGGTAATACCTTTGATTTGAAAGTTGATAATTGCTCTAGGGGGTTGAGCAATGTTAACCGCATTTATGATAGAATTGATCAGTTTTACATGTCTCCCCGGCACGTTTCAACAGATGTTCTTGGTCTTAAGATTGGTTTTGGCTGACGAACAGGCGACGACGATTTAAACAAAGGCCGTTGCCAGAGGGACGACCTCGCTTAAGTCTCGCAATGGCCGTTGTTGGTTACTTTGACTCTCTCGCGGAGGACAAAATAAGTGGCAGCCAAAAAACAATAATTCTTCGGTTAAGTTAACAAAATATTGTATATTTAGTGAATTAACTTGTAAGATTATTACTTCACCGTCAACTATTCAAAGTAAATAAGACTTTTTACGCTCTATTCGAAGTCGACTTCTTATTCGGTCTCGGATTAGTGGGTAGGTGACTGACACTTATTTTGTCCTCCGCGAGATTGTCTTCTTAGGAGACGGTAATTTTATTGTTACTTGCGGTGCCATTCTTTCGTTCGTTCTCTTGGGTCATGTGATATGGGATTTCAAAGAAGCACTAGGGAGAAAGGTGTTTTTGGTTCACAAAAACCAGGCGGCAGCGAACTGTCATTTCTTACCACTTCACTTATGTGATTCAGACCAACACATGTTGCCACACAAAGACGTTTTCACATTGAATACTTAGGGCGAACAACTTCGCTAACTGCTTGTACAAACACTAATCGCTGTACTCTCGCCTCGACATGGACAGTACACAGGCTAAGACACGCCCAGTCTTGTACAACTGTATCTTCACAGAATGACGGCGCGCTGCATGCAATTAATCAGAGATATACCAAGTATTTCTTTCATCTAATACCCAACAGGGCTATTACAGTCTGATAGAGATGCGTTCTTGTCTGCTCCGGGACCTATATATCATAAGTAAATTGTTACCTAGGGGTCCAGAAATACTAACGTTATGAACAACAGAGAAGGGATCCCAATGAGGGTTTGTATGCGGCGCATATTCAATGAGGTTCATAATGTAATCAATATGATCGCTACCATAGAGGTGAGTTAGGAAAGCGTATGTCATATCAAGTCCTGCAAGATATTAGCTCCAGGAGGTCTTATTAGTGTGCCGGAGGACAGCAGGGTCTATGATCTCTGCAGTCACTTACCAGCAGCTACACCCGAACTAGTCCAGATATTTTCATCTACTACCCATCTCGCCGTCGGAACCCAAGTAATGTTCGTCCCGAAACTGACCACACTGGACCATGCTGCTTTGTTTGTGGTCGCTTTCTTACCATTAAGAACGCCTGATCTTGCTAAGCTAGCTGCTCCAGTACAAACGCTCAGTAGATAATCCAAATCGGTAAATCTCGTAGCAACAAAATCTTCAATCCAAGTATCTTTTGCCTGGGCAAGCGCAGCAGCTCCCTTGCCACCGGGAACAAAAAGAATGTCAAGCGGTGGGGCAGAATCGTGCGTGTGCGTTGCCGTAATTGTAGGACCAAGAAGAAACTTGAGGTCGACAACAGGGCCGTCCTCACTCAAGGCGTGAGGTGGAGGAATTGTTGAGACCGGGCCGTTTTTGTTGGAGATGATCGAAAGAGTAATGTTGTAGTAGAAAGACATCTAGTGAGTATTTTCTCTGTCAGATCAATTGAACTTGGTTGGTGGAGAAGAGTCTAATAGCTTACGTGGAACAACATTTCTAAGGGGCCGAACACGTCGAGTGGTTCCCAGCCCGGGAAGACAACCTATCGTGTTCAGCTAACTCCTCGCCAAGAAAATACAACAATACAGATTGATCTGTAAAATAGGAAACTCTGCCACGTGGACTTACATAACCAATCGAGAATGAGCGCTCTCTATTCTTAAGCTGCTTGGGAGTAGTTGTTTGCGCCAAGCGGGGCGTGGTTTGGCAACTAGCATAGTGAAGCAAACCCGCTAATCCAAGAAATAACAGGCACATATACTTCTTGTGGTACCACATACTGTACAGCAACTGATGCAAATTGGAATATTCAAAGCAGGGAAGAAGTTTCTTTAATAGTTTTCAGCGCCATCCACCGTCGCCCAATATCGCAACTGTCTCACAGTTACATGTTAGTCCCCCCTTACAATCATGCTGGGCTTGCAATTAGATGTTAATATCACAGCGAATTGGTGGGCTCGTATGCTTGTGATTAGGCTGATAAGAACGTTGAATAAGATTGTTGATTAGGTATTCGTGTACATAGAGTCCCCTTCGCGAAGCTGCCTGATCACAAAGTTGCTGTAGACTAAAAATTACCTTCATTTTGTATTTATGTTACAGTGTTCCTGGGTACTTCAAAACAGCACTATGATGCTTTAATGATCGTTTTTAACTTGATACAGTCTTTCTCGCTGCAGGAACCACGCATAATATAAAGTCTTATTGCCAAGCCATGCAGGGAATAGCCAGTGATGGATTCTGTGCTGGGCGTTCACCAATCAGCAGAATCTCACTCAATCCTTCTCTTTCCTGCTCATCTCGGTCTGGATGTTTTGATAGATCTTCAGTCTGGGGGTTAGCTCTGTGAGCAAGTCTTGTCTTGATGATAAAACTTGCCTGCCCCATGACTCCTTATAGTTCCACGAATGGACCTTGATTATCGTAGCTAAAGTTACCAGTGGAACCACCAAAATCAAAATTGACCGTATCTCAGAGTAAAAAAAAAATTCTGCGATCATATGGACGTCTTGCAAGTGGAATGCGTGACTTTGCTGCCGTTATGTATTGCTTAATCTGACAATTGTATTGTGGTGCATCGACGCTGGTTTGCTGCACTGCTGTGCCCCACAACAAAGAACAGGATACAAGTATTTGGGAGCCGACAGGGGCATCGGCCTCATCTAACAACAAAATTCAGATGACTCATCAGCTCAATCGAAACTTATCCTCCTTAACTCAAATCCGAGGTGGTCGATAAAGCTTGATCGCTTCACATGAATTGAAGTAGAGCCTGGGTCGGCTTGAAGTCAGCTTTTTGCGGCGCCTTATAGATACCCCGTTCTTTTTCTGTCCCCCCTAGGCACTCGAGCAAGCCAATAGAGCCCTACAGCCGCGGTAATATTGAAACCCACATAAGCCCAACAAATCCCAAAATTGCTCCACCGATTGTCGTATTCTGCACTAACAGTCTTCAAAAACACATTCGTATCGCTACCACTACAGAAAGCGCATTGAGTAAACGAATTAATACTTTCAGACGAAAGATACCCGCCGAAAGCTTCTGCGTAAGGGGCGAGATAAGTAGCGCAATCCAGGTTAGAAGGCGGAGAAAAATGTAAGAGTTCTTCGGGAGAACAGAAAATATGTGAGTTCGCCAGGCCGACCGATAACATGCCCGAGACGAGGTAGCTAAGTGGGGAAACGCGATACATAAATATCCAAAAGCCGGGCAACGCAGCGGGGGTTGCCAGAACACTGGAAAATCCGGATTAGCAGACCTCTTACTATAAGGACAATTGAAGGCTTAACATACCCACAGAAAATCAACGCAAGTGAGAAAAGCAGATTGGTGATATTACCAGCGGCTTCAGCAGTGTCCACCCCAGCGATAACCATGTGTGTAAATGTACTAGAGAAGATCAAAAATACCAAAATGAACAGAAACATCAATGCGCCTCTCTGGGCAACCTGATCTGCTTCAACGGCATTTTGCCGAAGATCGATAGGGTAATACCAGCCTAGAAAGACGAGTAGAGCCATGAGGGTATTCCAGGGTATCTCAACGATAACATTTGATAAAATGAAAACTTGCCAACAATAGGTCTTGGACGGGCGCTCCCGGACTTCGTAGAGCGCCCGCTGAGTAACAAAATTAGGTAGTATTTGCTGGGCGAAGTTTGCAAAAATCGTAAGAAGTAGAAAAATAGCGAAGAGCTGGTTTTGAAGTCCTTGCAGAGTGTTGGGCATTCTCCAGAAAGAGAAACCAATGAATAATGCCTGGATAGAAATTAGAAGCTTTCCTGTGTGACCCATGACGTCCTTTAACTCACACTGAAAAGACAGAGAGCAACTTTGGAATACAGATACGAAGGCGTGCGCCAGTATTGCTGAAATATGCGTTTGAGTACAACCCGAAATTGCGTAACGAATGATGCAGCGAAAGGGCGAAGCACGTCTGCCTCAGTGATTGATGTAGGCTTATCAGACAGTGCTTTCTTCATGCGAAGAAGCTCTTCCTTCACATTTTTATGTTCCTTTGAGTCGCCCCATATAGCTGCCCAATCTTGAGTAATATCGGAGCCTGGTGCCGTGCCAATAATTTCAAGCATCCATTCTGCGGGGTTTTCATTTCTGCCACATGCTCTTGCCCCTTTGCCCTCGAAGTAGGCCGTAAGAATCTCTGAGCTTTCGCCGATTTCCCCAAAATAGACTGTTTTACCCTCTGGTGCAAGACATAGCAAACGATCGAATTCTTGAAATAAAATAGCAGACGGTTGATGGATAGTGCATAGAATAGCCTGGCCGTGGTTCGCAAGCTTGCGTAGAAGGGTGCAGATAGACCAAGCTGTCTGGCTGTCGAGACCTGTGATCAAATTAGAACCACGTAATTTAGTCCCATAATTGGCTTGCGAGAGAGAAGTGAGAAACGGCTGGCTGACAGGAAGTTACTAACCAGAAGTAGGCTCATCCAGAAAAAGCAAAAGGGCTGGTTTAGCAGCTAGTTCAACGCCAATCGTCAGACGTTTTCGTTGCTCGACGTTCAAACCTAACAGATGTCAGTAACCAACATCTGTGTATATATGAGTAGAATAGATAAAATCTACCCTCGCCGGGCACACCAATGATTGCATCAGCGTATGCCTCCATCTCAAGGACTTTTATGACCTCACCGACATATGTAAGTTTGTCAGCATATGGAACAAATTCTGGCTGGCGTAAGATAGCGCTGAAAATTAACGCTTCCCGAACAGTGGACGTGGCTAGATGTAAGTCTTGCTGTTGAACATATCCTGTTTTTCGTTGAAAACTGGTGTCGCGAGGTTGACCATCTACAAGCATCTGACCACTAACAATACCCATGGTTACACGGCTAGCAAGAACATCAAGCAGAGTAGTCTTGCCGGCACCAGAAAAGCCCTAAATATATTTGTCAGCCATCAATCCTGTTTGCTAGTAGAGAGATATACCGACCATCAGTGCTGTCAATCTCCCAGGTACAATCCAGCCGTCAACATCATTTAGAAGTCTCCGTGGGCCATTCTCTGTGTTTATGTCGTAACTAACGCTATCCCAATGAAAGATTGCTGTTTGCTTTTGGATGTTGACCGGAGCGTCAGCCACCGCCTTCTCCAATGCAAGTGTCACCGTATTGAGCCTTCCGTCAGCAAGAGCTTCCTCGTCAAATTTTCGCTCCAAGTCTGGTACATGGCCTCTCCGAAACAACAACACTTCACCCTTAGACTTTTTTGCGGAAATGTATTCTGTAGCTATGAGGTAGACAACACAGCCAAATATCATTAATGCAATCATAATCCCCAGATTCCTGATAGAAAATGTCAGTATAAGCTCCATGACTTGAGATTAATGCGCCAGTTCGTTGTAGGGCTGACGGGACACCCTTAACTGCAACAATGTCTATTGTTGACTTTCCAACAGACCTTCCTCGAATATGGAATATGCCTTATTAAAAGAGACAATCGTAAAATTGCTCAAGCAGTTTGAGGAAATACGTGTCTCTGGACAGAACATATCGCTACTTTACCGCTTGGAAACGTCCCGTCAGACTTGCAACATACTGTTGATGTATGGGGTTAACTGGAATTTACAAGGGTGTCACCTACCTCCAAAGATGCTCAGAGGAATATTGAAAGTTGGTAGCCAAATAGACATCACCATCTACGAAATCAGCCCCGGAAGCAGCTCCAGTCGTCGCACAGATCTTCTGGCCCGAAGAAATACCACTATAACTAGCGCCCTCCGGAATGAATCGTGTACAAGGTATTGTGCTATTGTGGAACTGAATTTTCATTAGACTTAGCATATAACGTTTTCGAAGGCTCTTACCTCATTGATCATTAAAGACTCGTAGGCATACGCCACGGGGTTTAGGTAATTAATCCACCGAAACCACGGATGCATGTCCTTGATGGGAATTGTAAAGCCAGTATACATAACTAACGATAAACCGAAGATGGCTCCGGGTGCCATAGCCTGAATCATTAGCCTAGATCAGAATTATTGGCAGTAATTGCTTACCTGTACCAGCGTACGAGATAATGCAGCGATACAACGAAAGTACATGGACATAGTGAGGGTGCATGTAAACGTGAAAAGTAAGAACACAAAGAAATGACCAGGTGTACGTCTCAGGTTAGTCATGAAATATAGAGCAAGGTCAAACCCAATGGCGGTTAGGAGCTTGTTAGGCAAGTCGCAAATCATAGAGGCTGCTTTGTGTCAGCTGTGACCACTAGAAATGTAAATCATCTTACCAATTGCTTCTGCAAATGGATGATAAAAAGCATATTTGGACTGCTTCTCTACGATCGGACGTTGCGCATAGAGTGTTAAGATCTACTTTGAATTAATTGATGTTGTATATGATGAATATTTGTGCACACCTCTAGAGCACTCGCAAAAGCGGCCAACTGGATTCCAAAGAAGAGTAAAGTACCACGTCCGAACAGCGAAGCAGTGTTATTTGGCAAGTTATAGAAAACACTTCCGACAACAAGTGCCATGATTGAATTGAAAATAATGCCTGTGATAACCACAGTCTTGTCCCCTAGGAGCCTTTGATATCCTCGGCTCACGCAGAGCTTAATTTGCATCGCGACTGAAAGAGTATACGGCGATTTAATGCGCCTGCCTGGAGTTAAAATCAGAGATGAATCATGGGCAGAAATTGCGACATACTGTGATCTTGCTTGTGCAGCTTTTCGGGAGTCCCTGAAGGCATCGAGCGACGGTCCTTTGATGGGATATTGACTATCAAACTCATCGATCTCTTTGAGGAGGTTTGCTCGGTCTTGACTTCTCTGCCACAGAGAAGAAAACTCATCCGGCGTATTAGGTGTCTTTCCCTCGAAGCCCTTTCGTATTATTCTTTCTGCTGGATTTGTTAAGGATGTCAAGAAATCGGCCGTTGTCTGCCGTGTTGAACACTCGAAACCTAATGTGATAAAAAACCTTTTGGCAGCATTGATTGCACCAAAATATATCTGGCGGCCCTCATAAAGAACAGCAACTTTATCAAACACCTTGAGTCATCAGTAAGCCAAAATATCAAGGGTGAAGAGGATACGTACATCATAGATTGGCTCTGAGGCCTGATACAGTGCCACAATAGCCGTTGCGCCGGTTAGCTCCGTTGATGTTCTGAGTGTCCTTACGAACTGTAGGGCAGTGGCGCTGTCGAGTCCTCTTGTACTATTATCCCAGCACTGTAAAGGGCTTCCGCCGATGGCACTGCACAGAATATATGAGCTAGATGAACAAAATAAATCGCGTGAGATTTACGCTTCTGCAATGCTGACTCTTTTTCGTTCCCCTCCAGATACACCTCGCACGAAATCGTTGCCGACCTATAATATGCGTCAGTTGGCATTATTGGTTCACATCAGTTGATTTCATACAACTGTGTTGGCCGCATGGCTTAGACCAAATACCGCCATTGTGACATCCCGCAGATGGTCTGCATATGCCTGACGAATATGTTAGCATCGTGCCTTTACGTTTGATTTGTAAGATGGGACTTCGAAACATACCTCGCGACTGACACCAGGCAATCGGTTACGCGGGGCCTTTCACAAGTCAATAAAGGATTCACGCCAATGAGGAATAATTGCCACACCCTAGCCCGAGCAGCAAAATGCAGAATTTGACTAACGGTCAACTGAGGGAAGTGCACATCATTTTCTGCCTGATAAATGCACTCCCCTCTGAAGTCCTTGTGCATGATTTCCTTTGGAATGCCTTGGTAATTTAGATGAGTTTCATTCGCAACAAAGAAACCGTCGGTCTCTCCCGATATTGTCTTCAAGAGGGTTGAGCAACCGCTGTAGAGGTAAGTATTCTTCACGTTTCTGTACTCAAGCATGACTTACCTTCCGGGTCGTCCAAGTACAACCAGCATCTCTCCGCTTTTTACCAGGCCATCGAAACCGCGCAATATATCGATTCTTGTCTTCTCCTCCTGTCTGAAAAGCCTTTTCGCTTGATTGAGCAACACGAAAGGATAATTTCCAAAGGTTTTCTGGTAGTCTGTGGGTTCCCCAAACCCATAAGCAGACAAGTTCCTGTAAGCTATGCCAGCAACTCGCTTTGGATATTTCTCGGGATTTCTCGACTCTATACGCATAAGAGTTTCAAGCCATGCGCGTGGGTTAAATTTCTCAGAATGCGGGTCCAATGACGGATCTTTAGATCCCAGAAAAGGATTGATAAGTTCATTTCTCTCTCTCTCAATGCTCTGAGCAGATGAACGTGACAGGCCCTTTGCGAGCTGTGTAATCCTGTCCTCCTCGCTTTCTCCCACGGTAGAAATTGCTAACGTGGAGGCCTGAATATCATTGATTTCTTCTGTTCCAACCTGATCGAGTCCTGCTTTCTTTTCCTGGAAGTAGCTTGGTCGACCATCCTCGTACACCACTTTCAGTCTGGCATCTTTCTCAAAATCACCTTTTGGGGCACTGATCCACCCACCGTCTGCCAGTAGCGCAACACTACAGTGCCAAGGCGTAGTGAAACCGGTTTTCGTATCAAGTAAGCTCATTGAAATCTTATGCTCACCTGTAGATTGATGGATCGAAAGCCGTAAATGATCTGGGAAAGCCGATTTGCATGCGCCCGCAAAAGCCTAAATGAGAAATGGTCAGCAGCTGTAGAAAATTGCTCGAAGTGACACTGTAGGTTTTGATTTGACCAGCCGATTTGTACTTACATGTCCTCGAATTAGCATCTGTTTTGCAAGATACTTCACGTCCCTTTTGTAACTATGCCCGGACCTCCCTTTACCAAGAGGAAAAATGTACTTCAAATCTGACTCCAGAAATCTTCTATATCCAAGATAGGTCATATGCATGTCTGGATTTGTAGCGATCTCGTGGTTGATGTCCAGATCTTCTTTCCCGTGTTCGTTCAGGAAAAGACGACGAAAGTTCGTAGCATTAGCAACGTAGGTTATCTCTTCGAGCTTCTCTGGCATAGGTATATTAACCAAATCTTTGAGTCGGGAAAACTCAATATTGCTGAATCCTTTCTGAGCAGCCATGGCGCGCAGCGCTTCTCCGTACGCCCATGTATCGCGGTCTGGTATGCTTAACAAGTCTGTCAATACAGATAGCCAAATTAGCAAGTGCTCAAATCAAGGAATCGTGGAATTGCGGGAGGGTACAGCGTACCGTTATAAACAAGGCCATCCGAAATAATGGTGAGCTTGGCGCCATGAGGATAAATCTCTCCTATGCGTGTGCACATTGTGTTCAATCTCTCAAGTGCTAACTCCTCAGCCTTGTCTGGCAAAGAACCTAGCACTTTGTAGATTTTGTTGGCTGACTTGAATGGAAATGCTGGAAGGCACATTTTCAATTCAGTCTCGGCTAGCACAAACCGGTCGATGACTTGCAAAAACTTGGGTATACCAGCAGCTAACCTTTTCACCGAATCATCAAACTTGTTCAGAGCATATTCAAAGACTATAGCCAAAATTTTGGAGGATATCTCTGTCATTTCGGTTGTAGCGTGTATGGTATAACATGCCTTCTCATCGACTGGAGCTAGTTCTCCAGCGTAGTTGGTGGATTGAGGAAGAGGCCCCATAGTGAAGAGATAAAACCAATGTAAAGTTACAAGTTTTTCAAGAATGAGCTGCTAGTTGACGAGGATTCCCAAGAACGTTGGGCGCAAGTTACTTAATATAGGGAGAACGAAACAATTACTTCGACATTTAATCCTCCTCCGAGAGGACAGACATAACCAGGATTACTGTGCCACGAGAAAGAAATTCAAACCCCAATTTTAGACTCACGGATGTTTGTAAGAAACCCGGCATATTGGGGCATAAGAGAGTAGCTAAGCTTGGCCAAATGAAGCTTGACACTAGAGTGAAGAAGGGTATAAGCCGCTGAGCGTAAGCTGAGTGCTGCACTGCGGCTTCCTCCCCAGTATCTGCGACTTCTACGCCCTGTCACAACGAGCCTAGTCTTGGAATTGTACGACAGAAGTTGATATCGTGTTCCTGCCCCTACGGGGCGAAGATGGAAACACAAACTCATTTCGCTTAGATGATGTCGGTGAAGCCTTTATACCTAGGTAGGTGGGTTCAGCAGTCGACTGCTCCGCGACAATCGATACCGGATATTCTCAAGATACAAGAGAACCCTTCGGGGAATTTTATGTTCCTGTGTTGAGAGACTCGTGTACCCAGTTAGTCTGACCGCGTTGACAAAACGCTGGGCTGGCCAAGTCGTAAATGAGCAATTTCGACTGAACTCTGCTGACAAGGGTCTAACTCAAAAGCTGTTAGCACTCTTGCTAGCGCTATCCAGTCTAGTTACGCAATATGATGCTCATATTAGATCAATGAGAAGTCTACCATTACGGCCAAAGTAGAGCGGAGTTCCCATAGGTCATCCAGGCGGCGAATTTCGTCTGGGTGAAATGCTCATTTCCCTGTAGATCTTTGATTCTTTGTGTTTGCTACGAAGCCGTACGATGAGCAACATATTTTAGGATGTCGCGTCTGCTGCCATCTGGACATTGTCTTTTTCTACATTACTTTGTTTCGGAACAACTGCTGAAAAACAGCGCAAGAACGGCGTGTTTCCTGACCAACTGTAGTCTGGTCAAGCTCGTCGTAAGACCATAAGAAGCAAAGGAGCATTCAATTGGTATAGCCTCGCCTTGGATGATGAGCTAACAGGACCGTATAACGTTCTCGATGAATGGTAAATACCTCAGAGCGCTGCACATCCCGAACGCACGCATATTGCGACGCATTCGACCAGGTACACACAACATTCCCGAGCTTTGATTGGTGAAACACGCGGAGAGTATAAGCTCATAAGATAATGAGAAGCTGAGTATCAAGCGATTGAACGTCTAAATGACAAGTTTCGGGCGTCGCTTTGGTAGACGAGTATTACTGCTCAGTGCTCACGCATGCCTTGGCTGTACGACGTAACACATCCAGGATGGCAAATTATCATGGGCGGTGAAGGCTCGGCTGCTAGACGGCCAACCCGACCCGCTAAGTGCCGCCCGCATACAAGTACTGCCCAGGTGCTGCCGGCTGCACGACCCGCTCGCTTACCGTACGCCCCATCTCATGAAGAGAACTTCATGGAGAGGGATTCTCAGGGAGAGGACGACAAATTCCAACTTTCTCATGCAGCTCGTCTGGCTGAGAATACGTGAACTGGCCGTCATCATCGTCTCCAAGCAAGTCTCTCTTTCACATCGGAACCTTCCGACGCCTCGGATTCCTCTCCCACGTTACGGCTTTGTCTGACCATGAGCCATGATCCATCCCATCAAACTGGAGAGTCGAGAGTCGAGACCCGTCAATGTCTAGCGGGTTATCTCTTATTACTGAGGCTGGTACCACGTTGCCCTCCGAATTTCTCGAGCCGCGAAGCTTGCTCCATACTGCTCTATCGTGCTCACTTAGATCGTGTGGACGCGTGGCGGCATATTTGCTCTCTTCGCCCACCGTTGTTGCGCCTACGCCGTGGTAATAAGACGTCTCAGGCGATGCACTGATAACTACCTACATACATGCACGACGGTGGATATCATAGGGCTCGTATGTACGCCCCGGAAAGCACATCGTCAAGAGAAATGTTTGATTTAGGTACGCCGGCACACTCGAAAGGCGTCTCTCGCGCAGGAGTCTAGATCACTTGGGTGTTGCAAGCACAAGAGCAAACAAAGTTTCTTGAGAATTTGACCTCCGGTTTCTGGCCCAGCTGATCCATGTATTCGAGATACTAGTCGTCGTATACCGCATTGCCTATAGCCTTTTGGTCCTCGCAATGTTTGAAAGACCAGACGGCCCTGCAGGTAGGGGCCCGTTGACATATGATCTCGATTGCAATCGGACCCATGCCCAACTAGGCCTTCAATCTCACGCTGATGGTCTCGTAATACTGTTACGGTTGCAAGCGCGGCGCGATTGTTCGGCGAAATGGACTCTCCACTCGGGGAAAGGAAGCAGCTGCTTCTACGATGCAAGTGCTTACAACGCCGTTGCATACCAGAGAATCGCACACGAGCTGCCTTGGTCAAGTCATCCCTCTTGCTGATCCCATGCTAAATCATGGCTGTAAGTTATTGGCACAGCTTGGATCATGCTGTCCGACACACGAGTGCACATCTGTGGTGCGTTCAGCTGAGGGTAAGTAATGACAGCACGTGGCTCGTCTACAGGTTGATGTCAAGTTTTTCCGAATCTTTTAAAACATCAATCCTCTAACCCATTGCTTATAACACACAAAAACAGACTGTTATTGTCCGAAATTCATTCTAGCTGCGATCATGGCAATGACTGATGCGGTCGATTATGGCAGGAGGTTGATTCCGCAAATACTGGATAGCGTGGCCTCTGCTGATCCGGATCGAATTTTATACTCGGTACTCTCGCTCTCTGAAGATTCGCCAGAATTCAGACATATCTCTGCTTATGATTTTGCGAAGGCGGTCGATAAAACTGCTTGGTGGTTACACGGTCTGGTTGGAGGGACTACATCAGTCCGGACTGTGGGCTATATCGGACCTCGTGAGATTCGAAACAGCAACAGATTCAAGTATATTGCCTACTGACAGCGTCAGATGATCTTCGACATATTTTATTAACATACGCGAGCGTCAAGGCAGGCTGTTGCGTAAGTGTATCTTTACCAATGCACAATGAGCACACTGTATACGAAAACGCTGACATAGACTTCTTTGGACTTGTAGTCATTGTTCCTCTCCCCTAAAAACAGTGTTGAAGGCGCTTTACAGGTGCTCGCCGCATCCGAATGCGATATTTGGATTAACCCTCGTGGCCAGCTATGCCTACCTCTCGTGGAAGACTTTCTGGTTCAGCGCCCAATGCAAGTCCTAGAGTTGCCTGAACTCGATGAACTCCTTGACTCCGAAGCCACCGTACCGTTTCCATACGACAAATCGTTCGACCAAGCTGCCCAAGAACCGTTCTGTGTTTTACACACTTCTGGAAGCACAGGATTGCCCAAACCGGTCGCCTGGAAAAATGGCCTAATCGCGACGATGGACGCAGTGCGGCTGCTTCCACCGACTGAAAAGGATAACGGGCTAGCACCTTGGACATCTTTGTGGAATGAAGGAGACAGGATCTACTCATCTTTCCCAATGAGTCACGTGTGTAAACACCCCTTTTTCCGGGAAGCATGTTGCTAACGTAATATCTCAATGTGCAGGGAGCCGGTATCATCATGAATATTCTTTTGCCCTCACTCTTTGGCCTGCATTGTATTATGGGGCCTTCTGGTGTACCTCCCAATATTGATCTACTTGAATCTCTTGCAGATCATGGGAAAATTGACATTTGGAGTATGGTTCCATCACTTGTTGATGAGCTGGGAGAAACCCCTGCCGTTTTGGCAAAGTTTGCGCCATCAAAGTTTATTTGTGCATCTGGTGGTAAGCATCCCGGCTCTATTGTTGACTATTTGACGTCTTTGGTGCTCATCAGCTTATTTGCTCTGCAGGTCCCGTGAGTCCCGTCGCCGCTTCTAGGGTGAACGACGTGATTAGAGTTTTAAATTTGACAGGCACAACAGAGGGCCTCTTCATTGGCAACCTCGTCGTAGAGAGAGAAGATTGGCTCTGGTTTTCTTTTCACCCTTATTCTGGGTTTGAATTCAAGGAAGTGGAGCCTGGTATATACGAGCACTGGATACACCGTAACGAACGGTGGCCATTGTTCCAGGGGATCTTTCACACGTTTCCTACTGAGCAATCTATCAATCTCAAAGACCTATACATCAAGCATCCAACCAAGCCAAATTTATGGGCTTTTAACGGTAGAAGCGATGATATTGTGGTTCTGTCTAACGGATACAAGATTGCACCACTGGACACGGAAGCTCTTGTCACGACGCACCCTGCAGTTAGCGGCTGTCTTGTCGTGAGTGAGCTCACTTTGATTTTTCCATGTCCTCGAAAATTTCTACAATGAAGCTAATGCAATCAATGTGTCACAGACAGGCACTGGGAAGCACCAAGCAGGCCTACTCGTTGAGCTGAAAGATCCTTTATCAAAAGACAATGATCTTTTTGATAGTATATGGCGGATTGTAGAAAGAGCCAACGTCCTGTCCGTACACAAGAACCAGCTGCAAAGGGATTATATCGCATTTGCGGAGCCGGACAAGCCGTTCATTCGGACAGATAAGGGTACGGTAAAGCGACGCGCGACGCTAATGCTCTACGACGGATTCATTGAGCGTTTCTACGACTCACGATCTGAGGACATAGACGTTGTCACCGTGAATACGACCTCGCTTGATTCAATTACCGAATCTATCAGTAAGATTATCGGCGCTCTTGTGCCAGCAGTTCATAAAGCATCCTTAGATACCGACATGTTTAGTCTTGGCTTGGATTCGCTCCAAGTATTCCGCGCCATTAAGAACATCCGGGCTGCTACTGGTTTACAAGATCAGCTCGCACCTCGTCACATCTACGCAAACCCCACGATTAACAAATTTTCAGCTGCTCTTGACCATCTGTTGAACCAAGCGAGGGAGACGAATGGAACTACTTTAGATGGTGCTAGCGACACTGACGCGACCAGGATGAAGAGGATGATCGATCAACACAAGAGACGACAGCCAATAAAGATGAATCCGTTCGACCAGGTGAACTTCAATCATTATATGGGCCTAAATTTCTTTTTTGCTCTCCCAAAAAATGTTGAATTCAGAGAAGTATTTACTGGACTACAGGATGGTCTGCGCCGTGCGATGGACCTCCTTCCAGCTCTCGAGGGGAAAATCATGATGTGCTCAGACCTGGAAATCGGATACAAAAGGGGTGATCTTTATGTCTCGATCCCGCCGCTTCAACCACGAGCGACTTGTGAAAGCGAATCTAAAGCTTCCCTTAGTACGCCGCGTCAGCTTGTATACAAAGATCTATCCAATGTGCTCCCTTCATACGAAGCTCTACGAGATGCAGGGTTCATGCACCGTACACTTAAGGACGAGCTACTTCTTACGGGATATGCATTTCCCCAGCTACCCGCAGATATATTGATTGCACAAGCCAACTTCGTCCAAGGTGGTTGCATCGTTGCGGCGAACTTCCACCACGGATGTGTTGATGGTATTGGGGTCATGACCGCTCTCAGAGTCTGGGCTGAATGCTGCAGATACCTCCAGGGCGATGCCACCGCGACATGCAGCTGGCTGGATCCTGAAAGCTTCAATCACAGTTTGCCGCAAATTCTTTACGAGCAGGAAGGATACGCTCGACCTGTTAACGAGGTGGATCCTGGCGTGTGGGGATTTTTGCCATTCTTACGACCTGACGAATCCCCTGAGATCTTGACCAATGGTACGAAGAATTCCCAGTCAACTGTGCCAGGAAAAGAAAAGGCCCTCCCTCCAGCACCTGTGTTTACTCGTAAGTTTGAGTTGCCTCCCACACCCCCCAAGGATGGCCGTTACTTGAACACTAGCATGTTCTTGATCCCCCCAGAAAAAATGCAGCAACTCAAGCAAGACGTCCTCCCCGATGCGCAGAATCAAGGCATTACCACATCAATCAGTGATATACTACAAGCTTTCTTCTGGCGTGCTGCAGTAAGAGCACGCTATAGGGTCGCCGTGGAGCATCGAGGAGAGACATTCGGATCAGACGAGATATCTATCCTAGAGCTGCCGATAGATGGACGACCGTACTTTTCTTCTCTGCTACCATCATCGTATATGGGGAGTATGCTCCTGCTCAACCGACAGAGCTTGCCTCTTGAAAAACTATGCTCGCCAAAGACCAGCATTGGAAGCATTGCCACTGGCCTCCGTGAAGCGGCTGCGCGAATAACTCCCTCGCTTTTCCATGACGCTTTCACACTACTGCAATCATTGCCCGACTACAGCAAATTTACCATCGCTAACATGGGTGTCAATGGACACTACAACGCGATGATTTCTAACTTGATGCTATTCCAAACCAGCGAGATCTCATTTGGAAATGCCCTCTTTGACAACGGGGGAGTTCCTGAGGCCATGCGACCACAAATCGAGAGAGGCCATCAGCATTTCCGGTTCTTGGTCATATATCCGATGAAAAGCGATGGGGGTGTGGAGTTGGTGCTTGGGACGCTTCCGGAGGAGTTGGAAATGCTGAAGTCGGACGAGGAATTCATGGGGTATGCGACACTTGTGGATCGATAGGCTGTCAAGCTGAGCACCATTCTGTGTGATTATATAGAAGAATGTTCCCAAAATGGCTAGTCTGTGAACACAAAGCACCCTGCATCTCTCACCTATTTATTATACTAGGTCCTGTTCATCCAGACTGTATTGGTGTGGGCTCGTGTAACAACGCAGTAGTTACAGTAGAAATAGGACAGCAATCAATCTTACCAAACAATCCAAATGATTCCTATTCTCAACTGTACGGGCTCGCGGTGGACAAGATAAGTGGTAGTCGAAACACGATGTTTCTTCGATTAAGTCAGGGAAATATTACATATCTAGTAGATCAACTCAGAATAACTTTACATCTTCTGTTAATTATTTTAAGTGCAGATAACATCATTCGGAGTCGACATATCTACCTAGGTAGTCTAAGATCAGTGGCCACGAGACTGTCACTTACGACTTGTCCTCAGCGAAGCGGGCTCGAGGCGGGCCAACAAGGGCTGTCTGCAGGTTTCCAGGTTCTGCTTCACCCCTGCTAGGCTTGCTGGGCAGCGGGCCGTGCTGGCGCGCCCGCAGATTCGAGGTCCCAGACTCCAGCGGGGGCGGGCAGCTAGAGGTTCACGAACTTCATCTGACAAACATCCATTTCCAACGCCACGCCAGCCACGTATCACGCCGATACCTCGTCTGCTCAAGAAATCTTCACTGCACGTAGGGGCCCGGTCTTTGTACCACCCCTCCAACTGTCCAAGATGTCGGTGCAACGGTGAGCTTGTTCTTGGAGTACCAGCCGCTGCTCGGGCGGGACATGAGAAGGTTTGAGGCTGTTGCTGACGGCGAAGCAACACCTACCTCACGCTTGATGGACGGCTCTCGCCTGGTTTCGTCCTATATAGGGGCCTAGGCTTGCAATTGAGAAAGATTAAGAAGGTTTGAGGCTCTTGTCCATCGAGGACATATTGCCAGCGCAATAATAAACCTCTCCGCGGCGACGCCCCAAATACTCAAACGAGATTCTACGACTGTAAGACCTCGCAACCCCGGGAGCTGTTGACGATTGCTTTCTCTCCCCACGCCGACGCTTCTCGGCAGCATCCCTGGTTGAAGTGAGCACGTTTCCTCCGATCCACCAACCGAGGAAGTTGGGTTATTTACAGTCATTGTTGAGGAGGTCATTCTACAACCAAACTAGATCGATTGTTTTCATCATTGATTCTCTTCCTCGCCTACTTCGAAAAGTGCCATTCGCTGAGGTACCCAGCTTTGTTCTTCCTCTCCAGCAGCTCGGAGTTTTCCACGAATACTTACTCTACATCCCGTCATAGCAGCTGCCACTGCGATCATCACTGCAGACCCACGACAGTTCACCATGGCGTTGCACACCGAGACTCTAGTGATCAAACAGCCCGATGCTTTCGTGAGCAATGGTGACGGCTCCGTTCCCGATAGTGAAGAGTCTGCCGTCGATACCCAAGCTCAACCCGGTGTCCAGAACATTGAAGCGGTCACGGTGGCGTGGACAAAAACCGCTTTGATCGTGGCATACGTGATGCTCTGGCTCATTTACTTTGTCGAAGGGACCTTATCTGGCACCAATGCTGCCTTGAATCCTTATGTCACCTCGGATTTTGCCCAGCACTCACTCACGCCGACCGTGGGCATTCTCAGTAGTGTTATCGGCGGCGTTACCGACTTAACACTGGCCAAGATCCTCGACGTTTTTGGTCGTCCACAGGGCTACTTTCTTTGTATCGTAATTGCTACAGTGGGCTTGGTTATGATGGCTGCATGCAACAACGTCGAGGCCTACGCGGCTGCCCAGGTCTTTTATACTGTTGGGAACAATGGAATTCAGTACAGCCTAAGCGTTTTTGTTGCTGACACCTCATCATTACGGAACCGAGGACTAATGATTGCCTTGGTGACCTCGCCGAGTCTGATCACTTGTTGGCTCGCTGGCCCAATATCCTCAGCGTTTCTGAGAGGACCTGGCTGGCGGTGGTGTTATGGAGCCTTTTCAGTTATCGTCCCAGCATTTACCCTTCCGCTACTAGGGATATTCATTTACAACTACTTCAAGGCAAAAAAGCAGGGCTTGATTGCAAAACACCAAAGTCAACGCACTCCTTGGGAATCTCTTGTTTACTACCTCCGCGAATTTGATGCCGCTGGTCTCATCCTGCTTTCGGCTGGCGTCGCACTCTTCCTCCTGCCTTTCAATCTCTACACTTTGCAGGAAAAAGGGTGGCGGGCTCCACTGATAATCTGTTTGCTGGTCTTTGGAATTCTGCTGATCGTTCTTTTCGCTCTCTGGGAGCGATTCTTGGCCCCAGTGACCTTCATCCCTTATGCACTTCTTCTGGATCGCACAGTGTTTGGTGCCTGTATTCTGTCAAATGCATTGTTCCTGAGCTACTTCTGCTGGAACAGTTTTTTCAGCTCCTTCCTCCAAGTTGTGGTTGACCTGAGCATTTCGGAGGCCAGCTATGTCATTCAAGCCTACACTGTTGGAACCTGCTTGTCGGCGATCGGGGTAGGCTTGCTGGTTCGTAACACTGGGCGCTACAAACCGGTCTGTCTGTATTTCGGAATTCCTCTGAGTATTCTGGGTCTTGGTCTGATGATCAACTTTCGTCGACCCGGCGTCAATGTTGGTTATCTCGTTATGTGTCAGATATTCATGGCCTTCGCTGCGGGAACCATCATCATCTGCGATGAAATCGCCATCATGGCTGCTGCTTCGCATCAACATATTGCCATCGTTATAGCCATTTTGGGTGTCTTTTCAAGCATTGGGGGTGCCATAGGTCTTACTGTAGCGGCTGCCATTTGGCAAGATGTGTTTCCAAAAAAGCTTGCTGAATATCTTCCTCCCGAAGAACTTCCAAACTTGCCACTCATTTATGCCGACATTGTCACGCAGTTATCGTACGCGGTTGGCTCCCCTACTCGTCTCGCCATTCAGTATGCCTACGGCGATGCGCAGAAAATGCTTTTGGTAGTGGGCACTGCCGTATGGTTTATTGGACTTCTTGCGGTTGTAATGTGGCGAGACATCAATGTGTCGAACATTAAGCAGGTCAAGGGTACTGCTTTTTGATCCCTCCTCTACCAGCTTTCGGAATCGACATGCAAAGTCTTGCCAGTCGCTTGAAGGAGAACTTGCTCGGATGTATTTGCGAGGGCCTCTGAAGTACTTATATTTTTGACCAAAATAAGGTACATGCTATCTTTAGGTTCGATCAAAATCACAAGATATTTACGAAGCTCGAAATTTGAGGCGCGCAAAATTAGGTGTTCGTATAGTACATTTGATGTTGCATCGACGTTTGATGCTTGTGAAATACATCATATCGTTCTGGGTACGGAGACGAACCCTCCATTATCTACGAAAGTTATAAATCCCGTAAAATGAAGGAGCATTTGTGAGCGGTTGGTGTACATAACGTCCACCGTGTGAATTCTCGGACACAATCGGATTGACCAACTGCGCTGACTGCTCTGGAAAATTTCAGGCGGCTCGAGTACATTATTCGGACATGTCCCGCCAAAATCACTTTTTCAGCTAAAAATGCTTGTAGTGGTAATGCATAGTGGTGCCCATAGTAGTTACTGAATACAGATTTCTATCTTAAATAATTATTATGATGTAGTTTATTTAAAAGTGACATCTTTATGCAGTACTCTAATAAATACGATATATTTTGATTTTATAGTGTTCTAAAGTTGGACTGTAATTGCCTTTGCCCTTATTTATACTTATTCTATAGCGGTCTAGGTGCACTTGTTATTCTTTTATTTTTATCGTCATCGTCCCCTTCGTTTGGATTATCATCTTTATCCTACCTCAATATCACCCCTAAAGTACTATTATCTATCTGCCTCTATGTTGTATTCTGCCACTACGGATCCCACTCAAGCTAATATAACCAATTTATTCCTGTACGCCTATTGTAGGCTAGAGACCAAAACCAAACGGGTTTACAAATAACTCACCAATAATGTAATAGGAAGTCGTTAACATTACGAAATCGTAATTTAACGCTCATTCTATCATTTGTTCAACTACCAATAGAATGTTAAGGTATACATAAAATATCTTATGCGTAGCAGTACCAAATCCGATGCGAAAACAGGTGTTTGGATGAAAAAGTGATTTTGGCGTGACACGTCTCAGTGTTGCACCTTGGCGAGCCTGATTGGGGTCGGTCGCGGCAATAACCCAGCAGTGCCATCATAGCGAGCCTGATTAGGAGTCGGTAATGGCAATAACCCAGCGCCAGCAAGGCGGCATGACCGACTTCTCGCTTGAGCATTGCACTGCCTGTTACGTTCAACATACCTATATAAACGGCATTCCCAAATTATCTGGGCTCGAATCACTCTCGTCAACCGCACTAATACATACTATCCAAAATACCGCGTCGATATGGCTTCTGCCCTGTCCATTCATGCCGCAAGTGGTGATCTTGAGCGGAATACGATCTTGGCGATGCGAAAAGCCCACCTGCTAGAAAGCTTCCTGGTTCAAAGTGAGTAGTAGCGTCAGAGTTAGACATAGAGCATGCTGATATTTGGTAAGATGTTCGCGATATCGTTAAGATGAAAGATCGTTGTCAGAATTTACATCAACGAATCTATGTAATGGAAATGCAGATCCAAAGTTCGGGTATAAAAACAGTCCAGTCTGAAGGTGGTGCAAAACCATCGAAACTCAGCTAACTTCCGTCTTATTAGGACTTATCGACAATGCACGGAAGTATCTTGGTGATGATAGCTTCATGGAGAATAGAGCTCGAACAGCCTCCAATGCATGTGGTCGAACATCGGAAATAGCTACTTTCTCACTCTCATCTCGACCTACCCATCAAGCACCAGATGTTGAGGAACAACCAAGTAAAAGACACAAACTTAGCCAAGATAGTACTGCTCCATGTTTGCGTTGCAGAGTTTTGAAGAAGAAGGTCTGTTTTGGCTAGTGTCGATTAGGGGTCTAAATTCTAATGCTGCTTAGTGCGACTCTAATCCAGTGTGTTCTCACTGTCCTAGCAAGGGTTTTGATTATGAGAACGATCATTGGAAGGTCCTTGGCTGTGTTCGTGGCTCTTTGAAGGAGATTGCGGGGTCGATTTGTCTAGGTGAGAGATATGCTACATGACTTTTGTGCTCAAGATTCGAAGCTTCTGATAATTTGGCGGGAGTATCCCCTGTAGTGTGACTTTTACTGACTGTTCTCCAGATTTCTCACGTGCTCCAAGCCGAGTCCTTAAGTGTCAGTCAGGCGAGCTTCTGAAGATTGACTTCACATTCGCAAAATCAGGTGTTTCTCTAGGAAAGAAGAAACGAATCGTAAAGCTTATGCACTCTCGAAAAGATTTTATGGATCTCTGTGATTCGTCTTGGAGTGATCTTGCCACAAGGCGTAGCTTATCACGACATGCTACTATAGAACAAGCTAGCCCCGAAGATGTCTTCAGTCCACACAGTCTAAGCATGTCAGAAGAATATGAGGCCCCATGGGCACTAATACAGGTACGCTCAAACTCTAAAAGGGTGCCATGCTCTCAGCCAGTTGACATATTTTTGACTCGAAAAGCTTCATTCGCTAATATGGATTGTTGTGGATTAGGCCGTCTCCATGGATTCACGTTACGTTTTACCTACTGAATACAATCCTTTCGCTCTGCTTCGCTTTGGCAATGCTTATCTTAAAGATGGTCCAGTAAGTGGAAGAAATACCAACTCAGCATTTTATTCTAACTCTGTCAAGGCTTCTTGGGACTTATTTTCGAAGTCGAAAAGCATATTACGACAGTCGGTCGAAATTTACCTGCTGGAACGACTGTGCGTTCATATCGCTTCAGGAGACCTTACCGGCCCCCCGCCATTTGATCCTAGCAAGTTGCCGATTTCCAATAGCTTGATTATGGTCGATATCAAGACCGATATTGAAGATTTCTTGACCGCATTTGAACGAGCTTGCGCGGGTCGTTCTAGACTCACTGGACAACAACAACTAGCTTGTCTCTACTCCTTACTGGTGTTTAGTATTGTAAAGAGCTTACTAATAGATGCTTATTCGCTTCGAAAAGCTGCCGATCTCATCAATCCGTGGGATGTGACACATGCACTTAGTATCACTAGTGCGTTCAAATCGATGGTCAGCATCTTTTGTTGGTCTTCTAAGACTGATGCGATACTCTCCAACAATTGTAAGTGGCCACATACTATTTATTCTCCTCTCTGGTGTGCCTCCAAGATAGAGAACGTCTTCGAGTAGCATCTTTTATTCATGGCATCCTATGAGACCTTGTATTGGTACACCAATTAAACTGTAAAAGGGACACATGCTGATAAAAAGCCTTCATACAGCAATGAATATTTCACAGACCAGAGATATGCTGATAGTGGACAAATGGCCAGAGCGTGGTTTTAAGACCACGAGAGACTTCCTTATGGCCTTAGGATCTCTAATCCTACCCGGTGATAATTACAACGGGTTCTTTCGTCAAAAGTTTGGAATTGAGAAGCTGCCAAACCACGTTCACCAAGAAACAACGTTACCCTTCTGGGCGCCAGACAAAGCTAGCTATCTGGATTCTTCAGATGAGGAGGAGCAATCAGTGCTCGTTAATCCAATACTAAGTCCACCAACAGACGGTACTAGCTCCTCCTTTTTCAGCTCCCAAGTACCAGAAATTGATCAAAGGCTGGACAGTCCAAGGACTCTTTCCCCGTCACCATCAATACCGATAATAAGCCGTAGCAGGAGCAACTCTATCTCCACCGGCTCGGAATCTGGTGATTTTAGGCAAAATTCTAGGTTCACATTCGTGATAAATGATCAGTCTGCGGATCTTCACAAGAAATCTCACAAGGGCCGTCGCGGTGCACTAGACGACACTACTCTTAAGAAGGTCAGAGACGTACGTAAAATTGGCGCATGTTGGCATTGTTGGGCTATGAAAGTACCGGTAAGTCGCTGTGATGAATTACAACTTCTTCATTCATTGTGAAAATAAGCGCAATATTGATTGAGAACTGGCTAACCTATATGTTAGTGTTCTAACAGCAGCCCTTGCCATCGATGCAAGGCACGAATGAAAGGCGATCATCATCCATGCAGTAGAGCGCCCTTCATATCACAAATATCTCTTTTCTTTCCTCAAGCACTCAACACTCGCTTTACACCGTATTCTACGGATGTGTATGTCAGTGAAAACGTTGCCACATTCAATGCTCTCGCGCTCCCTATTCGAATATCTTGGCTTGGACACCGTGAACTGGAACTTTTCGCATCACCTTTCACGTCGACGGAGAATTCACAGGCGCAAATAAAGTACGACGGCCATGCTGGAAATGATTGTATGTAAATTTTATTCATCTCTAAACAGGAGAAGAGAAAATTGTCTTCAGACACAGCTTCCAGCTTTGGAGCCGATTATGAAATAGCATGCTGACTTGTTCCAGTGGGCGTCGCTTCACTTCCAATTGGCTTATCATCTCTTGACTTCCCAAAAGCAAGAGACGCGTGCCAAAGCCATATCGAATCCTTGATTCAAGCCCCTTCGATCAGTCCTTGGATGCCACTATATCCTAGTTCAACGAAAAGACCAGCGGGCAAGGAAATATTCAAACTTGTGCATTCATTCTACAAGTCCGGAGAAGAGGTCAGTATCCCAACAAAACAAACTAACTCTGGTAATTTGCTAAATTTTATTGCAGACTCACGGCCTTCTTCATGATGTTCTATCCTTTCACTTAATGTTGGGGATGATGAGTGAACCTATATTATTTACCAATGATTCAGCAGAGCAAATTATTTCTCGAGTAGGAATTCCTCAGGACGAATCAAACTACTACTCCTCTCGAGTTTTAGACCGACAAATCAAGCAAATACTCTATGAAGACAACTTGAAAACGCTCGAAAATATACTCAGAAAGCTGGAAAAAGCTATCCGAGCTCGTAACGTATCTTCATGGCCAGTTGTTTTTGCTTCTGTTGTACTTCTCAGCTTTTCCATAGAAGTTATCCAGAGCCAGGCTGCAACTTACGTCAGTACTTTGTCTCCTAGTTTGGAAATCCCCGCAGATGCAGATTCCGACCCCTCGAACGCAATGCTTAAAGAGGCAAATGCGATCTGTGAATCCATCGAGAAGGATGCCTTTGCACAGTAAGTAGTTTGAGACCATCGTCTCTTCTGATGTGGTGTCCCCAACTCAGTGCGTAACCAGATTGGACTGAAGTCGCTGACTTATAATCACTAGACTTTCTTACCTTTTTCACACGGTATATCGAACTGCTCAAATTAATAAAGGAGGCTTGAATCCGTTTCATAATCTTGGTTCTCTAAGTACACAGGTTAAGAACTTGATCGTACCATTTATTCAGATTCTTGAAAAGCAATCCGAAAGTATCACCATAAATAAAATTCGAGCTCTACCATCACTGCGTGGCGGAACGCATGCATTCGCATTACAAAACTCAGGGAGATTGTTGTCTAAGTTCTTGGTACCCTTCGAGATTGGAAACCAGTGGATGGCATGCGCTACGGGGCCTATATTGCACATTGGCTGATAGATATGTTGGATGAGGATACAGCCTCGTAGACTTGATTACTATCGTCGGTTGATGGGCAGACTAATCAATCGCTTCTTAGTGAAAAGAAGACCTAGATCACGATAAAATTGCGTTTGTTTAAAGATATCGTCCTCTGACACTTCTGAGCAAACTAAATAGGTCAGCTGCCTATTGAAATCGGCTAGCTGAGCTGTTTACTTGTCGACGCGCCACTAACAAATGGACAATTGAAAGATGACCAAGCTGTTAACTTCTCTGTGAATATTTTTCTAGGGGAAGAAAGAAATGCAATGATTGAGTATACCAGAAGGCACTGGAGTAAACAGGACTCCATAATTTGAAATGGAGCTGTTGCCTCCTCCGCCTCGGTTGCCTGAGTGTAGGCAAATTGACCTTACAAGTATATGAGAGGAAAACCGATTTAATACGAAAATTGGTGCAATATTGAGGTGCATATAGTTTTTGGGGCAAGTGCATGGAACATGAAGTCCAAATTAGTCCGGGTCGTGGTATGAGTTGTGTCGAGCGATAATAAATTTAGTGTCTACAAGCGTCAAGAAAATCAGCTAGAATTGGGTACATGATTTGTTGTGAGCAAGTAAGGTTTTCACATTGATTTAAATTTATGCAATCTTGTGTGGATTAGTCTATTTATGATATGAGCTTAAATCTAACTAATCAAGTAACAAAGCTTTTTTTTTGAAAATTACCAAATCTAACCCTTATCAGTAAACATTCCTGCAACAGTGGGCAAAACATGAAATACATGAATCTTCTGACAGTTGAATTATAACATATATTACTAATAATATCTCGACTTGACTTTTACCTACTTTCCAGTTTATTCATCTTCAAAATCGCTATGACGGAAATATTTAATGCCAAACTCCATATTTTATGCCCTATTCCCGTATTTCAAATTGGGTGCTCTTTGCGCTCCTCCCAGTATATTATTTCTCCCATTTTATTTTTTTCAAAAGTTCAAATCTATTGTTTGTGCCTGTGAAATCTTGGACGATGATGGTGGTGTGGTTCCCCCGCCGAATCCTGGCCTGGATTTGCTTCTTCATAATTGAGCCACTTGATGAACCTGAAATATCCAGACGTAATGACAGCACCCAGAGCTGGGCCCAACCAGTATATCCAATGGTAGCCTGGAAAGCTCGTAGATGCGACGGCGGGTCCAAAGCTCCTAGCTGGGTTGAGAGATCCACCTGTGTAGTAAACGCCTGTATTCTATCGTCAGCAAATTGGCTTCGATTCAGAGTGGACAGGGAGCTATACCAGCGAGCTCAGCAACAAACAAAGATAATCCAATTCCCACAGGTGCTAGGAAAGTATCTTTACTTTTCTCAGAAGCAAGCATTAGAACCGTAATCATCAATAGACATGTTAAGAACATTTCCATGAACAATCCTTGGGCGATACTGGTCCCTGGTGCCAACAAGGTGTTGACCATCGAGATTGAAGGTGGGAACATGACGCTCACGACAGCGGCTGCAGAGACGGCACCGAGGATTTGAGCTGGGAACAGAATAAGACCACGTGCCCAGGGGAGACCACCGGAAAGCACGAGACCGAGGGTTATCTGGAAACATCAGTCGAAGAAAGAGAACAAATTAAGCGAGGAGTAGTACCGCAGGATTGAATAGACCACCGGAGATTCGATACCATACCCATGCGCAGACCAAAAGACTGAATCCATAACCAAGTGATATAAAAACCACAGTCTGCGAGTTGGCGCCAGCGTCTGTGCCCACGGTTTCTAAAGCTCGTGTACTGGACATGATGTGGATTGCGAACCCGAAAAAAAGAAACATAAATGTACCAACAAATTCGCCGCTCGCTGCCACGAAGTGGTCTCTCACCTTCGGTCGAGCATTGGGATCGATAATTGGACTGCTGTTGCTCTCGGGGTCGTAATCTCGCTCCGGAGAGGCTGGAGGGTTTGGTGTGTGCTGCTGCTGTTGGGGGACATGAGAATTGCGTCGCGGAGTATAAGAGTTGTTGGTCGAATGCTGGGAAAGAGAATGTCTAGGTGCGTAGTTTTGGGGGGCACGATGAGGATTTCTATGCCGACGAGCCTCGCGTTGGCTGTTGCTGTATCGAACGTTGACCGTTTCGTTCTCCATGTTGAGAATTGAGATGAACTTTGCGTTAGATGACCGAGGGTTCAAACCTTGGAAATTCGGAGTGCTTGATCGTCCGCGGTGTCATACCATTCCGTAGAAGAGATGATACCGCCTCGAGCTACTTCGCAAAGGTACTCTCCAAGGCAGACAAATCGCACGAGAATGAAGAAAAGAAATGCAAACAGAAGGAAGCCCTTTGAGCAAAGAACTTGGACATGGCTGAACCCTTCCTTCCCTCCAGTGCACTGAACTGGGAGGCTAGGCTGGTGCTAGGTAGGTAGGTAGGTAGGCAGCTAGAGTGAAAAGCACGACAACGTCACAACAGAGAGAACAGGGAGAACACACGAAACAGGCATATCATATCGTATCGTATTTCTCCCACGTAGCAGTACGTACTCGAGTAGCTCAACCCGTCCGTTCGGGGGTAGTTTTGTGCCCGCGCGATGGTCGCTTTTCGGCGAGCCTCGCTGGCGCTGGCAAATTGGCAATGGCCAAATGCATTCGACCGCAGTGATGTCGATCGGAACGCGACGATCTCCTGTGTTTGCGGGGAGCGATGCCGTAGGAGGCGCGGCGCTTGAGGCAAAGAGGCTGGACCGCCACGGACTAGACTAATGGAGCCTCATACAGTGCTGCGACTGGTACTGTACTGTAGCGGTGCACTAGACATACTAGTGGAGGATGTAGGAGTTCGTGCGCACTCGACGCCCGATCAATGACTTTTCGACTTTGTGATAAAAGCAATACAGTAACATGGCATCAAACGCTTGTATGAGGCCGCCAACCTCGTGCTTGAATGTAGAATGCAAGACCGCAAAGTGACTATTGGAAGGGCAAGCCCCGATCAAGATTAACCCCAGCACGACTTCAGTTAGGATACTGAAACATGCCAAAGGTTAATGAAACCGTCAAACCCTTCTGATCGTAAGACTCAGATACTGCTCTAGCAATCGTTGGTGGATGGGGACAATGATAACTCTTCCTTCTATCATTCTTGATTAATTACAACTTGTTAATCATAAATATCAAGAAACGGTATTTGTGGTGGAGAGGAGATGCCTAGTGCTGAGCTAGAAGTCCGGCCCCAATGTCCAAGGCGGCTTCGTAGAGGGACCGTCGACGGCGGCAGCCAAAGCACGCTTGACTATCCCAAAACGTATCCGGCATACAAGTTGTATAATCGGAACAGCCGGTTCAGACTTCATGGAACAAATCTACATTGAGAGCAAGATCCTATGAGAGTTTCGCCAACAATATCAGCGTGTGGCGGACAGCTGTAAGATCAAAAGTCTCGCTCATACGTGATAGTGTTCGATTGATCTGATTGCTCCGTGTTTGTACTCGAGATCAAACTCCTGTAGCGGTTGAATATTAATTAATTCCCATGGTGCGAAAGCCGTCAAATGTTGGCTAATATTGGCATGAGCCGGAGGTTGGAAACGGGCAGAAGTTTGCTCGTCATACTTTTAATTTCGGAGACCCGGCTCCCGACCGCCGGCACGGCCTCGGAGCGAGAAATATATCCTCATAAATCCCTTGACTATTGAACTTCTACTTCTCTCGCTACAAACACTATTCCTACGGAAGGATGTCTTTGTATATCTTACCTTTCTCGCATCCTTCAGACCATTTGACTTCCATGTGATCTCGTCAGGCTCACCTTCGGATCCTTCAGAAAATGCACGATTGTGTAGGTACAGCAGCCAGAATGGCAAGCTGCATTCACTCCGGGCTGTACGACTTCGCGGACCATGCACTACCGTTTGCATCAAGCTCGTTTCTTTGCTTCTCACATTCACACTTTGTTTCTCTAGCCTTCCAGTCGGGACGCCGTACGTGACCCTCTCAACGTATAGCAATTTCAGCAGCTTCATGTGACAAAACCAAAATGCGTTTCAACTGTGGACAATGGCGCCGCCATTGTTTGACAGTCGTTGGTCTGATATCTTTCGCAACTGCAATGAATTGCGACTACTTTGAACATAGTGCCGCGAATGCTTCGTTTTCAATTGCAATACCTGGCTTTCAACCCTTCATCAATGCGACTGGTTTGACAAATAACACATGGATTCTATCTACGTCTGTCAGCCAAAAGCGAGATGTTGCAAGCAACAGCTATGTGATGGACCAAAGTTTCTATCTGTCCGATCTGTACTCTCAACGGCCCAACAGACTATCGCCATCCGAGCTACCATTACACCGGTTGCGCGATTCTGTTGAAGGGGTTTTCGTCGACCCAGGTGTCGACTGGTACTCAGAACGCCACCGACAGCTGCAAAGGAGTATTTGATTCAGCTTGTACAAGCGCCATCATGACTAAAATTGATACGCAAATCTCGGCGGCACAGCTAGCAGATGATGATATATGCCAAGCTGTCATTGCAACCCCACCAGCGCAATGCGGGAAAAATCCTTGGAGCGCGATAGTTGCAACCCGTAAGTGTATAACCTGGGCTTGATAGTGCATTCATTGACGCTCATCTAGAACCATTTGGGAATCCTTCTTACTACGCAAGCATTAATGCGTCTTGCCCTTCGAGTATATTCAACGGAACCTCTGATCTTATAAAAACCACGTCAGAAGTAGCTTCTCCGCTAAGCGACACAAACACATATGACAGGTGGATTTTACAAGCAACTTCTTTAGTATTGGTGGCTTTCGCGAAGAACAAAACTCTGACTGTACCAAGATGGGGAAACTCTGCGATGGTATGCTTGACGCCAGATATCGTCGGGATAAAGAGCAGGTCGCCTTCGGGTGCAGTACAGCATCAGGCTACGCCAACCATATGGAGTATCGGATTAGGAATCTGGATACCACTTGCTGCTGTAATATTGTTTCAATAATCGAGGCTATACACGTACGTGATGTCATGCTGATACATCGAGCGTACAACATCAGACTGACAATCTACCATTAGCAGTCTTCAGTAGTCAGGAGCGTATAGCTATATACTAACTCATTTACAGCCCTTTAAAACACATACCAAACGTATCTGGCTTCGGATACAAAATAACAAGCTTCTTCGAGAAAGCTAAACAATAGTCTAGCACAACAAGCTTACAGCCGTATATAGACTTTCAATTACATATCTGGACATTTAACCAACACTACACGCCATTCCACTGCCAATTATAACACTAATCGTGGATTTGCCTTCTAGTTCCAAATTATCTTTGCAATAAAAAGCAGTGACCTTTCGACGTGCGTGTATCACGAAATCTCGGTCAGTCCAACTACTTACCCTCCACAGCAGATTGGCGGTGGAGGCAACGTAAGTTCTTCTTGCGGGGTCGATGTGTTCTCTGTGATACCTTACGAAGCCCAGTCTCAACCTCCAAACTCCTTGCCTCAAAGATACTCCGTGATTTTACTTATTGATTTTTATGATTATGAACTTCAATGGCTGCTGAAGCTCTTGGTATTGGCGCCTCGGTGGTTACGTTCGTAGGCGTCGCCGGCCACATTGTCCAAGGCTGTCAATATGTGCCTTCTATTCTCAACGACATTGACGATGCCCCAGACGATATCCTCGATATGAACGCTAGTATAACGCTATTTGAATCGATCCTGCTCCAATTACAAGCGGTCCTTCAACAGCTAGATAGTTCAGGTGTTCCCGTCGACCATCTCTCGACAGTGGAAGTCGCTTTGAAGTACGGTGATGATGCTGTAGCAGCTTTGCAGAAAGCCGCGGCCAGAATTAAGAACCCGAATACAAGATGGTGTCGCATACGTGTTGCATTTAAGAATGGAAAATACGCAAAATATTGGGACAGACTTGAAAAAGCTAAAGGTTTTATCTCGGTTGCCCAAGGTGGACGCTTGTTGTAAATTACCTATTCCTCAAAACCATAAGTAGTAGATGGGCATTGACTTCTCTAGATCCTTAGCTCACCGCCAGGTTTCAAAGTGCCAAGCTACACAGAACACCATTAGAGATCCATTGTATGCGATATAAGCCAGAGCTGTAGAGTTGTTACCTTGAATCATTGTCTACACCTTGTGTTCAAGTCTGTATCCTCGGCTTCTCGTTGGTAGAGTTACACTAAAAAATATTTCAGCAGCGCGTTTATATTCTAGTGCCTTCTTAAAATAATTACCGCTGTGTAGCAAATTAACCGTAAAGGTTGGCAATGATTACTCGCTAGCAAATGACTTCCGAGGACAGAATTGACCAAGAATCTGGAGACTAGGCCACACATCTCGAGCTATAACAACGATCAGTTCGCAATTGTTTTTGAACGTCAAACTCAGTTGCATTTCCCACGAATCGGAATTTTGCGGATGTAAGATCAAATACTTTTGTTTCTCGATGACAGCAAGGTTTAGAGTTAGTATATTTTTTGTGACCTGTAAAGACTCACTGCTCAGGTGTCATACCGATACAGTCAATTAACTGTTTGTGTAAAATTTGTCACCGACTCACCGAGAAGACCGGACAAAATCAATTCTGGTTTCTGGTGTAGTGGTCGTACGTTTCGTTTGAGGGGAAGGCATGGGGGAAAAGTGAGATTGCTAATTCGTTTTGGAACTGTGCCGGTGCTAGTTTTTGATTCAAGGTTGATGAGTCTCAAGAAGTAAAGAAACTTAATACGTCTCTCTGTATCTAAGATTTCTTACTCGTAATTTTCAATCACGAAGATCGGGAAACCCTCACATCCGATGTACTCGTAATCCCTCGAAAGGTGCCACTCATCTGAAGTGTAATATCTCAAGCTTGGAACGCTGCGTGTGTAAGTCACCAATTTCGTTTCCTAATTTAGAGCAAAGTGGGGCTAAATCATTGTTTACGATATAATTCTGCTGTCAATGTTTAGCTTCCACCCAACCCCTTTTATTAAGCGAGCTTCGTCCCAACGACAAGTCAACACGAATGAAACATGTGCATAGGGATTCCTGTCCCAAACTTCATGATAGTTCAAGATATTGATATAATTATGTCGTGTTGGTGATAGGGAATTACATTTAGCCCAAAAATAATCCAGTCCCAAAAAATTTGCTGGAAATCCCAGAATTGAATGTGACAACGTCAAGAAATACCACTTTCTTACTGTAAACCACATTGTCTCACGAGAACATCAAAATGTTCTCTTAAAACCCTAAGAAAAACTATACTTCGCATAGTTCTACCAAGCAGAGCCACTCGATAATTTCAAGAAGCACTTGGATCATTTTAGAAAATCTAGGTTCATTTGATACCTCTGACCAAGCGTCCGAATCTGGCAATTCCCGGAAGCAGGAAAAGATTCGATACCCTATTCTTTGGTACGACAAAAGCGAGAATGAGTTGATTGGCTTATCAGATATCAATCGTGTACTGGGCTTGGTGAATTCTGTCGGAGCAGTAGCAAACTTGTGGTGGACCAGGTAAGTGGCAGTCACTTTTAAATTTAGTGTTAAAGGCTGCAATATAAAATGGCGTGGGTTGATCGACCACCGTATTAAGGCAAGAGTCGAGTTGTTCTTCCAACCTAAATTCAAGAAGAGTTTTGGAGTTTCTCACTGGAAAGCATAGACCAAAGCAAACAATACGGAGATTCACCATCATGTCATGAAGCTATCCAAACTATGTCTCGGGACCGACCACATCCGTTCCAGCTGTATCAAAATGAAATCAGCTCACGCTATCTCAAAGAATAAAGGTGTATACGGGTGGAGACAATTAGTATAAAAACATCCTTTGCTGTCTTTGATTCAATTTTCTTGAACATCATTCCTGATCAACACCCTTTCTGATACTACTCCATACCCATCTGTCACAAGCAAGTTGCTCTGAATCGATCAATATGCAGTTCGTTTCAACACTTCTTGGCTTCTTAGGGTTTGCCGCTCTTGCTCTTGGACTGCCCGCCACCGATAACAGCGAAACTGCTGGGGCTGATCCCGCTGTCACCGTCAAACTCCCTTACCCGGTTGAGCCTTTCACTTTCAACGGCACCATTGATGGCCACGAGGTAAGTGGGACATTTCGTGCTCTTTCCTTTCTTTCCATAACACTTGTTCATCCGAGAACAAGGCGAGCTTTCTAACATCTGTCTCTGTAGGTCTATTTAGTCGGATCCATTGATGAGCAACTCGAACACATGGAGAAGACCTATCCAGATTTCGACCGTAATAACTTTCAGGCTGTCAGAGCTGATATACCGGAAACAAAACATGAGACACGCAGCGTAAATAACAAAGTTGGCATGGGGCAATGTTGTGACGAGCCACAAATGCAGAGTCACGGGTGGAACTACGTTTCTAGTGTTGATATCAGTTTCGCTGCTGCACAGCTTGCTGGATATGAGGGCGGTTGCCCAGTTCAACCTCACAGATGCGTTTTCTTTACCAGATCAGGTCGTGCTGGTATCCACTTATGGTAATAATTTCCTGTTCTCAAGCGTGCTCAACATTGAAGCTATATTTACTAACTTTGGGCAGCAATGATAATACCTACTTCATCAGCCCAAGCTGCAAATATCTCTCTTCATACGCCGTCGATATTCGCGACCACTGCGGAAAGGGGTTTGCCACTAGTAACGGCCTAGAAGCTAGATCGTGTGGACAACAGTTTGACACTGATGGATACAATGTTGTCGTCGTCTACGAGATTTAGGGATGTCAGCATAGTTTTGATTCAGGGATGGATGGCTGTGAGAACGATTCGATGCAGAAATGGAATTATGTATTCAGCGGACAGCTTGTTGATACTCGGTCATTTTAGTTGCTCCAACTGCATTTTTCACTCCAGCTCTCATGATAACAAATTATGACCTCAAAAGGATTGAGTAAACATAACGTTCCGGGAATGATGTTGCTGTACTACCGTAGTAAGGTGTCCCGTTAGACTTGCAATAAACTGGTGCCTGGCTTAGAAAATGTTTGAAAGTTTCGTTCGGAGCTTTGGGTGTGTCTTCAAGGGTCGTTTCAATCCGGCGGCTTCATCGAAAACATCGAGTGCTGAAAATCCTGAATGGCACGAAGAGTCTTCCACCCAGAAACCGTGCCGCGAGACTAGCGTTGTACAATCCATAGACGGATGCAAGACCGCTCATGGAGTGATAAGCTCTTTTTAGGTGCGGGGATATCCTTTATTTTGGTGTCAATTGACATCGTTGTTACTTTTTGCTAAGAAGATAAAATGGAAGCATAATGTGCTTAAGATTAGACAAGGTAAAAACTTTGCCAGAGCGTGTCGCATAGAAACACAACAAAACTTCCAGGTGATAGCGGTTGGCAGCCGTTCTCTAGATAGGATTCATCATTATAACTCTGCGCGTAATAAATATAAATTAGTTATCCGCGAGTTACACAGCATCCCAGCAGAGCGTGGTAAGCGGCTCCTAACATTGTACAATCCGAGGTTATATATCCATAATTCTTGTGAGGTCTACGGGCTGAAAATGTATTAAAACCTACAACATCCTCACACGATGCACCATGTACTTGTGATGAGCTGCGACATTTGATGTGCCTTCACTTTCGTTCTATGCCACCAGGCATCGATGCTTTTGCCTTATTTTTGGAAAAATTAAATCTCTACATGAAATATACCAATCAATTCATGCTATAATTTGCGAAATCACAAGAAAACCTCCAGATTGATTTCGAGTGTGCTCACAGGGTATCTACATTGCCAGATATTAGCTGCAAAAATCCTCGAAAAACATTTGGGAAGACATACCTCAGCTCAAATTTCTCAAGTACCGTAGGATGTAGAATGCCAAATTCTCCAATACGAACAGCCTTTCCGTCAACACGCAAAAAGATAGCAGCTGCGTGACCCTGGAAGAAAGTTTCCTCGTTGATTTCTTCGATCCAGTAACCGTCTACCTTGGTATGGTCCTCTCTCACTTCATAATTAAGCCCCTTTCTTGCTTCCAATCCTTCTTCATTGGTAAGGAAAGCTGTCTTGAGCATGAGGAGAACACGATCTAGCAAGCCGTGAACGATCTCAAAGCCCGAGGACTTACCATACCAAGCAGCAGCAAAGTGGCGTTCATTGCGAGACTTGCGCTCAAGAGAAAGGTCCTTGAAAGCTACGTCCGAGACCTCGAAAACTTTGATAGGTACCGAGTGCTTCTTGTTTTCTCGAACCGTTTTTAACAGACCGGGGAGCAAAGAAGTGCGCACAATTTGGTACTCGGCCGTTTTGGGATTAGCAAGCCGGACAGCGGTGGTACCATCATCCTTTCGATTTAGCCAAGCAAAGTTCTCGTCATGCGAGCAGAGAATAAGAGGCATAACTTCACTCCAACCGGCCATAGCTGCCTCCATGCGGACAATATCACCCAGCTTGTTGACTAACAGAGGCTGTGCGATGGTTGAGGACTTATTGGGAGAAGTGCGGGGGAGATTATTGAAACCGTACCCAATAGCGACGTCTTCCATGATATCGCACTGATGAAGGACATCAGCTCGGGTAGGTGGAATGGAGACATCAAGAATGTTCTTGTCAGAGGTTGATGGAGTAGCCGATAAGCACATTTTTTGCAGTAGCTTGCAGATAGATTCAGGTGATTCGGAAAGACCACAGCAGTTATTGATATAATCAATTTCTGCTTCTGCCTTTCTGGGGCTGATATTTGGGGTTTGTCTGGTCTCTCCGTTGTGGTCTGAGACAATCTGGACTGGCTCGATTGTGAAGGGTTCGGCGCAGTATTGCGAGAACATAGCAACAATGATATTGTTGACAATCTCCAGCTTTGTTCGGTCGGTCCCGGTCATCTCGATGAAGACATTGGTGGTATTAAGAGAAATCTTAGAATGATTACCATTAATGATGGGAGGCATCGAACACACTCTGCGCTGAGAATCGTAAATCACTGGATATACTGGCTTGTCACGGATGATGTGCAGATATCTACCAAGATGCTTATCATTCTCATAATGCTGCATCAATTCTTCGGCGCTCATTACCGTAGTTTGGTTCAATGGCGCAAACTTAATGTATTTTGGAGGTAAAGCCTCGTATGTGAAAGGACCTTGGATTGTGTCGAGATCGTGGGTACCGATTGCAACGAGGGTCCGCTGCCTTGCGAGATTCTGATGTAATTTGTCTTGCAACGATATGAACGAGTCATAACTCTCTTGTGTGAACTTGATATTCCTTAGAATGGACCCTGAAACGTATGGACGAACTTTCGCAGTATCAGGGTGCACCGTGATCGTTTCCAACTTGCCGTTCTTAGGCTCCACGAGTCTGTAGTTTGGGAATGGTGTTTTTTCTCGGAAAACGTTCAGCATAAGGGCAATTCCTTCAAAGCAGAGCATATCATATCGGTTCGCGGGGATTTCGATTTTGAGCTGCGGGGGTTCTTGTTTGCCATTGACGATTGGCCGTTCTATATTTGAGGTATCTTCGTCCAGCTCAATCCCAAATTCGAAACATAACGTCTCGAACTCCTCCGTGGTGTACCTTGAAGCATTGTTAGCAAAATCTCTCTGAATGTGGGGAGAGCCGCACTCTTGCCCCAAGGCCTTGTAAAGTTCAGCCTTGTCTACGCTGATGGTGGGCATTTTCGTGGATTTTGGCGGGATCCCACCAGTGTCTGCGTTTTTTAATGTGTTTGCGAGGTCGAATATTGAAAGGGCAGCGTCTAAAACGGATGATGCAAAGGTGATTTTCCGAGTAACTTTTTTATGACTCCGTCGTGAGGAAAGCTATAAATTTGTGGGTGCCTAAGGCGTCAATGTCGTTAACTGGGCCGCCGGTGAGAACTGAACTTGGGGAGGAACTGCCCTTCAGGAACCTCCCCCACCAACAACCGCTTTCTCAGTTCATCCACATAACAAGAATATAGACCGCTCTGTTGTGTTCATACCCCACGATCCTGTAGGTTGGTTCAATTGGTTTTACCACAAGATTCGATTTGTATTATTCATGGAAGAGCTCCGTCATTTAGCAGCAAATCCCCCGCCATTTCTAGAGTCGACAGCTTTACCAGCCTACTACTATTCGCGCGTTTCCTGGCCTTAGCTAACTGAATATTAATATAGATTTACAACCGACCTTATCGAAGCATCGAGCTTGGAATTCAACGTCCTGCGATAACTCGGGCAAGACAAGGCTACCAACACGCGATCAACACAACTCAAAGTCCCAGGTAAATAAACCACGACCTGGGCTTCTCTTCCCTCCCACAACTTTCTCCATCCCCGACACCTCTTCTCGAGTACTTCAACATGGCAGACGGCGCAGATAAAACCGATGAGCTCTACCCTATTGCTGTCTTGATTGATGAGTTAAAGGTACGAAGTGGATGATGCTTAGCAGATTAAGTTTCCTTGCAACTGGCACTGACACGCAGCATAGCATGATGATGTCCTTTTACGATTAAATGCCATACATCGACTCTCCACAATCGCACTCGCGCTGGGAGCGGAGCGCACTCGAGATGAATTGATCCCTTTCTTGGACGGTATGCGCACGCCTCTTTCCATTGTATGCATAATCTGCTTTAAAATGATGCTAATGGCTTTGCGTAGAGTCTGTGGAGGATGAGGATGAAGTTCTGACCGCCCTGAGCGACGAACTCGGAGGCTTTGTTGAGTATGTTGGTGGTCCAGAATGGGGCCATGTTCTTTTATCACCTCTTGAGAACCTCGCAGCGATCGAGGAGCCTCTCGTAAGAGAAAAGGTATATTTACAGGTACACAGCAACCAGATTCTTGCTAACTTGTAAAGGCTGTAGAATCCCTAAACAAAATCTGCGAGGAATTGTCATCCCAACAAGTCGAAGAATACTTTATTCCCCTCACAATCCGCCTCTCCAAAGCCGACTGGTTTACCTCAAAAATATCCGCAACGGGCCTCTACAATGTTCCATACAAGAAGGCATCACCCCCCATGCAAGAGCAGCTCAGGCATCAATTTGGACTTCTTGTGCACGACGAGACACCGATGGTTCGAAGACAGGCTGCAAATAACTTAGCAAAGTTTGTGAAGGAGATGCCTGCTACGATTGTCGTAGAGGAAATGATTCCATTGTTCCAACATCTCGCGAGCGACGATCAGGATAGTGTACGTTTGTTGACAGTAGAGATCTTGATTGCGATCGCTGAAGTCGTACCTAAAGAGCAACAATCTAGTCATGGGGTTCTACTTACATCTTTGAGGAGTTTGATCGAGGACAAAAGCTGGAGGGTAAGATATATGGTTGCAGATAGATTTGAAAAGGTATGTGGTCTTTGGTTGTGCCTAGGATAGGTCACTAACAAATAATAGATTGCTAAAGCAGTGGACGGAGAGGTCGTAACAAGGGATCTTGTGCCAGCTTTTGTTAAACTTCTCAAAGATACCGAGGCAGAGGTACGGACAGCTATTGCTGGTCAAATTCCAGGCTTCTGTAGATTGGTTGACAGGGAAATGCTTCTCAATGAGATTATGACAACCGTGGAAGATTTGGTTTCTGACACTTCTCAACACGTCCGTGCCGCTCTGGGAACTCAGATCAGTGGTCTCGCTCCAATACTAGGAAAGCAAGAGTAAGCATATTGGACCCCTACAACCCCACGCCAAGCTAAAATAGTATAGGACTATTGACCATTTACTCCCCATGTTCCTGCAGATGTTGAAAGATGAGTTTCCTGATGTACGACTCCATATCATTTCAAAATTAGAATTGGTTAATCAAGGTACGTTGAACTTGGAAGTTGTATTATCACCACTGACAAATGTAGTCATTGGTATCGAGCTTCTGTCCCAGTCGCTTCTGCCAGCAATTGTTCAACTCGCCGAAGACAAGCAGTGGCGCGTACGCTTGGCTATTATTGAGTACATTCCGCTATTAGCAAGCCAGCTTGGTGTCAAATTTTTCGATGAAAAATTGGCTGCTCTGTGTATGGGCTGGCTTGGCGACACTGTTTTCTCCATTCGGGAGGCCGCAACCCATAATTTGAAAAAACTCACCGAAGTCTTCGGCGTTGAATGGGCCAACGAGGCTATCATTCCCAAGGTAATGGCAATGGGAGCACACCCAAATTATCTCTACAGAATGACAACATGTTTTGCGATCACTGTAGGTTTCCCGCACCCCACTTACGTACTTTGCTAATTTTCAAGACCCTCGCACCAGTCGTTAGTCTCGACGTTGTCGCGAAGTCAATCTTACCAATGATGGACAAACTCGTTGTCGACGATATTCCAAATATACGATTCAACGTGGCCAAATCATATTCTGAAATCATTTCCGTCCTCAAGCGCTTACCTGATGAAGGAACTGTCTACTCATTAGAAAAGTCGGGAGACTCAACGCCACCATCAGCGAGAGGACAACAGCTTATTCAGGAGAGAATTGTGCCAAATCTGGAGAAACTAGCAAAGGATGAGGATGTCGACGTTCGATTTTTCGCCACTACCGCAGCTGGATCAATTTCTGGCGAGCCAATGAATACGTCACCTTAGATGAGTTAATGGCAAAATGATGAAAGGAAAATGATTTTGGGCCAAGTTATACCATTCCCACAAGCTTATATTTGTTCTTAGAAAGGAGCAGAAGAATACCATGCATAGTCTCCTTATCAACCGGATAATCCCACGGCGTAGAGTGAATCATTTGCGCAAGTACCTGTCGAAGCGCGACGTTTGTGCCGAAATATAAAAGTTCCCACTCTCGCTGTAATTATAGAAGACATTTTCCTTGGCCTTCAACACCTCAGGTTATACAAGATTGGTCTTCTCGATCCGGAATACCCCTGATTTAATTGCTACCATATCTCGTGATACATTGGCAGTGGAGAAACCCGTAAACTTGATACAGGATGTCTGTATTTCCAATTCCCTCCTGTCAGTGCTCATAAATACAGGCACAGAGCTAACTCTTCACGAGACGATATCAACCGAGTCTCCCCAAGTCTATGCTAGAAGTCTTTCAATCCCGCCAAAGAAAACGCCTGTACACAATTCATGCCCTTTCTTTGGGACCATTTCTTATCCATTTCCAGAAGATCATTTCCCATCATTTCATCATTATCGCATGCAATCTTACTGCATTTCGACCTCCATTTCCCTGCCTTTGCCTTTCCAGCTCGCTGGGCTATTCCCGCCGTTGGCACCACTCGAGCTTCCAGATGCTGACTTCCCCTTGCCTAAACCTAGTCCTGCAATACCGTCTCTCAGGGTCGCGAAGCCGGCAACTGCACCATTGGATACAACTCTCGTGGGACTTGATGTTCGATTAACCGTCAAGGCCGCGTGTGCAGTCTCCACGCCTGTCAAGACACCCTGGTTGATTCCGAGATTATTAGGATTAGGTCGCGGACTAGGACTACTCCGTCCACGATCTGGAGTCATGTCTCCGCCAAGGTATCTTTCTGTGACAGCGTTGCTGGGCCCGTTCATGTCTGCGTCACTTCGGTTGAAGACATCGTTCCACCACCGCACTTTATCCAATTTTGGAAACAAAAGGCGCTCTTGACCTCTGACATTGTCGTTAATTTCTCCGTTGTATTGTGGATTTAGGAACTGCACTTTGTTTGCTAGGAAGTATCCCCAGACGCTGTTAGTGCGTTCATGAACTCTGGCGTCAAGTCTTGACTTCTCGTTGTTGTAAAGAAATGTTCCGTATTGGCAGGAGTACAGGTGGTATAACATTCGCTTCAAAAATCGCTCGTTGAATTCAAAGCGTGTAGGGTGCTGGTGGAGAAGTTGATAAGTGGCATCGAGGAATTGGTGGAAAATCGGACTGATATTTTCTAAATCTGTAGCTTCTTTAGCAGAATTGGCACTTTTGGCGTCTTCGAGAAGATCCCCTGACTCCCGATCTGCGTGATCTTGGGCTGATGTCTGCGTTTTAGCAAATAGACGTTTCGTGCCTTGAAACAAAGTTTCGAACGTATCACTTCGACCTTCTCCACGGTCGCCAGGATTGATCGCTGAGCCGGCCATAGCATCCTTATCTATTTTGAACCACTTCTCGCTATTCAAATAGCCTCCTCTAAGTTGAAACATGTGTCCATAGGACAGCCAGTCCTTTTCCACAAGCACTACAAATCCCTCAATAGTTCTGTAGTAAGGATCAAGCATCAATTGAGATAGGGCACTCAGTTGACTGGTGCGGTCCCATCCATCCGAGCAGTGTATCAGAACATGTGAGTGTTGAATTCCAACTTGGCGAGCAATGAGAGCCGATCCATCTAGTACTCCCGTGATGTGCTTAAGCCATCCGCTCTTAGCTAGTAAGTCGCGGTTTGGAGGAAGTTTCGACACATCGGAATCCTTGATAGCCTCGATGACCACATCAAGTGACTTTCGCATGACATGGATGTTATCAATTCCCAAATATGCTTTCTTCGCGAATTTGTAGTGCTCCATATTTTCCGAGCCCTTTCCCGCTGCCTGCATTGCCAAAGCATTAACAGTAGGACGAGCATCGACGATGAGATTGTTCTGCTGCGCTCCATAAATGTGAGGCGCATCCTGAATTTCAATCTTCGATGAAGCGGATATCATCTGGTCCTCCAACTTTTCCGTATCGCTCAATTCTCCTTCCACCTTTTCTAAATCGAGATCAACCTGACTAGACGCTGGGCTCGCCCGGCTTGATATGCTCGAGTTCACATCACGTTCTGCAAGAGGCGCGGAAGCCGAAAAACACGCCGCAACGAGCTTCTCGTCTTGGATACTTCGATTCCCTCGAAGGCCAGTCAGGGGTTGCGAACATCTTGTAATCGAGCAATTATTAACTGGGTGTAGGTACGTTAACGCAGGAATCCGGGCCCTCGATCGATATCTACCAGCATAATTCAAGGTATTGTCGGAGATGCTGGAAGGAACAGGTAGTAGGGCTGGATAGGTTTCTGAAAACCCATAATCGACATTTATCTTTGATATTCTCCAACCTCTATCTGGTTCCTTGTCACTAATCCCCTGTCTTTTCCACTCTGCTTTGGCATCGTAAATCTCCCACCCATTGATCCCTTCGCCGTTGGGCTGTACGCATTCGAAGGCATACAGCTTATCGATGCTTCCTAGCGTGCATGTACATGATTTTAAGGTCTCGAAAACATCCCTAGCCTGCTTGTCCTGGTTGAAGATGAGTCTGGCAAACCGGAAGTCGCGCGTTCGGATTCGTATTGAAGATTGATGACTGGAAGTTGGCGGAGTTGGCCGGTAGATGACAGAGGAGAAGAGAGCATATGCGAACACCACTGATCTGCTCTTCGCAGGTTTGCTGGGTGTAGATGTCCCTTGGGGAGGAGTTGAGGGGCTGCTGTAGCAGATGAGATGGTGCGCCTTGAGGTGTAATGTCACCACGGTCGTTATCCCTTCAGCCAAAAGCTGGACGTCCTCAACTTGAAGAAGGTCTTTTGGTGGATTGATTTCCGCAGATTTCCTGGTGTTGACTTTTGGTGTCTTGAGGTTGTCGGTCATCTTGGGTGTGGCTGCTGATATCGCGAGCTGGGAGACTGAAGAAGTGGAGGCCTTTTCATGACAAAATGATAGGTGCTACGAATGTGTATGAGAAGTTGTCATACAAAGCGCGTTGGACGTCTTTCACATAAGTTTGTGCAGTCTAGTGACGTTTGTGTTATCAGCCTTTTCGAGACAGCTTGAGAGTCCACATGGTCGATCGGGACCCGCAATCACTATTGGCCGAGCCTTCCAGTTGGCTTGTCAACGCAGAAGAGAACAGCGAGGAAGTTTGGCGTTAATTAATTGTTGATATATCGCACCAAGGTATCCGAGACGGATGGTTATAGAAAAATAATAGTAGTAAATAAATGCCGTAAAATATGCTCTGCTCATCAATAGCAAGGGGAGCATTGAGAAGAGTTGCAAACCCCACCACGAGGCTGAGGCGTCAAGAATTATCGCGAGGCACGCATGGCCAAAGCTTCAGATCTCGAATTTCATATTTGATCACGTGTAGATACCAAACCGTCCACTACAATTTGGAGCGCTGCCTTCTTATTAACCCAGGGAGTACTCGAGTATAGGTAGTCAAGGCCCAGAGTATTGGTATCGGTAGCCTCTGATTGACGAGACCTGGAGTAACCTTAGCTAGAGAAGCTCAAATCTCACAGAACTTGCAGCCCTTAAAGGTCTGACAATCATGAGTATGAGTATATCTCCATCTTGTCGCGCCATGTGGTCCAGGAATAGGGACAGGTCAAACAAACCAAATGATCCTTACGCGCATCTACAACCGTCAATTCCGTTCTCGCTCCAGTCAATGATGATGGCAACTGTGCTTTGAGAAAATCTACCAAGTTTACCTGGTCAGTGTTGTTTATCTCTGTCGCGACCAGCTCAATACTCCGCCAACTGCCAAACTTAGAGGAACCACCATACCACCTGAGCTTGCCAGCATTCACAAGTAATATCTCTCTCGGCGCTCCGAAACACCTGAAGAACTCTGCGTAATCCGTCGCTGGCGACACTTTAGGCGCGCAGAGCTCTCTAATGCCACGTCTGACCCGCCAGGTCTTCGGCTTTTCCTTCCATCCTGCAACATCCTCTGGGAGGCTCTCGACGCCGAATTCTATCGCAACCCTATCAAATGCCGCAAGCGAGTACGCTGACGATCCGCAGGCTTTGGCTGATTCGGTGTAGACCATTCTCATGATCGCATAGTGAGAGATATACAGCGTGTCTAATCTGGGATGGATGAAGGTTGGACCGCATGCGACGAAAACGGATTTGCACATATCGCGAGATTCGATGCACACGGCAAAGAGGCTAGGAAGGTGTGTGTGTAGCTGTTTCGTGGGCCCGTTGCTGTATCCTAGAAGCCCTATTCCTGGGGGGAAAGGGACGCCTGCGTCGACACCTAGTTGGAGAATTCGTGCTTCGAATGTACTCTCGTAGATTTGGAGCCGCATCTCCTTGGGCAGCTTCGGAAAGAGATGGAATGTAGACAACATTGTCAAGCAGGTAATAAAGATGAGTCTACACGAGAGATCGTTGAAGATTGTAGTGCGGGACTTATGAAGTACAGTTGGTCCTGGGTATCAACAAGACAACCGCCTACCACAACCACAGATAAGTATAGAGAGGCATTAGATAGTATAAGATCAACACACGCTAAATCATCTCCTAATAAACTAATTCCATCTTCATTTTCCGCATACTGTACGTCTTCAACAAATACAGGGGTATACACCACAAGGCTGAGGTATCATTCAACATGGCCAAAGCTCAAATCTCGTGATCATCCGTCAAGTGGGCTCGCTTATTGGATACTAGCCTCTCTGGTGGGGGCGAGACGATGCGTCCGCACACAACAACCGAACATTATTTTCGATATTTCCTCGAAGTGGAAGCTGGATCTCATCGACGACAAAACACATTGAACCTCAACACCAGGTTCAATCCGACATCACAAACCAGACATCATGGCCTCCGGAGTTCCAGGAACCGCGATGTAAGCAAACTCCATTTTGTATCATCTGGGAAAGTGTAAAGAAGCACGGAAATGAAGATATACTTGCTGACACCCCCCGCCATGTAGTTCAAAGCGCAGAAAGTTCGTCGCAGACGGTGTCTTCTACGCCGAATTGAACGAGTTCTTCCAACGCGAGTTGGCCGAGGAGGGATACTCAGGAGTTGAGGTCCGCGTTACTCCAACAGTGACCGACATCATTATCCGCGCAACACACACACAAGAAGTCTTGGGAGAGCAAGGACGACGCATTCGAGAACTCACATCACTCATCCAGAAGCGTTTCAAGTTCCCAGAAAACTCAGTTTCCCTCTACGCCGCCAAGGTCCAAAACCGTGGTCTCTCCGCCGTCGCACAATGCGAGTCTCTCAGATATAAGCTCCTCAACGGTTTGGCCGTCCGAAGAGCCTGCTATGGTGTCCTCCGATTCATCATGGAGTCTGGTGCTAAGGGTTGTGAGGTTGTCGTCTCCGGAAAGCTACGTGCTGCTCGTGCGAAGTCCATGAAGTTCACTGATGGCTTCATGATCCACTCCGGTCAACCAGCAAAGGATTTCATCGACCACGCTACCCGTCACGTTCTCCTCAGACAAGGTGTCCTCGGTATCAAGGTCAAGATTATGCGTGGATCTGACCCAGAAGGAAAGAGCGGACCACAAAAGAGCTTGCCAGACAGTGTCACCATTATCGAGCCAAAGGAGGAGCAGAGTGTCGTTCAGCCAATGTCCCAAGATTACGGTGCTAAGGCCGCTGCCGCACAAGCTGCTGCTGAGGCTCAACGTGCGTCAGAGCAGGAAGGTGGTGAGGAGGTTCAGGCTGTTGAGGAACAGTAGGCATGACGGGGTTGATATTTTCTTCATTGCGTCAAGAGCGGAGTTCTTTGAGGATTTTTGCGGAAGGGAAAGTCCAGAGAGTCGGGCGCGTGGGAAATTCGATCTTAGAATCTTAGATTGCTACATGTCAGAAAACGAGCTTTCTAGGCCAGACCTATTCTCGCATGCGGGCTTGTAATTCTTGCCATGGAATGAAAATACAATAAAGACCACAAATCCAGTCACTCCATTTTGACGCAATACCTGTTGTCATCAGTCCTCTCTATGTTCTTAAAGTGCTAAAAGAATCAACACGTCACTGCCTATGTACATTAGAACCCTACTGTCCTGCGTCTACCAATCTTAGGAGTAAGATGGTAAGAATACCTATCCTAAACAAAAATTATAAATGTAAACATGATCGGTCAAAAGCTACGTGTGTCTGCACTCATACTTCACATTGTTCTCCCTGATCAGTTGTTCCTCGGAAGTCGCCCAAGGCGGCTACGCATCCAGATAATGTCACTTCTGTTTTTGGATATATAACTTACTACATACTCTAGATCCAGTAGCACTAGGTTGTTAGACACCCTGACTTACTATCTTACACTTATACATAATTCTACTATGCTGAGAATACTGTACATAAGTTTCTCACTAACAAGCCGTCGATCTACTGTATCTCTCATCACCCAGCCCCCAAAATACACCCCAAATAAAATCCCCTTTGCGAAAACTCAATCATATACACATATATATCAATATTTATATATCTACACATCCTTTCCCCTCCATTCCCAACCCCCCAAACTCCGCTCCCATTCATAAATACAATTCTAATTCTACTTAGAACAGAACAGGAGACATAGTATACAATCCCCCAGAGCCCCTCAGTAGTCATATGCATGTGCACACGCTACCTTCTTGACCAGTCCAGAAAACGCCAGACCGGGCCACCTCTCATAATTCATCGCTTGGTTTCTTCCCGATTTCGTGGCTGCCACTGATGTTCGCGCATCACCTATGCCTTTGACATAGTACATCCAGACAGAAAGGTAGATCTGTGCGTGTCAACCCGCTCCACCTCCCACTGAAGCCTCACCGTTTCACTCATGACGAGGCCTCCTATGCACAGAAAACAAAGGCAAGAAAACCCGTGGCGCCGAACCCCACAAATGCCATAGCCCAAAGCAGTAGAGGAGGAGTAGGAAAAAACTTTATGCATTCAAAACAAAATTCTCGGCAATCCCGCGCTACCGCGGCAGAGGAGAACTTTTCCTACTTACGGACCGTTCCCTCTCAATCGGTTCCGAGAAACTCCTTTTGCTCGCGCTCGCGCTCGCGCTGCCATTGGGATACAGTTTCTTCGCGTGTCCGTTCGCCTTGTGCGGATGCACCTCGTCCTCATCGCTGCTCGCTAGATCCGCGAGCCCAAACCCAGTGTTATGCTCTTCCTCATCGTATGCATGTATTAAACCCCTGTCTTCACCTTGTGATTGTCTGTAGCCGGCAGACGACATGCGGTGAGGATCCATCGAGCGTCGCGATTGCATAGAACGTCTTGTTTGAATTCCAGAGATCGGGTCTGTTGCTATTCCATCCATTCCACCATGTATGAGTTTATGCCCGTCTGGATCGCTGCGAGAGAGATTGAGGAGATAGACTCCTGTGAATATTACGAGGAAGCCAGAAATTAGCGAAAGTGTGTTTACGGCGTCTGAAGTATTGAATCCGCCGTAAAGGATGAATGAGGCGCAGAGTGTGGAGGTTGTGAAGGTCACGTAATACAGTGGATTGACACTGTAACAATTAGCTATGCTGTCAGCATCCTGTGGGATTTACATACATTGATGTTGGGAATTGGCTCAGTGCCTTATTGAAGTAATTCATCTGCGTCAAAATACAGACTGTCGTGACGATGATGAACACATATGTCGATGGGTGCGAAAATTGGTTGTTGCCAGCAAAAGTGAGCTTGACTGCAATACCGAATGCTTTAACAGACATGACCGAAACCGATCCAACCGTCGAACAAATCGACAGGTAAATGAGAGGATTCTGCTTTCCATATCGTGGCGCAACTCGGTATATCATAACGACTGCAAAAACTAATACCGTAAAGCAGAATAGGAGGAACCCTGTGCCTGTCAGATTTACGCAGGGGAAAGGGGTAAATGATACGTACCTGGTTGAATCGCGTAGTTTAGAATTTCATCAATTGTCGTGATTTCTTCGTCTGGAGGGGCATGTAGGACTATTATGACGGAGCCAATTAAACAAATTGCGCAACCCAATTTTCCTAATATTCCCAGTTCTTCTTTTAAGAAATATGACCCCAAAACAGCTCCTATCAACACACTCAACGCTCCCAGAGGCGTTACTAGAATCGCTGGCGCAAAAGCGTACGCTGCGAAATTCGCTATTTCTCCGATAATGACTGCGTGTGGTGTTAGCCAAATTTCGGAGCATGATGGACTTGGGCGCGTACGAGCTATTATACCCGCCCACCATATGGGGCTCTTCAAATATGAGAATCCATCACCCTCAAAACCATGTCTTTCTTCTGCGTCTATGAGACCCTAGAGAAGTGTCAGAATCCCGATCTATTTTCTCGCGTACTTGGCCAGCAGTTGTGTCCTGAATTTTCGTACCTTTTTTGTAATCACAAAACTCGTTCCTAGAGAACAGCATCAGAATACGGCTATGAAGAGCCTACACGACAAAAAACTAACCGATCGCCATTGTAGAGGTAATGGCCAGAGCCAAGCCAATATATCTGCCCCATCGTTAGCCACTGTGGTGATGTCCGCGGCGCATCTGTGTCAAAGGGCCAGCGCATCGACATACTTGTCTTCCAGCATCTTCGCAGATTGTGTATGCGCACTTCCTGTAGAGCCCGATGTATTCAACCTCCTCACCCTCGCACAAGTAGTATTTGGGCCTCGTTCGATGGCTAGAAATAGTCTAAATCGAGGAAGGTCGTATCTTCGCGCAAAAACGTTCTGTCCGCTAGGGCGTGCTACCCCGTACTAAAGATGGCTGGTGACTGTTCTCGTGTGATGATGTTCGTAAAGACTGTAATGTCTGCGCTTGCTTTCGGCGCAGCCCGAATACCTATCGTCGCTGGCAGGTGCGTGGTCGAGTCTGACGGTCGGTGTTTGTTGGATGAAGAGGGCGCTCTGCTATCGTTGAAACAATCAAAGGCGCGGAGCCGAGAACGAAGATGGTGGTGTATCTACTAAGAAAGAACCGCCACAACTCCAGCCCAAACCAGACTATCACGCGCAAATATAATTATTGGAAGAGATTGATCGTGCAGTAGATGGAAGAAGACACCGCGATCTGTTCAGTGCGGACAATGGGATGTTGCGGCTCTAGGCGCTGCAACAATGGGTGAGAGGATGTGATGTGAAACACTGGCAGGAGTGTTCTCAGTGACTTGGAGACCACCAAAACGTGCAAGGCCAGTTCACCGATCAGCGGTCTCAGCACTTGACTTGCACCGCGATTAGCGGGTCCCTCCCAAGTCCCAACACGCCACGCCACCAAAACCAAACTGAGCATTTATTTTTAGACGCAGTACGGACTGCTCCGCCCCCAAGTTCCCCTGAGAGAGACTCGGCCGCACAACCTGCACGCTGTGAGCTTCGTTGGAGTCTTCGAAGCTTTGAGCAACACAAGCGAGGCGTGGAATACACAGGTGGCCGCGTTGACTGTGGGGCAATATAAAGTACTAAGTGTCGAAGCTAATCATGTTTTTCCCAGGCCACGAATTATTGAACTGAACCAACTCCTGCATTAAAAGGCTTGTTAGCTTGTGTTGAATAGTTACTAGATTGGCACCTTCTGCTTCGACCCGGAGAAGTTGAGAATTGTTCAGTACAAACTTTTGCATATAACTGGAAAGTCTGAATTCTAGATAAAAAATACCGGGCTTCCCCAGTTCGCATTCCGATCACATACTCGTAGCTCAAGGAAGTTGGGTTTTGCCCTGTGGCACTGTATTCGACGATCAGATCTGTGTATCTTTTTGCACTTTCATAACTACGTTACCTATGGTTGCCATAAATTAGGTCCCACAGCAAAACATCCCAAGGAAAAATCAGTAAATGACAAGCGTGGTGGATTGTGTTCAGGTTGTTCGTAATTATCAGTGAACGACACTGCTATTCTAAATCTCTTACACTACTACTCAACCTCTCTCATGGTCTACCAATGGTACCAATAGTACCAGACCATCATTTCCCCTCGACGCTCGTAAACCAGGCAAGCTGTTTTGGTGGATTAATACCAACCCCAATGTTGATATAAGAACCATAAACGGAGTTGCGAGCAAATATTCCTCCTTATATGCCATCTGTCACGGTGCTTTTTCCCTCCCCATATGCAAGAACAAAAAACAGAACGCCAAACTAAGCTAAGGTATCCAGGTGCTAGAGTTATATGATTATGCAAGCGCCGAGCGCTGATTAGAAGAGGGGCCAGATATTGACGAAAAGGGGTTTCAAATTAAGGTTAGCGAAGGATAGAAAATACCTGCGGGACCTACTGTGTTTGTTCCTATCTTACAATATTAGTATGTCGCAATGCTTCGTTGGGAGGTTAGGTATCAAATGAGTTCGTCGGATAATTCGTATGGCGTTGAACTCGAGACTGATGTCCACGGATGTCCAAGTGCTCAAAGGTGGCGGAAAAATAGTCTGGGATAGGAATATATCGAGCGTCGCGATGACCAAAACAAAATGCCGACGATGTTGAAGATGGGTAAAAGTGACATATGACCTCAGCATCGAAGCCCAATTACGAACGTGGCCGTTTGGCTTCTGGAAGAATGTCAGTAAGTCTATCTGCGTTCAGTTTGAAGGGGAATTCCAACCTTTATCTGTTGTAGTCACGGCATCGTCAACGTCTACCTCGGAAAGGGGTCTTTTGGATGAACCATTGGTCATCGGTGAAGCATCTGGCCGGCTTCCCAGGGTTGTGGCTAACTTGATTTCAACCTCATCGTAATCAATCTCATCACCGGCTGGTTTGTCTAAGTCGAGCTTCGTTTCATCTTGGTTTTCGACATCGCGGCTACCATTTCCCTCGTTCGTTGGGACAAGCTCTTCTTCTGCATCTTCGTTGTATTCTTGACCTACAAAATCATCTTCTTCTTGGGGCTCACCAGCACTGACGGTAGCGCTCGAGTCGGCGGCGTCGGCGAATTCTTGCTCATCGACAACTGTTGCTTGTATTCCCTCCCCGTTATCTAGAAAATCTACGTCGCCTTCAAGCTGGAAACCGTCTTGGTTGATTCCAAGGTCAAGTTCGCCTTCGAAAAAGTGGAACTCGTCGTGGTTTGGGTCTTCATGGTTAGCACTGTCAAGTTGGTTCGGGTCCGTGGCTTGGTCTTCTGCGGCGTATTCATGGCTTTCGCCTATGTTTTCAACATTTCCCACATTAGAGTCGTCATCCTGGATAGGATTCTCAACTTCGCTTGGATCTTCAGCTGCCCCGCCTACTATGTCGTTCCCTTGTTCGTTGTGATCAGATTCAATCTCACCATTCGGTTGGTCTACAGCTGCAGAGCCATCGTCTTGAAAACCGTCTTGCTCGGACACGAGACTTGCATCATAATTACCGAGTGCGCCTTCCTCTACGCCTGGTGAAATCGATATCGTAGGCGCTTCCACTGCATCTTCGTCGTCTTTTGTATATTGTTCTTCTATTAAAAAGACACCTGAGTTAGCACAGTGATGGGAGTTTGACTTTTGACAGGATAATAGAAAAGAATCCAAATTACCTTTTTGTATTGAGCTATTAGTGTATTTGCTCTTGCCATGTGCTTTAGCTGCTTCTTGTTCACTCGGCACCTCCGGTTCTTCGTCTGAATAGTCGATCAGGTCGTCTTCCTCGTCTGGTGCGCTGTGGTCTTCAGATTGACCGTCGTTCGATTTCAAGAAATCATTCGGTAGAGGGTTGTCGAATACTGGCGGGTTCTGTAATGTTTCTTGACCCGCCGCATCAGTCGAGGTTAGCTTGGATGAGTGCTCGACAGGTTCGAGATTCTCATTAGTGTCGTTAGTGTCTGCTACATCTCCCGTCGCAACAGATTGAGTACTAAGCTCCTTGCTAAAGGCTTCATTCTCTTGGGTTTCGGCTGGGTTGTCCGACTCATCGTTTTCTACTTCGTCATCAACTAAGTCCCTGTTTTCTGCACCGATGGTATCATCTCGAATATCCTCTTGGCTTCCGCCCTCTTCGCTATAGACGATTACGTCTGACAAGCCTTTACCACCTGCAACGCCAGAGACACACAGATCGTACCGCTTGGCGAAGTTTGGTCTCGTATTTAGATTCAGATATAAAGGATGAATATCCTGGCCGTCGTTGACTAACAGCTTGTGAAAAACATCAATCACTTGGCTTAAAGTATAATCTTGACAATGAATAGATGTCTAAGTAACGAATTAGCGTGCATAGCGTAAGCGGGTTAAAAAAGTTTGCTTACCTCTTCAAACTCAAGGCCTAAATCACCAACGGCCATGCAAAGCTCATCTTCATCCTGAAGCTCGTCGCTAAGAACCTCACGTATTGACAGAAGAAACTCGCTCAATGGCCGCCCAATTATTTCCAAGTCTGAAAGGAAAAAGCTGTCTGGGCTGTCAGATTCAGATTTTGGAAATAACGAATACTCATTGGATTGCCAGGCAACTACAACGTCCGGTCCAACGATAATGGTACCGTCATTGGCAGTATTTTCACAGTCGATATTGGCCGCGTTGTTGTGTAGACTGGTCTGTGGACTGTGTTCTTGTGGCGATGTCGGAGGGTTTGCCGAGGACTCAGTATGATTTCCATATTCAGATTTGGTTCCATTTTCACCTTTGGTATTTACATCGGGCGATGGATTGTCTTCTATAGCTGATGTAGGGGAATTTACTTTTACTATGCCGTCAGCGTTCAATGACTGCTCTGATAAAGGCTGTGCTGCGTTCAGCTCTTCGTTTAGATCCGATGATACTAGATTTGAATTCGAAGCGGGCTGAGAAAGGGCCACTCCAGAAGGGGTAGCTTCACCCGGAGACCCAACATGAGGGACCTGGGGATTTTCTGACTGCAGATTTTGCCCGGATATGCTATCTTCAACTTTCGGTGCAACATCATTCATGCTTGGTCGCGGAGTAAAACTACCAGGCCCCGCTGGTTCGTACCCTTCAGCAAAAGCTTCGGAAACCTTATCCATCATGACAATTGGTTCAAAATCATTCTGAACAGCACCTGCATCACCAACTAGCTGATTCAGCAAATTCGAAGATGACATTGGCTCATCAACATCGAATCCTATTGCTAGATCCGAAGTGCCGTCCATTATAAATGATGAGCCAGGTAATTCCATGTTCTCAGGGAGCTCCGCGAAAGAACCATCCTCCAGGGTGATCGTAACATCTCCGACGGAGCCCTCGTCAAGCCTGTGGTCTTCCCCACTTGTTTCGTCAAACATAGCAACATCGTCAACTGTAGAGCCGTCCTGACCTGCTGAAGGTAGATATGGGTGGCCAAAAGCTGTTTCCGCTGGCGCCTCGTCCACCATGTAATCTTCGTCCCCAATCTCATCTGCCTCTCCAGTAGTAAAGTCGATATCAATGTCGATGTCATCGTCAACATTATGGCCATGGTCCGACGAGATCTCCATGTCGTCCGCCATGGCGTACTGTCACAGGGCGTGAAATTGGATGTATATGTGCGACGTGCGACGATAAATCCCTTGATTGAAAGCTCTTCTGATGCCGGGTACGACAGCGGCGGTTGTATATATTCTGCTGCAGTCAACACGCCAAACAACAAGAACCACTGGAAAGGGCTCGTGCTGCCACAGCAGATTCTCTCAGAGGTAGTAAATGATTGACTAGGCAATTTAGCGTCCACTAGATGTCGTGTAGAAGTTCAAGATGCTGTACGGGTGTATGAGCGCGTATGAATAGGATCACATTACTTCGGAGTACTGTTCTGGAAACCTACGTCGATGGTAGAGATCAGGTTGAATGTGAGGTTGGATGAGACGAGTCTCGTTCAGGGTTGGCAGTTGAAATCGATTCCCGGCTGAATGCGGCCTAGCTGCCGCAACTTAGCGTGGGACTCCACTTGAGCCCTCCTGCTCATCACGTGGTTGGGGCGTTGCTCATGTTGAAGCGGGTCCACCGTCTCTGATCTGGCGGGCGCTGTAAACCACATTCTGAACAGCAAGACCGATTTCACTCTACCGCCAACCCCTCACACTCCCGACTTTTATTTTACAATATGGTGCGCAGAGTCTCAAAACAATTGCCTCAAATATCTCTAATATGGCTATAGGTCGTTCTTGCGGCGTCAATCTGTACGAGGGGGGGGAAAGCTGTCCTTTCCAGACAGTTTCGAGAGATGCAACGGTCGAGAATCGAAGCTCTACTTGCATCATTTCCAAAACTAGCAGACAGTAGCACTCAGCATACTACAGTAGAGCAAGACAATGTCCGATTCGTTTACCAACCCCTCGATGAACTCTACATGGTCCTTATAACAAATCGCCAATCGAATATCCTGCAAGACATTGATTCCCTACACCTGTTCGCACAGGTCGTTACTAGCACCTGTAAAACTTTGGATGAGAGGGAAATTTTGCGAAATGCTTACGAGCTCTTGAGCGCGTTCGATGAGCTGGTGACCTTGGGTTATAGGGAAAACCTAACAATCAGTCAAATCAAAACCTTCTTGGAGATGGAGAGTCACGAAGAGAGGATACAAGAGATCATTTCACGGGTACGATGGCTTCTACACACACCCTCTACACGGTTGTTGCTCTCTGAATTGTGCTTACTTGCTGTAGAATAAAGAACTGGAGGCCACTGAAGAGAGAAAACGAAAAGCGAAGCAATTGGAAATGCAGCGCAAAGAGATATCCAGAAGTGGGAGAGGCAATGTCTCAAGAGCACCTGTATACCCGACATACACACCACCCGCCCGTTCAGCCGTTACAGAAACCTACGATTCGTACGAGGCAGAAAAGAACAAATCGTCCAAGTCAGAGATCCCCATACACCTCTCTAATTTCATACTAATGCTTATACAGGGCCGGCGCGCTGAAAGGAAAGGGCATGCAGCTAGGCAAGAAGTCAAAGACAACCGACATGTTCGAGCGCGTCAGAGGCGATATGGGCGCCGAAGTGGAAGAAACAGCGTCCACTCCACTGGTTCCCAACAACCCTACACATGTTCCGTCAGAGAAAGCTGCACCACGCATCTCTTCATCTTTGGATCGTGATGCCATACACGTTACAATTGCCGAGACTATCAACGCTAAGTTATCGAGAGAGGGTGCTTTGAACTCGCTGGTAATCGCAGGCGATTTGCAATTGAAGATCTCAGATCCCACGTTGACAAAGGTCAAAGTGGACCTCACCGCAAATGCTAGTCATGGCGTACAATTCAAAACACATCCTAATGTGGACAAGAATCTTTTCAACAATAATAAGACGATCCAAATGGCCAATACCGCAAAGGGGTTCCCGGTTAATATCTCTGTGGGTGTTCTTCGATGGCGAGCAACGCCGAAACCAGACGATTCTAGCGCTCTTCCAATCACATTTACTGTATGGGTCAACCGAGGCTCAGATGATACATACAACATCACAGTTGAGTACGAACTCACTGGTGGCGATCCATTAAAAGATGTTACTGTTGTTATCCCTTATTCTACTAGCGAGCCTGCTGTGTCAAGCTTTGACGCGACATACGAAGTATCTGGCGACAGCCTCGAGTGGACGATTGGTCTGGTCGACGAGGATAACGCAAGCGGGTCGTTTGAATTTGAGGCTCAAGCCGCAGATGAGAACGAGTTCTTTCCCATGCAGGTCAAATTTAGCAAGACTAAACCATTCATCGATGTTGATGTAAGTTTGCCCAAAAAAAAGCATTACTTATTCCAAAACTAACAACATAATTAGGTCCACGATGTTACGCTTCTCGAAATGGATGAGACTGTCACTTTCTCCAAAGAGATCAAGTCTGTTGCAGACTCTTACTTGATTGAGTAGAGGGTACATTGGGTACAGGCAAAAAGTTCATGGGATTTCTACTGCATGGCGCAGGATGGGTTTACGTGCATACCCAATGGTTGATATTCTGTTAGCGTAGATTCCTTAGATTTCTTCAATGAGATGGAAATCTCAAAGATCTAGTAATCCGATACTATCACGAGCTCTCAATACCTGATAACTATTATTGATGGCATCACACGGCGAACTAAGAGCCGCGGTGTAATGTCCTGACTCGAAATTTGTCTGATTTGAATGTCCAAATTGTCATGTGTTTTCCTGTCTCGCTTGGCGGTAAGAACGCGCCGAGCGCGTCGTGACTGCCTCCACTAAAAATTCACCAGAAGTTGAAAGTACTTCGAAGTATTTCCATCACCCAGACATGCTGGAACTTCTTCGTAGAGACTGCGCTCCATAGAAGAAGAAGAGTCAAAAATCGAGCCACGATGAGCAACCCTTCCCTGCTCAAGCTTGTGGGTGAAAAATCTCTACCTCAGGCGGCCGACCCTTGTCTCATTTCATACTGCCCGTCCATGGACTTGGTTGCACTTGGCACAACAGATCAACAAGTTCTCATATATCGTCTGAACGGCCAAAGAGTATATGGGGCCGCGCAAAAGACAGGAAAGTTGAGGGTTGAGAGCATCAAATGGAAGCCGAACGGTGAGAAAGCCAACAGACCCCAAATATTGACTAATTTTATCAGGTCAGTTACTTGCAATTGCGTGGAACGATGGCTCCGTCCGACTTGTTGGAGCAGAAAGCACTAAAATTGTACATCAATTCTCCACAGGGGAGAACGTCTCTGGCATTACATGTATGGGGTGGGGTTCTAACATTACCGATAAAACGTCAAGCTCAAGAAAGGTCGCGACGTGGGAGGATGTTTTGAAGTCTGATTCTTTCATCTCAAAGGATACCATATCTTTGGATTTACCAAGAGATCTTTCTATGATCGATATTGAACGAAGTTTGCCTAAACTTAGTCTATTGCCTGCCGGGGGCACGTCGTATGTCTCTCGCCCCCGAGTCTTTGGGATGATTACTGATATAAATTAGGGATGATGTCTTCTGTTCTAGATCTTCGTTGGATGCTCTATTTCGCCCATTTGATCCCAAAGATAATAGAGCCGTCGATGTAATGGTTGTTGGGACTAAACATGGACTAGTTCATCTTACTATCTATGACTCGTTTTTCATCGGGTCCTTTTCCCTACCAACAACTTCTGAAGGGATATCACTCAATTTTGTTCGCCATAGTTCTCATCCCCAGAGTTCCACCCACTCATTACTACTCGAGAATGGTGATTCAAGAATCTTGTACGTGGCGGCGTTAGATTTGCGATTCATCTCCGCAACAAGTGACTACCTCTCGCTGTTGGCTTCACGTTCTACCGCTCTTCAAAACCTCTTAAGATACATCCATCAAGTACAAATCTTAATGGTTAATGAATGGAAGTCAACTCAAGAGCTCCCTGGAAGGTTTATACGTAACATCAATGAAACTCTGCAGGAGAAGGCTAAAGGGGACATTGTGCAGGGTCTGTATCACTCTGTTGCCACAGGCCATACATTTCCCGCAGTAAAAGAATGGTTAGTCGATGAGCTTCAAGAGAGAGTAAGTCGACATTATTTATTGTCATAATTACTGGGTTTAACGCACTTAGGGTCTAAAACGATGGGAGAAAGCCGTGTTCACTGGACTCGAAAATTTGCGCCGTTTGGTACATGAAAATATGTTGCCCGCGTTAGAGCGGTGTTCAATGATCCTGAGTCGCTTCTCAGGAATCGCCAAATTCCAAGGCACTAATGACACCGTTGGATTTTCCAGTAAAGATGTCGGCCGTATTATGGACACCGTTTCTTGTCTCCATCTTGTGGCTTCAAAGATTTTGATTCAGGTGGTCGACGAGATTGATCTCTTCTCGGCGTTCACTGCCTGGATGCGATACGAAATTGACAGACTCTCCGCTGACTCTAGCGTTCCAAAAGAGGACGAGCTGGAAAAAGAATCTTCCCTAGATCACAGCAAGGTATTGCTCTACATTCAAACTTGTATGACGACGAGCCCATTAGAAGTATATCTGGGAGAGAGCACGCCAGATGAGGCTAAAAACCCATGGGGCCAGTCGGAGAAAGGTGTTCGCATGTTCGAGCTACTTGACAAGCAACTCCATAAACAAGAACAGGGCATTCCATACATCAAATCACTACCTCGGGTCGAGCTTCTGTGTACGCACCTAACAGACCAAGCAAAAGAGGTATTTGGCCAGATAGCCAATGCCGAAAAGCGAAACGTTATATTTGGGACTCCTCAAGAAGTTGGATCCGGACATGATAAGTCCCTGCTTGACTTCTGTATGATTAGCAAGGTACGCGATCCAAAGACTCGATGTACTTGTCTCTAACGGTAGCGATAGCGACCGTCAGTATCTCAGGCCTACGTTGCCTTTGTCCCGACAGGGGCTCACGACTTAAGTAAGTCATTTAAACTACAATGCAATTATTCTTGACAGAACTAACCGTTCATAGTACAAGTTACTCGTGTCACTTATAGTCTTGAACGGGGACTCAGCACCATTAAAGACACGTCTTCGTCATTGCTCAAATTAACTGGCGGATCAATCCGAGATCTGAAATTACAATCTACCGGTCACCTGTTGATCCTGTGGGAGACAAACGGTATGTGCGTGCTATATGAAAGTAAGATAATCGAAACTAATAAGACTAGAAACCCACCACCTGTTGACTATTCCATTTGACGCACCTGCGGGGACAGTGAGTTCGGATAAAGGAACTTATAGTATGGAATACGTTCCGTACCGTCCCAAAGATGCGGCCCATAGTCCAGTTTCTTTCAATAATGAGGAAATTGAAAAGCGCTTCTCAATTCACAAGTTCACGGACGGTGGCCATTTTGTCCCTAGAAGCTTGGAGATCAGAGGGCTTAATCAGCTTGATCTTAACCTTCGACGCATCGTCGTTCTTAGCAAAGATAAACACCATTATCAAGTCTTCGCTTTTACCAGCATGAAAAGCGACGCAGCAGGAAACACGACTTCGGAAAATGAAGACGTGTCAATGTCCAATGACTCTTGACAGTCAAGAATCCGAGGTACAAGTTACATGGCCAGCTCGACGATATCGTCAACTTTGGAAATATCTTTACTTCTTCTTTAGCAGAAGTAAAGATCAGAGCCCGGTTTAGTTTCGGCCAAACGTATCACTATTTGATGCATGCGGGAAATCTATGCAGCTGAGATAACCGTAGAAAATGTAACGCTGCATGGAGGATCTGTACGAGGAATCTCGAACTTTGGTGCCATCGACATAAGTGGGGCTTCCCGATAGGTGCAAAAGCTTCACATTGGCGACCCACAAACCATTCCCATTACGGCGATTGAATTGCATCCACAGATAGGCCGGTTCGTGGTCTCGATCGGCGTTTGTTTCTAAGTGCCTTTACCCAACGGCGTATGCGATAAGCGCATGGTGCACGTAGAAAGACATCTTAGTTGTCGCTATCCTTTTGTGCTCCAATCAATCGTCTAACACACACTCAAATTCGGATCTTCTAAGCTTTATTAGCAACTGTTCTACCCACCCAATAGTCTGATGGAAGAAAAGAAACCTGAAATCTCGATGGCGTCGCGTAACTTCCATCACGGGCAAGGAATTGAAATGAAGGGGCCCTACGATTCATCCTCACAGGAATCGACAGCCAATCCAAACGTGGTTCTCCTCACGGACCCGAATGATTCTTCACATGGAGGGAATAGCAGTGATGAGGTTGATATGGCGAGACTGGGAAAAAAGCAAGAGTTCAAGGTCGGTGTGCCTATGACATCTCTAATTAATTTGCGGCTTGTCGCAAGCTTGGGACAATTGAAAAATGCTCGGACTAGGAAGAAGAAACTGACTAGTAGAAACCAATAGAGAAATTTCAATCTGCTCAGTACCTTGGGCTTCATCAGTATTTATATGGCAACTTGGGAATTCGTCTTAGTGTATTTCTGCCTTTTGATCTGTTCCACTTCTCCTAGAAAGAGCAAAGCTGACATCGTTACAGGTCATTAGGAGCTGGCTTATTGAATGGAGGCTTCGCGGGTCTATTTTGGGTATTTCTGGGTACTGTCATATGCTACAGCTCTCTTGTCGCAAGTCTTGCTGAAATGGCGAGCATGTAAGTGAATCGTCTAAACAAGGTGACAGCCCAGTGCTCACCAGCTCCAAGGTCACCAACTTCAGGTGGGCAATACCACTGGGTCTCTGAGTTCGCTCCTCCTCAGTACCAGAAGATCTGTTCATATGCCTCGGGATGGATGTCCACTCTTGGTTGGCTCGCCTCTGTTTCATCCTCTGTATTTGTGCTTGCGACGCTTATTCAAACACTCGTTGATGTAAAAGACAGCGATTTCTTGTTCCCAGCATGGCAATATACGCTCCTCATGTTGGCGTTTCTGATTATCACCATTTTCTTTAACACGTGGGGCGCCAAAGCATTGCCAATGATTGAGACAATTAGTTTATTCGGACATCTTGGGGGATTTTTTGTTACTATGATCGCGGTACTAGCTTTGGCTCCAAAGACTAGTGCCAAGGAGGTGTTTACTCACTTCGAAAATGGAAGTGGGTGGGGAAATATGGGGGCAAGCCTTCTCATTACGCAAGTCAGCGTTCTATATTGCAATTTGGGTGAGTCCCAACCACCTTCCGAGGATCTTAGTCGCTGTTTCTAATAGGCACCTAGGCTCCGATAGCGCGGTTCATATTGCCGAAGAAGTAGAAGACGCCTCCCGCAATGTGCCTCTGGCTATGTGGTGGTCCTTCGTGCTAAACGTCGTTATGGGTTTGGCTATGCTTCTAACGATGCTTTTCTGTATCGGACCACTTGACGTCGCCCTGGAAGCCGATGCACCATATCTCGTTCTATTCCAAAATACAGGCTCGGATGCTCTAACAACCTTCCTTCTAGTCGTCTTGCTTATCCTCATATTCTCGGGGAATATTACTGCCTTGGCCACGACGAGTAGAGAACTCTGGGCCTTCAGCAGAGACAAAGGGTTTCCATTCTCGAAATGGATTTCTAAGGTGAGTTGTTAACATTCGTAATAAGCGATGCAACGGGACTGAATAGAGTAGATGAACCACAAACGCCAAGTCCCTGACAATGCAGTCTATCTCACCTCCCTCCTCGCTGGCCTTCTCTGCCTGATAAACTTCGGCTCCAATCTCGCATTCAACATCATCATCTCGCTCACCCTACTCGCTCTACTATCAACTTACATGATATCCATTGGCTGCGTTCTCCTCCTTCGCCTCCAAGGTCGTCCTTTACCACACGCGCGATGGAGTCTTGGAAGATATGGTATACCGATCAACGCATTCGCATTTGCATACAGTGGGTTCTGCATTATTTGGTGCTGTTTCCCAGCTGAATTGCCTGTCACGCTGGAGACTGCTAATTGGGCGCCTGCTGTCTGGTTTGGTGTTATTTTGCTAGCGGTTGTGGTCTATTTTGCACATGGTAGGACGAGATATACGCCGCCGGTCGTTTTCGTAGAGGGTAGGAGAGAGGGCAGGGTTGGGTTGCAGCATGTTGATTAGAGATGGAGGTAAGTACTGTGTTTGTGATGGGTGTGATTGGAATTTTGTGGTGATGTTTGAATACTTGCTGATTTCTAAGCACCGAAGACAGTATCCAATAGCTTAACTATGAATTAAATCGGCATTTCCGATGGAGGGATAATACTGTTTCAGCGGATCTGCTAGCTAAGTAGACACCTCAATCGAATGGTGTATCAAAGTTTTCGGCATCTTTGTCACTTGGCTCTGTTCAACTCGCGACACAGATCAAGCTGAAACTTACTAACCTGAAAATTTCTGTAAACAGCTTCTGCGTGGTAGTCTTCCCCTAGTTCCGTCCCGTTCAGCGAAGCGGCCGATATCAGAAGTGGCTACTATCAAGGGACAGAACAACGCCAAGGCAGAATTTCAACGACCGCCTCTTTGCATGTCTCTGAGCATAGTCCTTCAAACTGCCGAATATCGGCGGTCAATCTCAAAGTCCGCATCCCCTATTATTCTCTTAATATCATGTACGGCTGTGATTATACATGTACTCGCTAACAAAAATCGGCCAAGTAAGACCGGCCTAACATTCTTTCCGAACAGTTTTTGAACGGCAATGACACATGAGTGTTAACCCTCTCGTCATAGAAGCCAGAGGAACGTAGAGGTTCGAATATGGTTGTTCGCTCTTGGTGGATAAACTGCGAAACTCGGTGATGATTTCCCATTTGGCAGACACAAGAATCCTAAATTTCATAGGGCTGGACATCTATTGACTGTTCCCCAATGACTATCCAATTACAGAGACAATGCTTGTCCTACGATATTGCCCGGAAAAGGAGATTAAATCTTCATGCAGCCTTACGGGTTAAATTTTAATCCTTCTGTTCTCTGGGTTGATGCTATTTATACGCTTATGGGTGATACAAGAATTCATGACTTGTTTTTTATAGCCTGTTTCGGCCCCTGAACGACGTCTCCAGTTAAGCATTTTAAAGAACCGTCAATGCTATCCTTGCGTCGCTCATCCAGTCGGTATGCAACGCCAAGGTTTCGATTGCCTAATACGGCGAAGTTCAACAGGTCTTTGAGGGGAAGCTGAGCCGCAGGTTCGGGATCTTTCCTCCACAACCAAGACAACGGAATATGCCCATATCGTAGTAAAACCTCACGTACCATGAACGCCGTTGGACTCGTACAACGGCAGCCAAGCGCGTGGTATTTACCGTATATCGAGTTGTCGTTCTTGATGAGTCGAAAAGTCACAGGTGTTTCGGGAGCGGGAAGGAGAATACGGCTGAGTGTCCGACGACATGCATCACATTAACGTCCCTCTTCGGGTTGAAAATCCACAGCCCCCATACGGGCTACGCATAGTCGTCGAAGGTTAGTGGCTGGATAGGTTTGAGCAAAGGATCACTGCTGACAGGAACTACAGCTCAAGGCTTCAAGCGAACCGCTCATGCCTAATGGTCGAGTCAAACGTGCGAGACGCCGTGGAGGTTTTCCTGGAGAGCCGCGTTTTCGTAGTCGCTTCATCGGGTGATACCTCTGTTATTGATCTTCTCGTTCTTCTAATGGCGCAGTTATTTTTCCTTTTGGTTTAAAAGTCTCTGAGGGCATAGCTATCACAACTCAGAATCAATTTCTGAGTTTGATATGTACGACGATCCGGAGTAGCTTTGGTTCCTGGTACCTTGCAGCAACGCTTCGTCTCGTCCCCATACTCACCCGCAGACTCGGACTTGATACTTCCCTATTTGAGAGTCACGGGCTAATCCTAAAGAATCATTGGGTCTTGCTCTAAGGCTGGAAAACACAAGCACATGGCTTGCATGGAGGAGACTATGTGGTTGCCAGGTTCCGTGACGAGGCTCCGGTGGCATTGGTTGAGGTGCGAACACTTCAGTTCCTAACCGCTAATAGTGAGTTCTGGATTTCAGGGAAAGGGTTCCCCTGAACTGACAACAAACATCCGTACCGAGTGTGGAAATTAAAGACTCTTTGGGGTTTGTATATAGCTTCATGTTTTTCTTGTGTCCCTTACCCTCTTTCACTCTCCATCTCATCCACGCTTTTCAAGCATAGTCACTCGTTCAGGATTCGTCCTAATTTTCACTCTTTTGCCCCTTACTTAATCTTCTACCTCATTAATCTCACCTCATTTCAATATGAAGTGGTCTTCGGCTTTCGCTGCCTTCTCGGCTATCGTCTCTTCGGCTCTTGCTGAAGATCTCCTCTTCCTCGATTCCCTCGTCGGTCGCGAGCAGGGAAATGCTGTCGATCTAGGATTTACCACCAAGGTGGTTACAGAAGCACAATTCCGAGCCTTGACCACTGCCGACTTTGCCTCGTTCAAAGCAATCATCTTTGGTGATGACTTTGGAGCAAGCAACCAAGCTCAACTGCAAGTTCTCATTGACACGAAGAACGTCTGGGGTCCGGCTGTGACTGGAAACATCATTATCCATGGTGAGATGTTCTGAATAGCTATTGCGGAAGGCTTTTACTAATCCAAGAGCAATATAGGTGCTGATCAATCCAACCACGCCAAAGATGTTTTGATCAACAACTCGATCAAGTTTGCTGCCTCTGGCAAATCCCTCAGTGGTGCTTCCAATACAGGTCTCTACTTCTCACTCTCTCAATACTATGACAACATCGCAGTGTCCAATGTCGACGCTCTTTCGTACTTCGGAACCTTCGAAGTTCGAGGCAAACTCTCCTGCTATGACAAGGTTCACATCGTCGCATCTTCCCCAGCAATCGATACCCTCACTGATGCCTATCTTTCCAACTGGGGCTGCTCTGTTCATGAAGCTTTCTCTGTCTACCCATCTGTTGGTATGAACGGTTTCCAGGCTATTGCCATCGCTGATGGTGTTGTCTTCCCTGGTACTCAAACATATGGTGACGGACACTCGGGTCTTCCATACATCATCACTCGTGGTGCTACTCCAGCCGGGTGTGGCGACGGGAAATGGGATACTGCTATCGGAGAGGAATGCGATGATGGAAACGTCGTTGATGGTGATGGATGCTCTAAATCTTGCAAGTGTGAAAGCGGTCTGCCAAAGGGTGATGGAACTTGCTATCTAAGCAACACCACCATTCCTATTCAACCATCTGGGCCAATCAAACCAACTGGATATACCAACAGCTCCAGCGCAGTGTAAGTCTTCCGTCGCGGCATAATTCTGAGTAAACCTAACGATATTGCAGTATTCCAGGTGGACCAACAACCACTCCTCCATACCCAGTGACGACTCCTCCACCACCATATGTCACCCCCGCGGTCCCAACTGTCTCCTGCATTGGTGTTGAAATTGTCGTCTCTGTGACCGTCACCGAACTCTGCTCCACCATTGCTCCAGGATCAACCGTTACCTCGACCATCACATCAGCATTGGCCACTTACCAAAAGCCAATCTACAATACCTACATCGCAACAGCACCATGTTACGTCTGCGCATTATCTTCCCAATCCATTGCCTACACCGCATTCATAACCGCAACCTCTACATACTGCCCTGCATGCGCAACACCACCGGCACCAGCGACAATCTACCCATGCGCAAACTGCCCTGGCACAACTCTCACAGCAGTCTGCCCTTGGGCCACAACCCCAGCCTTCAGCCAAGCAGCAGTCTACACTTCCTACTCGGCCATGAGCGAGATGCCAGCATGCACCACATGTCAATACACACCAACCGTCACCCCATCAATCGTGTACACCACACCTGCAGCAAAGAGCCCATTCTGCAGCTCCTGCGCCGCGACGACCAGCACATATGCCGGCGTCCAATACACGCCTACACCCTCCGGGCCAGTGCAATTCACTGGTGCTGCTTCCAAGAGCACCCCGGGCTCGATGATGGCTTTGATCGCTGTCTTCGGAGCTGGAGCCCTCGGCGCAGTGGCTTTGGTGTTGTAGGTTCGAGGCGCTTAAGTCCGACGTTTGAAAGTAATCAAATATAGTTACCCCATGTAGCTTTTTCTCTTTCGGCATCGGAGTAGCTGTACTTGCGCATACCCATATTGGACTTGCCTTTGCGTTTCCGTACTTTCGATGTGTATGGATGAATGACATTTTTGAGGTTGGATTAAAGGGAGTTTCTATTTCTGCTTTTGGATTTCCGTGGGGTTATAAGGGGGGATTTGTACGATTATTAACCTTATACTAAAACAAGAACGTAGATACGACGACTTCATGAATGAGAATATCATATGTTGTACCTACTACACCAATTCCCCAAGAAAAAGCAAACATTGACATCATTTTGAATTTGTCGAGAATAGAAATTGCTATGTTTCTTCAGAACGTGATACATGCCCGAAACGGAAAATGCACCCAACCAACTGCAGTTAGTAACAGGACGCACCCATACAATCCCCAGGAACTCGGGACCATGGCTTGTGCATCCTGTTACACAAACTCCTCACACCACCTATATTAGAGTAGGACATGGCATAATAGAGTTGGACATGCAAACAACAAGTTTAGGCTTCGGGCATAAAACGATGGCGTATAGGGACACGGCTACCGCACCCACAACCAATCGGAAAGACAACGCATATGCATGAGTTTTGCGAGAGGAAGACTATACGTACGGTCGTATATCACATATATTTCCCGCCCCATGAGTTTCCCATAACGGAAGTCGCTGTGCATCGACGATGTAAGAGACATATTAGGGGTGGGAGTTGTTGTGTTACCGAGTGCAAAGCAGGCATTTGCTATCCATGACTTCACGTCGGCATTTGTTCCTCATTGCAGTAAAATCGCTCGATCTGTGTGTATGAGGCTCAAGATGCCGAGAAAGGGATATGTTACGGCCTATCGCAGCACCGCATCTCTGCGAGGCAAGCGAGAGCGAGCCAGGCGAGGAGGCGGCTCGAGGGCGGCAAGGGGTGGAAGGAATGTATTCTTATTGACTGCCTTGAGTATCTGCTACCATGTGATTTAATACCGTTCTTCAATCAGACTATAAGACTGCTGTCATGCCGAGTATACTCTTGGTAAAGTTTGGGAATATTTGTGCCCAGCGTTTTGTATGCGATAGTCGTGTAACCGCACCACCACCTGACTGCATAAATCCGGGCGACCAACACATTGGAATTGAGGAGCTGCATGAAGAAGCTCTTGCTTTTTCTTCACTTTTCTTACCGGACTGCTTGCAAAAGGGGAAGGAAATACATCCCACCATTTACATCAACACTTGCCGCGACGAAGAATCATGATGGCTTCCTCGACCATGCTAGCACCACCCAGTCCAGTCACCCAGGCTCTATACCAAATCCCAGCTGCAGTCCACAGCCGAAAGAGCTGTCCCTTTCACGATGAAATATCACTCAAGTCATGCTCGGGATTGCAGAAGAAAGGAGGACCCTGTATCGTCAAAGCCGTCGAACGGATGAACGATGGGCTGCCCACCTGTAAGAGACATCGAGAGCAAGTCCGCATCGCAACTGTTTGCAATGCGCCTATGCCATGTGGTTTCCCTTGCGGAGCGTTGGTCGAGAAACGTCCTCACGCGTATCAACTATGCTATCGGCACTGGAGTTACGGGCCTTGCTACTTCTTGCAGCTTCCCTTGGAGTTGAGGTGTCGGATATATGATTTGTTGTTTCCAAATTCCCTGGTCTCAGCAAGGTTCCAGAACTTGCCTGGTGCTTCCGAGCGGACTTTCCCTTCCATCTTGAGGGCCAATCGCCAAATCCATAGCGAAGCTGCCTATACCCTCTATGGCCGGAGAACGTTTGTGATAGAAATCTCCAGGTTCACATTCACCATGTGTAACTCGTCGTCACGCCATGGATCTCAACCAAACCCGTTATATAACCCCACGGCCCATGTGATGGGTTTTCATAACGTTGGAAGCCATGCCTTACAGGACTATCAATTACAGCTCATGCTACTGGAACGGCAAAACAAAGTCAGGTTGATGATGGCGAGGCAGCAGCTGGGGGCATCATCCACCAATCCGCCTCCCATCTCTTCCACCTCATTCGAGAATCGTATGGTAAACTCGACTTTGCAATCGCCTATTCCGTACACTTTGGAATCTCATGGGCCAGCATGGATACCTCCACTTAGCTCAAATTATTTTAATATGATTCGCTCTTTTCGTGTCGTGCTGGAAGTGCCCATGGAAGGCAGTGCAGCCGCGGCTCGACGAGGTACGAACGTAAATGAACAAGAAGAAGAAGACAACAAAGAGTACGAAAGAATGATTTACGACTTTTGCGACCATATTCATCGCTTGATGGGAAGATTGCAATCTTCGTCGAGAAAAAGCTTAGAGCTGCTTGTCCAAATAAATGTCGCTCGACAATATGAGAGTCTGGAACTTGCGCAGAACCACCTTAGCCTTCTACTCAACACTTTCAAAGCTCTCGATGAACCTGTGCGTGTTGAACTAGGACGACTCGGCGAGAGCTTTTGCGGCCTCGCAGAAGAAGAGTTCTTGAAAAGTCTGGATCAGTACGAGCAAACTCCTAATGGCCGGACGGTAATGAGCGAATACTGGAAGCTTGAAAGGGTGATGGCTCGAGTATATGGGGAGTGTCCTCGTACTGTATTCCACCAGTTTAAAGATCTTCTCCACTCCGCGAGGGTTTGCAGGGAGCGCTATGATTCGGTTGGACTGACAGAGGTCTACCACACAGTCGTTGGATTATGGTCCGAGTATACAAGAAGCCAACAGTTGTTTCACAGTATTGTTGATCAAGAGTTTGCAGAGGTTCTCAAGAGGCATTGAGCTACAGAGCGAGTGCTGTCCTTTTGGCGTCACGGCTTTCGATTTGGGGTGGGAGTTTTGATTTCGTGTTTTGATGAATAATGAATGATGATAGCTTGGATAATATCTCTTTTTTCTTGTTAGCAAAGGGTGATCTAGCCGGGAGAAAGATTCTAGGGAGTATGTCGAGTATTTGGAAATGATGGAGGTGTGCAACCAGGCAGCCTGGTCCAGATCATATATCTTAATACGTACACCAGGTACTCGAGTAGCCGACTTGCGCACGAGAATGCTGCCTTTATAGTTTTCGAGAATTGATATAAGCAGCTTGAGATCTCAGAAAATGCATGAACAGATAGATGTATGTATGATCAAAAGAAAATGAAGTTTCTTGGTTTCGACGATCGTCCACTTGTTCTCGTCCCGCAAAGTGCATCCTGGGCTGCCAACAATCCGTGTCGAACGAGTCATCACCCCGCGAACCGGGAAGCAAGTTCGAAAAACATCGCATTTGACCCACCCAGACACACCGATTCTTGTGTTGGCATTCCTAGTGCAAATGTGTAGACCTTTACCAGATTTACAAGTATCAACAGCTTCATTGTTTGCTCCATATCGTTCGTGGGGTGCGCAGCAAACAGAATCTTCTCTTCTCATTCCATTGCCTGGGGAACCGATAAGCGACGATTGTTTACACCACCGACACAACGATCGATAGCGACATTGACGGCACCGATTTCCAACTACATTCCTTAGATCTTTGAGTATCTATAAACCGACATTCATTCCACGGCTATTTATCGATAGGGAATCTGCAGCAACAGCGTCATAACCACTGCGATACTTTCTCTCGGGGTTTTGGACAATAGATAGCTGCCCCTCGAGGGCCAGCGCATCAATCTATCGCCGGTATGGCTTCGACGGAAGGCCTTGCCCCAGCGGGGAGCAGTACATATTCTTCCAACACCTTATATGTTGGAGATGGGACCTGGGATTCATCGAGGAATAATTTCCTGCTGCCGAATCTTGTGGGGTTGAATTTTGACACTATGCGATATAATGGTAATGCTTTCCGTATCCATCTGTGATGGGATACTAACGAAGCTCGATAGGAATGGGGAATCGATTTAAAAATATGTCAGGATACTATAACTTGATACTAGGACACGCAATCCTCGCAGTCATAACCTTTCTCGTCATCGTCCCCTCCGCGATATTTATAGCCCGATTTCATAGAGGCACGAATGCACTGCGATGGCATATTTACTTGCAAATAATGACTGTGGCGCTTTCGACGGTGGTTCTTGTACTCGGATGGTTTGCAGTAGGACCGAACCGCAGTCTTACGAATCCTCATCACGGAATTGGTCTTGCTATTTATGTCCTGATCATGTTACAATGGCTCGGAGGGTCCTGGATATACACACGCAAGCCGAGGACACGAAAGAGACAATCTCTGAAACGATATCTACATCAATGGATTGGAAGGGCAACTGCTTTGTTAGCTATTGCGCAGGTTCCTCTTGGATTAACCCTTTATGGAAGTCCCCGCTGGACTTTCATACTATACGCTCTTTGGATGGCTTTCCTTGTTCTTCTTTATTTCATTTTATCCTATCGACGACTAGATTCACACACGGATCTTAGACGACAGAGTAGCCATGGCGGAACAGTCATTTCAGACAAGAAGTCAAGCCGATTTAAATTTTTGGGGCCATTGGCAGCTGGTGCGGGAGCGGCGGCTCTTCTTGGAAGAAGACGTCGAAGTAGGAGCAGGAGCAGAAGTAATAGTAGGACAAGGAGACATGAAGTAATACCGAGTCGACGAGGTAGCGATAGTTATGTGGACGAGAAGTTCGAAACTAGAAAACGAAAGGAAAGCGGAGGGTTCACAGATAAGCTCCTGAAAGGAGCTGCGCTGGTGGGAGCGGCAGGATTAGCAAAGAGTTTCTTCGACAGCCGCAAGAGAAAAAGCGCCGACGATGCATCTGACTATACCTCGGTAGCCCCAGATACTCCTTCAAGAAGACCGAGCCGACGACATCACCAAGAAAGTGTTATCAGCGATGAGAGTATGATGGAGCAAGGAAGAAGGCCAAGAACACCACTACTACCAGGTCCGGGTGATCCAGTTTTGGCTGCAGCGGCTATTAGTGCAGCTCAAGCTCCCACGACACCACGACCTGTCCGGCCGCATTCTGCCCGAAGATCTAGTTATGATAGTTATAGTACAGCTATCTACACCATCAGCGATTCTCCGTCGAGAATACCCCAAAAGTCTAGTGGAGCAGGGAAAGGGCTGCTAGCTGGTTTGGGTCTCGGGTGGTTTGGAAAAAAGATGGCAGATCGTAGAGCAAACAAAGAGCAAGCTCGGTTAGACAAGGAGGAGGATGCGCGATTAGAAGAGGAGAGACGGAGACGACAAAGCAGCTCACGCTTCACAGGAGACGGGTTTACAACACCTGTCCGAAAACAATATCGTCAGGGTGCGCATACGGACATGTCCTCAGACTTATCATCTATAATCCCACCTGATCCACATCAGGTGCGGCCAGGTGTTTCGAATATACCGCCAGTTCCCGTTGCTGTGAGCCAGTTCAGATCAAGACACGATATTACAGAGACAGTAGCAATGCCTCCCGCGCCGCCAGATCCACAAGGAATACTTCACCAGGAATCTGGAAGCGAAACCTACATGTCTCCAGGGGGCCATCCACATCGAAGGCCATCCGAACGAAGGCGAAGAGCAGGTGATAGAGCAGCCGCTGAAGCCGTAGCCGCAGCAGCAGGCCTAGCAGCGGAAGAGGAGAGAAGACGGCGGAGAAGCCAAAGCAGAGGAGGAGCAGGTGCCGTAGACTCACCACCCATAAGCGTCAAAGTCAAAGTCCACGGCGACAAAGACCGAAACGTCACGCTCCGCCGCCTCACCGAAGTCGAAGCAGCCGCCGAAAAAGAAGCTCAAAACGCCAAAGCGAGACGTACGAGAGCAGACAGTATGAGCAGTCTCAGCGGTAGCGACGTCCGCTCGTCTCGCCAACAACGATACCGTCGAAGCGAGCGCGCCGCTGAGCGGAGAGCGGAAAGTATAGCTCCTCCTCCACCGTTGGAACCTCCGAATCCGTCCTTCGCGGCCGGCAAGAGACCGAAGGATAGCGCGTATTATAGTGGAAGACCTGCCGAATCGCTGGGGACGAGTGTGGTGAGTCCTGATAGCCATGGGACGTGGAGCGAGATGAGTCCTTCGGGGGTGGGCAAACAGGGGAGTGAGAGTCATGAGGATAAGAGGAGGCGGAGGAGGTTAGAGCGCAATAGACAGGGTGCTGGGACGGGGAATACGGTTGATTTTACTTGAGCGTGAAGAGTTGTTTATTTTTGGATTTTGAGCGAAATGTGATACTGTGGATCTGGGATTGACGAGATGGTGTGATGACTTGATTTAGTGTTCTTGCATTGTGGGAGTTTTGGGGGTTGTATAATATGATGTGGTGTGATGTGAAAAGGGAAGGGAGGGTAGCATGGTTGTATATATGCTAGATTTGGAGGGTTTAATGATATCTTTACGTCTACTTCACCCGCTGTCTTCTCCTTCCCTTTTATCAGATTCTGCCAGTGAGATTCTGGAAATACCTCCGTGGTGCCACGTTTGACCTGGAAAAGTTGCGCTGGAGTGGGGAGTCAGTAATGTTGAGAGCGAGGAGTTGAAGATGTGAGGTTGGAGTAAATTAGTGAAGGTATGAATCTCCCTTGTTGATCTTCAGCGGAGCATTAGTTCTTGGTTAAAATACTCTCTTATATACAGGTGTCTAAAGAAGGATTTGGATATCTCCTCAGTTTATAAATGCGTGTTTGTAAATGTGGAAGATCTTCCTTGTATCGGTCGTTGAGTGGCACGTACACGAGCTGGTGGTGACAAATGACTAGGCTGTAGAATGTAGAGATTTTCATGCTGTTAGTTTGTATTCCATAACGACCGAGTATTAGTTGACGTTGGAAGTGAAGCTTTTCTTCGTCCTAGCTGGGCTGTTGATAGTGATGGATCAGAGATACATGGAGTTCATGGGTTCTGGCGTGTTCTGATCGGAATTGGGATAAAGGAATTTGGAGTGTAATTTTTGGTTCGTGTATTTGGAGGCCGAGAAATGTTTAATTTGGGGATATTTTGAAGTATGAATTTGAATACTTGTGTATGGTTTCCAGAGCAAGGAAAGGTTGACTTCACAGCATCTCATTAACTTACCAAATCCTTCAAAGGCAGTAGTGTAATAGATCCATGCCTCTTAGAACTTCCATTCATTCCTCCCTCCTAAAACAAACACTCGCAATAGTCTGTCCCTCCTCTCCTCCAAACCTAAACCTCCGATACGCAATCTCCCCCACAACTCCAAATCCCTCCCCCTCAAACCACCCCCTCAACTCCGCGGGCGTCCAATTACAACTCGTAACCAAGAACAGCCCGCCCCTCCTTACAAGCTCCATCACTCTTCCCTTATACCCTTCACACACCCTCCTTCCCTGCGCATCAACCTCGTCGCTAAGAGAAATAGCATCAAACGTGCCTTTATCAAGAACCACATCCCAACCCTCCGTTTGCTCGGCTTGAAGAATATCCTCAGGTGGCGAGCTAAGTATATCCCAATGCTGAAACGCAATATCCTTCTCATCCAACCCTTTCTGCTCCGCTAGTTTCCGCGCAAACTCCACGCTCTTGGCAGAGTAATCCACACCCAGCATCCTGCCCGTCCATTTCACTTCCTCCTCGTCCTCCTCATCCTCTCCTACTCCACGCAATCTAAAAAGCAGATGTCCATTGCCCGTCCCTAGGTCCAGAAAACTGCAATTCTCCGCCCCTGTTTCCGGGCCTAAGATCTGCTTATCCAAGATCTGTTCCGCGAGGAATGGGAGGATTTTATCTTCTGCGGCCGAATCGGCGAACCAGATTGTGCCTTCGTCGGTGGTGTCGAGGGTGTGGTTGTGGAGTTCGGTTGTGTAGAGGGTTTCCCAGCTGTGGTTGTGTGCGTGTTAGAGACTGGGATGGTTAATGAATGTGTGAGTGAGAGATTGGGTGGTGATGGGATGGCGGGGAGATGGAGGACGAAGATGGTTGTGAAGTGTATATTCGGCTGCCAGTTGAGCTTACTATTCTTTTGTGCCTAGAGGTGAGGGCTCTAGATGACTCGGTTTGTTAGCCATGTTGGAACTGTCTGGGTCTCTAAACAGGTCGTCAAACTGTTGTAGCATGGTGATGCTGTACTTGTACATCAAAATATTGAAGCAATGGCAGAAACATTGCCCCACTTTCTCGTTTTGGATTGACCGCCTCTACCCCCTTCTCGCTTCGACAGTCGGATTTGTATCAACGTCTTTGACGAACACTTCATGATATCAACGACTTCTGTTGTCTGTTTTAAGAATCATAGAAATTTATCATACTGCGGCTCTCCAAGTATCAGCACAAGTGTCTGATGCAATTGTCTTCTTTATTATCTCATAATCACTTTCTCTTGAAATATAATCGATAGGTATTCATGGTTCCATAATTTCACCAATGCCACGACCCTGATACTATCTTTAAATCGTGGTGCTCGACAGTCACAGAATTAGAGTTCCTTTCCTCCGGTAGACCCTTTGAAGTTCCTGCTAATAGTATATAACCCTCAGAAGCTTCCCAGGTCGATTTCTAAGTCAATTAGTTGCGAAACCTCGTGATGAGCAACGCATATTTGATGGCATCGATCTTGCTCCGTCGTGGGATGTCGTTCTAACATCAAGCTGCAAACTCAAATATACAGAATTTCGCCCACAGGCGTGAATGAATGCGAGAAATTGACATTTGACCTTCCCCTTCCACGACATGTCAACGTCAACCTACCATCTCAATTCGCCAAATCAGCACTTTCAGAGCTACTCATCAAGCGGTGATGCTCTCATATCAAACCAATCAAGTTAATAACGATAACCAACTAATATAGAGGGGAGGACGAGGCTTTATCATGCACTCTACCGCATACTCTATGTATCCCCACCTACAAGTACAATGATCAACCCAAATTCTCCGTTTAGGCTATTCAGTCGAACATGTGGAGAAACCGGGGAGAAAGCTTGTTACACCCAGGATAGGAGCTAGCATCTCCCGTTCAGTGATCTGCAATGAGGATGAATAATGATCGATTAAGCACTCGCTTATGGACAGAAAACATCGTCGGTGAGCTGATCGGTAAGAAGATATACTCGCGATCCCATGACAAGATGTAGATTTTCTTATGATTTAGCCAGAGACCGAATCTCAAAAGCAACGGCAATGAAAGCCTGTCATCAGCTAGCAGCATATTAGTGCTCTCGAGCAGTGATCTGTAATAAGGATGAATGATAGTTCATTCCAACTCGCTTACGTGTGATGAGCTTCACGGCAGTGCATTCGCAAGAGGACGTGCTGATGGGGGAGGTGGTGGGATAGAATATCTAATGCTCATGATTCTGCAATGATTTAGCCAAGCGCCGAATCCTAAATGCAACGACAACACGGTGTGGCATTGAGATAGCACCCGTCAGCACCCCACGAACATCTCATGCAGACCAACAGATACGATGATGTGGGAGAGGCTTGCATGATGTATGGTCGCTGCAAGTTAAGTCGGTATGTGTAAAGGATGTCAATAGAACCAAGACTTGAAGTTTGTTGGTAGAAAGCCGATGTGGAGGGGTGTCTTGTCCGTGAAAAATGGATTGCTTTCAGCTCAAGTAGGAATGCGTGAAGTCAAAGTGTGTCTAAGAAATGGGGCGAAATAATTGAACTCACGACGTCTTCTGAATGATCAGTTTATAAAGTGAACCTCCCCAGGGAGAGTGCTCTTCTCCATCTCGAAACTTCGAGGCTGGATCTTATGCAGTGCCTTGAGAGGACCGGCTTGAAAATAAAAGTTTCAAGATACAAAACGTCTCTTTGAGATCCTTTTATAGCAATTCTCAAACTCAGGACTGTTGATAGAAGAACATGAGGATATTCGGATTCTCGGCTGAACAAAGACCCGGCTGGCGTACGGACCGCGAACCCGAATTGACTGAATCCCATCGAATCAAGATATGACGATAACGGCTTTACAAGGCAACAGTGTGTAAAACAGTGTTGGCTGCTTCGTTCCCGATTCTGGTCGCTCGTGGAGTGGTTGAAACGTGGAATCAAGTGAGATGACCACTGGGATATCTCCATCTGATGTTTTTGACTACGATTTTCGGCACCGTTGCAACCTTCTGACGACAGCGTTCGCCTTGTCGCAGATTCCCGCATCAGCTGCGAGTCTGCGTCTTGATCCAAGATCCAATGTTGCATCTGAACTTTGTCAATTGTTCACGTTGTAAGTGATCTTAGGCCGAGCCGAGTGTTCCGATGATGTCTCCGCATCTCTCCACGATCCATTTTTATCTTTGCAGTGGGGTATGGAGTAAGTCGTGTTCAGCCCCATTGATTTGGAGTTTTGGGACTGTGGAGAAAAGAAGGGCCGACGAGCCTTATCTTCACTACACTTGATCGAGTTCCCGAGCTGTTGACGGCGAGGACATCATAATCCACTGTTTTGCAGAACGGACGGGTGTGTCGGTGAAGGGCGAAGCACACATCCCAATCCGAGCTGACCGCTGAAAAGAGAAATGACGGTTTCGATAGCAGGATAGATGAATAAGATACGAGGGCCGAAAGAACAATCGATTCCAGGGCTCGCATTATTAAGGGCCAACCGTCCGAGAACTTATCGATTGTCGATGCATGCTTTTTGATGAAACATAGCTGCCGAACTAAGATAGTTTATGCAAATGCGGGACAGAGAAATTCCATCAATTGAAACCCGCCGAGAGGTTTATGTCAAGTTGCGAGCCTTGACCTCGGAATCTGAAGTGTCGTTGCCAATCGGATGGACCGCCAAACCAACTTGTGGTTTGTTTGTATGATGCTATGAGGTGAAATGTATTTTGGGAACCGCACTTACTCGGAGTCTTGTTATCTCCCAGCGATAGGGTAACGAGATGCGCAAGGACTTGAAGGAGGATACTCGAGTATTGATGTCTTGTTTGATCTACCAACGCCGGCCGCTCATTCATGTGATCTCGGTGTTGTTCCCGCACTTGGATCGAGACGAGCTGAGCGACGGTCCCGCATCTTTCTTGCGCGTAGCTCAAGCTCCTCCCCCATGAGTCCATATATGTATTCCGTATTCCTTCCAGAAAAGGGCCTTTCGAGGTGTGAAGTCATCATTCTGGACTGCGGCGCAAACGATGGCCATGTCAGATCCGAATGAGGCTGCTGTTGGTGGCGTCAGGACACGCTGATTGAGTGGCCTCGCGCACGAATTGCACCCGAAGCCAGGTTTACTCAGTCTTCGGATCGTCGTTCCTTGGACTCTCTCATCGTGCCACCCCACGACCCTAATCGGCGGATCGTTGGATAAATGCAGTCGAGATGGGCGAGATGGGCGAGATGGGGACAGAGATGGGATAATAAGTTGATGCAGCCAGGGGGCCTGTTTGCCAGATGGAGTCAAACAGGCTGATCGCTTTTGACAGACGAGCGCGCCAGTTTCCTTTTTCTCCGCCATGTCGAACCCCCCATCCCAATTAAGCTGATATTCGCCTCGTTCGCGTCGACTCCACCTGTGATCAGCCAAGCAGATTAATTCTTATTTATGGCGAATCGGGTGAGGGAGGAGAGGCATGTTGTCGTCGCGGGCGTCTGAGGTTATTGGGCACTATCGCTGGGCGTTGGGTTAGAGATTCCCGAGAGTTGGTGAGAGGGGAGAGGGTGCGCCTTGCTTGATAATTGATGTTGGAGGGGAGAGAAGGTCTCTGCTTGGGACTGCACGTCGTAAGTAATGTGTCTGTGAGGGCCAGACTGCTGCCCGTAAATGGCGACATCCCGTGACGAATCCATGTATGTTTGGTAATCAATCTGTAATCAGCTGTAATCAGCTGTAATCAGATGTAATCAGTCTGTGATGTGGAGGTCGGATTGGTCTGATACCCATACCAGATCGCGGTGTTAAGTGGACCCGCCGTTTACCGTCGTCTGCCGTTTGTGGGAGTGGAGCCGAGGTGTTCTCCTTGGTACTCGTAGTCTGGTGGACCGTGACCACGATTCCGTACTCGTACTCGACCCTCCAGACTCCACCGCAGGCTCAAGCAGGCCGACATGCATTGCTGCAGACTGCAGACGGGTGTAACACTGCTCGCAAAAGGACTGGTAAAGGACTGGTAACATCCGGGAATATTTTATGACAGCCCAGCACGGCTCTGTCGGTCCTTCCACGCACAATTCTACAACGACGAACTCTTCAACGCACGCCTGCGACGCTTCACCCGCTCATCACCTTCTCCCCTCAGATCCCGTGCTCCCACTGCTCCCACTCACCCCCTTCGCCAGCTCGCGAGCACCACCGCGACCCTCCCGGCCCACGTCGTCTATTTCTCCGTGTCGTCTGATACGACAAGCGGCGGCAGTTCAGTGACAAGAGACTAACCAGTCGATCATCTGTACGAGTACCCCGTCGACACTTCTCTCTTCACACGAGAGACTAATCACTCTGGATGCCAATCTACAAACCCATCTCTGCCTGCCCCTCCTCCACTGGCACCCCCCCACGGTCTCTCATTTCTCCTTTTGTCGGGCCTCTCCCACTCTTTTGAGCCTCCTCGATCCTCGATATTCTCCGACCTCTTCAACTCTCCTCACCATTCAACATCACTTCCACACGCCACCAGGAAACACCAAGAACTGAACATTCAGGAGCTGTTCGACCTAGTATCTCATCTGGAAGTCACGCCCCGTCACCAAAACAGGTTGTGCCAATAGTAGACCGCCTGGTACGTACGGGATACACCCGAGTTCCGATCACAGCACCACCACCTAGCAGCGATGCATGCATGATTCCGAGTTTCTTTTATGTACGACTGCATCTGGCTTTTGGAGTTAAACAGGGCCCGGACTAGTATACCACGAACCAGTCAGCGGTGCGGTGACAATGTCACCTCGCGCTGATATCAACAATGAAAACCTCGCAAGTTTGGGCGTCTTTCTGGGTGTAGAGATGACCGCTAGCCCGAGGTTATCTGTGGAGGATCATTTCCAGCGTCGTGGTGAGAGATCAGATTCTGGATGGCCATTGGGAAATTGGTCAATGGCGTCCAAAGAACTCCCACAGATTCCACCGCAGGATGAGCCGCCTTCGTATGACGAGTTCTTGTCTACCAGTTTACGCCGCAAATTCAACATCCAGCCAAGAGAGGATGAAGGCCAAGAAATCTTACCGCCATATTCATGTGCTCTTTGTCTAGAAAATGTGTTCCTGAGGAAGACTGAATTACACGGTGCGATTCATAGAGCTCACGATAGAAATTGGTATCGAGAGGTCGTCAGCTTGCAAGGAACTGCTTTGACATTTTCCAAATACAAAGGCGGGAACGTATTCAAGGATGGAAAGAATGACATTCCTGTTGGAAACAAGAAAGGCGGTCTCTTGAGGAGCTACAACTTACAGCACGCCGAGGTTGGCGTTGCTGCCGATTACCTCAAGTATGTACACATGCCGTACCTTTCTTCTCCTACTAATATATACCAGGAAGCGATTCGTTATTCGTATCCGTGCCGAAGCAGATCAGTTCTTAATCGCCTGCAACACCATAGAGACATTCGTCCTATGGCTTCAATCTCTGTTTGCAGCAATCGACCTTGCCGCCCCACTTGATGATCGAGATCTTCCTCGAGATCTTTCCATTCCACGTCCTCGTCGTCGTCGAGCAGATCGAGCAGCGGATCGTACTGTCAATGAACTTCGTGAGCAGCAAGAACTTATCGCCAGAGACTATCCAAACTTAGCTACAGCATCGACGAGTAGCAGCAGTCTGGTAAGTGATTTGGATGACACAGAGAGTGTCGATGTTCAATTGGTCACTCCTGCTTTACTTAATATTCGACCACCTTCTCCGGCCCCATCCGAGCCAAGGGTTCGACCGAGTCTCCTTAGTGTTGCGTCAAGATCAAGATTATTTCAACAACACGGACCAGCGGTACCATACAATTCCACATCCAACTCCAGGGCCAACTCCAGATCGAACTCGGGCAATAGCTCATTCTCAAGGTCGGCCAATCCATCCCTTACTGAATCTGGAAAATGGAGACCTCAACATCAATGGACGCCGTTTTACGATATGTTGTACGCCAAGAGATGCATGGCCATCCTGACAAGTCGAAGCCCGAGGAAGAGTAATCTTGTAATTATTAAAGGGAAACGGTGGGTTGTCGATTGGAGTACTGGGCGACTCAAAGCGTGGAGACCAGGCATGGAAGATGGACTTCCGGATTATGATGAGAACGATTGGACTGAAGAGGAATGGATGATTGGGCAACTTGGAGAATTGATACCCATATGAGAGACGCACGGAGATGTCGTTAATGGATAGCTCACGAGCTGCTAATTATGCGACTTCCCGGATTTATCAAAGCTATCAGACCTAAAATCAACACACACCGAGATATATTATACACAATAATCACCAACGGCCTATCGAGACATCAGACAAAAACGGGAATAGGGGAATATACACCAGGAGTTTTCTAACTTACGAACGCCGGCCGGCCTTCTTATAGACGGGTATTGCAATGGGATGGAGTTTTATTATGTTTTATTTTTGAAATTCGGGGATTATTAGATGGGATGAATAAGCTACCCACGAAGAAACGTTCCGAGGAACAGGATCTTGGAGAGGCATTTTAGTCTTGCATTTGAAAACGAGCGTTTGCATTGGCATTTACATGTTTAGTTTTTGTAAGTTTAGATGAGATGAGCAGATGGGATGAAGTTGTGTTCGATACCTGGGAGGAAGGGAGGTGGGTTTTGAGGAGGAGAAAGAAGGAGGCAGTGTAGATGCAGATAGAAATTATATGTGGTCGCTGTACCAACTTCTTCTGTCAGTATTCCGAACTCGTGTGTGAATGATAGATGATGAACCCGAGTGAGTTCAACTCGATACTGAATGCTGATCTTGAGCCAACCCTCTACATGGCTGGGAAGCAAAAACGTGATGAAATCGGCTTGTGTCTCCGTAATCTCAGAAAGCGGATCCTCGATCTTGTGTAACTTTCACAACCTATCAGATAGAAGTGCTATGCGCACGCCCACGTGAGAATGGACTCTCCTCTCAACCTTGAAAACTAACAACATTTTACACCTCACATCCGACAATGTGACTACTCGCAATGCCAAAGCAAATACCATTAGCACAAACCAAGGCGCAAACAAGATGGATTTCGCTAAGGTTACGGCGAAACCCCTCTTGACATCCCAGCGATGGTATGATGGCTTTTGAATTGATTTCGATATATTCAGAGAGAAATATGAATTTGATCATCCCAAATGTGTCTCGGACAATTCCCACATTTTGCTCCTGACTAGCGAGCCGCTAGGGGGATTGAGGAATGCACTAGTTTCAGGGCTGAGCCGTGTACCTCGAACGACGACGTCATGACACCAATTATCTGGGGATATTATTGATCTGGTGTTTCCAGCTTCGCTCGTATCTCTAACGATGGGGAAAGAAACTCGAGTGATATACTGGTTCCGAACGGATCTTCGACTTCACGACTCCCCGGCTTTGAAGGCAGCACTAGATCTCCAACCTACTGCTTTTTGGCCCGTTTGGACATGGGACCCTCATTATGTGTATCGTGCGCGTGTAGGTGTTAATAGATGGCAATTTCTGTAATTATTTTACCCAAGTTATATGTATCTTGAAACGAATCATGGCTAATTCACCCAGTATTGACTCCTTGAATGATGTCTCGACATCCATAACCAAACTCAACAAGAAGTCCAAACTATTTCTTCTAAGAGAAGCGCCTCAGACGCTTTATCCTAAGCTGTTTAAAGCGTGGAAAGTTACCCATTTGGTGTTTGAGAAAGATACAGACGCGTATGCTCGAGATCGAGACGCTGCTGTCATTAAAGCCGCCAAAGAAGCAGGAGTGGAAGTCATTGTCAAATCTGGCAGGACGTTATGGGATAGTGATGAGCTAGTCAAAAAGAATGGAGGTAATGCAACTATGACCATCACTCAGGTGCAAACCGCTGGTCCAAAAGTTGGGCCTGTTCCTAGACCAATACCCGCTCCGAAATCGATACCAGATCCCGGAGAGCTTGAATTACATTTTGAACAAGAACAACCTACTTCCAAACCAGACTTTAATAGCGGTCCACGACGGCATGATGATAAATCCTACGAGAACATATCAGGGCCGAATGGAGATTTTGCAGTCCCATCTCTCGAGGAACTTGGTATGCAGCCAGCAACGACCAAACACAGAGGAGGAGAATCACTTGCTCTCAAAGCTCTATCAAAAATAATAGCGGACAAAAAATACACCGCCACATTCGAGAAACCCAAAACAGCACCCACAGATTTCGAACCTCAAGCAACCACTCTCCTCTCACCACACCTCCACTTCGGCAGTCTAAGCATCAGAGAATTCTACTGGCAAGTCCAAGACACCATCGCGTCCTACAAAGGTAAATCATCCGAACCACCAGTCTCCCTACTAGGCCAACTCTACTTTCGCGACATGTACTTTGGCGCTCAAGCAGCAGGAGGTTGGTATTACGCGCAAACCATAAACAACCCGCACTGTCGCTTCATTCCCTTTTCTCTCCCCGCCAAAATAGATCCAGACACCAAACTCATAACCGGCGAGTTCCAATCCACAGATTCACAAGCAGAAGAATGGTTCGTCCGCTGGAAATACGGCCTCACGGGATTCCCCTGGATCGACGCTCTGATGCGCCAACTCCGTCTCGAAGGTTGGATACATCATCTGGGTCGCCACGCTGTAGCTTGTTTCCTTACTCGCGGCGGTTGTTTTATCCACTGGGAGCGTGGCGCCGAAGTTTTCGAGGAATGGCTGATTGATCATGAAGTCGCTTCCAATGTAGGGAACTGGCAGTGGTTAAGCTGCACGGCGTTTTATTCTATGTACTATAGAATGTATTCACCCATCGCCTTCGGCCAGAAATGGGACCCCGAGGGTAAATTTGTTAGGAATTTCGTTCCGGAACTCAAGGATCTCGATAGGAAATATATTTACGAGCCTTGGAAAGCGCCGAAATCAGATCTCAAGAAAGCAGGCGTCTCGTTTTTGACAACGGATCAAATCTTAGATCAAGTCAACCGCTTCAAGGAAGGCCTGTCTAATCCTACGGCTGAGGACTCAAAACAATATCCACGGCCGATCTTCGATTTTCCGGAACGTAGAGCGTTTTGTCTGGATGCGATGAAGAAAGCATATCACATTAATCTCTATGGAAATGATCCAAAGGTTTTGGATGGGAGTTGGAAGGAATTGTTTGAGCAGAAGGAGGTTGCGAAGGCCGACGAGGGGAAGGTTAGTGCGGATGATAATGAGGCGGCGGAGGGGGGCGATGGGAATGCTGGAGCAAATGGGAAGAGGAAGAGGGGGAAGGAGAAGGGACAGGGGACGCTGGATGGGATGGTTAAGAGGAGTAAGAAGTAGGGATTGTTTGCTTGGAGGATCGATGGGAAATGATACCAAGAGATGAGTGAAGAAGAAGAAGAGGGTAGATCGGTTCGTAGGTTTTGTTGCATATCGCAATAAACTCCGACCAAAATCCTCTGGCCAAATTCCTCTGACCAAATTCTCCTGACCAAAATGTCCCGGCCAATTTGCCAAATGTGACAGACCAAAAGGTTGAATCAAGAAGTTTTGTTGCACGTCGCAAGTAAGAAGCAACACAAAAGTGCCATAAGATCGTGCTCTACGAAGATACAAGCTTCACTTCCCTCGATACTCATCTCAATTCCAAAGCTTGCACCTTTTTATGCCTTCTCACGTTTTGTTGCATGTCGCAAAAACTCCCATTCAACCTTTTGATCTCGGTTAACTTATGGATTTGAGTTGGACATCAGATGAGTGGCTCTTGTCGAGCTCAGATATCGTGCTATGTCTGTCGCTTTCTAAGAGTGAATATTCATTTCTGATTTTCATTTTCGGTTTTGTTGCACGTCGCAAATTTCACATTCAACTTTTTGAACTCGATTACTTTATACTAAGGACGACATATCAGATGAGAAGCGCCATACTTGATACTTTCATTATTATTCTTAACGTTTTCAAGTGAATGCTTCTTACCCAATGTTCCTCTTGATTTGTTGCATGTCGCAAGGCTTGTTTTTAGCCCTTTTGATCTCGTTTACTTATATTTCGATACCACTCTCAGACACTCCCAAGTGAATGCAAGCCTTGTTAACCAATTTCCCTCTCGGTTTTGTTGCATGTCGCAAAACTCACGTTCATCCTCTGCAGCTTGTTAACTCAGAACTGTGCTGCCTTCATTAGAGCCAGAAATCAGATGAAATAACACCCGATGAGTTTTTGTTGCATGTCGCAAAACTTATATTCATGCTTAGCATCATGTTAACTCACAACCGAGAGTCCCTCAGTACGAGCTTGACATCAGATGAGATGTTCTACTACGTTCATATTCGAAGAGTTTTGTTGCATGTCGCAAAATTCATGTTCATTCTTTCAGTTTTGGTACTTTTCACCGTCACCTAGATATCAGATGAAATCCCCCCCTGAGATTATGTGATGGCTAACATCGAATTAGTAGGAAGAGTACATATCCTTAATCGCACAGAGATTATGTCCTAAATACGAATCTACTTCAAGTCACGTTTTACGAACAGCTGAGTCGTCAATACTTGAACTTACACAACCCCATTAAATGAGCTCTATTCACTGTGGAAGACCGCATAGCTAGGCCTTCTCTTTGAGTTTTTTTTTTGTTGCAAGTCGCAAAATTTATGATCAAGCTGTCGGTCTCGGTTCTTTTGGACTGTTGCTGGCTATCAGATGAGATGATATTTGCTTGCTAGATTTTGTTGCATGTCGCAGAATTCATGTTCATTCTTTGGGTTTCAGTAATTCTTGAGTGCGAGCCAGGTATCAGATGAGATGAAGTATAGATTTCCTTCTAACCTGTTTGTTTTGTTGCACATCGCAAAAGTTATATTCAGCGATTTAGTTATATTAACTCATATGTATGTATAAGTCGAGATCAGATGGAACAACGCATAAATTAGACCTTTTGTTGCAGGTCGCAAAATTTGTATTCAACGGTTTAGTTATAATAACCCATAGTGGCTCACAACCATAGGCTACACATCAGATGAGATGATATGTAGGCAAACTTTTTACCTCCTTTTGTTGCATATCGCAAAATTCAGATTCCATCGTTGCGTCTCGGTAACTCATAGCCATATACCAGACATCAGATGAGATGATGTGCAGATTTTCTTCCCATGTTTTGTTGCATGTCGCGAAATCCAGGTTCAATCATCAGTTCTCGGTAACCCGAAAATCATGAGCTAGACATCAGATGAGACGACAGATAGACTACCACTCGTCCGCGTTTTGTTGCATGTCGCGAAACCCAGGCTCAATCATCAAGTCTCGCTAACTTTGAGGCTTGAGCTAGATATCAGACGAAAGCATATATCGGTTGGCCGTCTATTGCGACCATCTATGCTCACTACAACGAATGTGAACTGAAAATCGCGAATCACTCTCGCTGTGACAGACACATTCATTTAGGTATAGCTTCAACATTCAATCCATCTACTAACGCCGACTTCGTATCATATGCTACACACCCATAGTAAAACAGAATGCGGCGACCCTTCTATTGCGGACCAGATACATAACCCATCTAAATCCCCATAACAAAAATAATGCTAACGCCGTTCACCATCCATGTTATACCATTTTATCTCCCCCAAAGGTCATACAGGCCAGAATCCTCAGTCTTTGCCATTTAATCATCCCATTCCTCATCCAATTGGTCAATTAGCCTATTCTCATCCTCGGGACCATGACCTCTCCCCGGTGATCGGTCATTCGCAGAGATCGACAGCGAACTGTACCCGCGATGAGTTGGGAGACAACTTGAACATGATGATGTTGCTATGATAAACATATCCTGCGTTGGTTGTTAGCTTATATTTCGGAAGAAATGTAGTCAGATATATAAAGAGGATCGGAATGTAGAAAAGAGGTAAATTTCTCAGAAGGCTCCCAATGCTATGCTGTGATATACAAAGTACTACACTATTTTGTGACTGCGCCGAGTCGTGTGTGATAAACATATGGAATGTATACAATTGTAACTTGGTCCCATGTCGAGTTTTGTGACTTTTCCTTCCAGCTATGCGTTTGATAACAAATGAAAACGATAAGAGAGGGGCTCAAGAAAGATGTGTAGAGTCCCAGGAATTCCTCGACATGTAGCCCCTATGGGTCTTCCTCGGCGCCATGAGCGGTCGCACTTCCATGGTTGGTAAAATGCCCTCCCTAACGCTCGCAATTCGGGGAAATACTCTCTGCTTCGCCCGCAAGACACAAGTAAACCAGCTTACCTTGATAAAACTTCCAATTCCTGCCCACATGCTGTAATTGGGCAGTTGTCTCCATCCTCTTGCGTGTGATACGTTGCGTTGATAGAATACACCACCTAGGAAGTAGACTAGAATAGCAATAACCCCAATAATGGCAAAGACCGCCCCAGGTCCAACGCCTTTCGCGGCAGGAGCCGAACCGATACAAGCGTCTTTTGAAAGAACTTCGAAGCTATAGGCGCATTCATCTGGGTCGACACCAACGAATGATACGGAAGGGGCGCTGGCCAGAGGATCTTTATCACAGTGGAATGAGATTATGGTTGATTTTCTTCCTGACCCTTCTTTCTTCCCTTTCTTCTTGTCATCGTCGTCATCGTCTGATCTAAAATCTCGTTTCGAACTTTGTCCGCATGGCGAACCGTTTGTGTATTGTAGAACTAATCGTTTTCCGCGTATCGTGAGGTTTGATGACTGTTGGCTTCTCTATATCAGCACTGGCGGACCAGATTCGTATACAGAATAACTCACCCTATTGAGAATTTCTCGTCTCCCTTCTCGTAAAAGGCACTCGCATTGTGTGACAGCTTCTTCGAGATCCCCACCAAGTCGTCCTGCTTTCCCAACAGAGGCGCGCATATATTTAATGTGAAGTTATATGGGATGTCATATCCCCTTGCGTGGTAGTCTTCCGTTCGATCGGTCTTTTTAGGCTTCTTTCCTTCTGGTACTGGTAATACAGAGAGTGTTCTGAGATCATAAAAAGCCCCGCTCGAAGACTGTACAGTACATGGTTCCACGACTTTGTCGTCCGCAGCAGAAGTCAACCCGCTATGTAATGCAAGAGCGACGAGTATTGAGCTTGGAAGTAATGGGAAATGCATGGTGGAGGATCGGTATCGGGGAAATGATGACGCAGCGCCTTCGAGGCGCAAAGTTCGACGGTTGGATTTGCAATATTGTCGGTTGTTCGGATGACTATGATGGCAGATTTTCAATTGTAGCTTGTGGGACGTAAGAAAAGATGTGAAGTTTGTTGTAGGCGGCTTGAAGAGTTTCGTCGTAGCCACTTCTCACCAAGGTGACAGATCTCCAATCCCTGTAGGAGGATCCCGAGGTCAGTCAGGTACCAACACGTGACATGAACTTATGGTATCGAGTTTTGGAAGCTGTTCAGTATGTCAAAATATTGTATATGTCGTGTTTTGACGAGGATGGTCGGACCACTTTACATGCCATCTAATATTGTAAGTTTCATTGATCGTGTTGGTCGATAACCTTGGAATATGTCTTTCGAGATGATACTGAAATAGAAGATTGAGTCCCAAATGATACGACTATTCGCTACTCCTAATTTACATAAATCTCAAAGGGCGTTTAAGTTGAGTTGTGTTATTCACTGTTCAATTGATACAGAAACGTCTATCTATAGCAGTAATACACTCTGAATTATTATTCAAGTGAAGAAAACATGCAGAGAGTCCAACTATATCCCGAATACGAGTGGTAGCCTTGTACGACACTACTCCTTGCTCAATGCAGCCACTCACACGCAATGGCGCATGCATCCCGTCCAGATCAGATCTCTCAACATCATCGACAGGGGTGTGACAGCGGGAATTTGTGAAGCCGGAAAGCAGAACTGGTTCCATTTCAGCTGGACAACCACTGGAGGATTCGATTCTTTGAGGATATATTCTCGTTGATGGGCGTAACTCGTCACATTCTCTTCAAACACATTGTAATTCCATTTGTTTTCTCGGGATGTCTCCAAAAGGATCCAAGGGGGTGGTAGCTTCTCCTCACGAAGCTCATGGCTACGAATTCCTGGGACCGTAAGTTATCGCCCCTCTCTGGTATATGCCTCATTTGTAGCTAACAAGCTGCAGTCCAGGCGCTTTTGCCATATCTTTCGGTCTGCCAATAGCTTGCTATGCTGCGACTTTCCTCTGCAACGATATTTCAGGATGTCCTGTCCCATCAGCACTCTCTCCGTCGACCTTGACCGTTGAAAACCTCAAGCGCGATGTAGGATGGCCTGCGAACGGTATAATGGGATTGGCAAGCTGGGACGCAACTTTGAAGACGTTGGGATACTATGCGTTGTCACTTGTGCTCCATCGTGTGCTACCGGGTGAGGAGGTTGAAGGTGTTGAGCTTTCATCTGGGGGAAGGCTGAAGTATAAGTTCAACAGTATGTGGAAATCAGGTCCTACGTCTAAGTCAATACTAATGTATTACAGCTTGGTGGTCCTCATTGACTACTTTCGCTATTCTTGCAGCTGGTACCGCAGCTCAAGGGGCAGACTTTCCCGTCTGGACATACATTTACGACAACTACCTCCAAATCCTCACAGCAAACATCTTGATCGCCTATGGACTCGCAACATATGTTTACATTAAGAGTTTCAGTGTCAAGCCAGGAAATGTTGAACGCAGAGAGCTCGCGATGGGAGGACAATCTGGGAACATGTTATACGACTGGTTCATTGGCCGAGAACTTAATCCGCGTGTGACTTTACCCATCTTCGGCGAAATTGACATCAAAGAATGGTGCGAACTACGTCCCGGCATGATGGGATGGATCATCTTGAATTTCACATTCATGGCACATCAATACAAGGCATATGGAGTGATTACTGACAGCATCTTTCTGGTGACGGCATTCCAGACACTGTACGTTTTCGACGCATGGTGGATGGAGTCCGCAATCCTCACCACCATGGACATAACCACCGATGGTTTCGGCTTCATGTTGGCATTTGGCGATCTCGTCTGGGTCCCATTCATCTACTCGATCCAGGCACGTTATCTAGCAGTCTACCCACACTCCCTCGGTCTCTTTGGCTGCGCACAAGTCTTCGCCGTCCTAGGCACAGGATACTACATCTTCCGTAGCGCCAACAACGAGAAGAACCGTTTCCGAACCAACCCCAAAGACCCACGCGTCGCACATCTCAAATACATCGAGACGAAATCCGGCTCCAAGCTCCTGACATCTGGATGGTGGGGAACCGCCAGACATATAAACTACACCGGCGACTGGATCCAAGCATGGGCTTATTGCATGCCAACTGGCATCGCCGGCTATCTCATCCAGCACTCCTCCATCGCTCCTACCGCCGGGCAATCGCTCGTCGATAAATCATTCGTCTACAACGGCCCAGTTGCATACTCAGAAGTCACTCAAGGCTCAGCTAGGGGATGGGGCATGATGTTTACTTATTTTTATCTTGTATACTTTGCCATCTTGCTCGTTCATCGCGAGAGGAGAGATGAGGAGAAGTGTATCAGGAAATATGGGGATGATTGGAAGAAGTATACCGAGGCGGTTCCGTATAGGATGATTCCTGGTATTTACTAAGTCACGACTTAGTAGTGCGTTGGGCGAGGCGAACAGGTTGGCTGCGCAGCATACGATGGGGTTATTGCATCTTTCACACTTATTGCTTTTGCTAGCGAATTTACTGATTGTAATATTATCAATTCTACAACTTTCTCTCAGTCACTCATTCAGCTCTTCTTCCCTTCAAATCCACATCACTCAACACTGACCTTTCACCACCTAAAGTTCACCCCTCGTGTAAGCCACAACAGTCTTTGTCCTCCCAAACCCACGCTCATGATTGGACATCCCCAAAAATGCGGGGTAGCTCCCCCCTCCGTCTTCCCCCTTCACATTACGGGTGAACAGCTGGGGAATGCGGGGTATACAACTTGAACCTCGAGCTGACGACCTCGAAGTTCTTGAGAATTGACTTTTATTTAATCTCTGAAATTGATGTTGTGATAAACTTCTAGTCACAGTAGCGAAAACTGCCAAGTACAACAACACTAGAGAAAGAGAGACAAGATGGCGCCCAAGAAACAAACATACTATACCTACTCCTCCGGTATCCCGTCCAAGAATTTGCATCTGGGAAACCTGACGCATAACTTCCGGGATCCGGGTTCGTTGGAGCCTTTTGTTTTTGATGGGTTTGTTGAGTTAGTGTTTCTCCTTTCCTCGTCCTTACCTTTCAGTGGTTTCAATATTATAGAAAGCCATTGAGTCCCAATATTGACAATTAATCCAGTCCCTCAGACGATCCCCCAGAATGGGCACAAGTAGCAAGTCTAGAGAATTACGCCATGACGCTAGGAAAGGGAGAAGGAAAAGAAGAACGATATAAAGTCGTCGCTGCGGCGAAGACTACGAGGATGGAGATCATTGAGTTAGTCCCCCATCCCTCTCACAATCCTCGCTAACACCAATTAGCAGTGAAGAATTCTTCACCTCTACCCTCCTTCCTAACCCTCAAGCCAAGTCCTGGCTCAAATCCCGCATCTCAGCCTCTCAATCGCTGCCCGACAAACCGGTCGAGGTATGGATGCTCACAGGACTCATCCTCATGACACACGCGACGTGGACACTTCTCTCGGCCCCGAACCCAGAAGACGCGAAGAGATTCACGCCTGGGCTGGCCTCGCCGTTTGATCCCGCGGCGGTGGAGAGTCTGCGTAGGTTGAGCGTGAGTGAGGGTGTGAAGCCGACGTTTGGATTTCGGGCGGAGAAGGAGGAGGGACAGAAGATTGCTGGTGTGAAGGTTGTTGAGACGGGGAAGTTTCCGGGGGTGAGGGCTTGGGCTGGACGGTGGGAGCGGGTTGCTTGGGATGAAGGGGTGAGGTTGCAAAAGGGGGTTTATGCTGAGAATGGTGAGGGAGAGGAGGATTTTGATGATGATGAGAAGTTTTGGGATGGGTTCTTAGAGAAGGCTGACGAGTTAACGAAGTGATTGAGGGTGATGATGATATTTGGCGAATAATTGGGGATGAGTGATGATATTGTGCGAGGATTGTGTAGTTGGTCTGTTGGGAGACTATGATGTTGTCCAACAGAGGATTGGTCGTCAGTTGAACTTGTGATTCTGATTCAGTCAGTTGATTTGAATAGCAGCGCTTACCGTCTTCTTGTAAATCTAGCTCGCTAGCATCATTCAGATATTAATTTCTTCGCCTTGCTACTACTCGTAAAATGGTCAGAGAGTCTCTGTCAGGACGCCAATAAGGTATGTCGAAAGAGTTTCAGATCGTTCAAGTTGTTCAGTTCAGCACTGGAAACGGTCTTTGTTACAATAATCATGAAGATGTCATAGCAGAGCTGACTGAGTGCGAGATTCGGTCATATTTACTCTGCTGAACGGCCAAGAAGGCTTAGCTTTCGGAATACCGATGCTACAGCAAAACAGGCGAGGCTTATAATGCAATACCGAGTAGTCGTACTTACTTGTGTTTCAGATCTCGAGATCCAACTAATGCCTACTCCTGCTACTGTGAGTTGCCTCTTGACGTTGTAAGCTTAAGCGGGTCTAATGACATAGACCAAGCTCCAAGAAGTGTTTAGAACAGCTGGAACTGACAATAATAGAAGTTGCCCGACCCATTTTGTGGCAGCTAGGCTAGCCGTGCCGAACGTTGCGCCTAGTACGATTTCCTAGTGTAGCCCGCTTTCAGACTGGGACTAAACGTCCTAGAGTTGTACTTTGAAGTAGTCGTCAGATGGCGGTGGAGTGGCTAAGAATGGAGGGGTAGTAAAGTTTTTTTTTTTGGAAGGATCTCGATAAAGTCCCTGAGGGGTGTTGTGCAAAAGAATATCTCGACTGTCTTCCACAACCATACTGGGTCTCCTACCACAATATCTTCTGTAATGAAGTATTGATAATCAGCAATATATCCAGCCGATGGGCAGTTTTCGGGACTTCTTTCGGGAAGCCTTGCAAATATCATCATCGAATCTTGTTTCTTTGCATCTGCTCCAGTGGCGAGGCAACAAACACCTTGGCCAGACCTAGAGCTTTTTCCTGTCTTGTTCAACTCTCAACCCCCACCATCCACAAACCCACATCTCCACAGAGTCCGGGCCTCCACACCTTTACAGTATCCGCTCCATCCGAAGTTCATCCAGCTTCCCTTGCTGTCTGGGGCGTGTGCGGCTCGAAAGGCGAGAGGTGCAGGACATGGTCGTAGAGCTAGCGAAGTCATATGTCATATGGCAGCTATAGTAGGGCCCGGGATGGTGGATTCGTAAGTGTTTGGTGGCTCATGAGCTCTGGGGAGTGAGAATTTCGGGTTTGTCAAGGCGGGGAAGGTTTCGAGGACGAATCTTTGGCTGGGCCTGGTCAGCCAAGTGCAATTGGTTGAGGTGGGCGAGCTGTAGCTTGAGCGTGGCAATATCATTGAAAAAATGAAGCTTTGGACGAGCTCAAGAAGAAGAAGAAATTATTTGAAAAGACGATGGCAATTGACAGCCGTGGTCTTGGCAAGGATCGGGCCCGACCACCCCGGGCCCGGCTCCGATTTGCTCAAGCTTCTGGGGGAAGAATCGAGAAATATAATTTCTCCGCAAAGGAACTCCACCTCCACCTCCACCATGACATCCGTGACTGAGGGCAACCTGCTCGAATACCGCCGAGAACAGCATCAGCAACGGCTAGCTCTGGTGCATTTCCAGATTCAGGATACCCGACCGTCAGCATGAGTTGCTGAGTGGTTCAGACACACGCGTTGCATGTCAGTCCACCAGGATGGAAGAGGGAATGACGCCAGACGATCCCATGCGGATACTCGTATACTACACTGCTGCACGTTCTGAGAGCCGCGGAGCCGCTACGTAAATGCTAGTCACTTCGACCAGGTTGATTTTGCTGTAAATGTCGATCTTCGACTGGTAAAGAAAGGGTTTGGGCAGCTTTGGCGGAGAGATCACCGGATGTTGAGAATTCCATAGCGCCTGGGTGGTGGTTTACTAATATATAAAGTCTTCGCAATGCCGCATTAAAATTCAAGAAATAGTCGTGCTCTATTTGTTTAGAGTTGATAACTTCTGCATCATATTGAAGTGAACTGAACTTCATCCGCCAAAATGATGTTCCAGTCGGTCGCTGTTGCTCTGCTGGCAACGACGGAATTTGCTTTCGCCTCGCGATTAGGCCCACGTCAACTCAACAACAATGTAAGACTCCCTTCACCTCCACTGCAACTACAACATTGTTCAATTTTGCTTCACCGCCACTCAAATTCTTAATTCAGACTTTTGATTGTCATAAACAATTTTGAGAGTCTCATCATCCTCAACTGCAGCCACAACCAAAATAATAGCACACACCGTTCCTCCCAAAATGCAGGGTCTACTGGAGCTTTTTGCTCTGGTCGGCCAGATGACAGGCTTGAATAGGGAATCACTGACTTCAGACCAGACTACGCCATCTAATGCGAGTCTTGCCTACTCTCCACCATTCTATCCATCACCATGGATGACGGGAACTGGCGATTGGGCCGAGGCTTACCAGCAAGCAAGAGACTTTGTTTCTCAGCTGACTCTACTTGAGAAAGTCAACCTTACCACTGGTATGTTTCCAAACCCGTTAATATTGAGATGTTCCAACCCCGCAATTCGTTTCCGAGTGTCACAGGAAATTTTCAAGAATCTTCACTAATAAACTACAGGTGTCGGATGGGAAGGCGAGCAATGCGTTGGAAACGTTGGTAGCGTTCCACGTCTTGGACTTCGCTCTCTTTGCATGCAAGATTCTCCTGTCGGAGTTCGATTTGCCGATTACAGCAGTGTCTTCTCCTCTGGCCAGACTGTTGCAGCCACTTTTGACCGTGGTCTCATGTATGCACGTGGTTACGCAATGGGATCTGAATTCAAGGATAAGGGAGTCTCTGTCATGTTGGGCCCTGTTGCTGGTCCAATCGGCCGTTCCCCAGCTGGTGGTCGAAACTGGGAAGGATTCTCTCCTGACCCATATCTCACTGGTGTTGGGATGGCCGAGTCCGTTAGAGGTATTCAAGATGCTGGTGTTATTGCTTGTGCTAAGCATTTTATCGCCAACGAGCAAGAACACTTCCGTCAAGCTCCAGAAGCTATCGGATATGGTTTCAACATCACCGAATCCATCTCTGAGAATGTGGATGATGTTACTATGCACGAGCTTTACTTGTGGCCTTTTGCCGATGCTGTCAAAGCTGGTGTTGGTTCCATAATGTGCTCTTACAACCAAATCAACAACAGCTATGGATGCCAAAACTCGAAATTGTTGAACAATGTTCTCAAGGATGAGCTTGGATTCCAAGGATTCGTCATGAGCGACTGGCAAGCACAACACACTGGTGCCGCATCCGCCAACGCAGGTCTCGACATGACCATGCCTGGAGATACCTCATTCAACACCGGTTACAGTTATTGGGGCTCCAACTTGACTTTGGCCGTTCTCAACGGAACTGTCGCACCTGCTCGTCTCGATGATATGGTTATGCGTATCATGACACCTTACTTTTACGTCGGCTTGACCTTGGACGAGCCAGAGATCAACTTCAGCTCATGGACAAAGGATACAATTGGACCATTGCACGCTTCAGTCGGCGCAGATATCCAACAAATTAACTATCATGTCGACGTTCGTCGTGATCACGGTGCTTTGATCAGAAACATTGGCGCGCGAGCTACTGTCCTGTTGAAGAACACCAACAACACTCTTCCATTGGACAGACCAAAGTTTGTGGCCGTTATTGGTGAAGACGCTGGACCAAACCCATGGGGACCCAACGGATGCGCTGATCGTGGTTGTGACAACGGTACTCTTGCTGCAGCTTGGGGATCTGGAAGTGCAGACTTCACATACCTAGTCACTCCCGACTCTGCTCTACAAGCACAAGCGCTACAGGATGGCTCTCGATATGAGAGTATCTTGGACAACTACGCTACATCGCAGATTTCGGCCCTTGTTTCTCAAGCAAATGCTACCACTATCGTCTTCGTCAATGCTGACTCCGGAGAAGGATATATCAGCGTCGACGGAAACGAAGGAGACCGCAACAACCTCACTCTTTGGCACTCTGGTGACGCACTTATCCAAAATGTTTCTGCTCTATGTCCAAACACCATTGTGGTCATCCACTCTACCGGTCCAACTTTGGTCGGTGATTGGTACGACAACGAGAACATTACTGCCATTCTCTGGGCTGGTCTTCCCGGCCAAGAGAGCGGAAACTCAATCACGGATGTATTATACGGCAAAGTGAACCCAGCTGCAAGAACTCCTTTCACTTGGGCACCAACCCGGGAGAGCTACGGTGCTGATATCCTTTACGAGCCAAACAACGGCGAGGGCGCTCCTCAGAACAACTTCACAGAGGGTATCTTTATTGACTACCGTGCCTTGGACAGAACCAACACCACGCCAATCTACGAGTTCGGATTCGGTCTTTCTTATACCACATTCGAATACTCTGACTTGACCATCACCTCTGCCAACGCCAGCGCCTACGTTCCAACCACAGGAATGACTAGCGCCGCACCCGTTCTTGGAAACTACTCAACCAACTTGAACGATTACCAGTTCCCGAACTCAAGCTTCCCATATGTTGAGCAGTACATCTACCCATATCTCAACGCAACGAACGCTTCTGCTGCATCAATGGACCCCAACTACGGACAAACTGCTGATCAATTTATGCCACCAAATGCCACTTCCACCGCTCCTCAGCCACTGCTCGCAGCTGGTGGTGCTCCAGGTGGAAACCCAGCGCTCTGGGATGTCCTATACACCGTCACAGCCACAATCAGGAACACTGGTGATCGCAACGGTGAAGAAGTTCCACAATTATACCTTTCTCTCGGCGGGCCAAATGATCCTCGTATTATCCTCCGTGGTTTCGATAGATTGAGCATTGATGCTGGTGAAAGCGCTACCTTTACCACCAACCTGTTGCGACGAGACCTTAGCAACTGGGATACTGTTCAGCAGAATTGGGTCATCACTGATTACCCAAAGACTGTCTACGTTGGATCCAGCTCCAAGAACCTTCCGCTCTCCCAGTCGTTGAGTGGTAACAGTACTTCTACCTTGAGAAGACGATTTTCGCATTAAAAGCTTTTGGAAGAGAAAAGACTTTTGGGATTGGGAAAATGACCGGATTATTATGACTTATGAATATTGATACGAATAGGCTTTTGCATTAGTGGTTAGCGAAGATTTTTATTTTGGTATTCCGGTTGGCCGGTCGATTGGAAGGATTGGCTGCTCCCATGGCCTAGCTGATGGGCTGGGAAACTTACCCTCGCAAGAGGAGATACATAGGTGATACGTATACATAATACATAAAATCTTAACATGGGATATCTTTTCGTTTTGTTGAAACGTCGTAGTACATTGAAACTCTCTCATAATCACATAAACATAAACAAGTTCGCTTAACCATCGGCATTCTACGCATCATATTGCTTTGAAATAGAAAACAAAAACAAAGCACCGAAACTAGGTATGCATATCCCATTCCATCCATCGTAAGAATGACTACCGATCTCATAGGCTTGATTTCAGCCATGATATATGGTGGCTTCCGCCGACCAATTGGAGCGACAGAACTGCATGTACGAATAGTAATCATTCCGACTGTTGTGAAGCCACACGTGAATTCGTGTTAGAAATGTGCGCCATAAAACGCCATCAGACGCGAGTCTTGGGGGAGCGCGTCTTCGATTGATGAACTTGCTTGATAATATGTTGTCTAGTTGTCAGACGGTGATGGAGTTGTTCCATGGGAGAGGAGAGGAAAGTCCGTGGAGAGAGATATAAGAGATTAGTTGTGGGCCTGGAGGAGAATCAATCATCTTCTAGCTCACAGAAAGATTTACATACAATCCACTCACAACTATAACAAGAAACATCCAAAATGCCAGGTCCAGTCCGTCCCCCCATCCCCTCATCACCCCCTTCTAACACCCTCTTCAGATCGTCACCCCCTCCGAGTGGCTCATCGCCCGCAAAACCCTCCTTACCAAAGAAAAAGCCGCCCTCGCAACCACCCTCGCCCTCCGCCACGAACTCCAAACCACCTTCCCCATGACCCTCGTCGAAAAAGACTACACTTTCACCACCACCACCGGGCCTGTCTCACTCCCATACCTCTTCCACGGCCGCAAACAGCTTATTATCTATCATTTCATGCTCGGTCCGGACGAGGTTAACGAAAGAGCTTGTGTAGGGTGCAGTTTCGTCGCTGATCATATCCCGAGGCTGGGGCATTTGAATAGTCGGGATACAACGCTCGTCGTCGTCTCGCGCGCGCCGATTGAGCGGATCATGGCGTTCAAGACAAAAATGGGCTGGACGTTTCCGTGGGTTTCGAGTCTGGGAAGTGAGTTTAACTATGATTTCCAGGCGACGCTGGATGAGGAAGTGAAAAAGCCGGTGGTGTTTAATTACAAAGAGACGACGGGGAAGGGGGAACGGCCTGGATTGAGCGTTTTTGTGAGGAGGGAGGAGGGGGTTTGTCATTCTTATAGTACGTATGCGAGGGGTTTGGAGGGGCTTATGGGGACGTATGCGTTGTTGGATTGGACGCCGGGGGGGAGGCGGGATGGGGGGAGGGCGATGGGGTGGATGTTGAGTGGGGAGTATGAGGGGGAGGGTGGGAGGGGTGGGTGTGCGTGTGAGGATCGGAGTGAGAATGTGATGGCGAAGGATGGTGGGGATATTGATGGCGAGAATGAGAAGGAGGCTTGATGGATTTATTGGGAGTGGGGAGTCTGATACTCATCAAGCTACGTTCTGTGATACGCTTGCTTTGGATCAGAAGTATACAGTCGCTAAAAGGTTTCTTCTTGATCAAAGGAATTTGATGGCCTAGTGAGCTGAAGAACACTTGACGATGCGTAGTGAAAGATAGAAATTTTGATTGCAGAAAATCTTTTCCGAAGTTCTCGTAGACTCGTAGTAGTTACTATTTAGATTGTAAGTGCGGAGTGTCAAAGTAAAGAATCGAATACTCATCCAAAAACCCATCTTTTCGTCTTAAAAAGCGAGCCGGCCAAATTGAAGCTCAAGTCAACGAACTGACCCTGACTTCGCAAGAATTTAAGGAAATCCTAGTAATCCAAAATGTAATCTGCATGATTTTCTGAATATGCTCACCTATTGAGACGGTACAATTTTCAAAATTGAGTGTTGATGTTGTTGATGATGAAAGAAACTCCTGAGGTCGTTGCCATCAGACGAAGGCCATGCGCTCCGACTTTCGGCCCGCATGAATCCGAATCCGAATCAAATCAATAAACCTGGAACTGCAACTCTCCAAAGTTATATACTTGTAGGTGTTTACTTTTTCGGATCAAACAAGATCAATCTAACAAATTATCATCATTCAACCCGAAAACGAACCTACGCTCAAAATATCAAAAAATCGCAAGTATTACAATCATTTACCCCACCAAACCCCCCAGGAACGATCACGATCGCGTACACATCAAACGACGCGCCAAATCAACAACACCACTTCCACCTCTTCCACAACACCACAAAAATGGCACAACCAGAAAAATCACCTTCCCCACCCCCGCCCGTCCCAACACCACTCACCCCAGGTCCCCGCGCCACGGCCTTCACTACTCTGTACTCGAAAACGCTGACGGCGACACTCAATGCTATCTCGTACGATGCGTTCGCGGCTTGTTTCCCGGAGATTGCAAGGAAGGCGCCGGGTGCGTTGAGGGTTTTTCATGGACAGTTTTTAGGGAGGTTGGAGGGGCTTGCGGTGGTGAGTGATTTTTTTTTCTTTTTGGTTTGGGGAGGGGAGAGGGGAGGGGAATAGGAGGGGGATATGGGAAGGGGAGATGAAGGGCCCATGGGCAAAGAGTGAGGGCTAATGATTTTACAGGAAGAATTCAACACCATCCTCACGGAACGAAACGTCGTCTCCAACCTCAATAAACTCGAATCCATCATCTCATCCGCGCGATACCTCAAAACAACAGCTGATTCCTCTTCTACAACCACCACCTCTCAACCTCCTCCTCCGCCACACACACTACCTCCCTCCGCCCTCCTAACCGCCCACCTCAAACCCCATCTCGCGGCCCAGCAATCACATCTCAACGCCAAATTGCAGACGGTGGAGAGCATGAATGCCACGCTAGCAGACGAGATTGAGGGCCAGAAGAAGGAGATTGAGAGGTTGATGAGGGGTTTGGGGGGGTTGGTGGGGGATTTGGAGGATGCGTCGGTGGAGGTGGGTGGGAGAGGGCAGGAGTTGGCGGGGGAGGGGAGGGGGGTGGAGGGGTTGTTGGGGTAGTGGGTTGGGGTTGGAGATATTGTGGGTTTGGGTTGTTGTGGAGTGGATTGTGGATGGAGATTTGAGTTGTATACGAGGATGTTTGTGAGGTGAGTGTGTATGGAGAGTTGGCGTCATAGGATGGTTTAGAGAAGGGAGGGAAGAAGGCGACGTAAGAATGAGGAGAAATGCTTTTGAATTGGCACATCAGAAGGGAAAGAAGAGGATGGAGGGAATTATGAAAAGTCGACATACACAGAAAGAGACAGGGTTTTGAACAGGCGTATCGGAAGGAAACAGGAAAGGAAAGATATCAGGAGTCCGGCGTTCTTTTGCCATCATTCATCGAAGGAAAATACAATACCAATTCACAAGGCAAGGGCGCCTTACCATCACGATTCCTGTTTTGAATCAAAATCCTTGTTGAAGAGCACAAGGTGGATCGAAAACAGTGTAAACTCATTTAAAACACAATACAACAACTCGATCATACCTCGTGGTACAAGGCCCCGTTTACATGCTGAAAATGGTCAAGACTGCTCAGGTAATGCTCGCACGAAACGAATTAGCTACTACCCCCCCTATGAAGTCAAAAAGTGATTTTTTCAACTAATACCAGACGATCCATCGACAAAATCGCGAAGAATAAAGCAGATTTGTTAAAAAGTCCTCAATCCTAGAGTTACGAAACTATTTGCAGCAAGGAAGCTGTCCAGTTTTGAACTTTAGATGTAGTCTTTCAGACAAGCATGATTTTGTACCCGAATTGTATACCTCTCGGTTCCGCGATATCCCTTGTCCTAACGTGACCCCTCGCTCACCGGCTGCTCTCCAGCAGAGCAACTTGACCTCTCAACAAGCACTTGTAGCGCTGCTGCAGACACTAGCATGCGTCTGGGATCCTCTAATTCAAGATCCTCGTCGATAACTCTGGCGGGTGAGAGTTGAGAGTTGAGAGTTGAGAGTTGCGGGGAACATTTTTAAACCTGGTAGCCAGCAACATGTCACGGAGATGTCAGATACATAGTAGCAGACTTGTTAAGATGGAAGACCGGAGGGGAAATGTAGTGGAAGTAACGTTTGATTTCTGGATTTATACGAATGTAATGGCATGCACATGAGTGATGAAAAGAAAAGAAAAGAAATTAAATATACTAAAATAAAAGATCTATTTAAATCCGAAATAACCCCGCTTATCAAAACAAAGAAAAATGAAAACTAGAATCTCCAAACCCCAACGCCAAAAACTCCATATCAGACAAAAGAAAAGAAAAAATCTAAACCCGCGCTGTCTATTTTCCAAACCCAACGCCTTCAGCAAACCGCAACCCTATTTAAGACAAGGTCACGAGCGTAAAAGTCGGCGGTCCAAAAGTCGTCGGTTTCGGTGCCGGTGGCGGGGTCTCGGGAATGGGGATGACCTGTAGACCGGCCGAAGTTGTGAGCGTTGTGGTAGCCGTTATCGTTTCCTTGGGGCCTGTGACGGTCGCCGTGACTGTTTCCTTTGGAGCCGTAATGGTGATGGTTTCTTTGACTGTTTCACGCGGGAGCGTCTCGGTGACGGTCTTGGTGAGGGCGTCGGGGGCGGCTTGGGTTACGGTGACTGAAGCTGTTATTGCTGGTGGTGCTTCGGCAGACTTGGTCACGGTGACTGAAGCTGTTACTGCTGGTGGTGCGGGAGCGACTTCAGTTACGGTTGTTGGGGCTGGGGTTGGGGTGACGGGAGCAGCTGGTTCAGCAGACGAGGCGGTGGGCTTTGGCTCTGGGACTTTTGGAGTTGCGGTTGGCTCTGTTGAAGATCGAGTGGTTGGAAGTGTAACGCTCGTTGCGAAAGTGACGGTGGTCGTTGGCTCATCGACTGATGTTGTCGTTTGCTCGGTAGGCTCGACGGGAGTTGGCTTTGGTTCAACACTCTCTGTCGTCTTTGGTGGTTCGACAGACTTTGAAGCAGATGCCGTTAAAGTAAGAAGCAAAGTGGTCTCACTGACAAACGAAGGCTCGGTAGGAGCCACTGACGTTGGTGCTGGAGGAGGCGTGGTTGTTGCGGCAGGTGAAAGCAGGCTAGATGCAACCTCAGGGGTCCTACAGCCAACAAAGACACCATTGGCGTTGTCCATTGGAACTGCAAAACATTGCTCTCCAGAGGTTTCGCAATTCTTGAATTCAAATCTCCCAGTTGCTGGAAGACATGTTGCAACCTTGCCTTTGGAGCAAGCAATTTGACCCTCTTTGCAAGGAGTTTCAGAGGTTATCTTGGCAAACTCCTCGTTCCACTTTTGGGCTTCGACTCGGTTCTTCTCCTTTTCCTCAGGGGTCAGGATTATGGATGAGGTGGGAGGGGGTAGGACAGTTGGAAGTGCACTTGGACTTTCGGATGTTTTCGTGACTAGCACGCTGGAAGACTGGGTAGGTTCAGGTGTCGCTGACTTGGACTCGCTTGGGAACGTAATAATTACTGTAGCGGAGGACTTTGCAGGCTCTGGGCTTGCTGACTGACTAGCAGTTGTAGTGGTAACTGGCACTGGCGCGTTTGTGGGTGGCGGAATGATATCCGTATTAGTGAGTGTGAATCTTTGGACAGAGCTTGAGCTGGACACTGAAGTACTCGCAGGAGCTGCAGGCACATCACTTGAGGCAGATGTAGGTACAACTGGCTTTGCAGGTGCCTCGCTCGATGCTGTCGTTACTGGTGGTGCTGGCGGCGATGTCGAAGGAGGTTGTACTGTCGTAGGAGGCGCCGTGAAAGTCTCGCTGGAAACCGTAACCAAGGTGTTTGGGTTGTTGAATTCAGGAATTGCTGATGGTGTTTCTAGAATGTTCGCAGTTGTGGCAGATGCTAGCGATGAAGTACTGGCTGAACTCGCGCTCGAAGATGCTGAGCTCAAACTTGATACGCTGGCAGTACTTTGCAATGTGGAAGATGTTGCCGACGAGACTGTGCTTGGCTGAACCGACGGAGTAACAGGAACAAAACTTGAACTTGCTGATTGAGAACTCGACGAGCTACTAAGAACCAATGATCGGCTGCTTGAAGCGGCATCGGCGCTGGTTTGGAAGGCTGAGCCGGTCGACGTAGTTGCAGCTAGAGAACTGCTCCCGACAGAAGAAGCTACGACCGTTCCTGATGAGAGTGTTTCCGATGAGCCAGTAAACTTGTCAATCACTGAAGTAAGTGCAGGCGCCGCACTAGGAGCTAGTGTGGCTACTGATGAATTGGTTCTATAAATCATGTTAGCTTTATACCACTTGGTAGGAATTGAGGGACCTACACAGCACGAGCCTGTGATCGGGGTAGCGGACCAGCCGCTGTATATACTGAAAAGCAAAGGACTGTGTAGAGTATTTGAAGAGACTTCATGATTAGGATTAGTCCTATAGGACTAGTGTTGAGATTAAGGACAGGAGATGGTAGATCTCAAATTGTATCGGGAAGATACTGTGCCGGGATATGTACTGAATGGAGTAATCGGAATGATTATCGAAGACCCGCTGAGGAATCTGTGTATTGACTAAGGAGTGTGAGTTAGTTATAGGATGTCAGTATTGACCAGAAAGAATTATTTCGGACAGTGCAAATGAAAGTATGACGAAGGAAAGAGAGAAAGAAACTCGTGACAAGTTCCACGGGGAAGAAGTCATCTTGTACCATGATCTATACAAAGCTCAGACTTGAATGGCTAACAGATGGGGACCTTTGGGGGCCCAGACCATAGGCTACTACTGATGCTTTGTCTGCTTCATTGTGGGTTCTTCGTTGCCACGACCCGGCGGTAGAAGAAATGAAACCTCGATATAGACAGTCGAGAAGCCACCAAGATGGCATCATTCAGACGACGGTGACTCTGAGATCGGATGGCTGGACGTGGCAGTTTGGGCTGGGAGCCAATGGAGGTCTCTTTGTGTTCTTTGAAGCGAAACGACTTGGTGGCGGTTAAGAGCAGATGTTGTTTTAACCGAGCGCCCCTTTGAGGCGAATGGAGGGTTTCATTGGCTACCGAGAACGTGTAAATAACGTGGTCGTGCGTTCAAAGAAACAACCACTGGGCTAGAGTTGTGTTCACTCATTTAATCTTAAAGGGCGACGAGAGTTTTAAAACGCGCGGGTGTATACAAATATAGATAGATGGTAGAAGCGCGACCACGAAACACGCGTTGAAGAGGCCAATGGACGGTCATTTAGCAGCTTCGACGGTGTTGAACATCCAGAACAGTACCGCACGAGGGCGCCAGTCGGCCACTTCTGCAGGTGTCTTTTGTATACGAGACGATTCTCTTTCAAAGAAGGTTTGATGTGCTGGCGATGTAGTTGGTGTTGGCGACCACAGAATCATAACACGTGACTGAAACAAAGACAACCCAATCAGAAAGACCTTTATGAGATCCAGAACAGCGGGTGCAGTTCGAAGCCACGAAGAAGATTCTAGTTCATCTAGTTTATCTGTCATAGATGTCGGAAATTTTGTCGGGAAAGAGAATTCACGTGATATATTTCAACATGAATAACTCTCTGGAACTCCCTTTTTCTAATTCTTGGAACTTCCCGAGAGGCTTGTTTGATACGAAAATTATCGTACGATTGAACTTTGGGTACTTAGACTGTTGTAGATTGTCACGCAAGTTTCCGATCCCGTGATACAGCGCTTTTCTGCTCAGAAATCGAAGGACTTTTTTTTGATCACATAACTGAACATGGAGAGAGCTTCAGTGAAACACATCTCGGTGAAATTTTCTACGTTGTTCATATCCCAAAAGACGCTTGACGTGTTTTAAACAAAATACAGATGACATCGTCCCATTCCCATCCCGTGACCCACCTCGTACCCGCTGCACATCAATGTCTTGCGTCTCGCATCACTTCCCGCGACATGCAACAGAAAAGGCATCTCCATCCCAAAGCAGCCATGCGCATCCTTCTGCCGGACCAACCACAGGATGCCGGCGAGTTCTGTTGCAAATCGCTGAAAAACGAGAGACGGGAATCCGGAATGCCGGTGACGGCACGTCTGCTGTTGGGATGCAGTTTGCGAAGTTCTCGTTGCGTTCCGTTGGGGAATGATTTGCGGGATGCAGTGCTAAGATTATGCGGCTGACAGGGGAGGGAGATCGAGATTTGATGGGATCGAAGCCTTGTGAGTGTTGCACAGGTGATGGAGTTGGTACTTTGGTGCTTTGGATGAGTCTTCTCGGTTGGTCTTGATACAGTTGTGAAGTCGTATGTTGTTGGTTAATCTAGTGTCTGTTCAGCTCAACATCAACCTAGAGCCGACTTCTCCAATGTAGAAGAAGGCGAACTTAACTTATCAGACATAAGCAATTAGCACTGGGTTGGGATGCATTCGACAATAGTTTGGTATCGAGTGTATTTCACATATGAGTTTCCAGTGTACACTACTCGTAAGAATAGGGCACTTTCAACGCCGTCTGACAGACATGTCTCTTTCCAGACGCTAAGGTAGGAGTAAGATTTATGTCATTCTAGGCTGCTGCTACTTTCTTAGGTCACATAACTATGGCTTTCTTTTCGTCTCCTGAAGCCAGAACCAATAAGTAAGACTTCTCTTAGTGGTCACTTCAATCTGTTACAGCCTTTAGCCTAGTCTTGACCCTTACCAACCATTTACTGCTAAAGAAATTATGCCTCTTCACGATTTAACCACCCAAAAGCAACAGCCAACCATCACCAACTCTACGAGCTCCTCATCTAAACCTCAAGACCGCTCTCTTCATCACAACACCTCAATGTCAGTCATCGAAACACTTCGTCAAAACAGCGTCAAAAATCCGGAAAATCCCCATCTTGTACATCTTTCCTCAATTAGCTCTTTGTTGCAGATCGCAATCAAAGTTTGGTCTGCAACAAAATGGTGTGGGACGGGCTGAAAGAGGAAAGGCGTTGTAATATAGGTCTAAGCCACAACAGATGAGATGAAAAAAAGTTGTGAGGCCTCATTGCGACTTGCAACAAATTATGCATGCTTATCAATCGGGAATGTGTTTTTTGAGAACTTCCCATGTGAGAATTATAATAATGATGAGATATGACTCAAGAAAATATCTTGATGAAGATGCCCAGAATAATCGAAGAATCATGCGTTGAAAATTCTTTGTTTGGATCCTACAGGTCAGATATCACATGATTCACCAGGTCGATACATTTCGCGCCATACCCTTTGTGAAAATGCTCACTTTCTGTTGCAAGTCGCAATTTTGAAGGGCGACGCCCTCAAGGACCCCGCAGCTCCCAGGGCGAGGAATCGGTAATCATTCCTGTTCCTGGAGTCAGCCCTCTTGCGTGTGAGACCTGAGAGCGGGGTCAAGTTTTCAGTCAATGGCCCAACTTGCGTGAGAGCGGGGTCATCGCATATGTTTTACTGCCAGCAGAGGGCGTCAACAGTCTTGGAGGGCGCTCTAATAGCGATGTCGAAATAAGGCTATCGAATTCGAGTAGTCCGATTCATAGTCGTAGCGTTGACGCTGGTTGCTATTGACCTTCAAACCCGCTTACGAGGTTCATAAGCAGAAGCTGACCTAATGCCTGGAGATAGAAGTTTTGCTATGACTATAAAGTTCAACAGGCAGTGACAGGTAGCCGCCAGGTCTTTGAGCTCAACTCTCAAATCGACAATATCAAGGCATTATAATGAATGAGTTCGAAAATTCCAGCCGCAGAGACTAGCTTAGAGCATGGTGCAAGATAGGAAGAGAATTCCAGCCCAAGGAGCTTGCGACCCTTTCTTCCAGTAAAATTTCGTAGTGCTCAAGGATCTTAAAATCCAAGTAGATTCAGGATTCGAATCTTCGGTCTGAGGAAGATAGAGTTGAGCAATTGATTAAAGACAGAGCGTGGAAGAGTAGGTACCTAAGGAGTGTTGATCACGATCACGATATCTAATGAACCTTGGAGGTTTCGCTTAGCACACACACCGACTATTGCATCAACCTTGTTCGAGGACAAAAGCACAATGTACGGTAGGTAAGGACTTATGTACCCACATAGGAGAACGAAATACTTGATCATTTGCCTATTCCTGAGCCATACGAACTTCGCAAGATCATTTGCTGCGTAGTGTTGCAGTAGAGATAACAAGCCATTGCAAGAGAAAAACGGTAATAGAGCGTCGTATCGGAATCTTGGAACAAGTGAAAGTGAAACAAAAAAATCTGCAAACCCGCGCGCTTGTACTCAACAGCACCAAACAACGAAAAGAATAGAGACGACAGTCGACACTCGCTCCTGCATCATGGCTCCCTAGAGGAATTTCGACGAGCCAGAACCACAACAGGCAGGAGCAGAGGCACATCGCTATGCAGATTGCTTAGTCCCGTCGTTGAGAACAGCACATCCACCCGTTGGAACACTGCAATGCCGACGATAGCTGTGCTCGATGCCGCCTCAATCAATTCAATCCCTTCATCTCAATTCGAAAATGTCTTTCCTTCCTTGAAATCCGCGACAAGTGTGTTGATGATACAACTCCCTTCATCGTACCGAATCCAAAAAAAAATGCGACGCGACGGCCATATGAAGAAACGGAGGTCAATCAACCACCCCATAGCCAAACCGACATCGAGAGTCTCGCAACGAGCTCTTGGGAGTGGAACATCCAGGTTCTGGGAATCTAGGCTCTGCAGCTAGAGTATTCAGCACGGTTCTGCTAGTGGCCGATGAAGTTACTTCGCAGAGCTAAGTGCTAAGTGCCCGTCGTCGCCATCCCCTCGTCTCCCACTTTTTTAAGTCTGCCCCTTTCAGCGGAGTTGTTCCTCCTGGTATATGGGTACGCCGAACCGTATTGTCGCCGAAAATCCAGTGCGAAATCTCGAAAGGAAAAGATTGGGAGAGCGGCAGAATATATAGTTCTTTGAGTCCGTCACAGCAATCTGGAGCTCAGCTCCGGGCGCGACGGTGCGATAAGCTACGTCAGGTGGGTTTGCGAAGCACCAATGCCCTGTTTATCACTTTCACTTTGCAGATTCGTATCTCCGCCAGCTTTCAACAGCCAATTCCTGCTTGTTAACAATGCCCACGTTTCACCAGCAAAAGGCTGCTTGGTCGCTTCCCAAAGCCCTACCGCTTTTGAATAATTAATTCACGTTCTTGTTTCTGTCGCCCTTCATCCAAGCTTTTGGGGACACATCCAATTCTTTCCCCCAACACCTCTTCTTTACCACACAATCGTGAAGCCTCACACTCACAATGGCACAGGAATACTCGAAAGACGGCGCTGACTCTGTGGAGTCACCGCGCCCGTTTCTCAGTCGGAGTCAACCTTCTATCCATCCAGGGCTTCACCCTTCTGTAACAGACGTGCCAGTCACTCCGGCTATCGACAACTCAGCATATCAATCTGGCAGCAGTGGTGCGGACGAATCATACTTTACGCGCAACATACATAAGGGAGGGAATAACACAATGGCACCACAATCGCCTACAGAAGCTGCCTCTGGAGCAACATCGAACCAAGATATCTTACGCCGAATGAGTATGGGTAGCCCCAAAATGCAGAGGAAGGATTCACTTTTCGAGATTGATCCCCGCGCCGCGAACCCATCATTAAGTCTTAGTGGGGGGATGATCTCAGCAACTTTCTGTATTCCATATTCTCTGAAATATCGCAAGGGACAAGCTTGGGTATGTGGAGCTTGCGTGGCTGTCTTCTATTGCTAATATCAATCTAGGGCTTGACCTCTCGTCGCGGCACGTCTGCCCTCTTTGACTCCTTCACATACCTCTCCTCCGACAAGACTCCATGGAACCATACCCTTGTGGGCTGGACTGGAGAAATCGATAACTCAGTCGACCTGACCCCTCCAGATACCCCGCCAGCAGCAGGTCCTGCACAGGTTGTTCCCCTCAACAAGAATTCTGCGCCAATTCCAGTTGATGCGTTTGCACAACCTGCCGCGCCAGCGCAAGCAGATGGAATACACATTAGCCAAGCAGACAAAAAGCAGTTGGAACGACAACTGGCACATGAGAAATCAGGTAGGACGATACCGGTATGGTTGGCAGACAATGTAGAGAGCGACGGAGATGGAGATATTACACTGAAAGATCAAGCACGTTGGAGACGATTTGCTGAATCTGAGCTGTACACTCTTTTCCACTACAAACAGCATGAGCCTACGAATGGTCGAGCAGAACGACAAGCATGGGCCGACTATTATCGGATGAACCAGATGTTCGCAAATCGTATCCTTGAGGTCTATAAGCCCGGAGACATCGTCATGATCCACGACTATCACCTCCTTTTGCTCCCGAGCATGCTACGACAAAGGGTGCCGCATATGTATATATCCTTCTTCCTACATATCCCCTTTCCTAGTAGTGAGTTCCTTAGATGTCTGCCTAGGAGAAAAGACGTGCTAGAGGGTGTATTGGGGGCCAACTTGATTGGATTCCAGTCCTACAGTTATTCGCGGCATTTCGTTTCTTGCTGTACTCGAGTCCTAGGCTTCCCATCGGATTCTGACGGTGTTGATGCATACGGCGCAAAAGTCACTGTTTGCGTGTTTCCAATCGGCATTGATGCGGCCACAATTGAGCGATTAGCTTTTGATGATCCTGGTGTTGATGGCAAGGTAGCTGCATTACGGGAGATGTACAAGGGAAAGAAAGTAATTGTTGGGCGAGACCGTCTGGATACAGTAAGAGGTGTGGCACAGAAGCTTATGGCATTCGAAACTTTCCTCGAGCGTTATCCTGAGTGGAGAGAAAAGGTGGTGTTGATCCAGGTGACCAGCCCTACCAGCGTCGAGGAGGAGAAGGAGGATTCGGGTAACAAGATCGCCAACAAGGTTGCGGAGTTGGTCGCAAAAATCAATGGTCTCTATGGCTCACTCGGTTTCTCTCCAGTTCAGCATTACCCTCAATATCTGTCACAAGAGGAGTACCTCGCTCTTCTCAGAGTCGCAGATATTGGTCTTATCACAAGTACCCGTGATGGTATGAACACTACCAGTCTCGAGTATGTTGTCTGCCAGCGGGATGACCATGGCCCTCTAATTCTCTCGGAATTCTCTGGTACTGCAGGAAGTCTCAAGGATGCTATTCATATTAATCCTTGGGATTTGTCTGGCGTTGCTCATCAAATCGATGCTGCGTTGAGTATGAGCGAAGAACTCAAACGCGCCATGCATAGTAACCTTTACCGTCATGTCACGACAAAAGACGTACACTCATGGTCCAGCTCCTTCATCAAGCGCCTCTTTACTGTTCTCGGATCTCATAACGCAACAATTGCTACTCCTCTGCTCGATAAAGCAGCCCTTGTCGCACAATACCGAGCAGCGAAAAAGAGACTTTTCATGTTCGACTACGATGGGACTCTCACACCAATCGTTGGCGATCCAGCTGCCGCGGTACCATCTGAAAAGGTCATTCGAACTCTCACTGCTCTTGCAGGCGACGAACAGAACGCGGTCTGGGTGATCAGTGGTCGTGATCAAGAGTTCCTTGGACGTTACCTCGGACATATCAAGAATCTTGGATTTAGTGCGGAACACGGTAGTTTTATGCGTCATCCTGGAAGTACCGTATGGGAAAACCTGGCCGAAACGTTCGATATGGGATGGCAAAAGGAAGTCATGGCTTGTTTCCAAAAGTACACTGAGCTGACACCTGGTAAGTATTTATGTTGCAAACTTTGAACTTCACTAACCTATGGCAGGCTCTTTCATTGAGCGAAAACGATGTGCCTTAACCTGGCACTACAGACCTTCTGACCCCGAGCTCGGCGCACACAACGCCCGCGAATGTCAAAAGGAGCTTGAGAAGACAGTCGGCAAAGCATGGGATGTTGAAGTTATGGCTGGCAAAGCAAATCTTGAAGTTCGCCCAACGTTCATCAACAAGGGAGAGATTGCCAAGCGTCTCGTCGACTCGTATGGCCGTGAGGTTGGTCAACCGCCCGAGTTCACAATGTGTCTAGGAGACGATTTTACCGACGAGGACATGTTCCGGGCTTTAAACCGTAGCCATCTTCCACAAGAACATGTCTTTAGCATCACGGTTGGCGCAAGCTCCAAGATGACCCTTGCGCATTGGCATCTTCTTGAGCCGGCGGACGTCATCAGCAGCATTGCTTTATTGAATGGTGGTGAGACGAACGTGGCTGACCTCGGTCCGCTTTCCGTGATTGAGGGCCATATTCCCGACCAGATGCCAGGGGAGCACATTCCCGATGAAGTGCCCGGGGACAAGCTCTGAGGGAAGGTTTTCGCCTCCCAGTACATGAAATGAAATGCACGATTGCGAGTCCGGAGTACTGCGCAAGAAAGAGTTTTATTTACCGCATGGGATGGATTGTTGTTGTTGTTGTTGCTGCATGAATATCGGGTCAATATGTGGAGATGAGATACCCACCATCATTGGTAAATAGACAAATCCAAAAGCATTGAGAATTACTTATGAGCTTCAAGTTTCCGAGTGATCGCAAATGTTAGCTTTTTTGTGTCTCATTGAAGGGTCGTTGTTGTGGTTCCAGGGTCGTGGGAAGGGCTGAACCGCCCGACTCCTGAATGCGGGGTTTAGTGGTTCTCGATGCCAAGCGTCGTGAAAAATCTACAGGGTTCTGCGGCTACACCGGCCAACCGTGGTTACTCGATCTATACGTTCGAAGTAGATGGGCGAATGAGGACTTCATCGCAGGTATAACACCGTATTCCTTGGGTCTGGGTTGGCTGCAAAGTCAGCTTGCGCGCATTGGCAAAACAGTACTAAGGGTTTTCTAGTGGCATTCTTCCATCGTTCTGTGCCTAGTGACGCAGACGGCAGAGAGTGAGAGGCCCTACTAGCCATTCACGAATATGGAAATTGCAAAATTACCCGAATCCCTTTGTTGTTGTTTTGTAATCCAAGGGTTTGCAGAAAATGTACAAGGTAGTTACTCCAAGGGGTCACCACTATACAGAAACCAAGGCGCCAGTACCTTTGTCCTGCAAGCCATCCACGCAGATTCACCTCTTGGGAGCCTTGACTTGCACAAATGATGCTTCCCCACAACTCAGAATTCCGTAAGAGCCTATCATAGTCTTTGATGCTCGTACTCTTTCTTGCTTCAACAAGGAGCCGAGATACGCTAGCTTCGTTATTCCGTAAACACGTTTCCGACTAGACAGATGACGCCCAATCCGGCTAGCTTGCGTCACCTATGGCTCCTTCCCCTGTTACTCGAGCTCGACATTTGGCATCGAGCGATGTCGTAACGTACTACAGATCATAACCCTCAAATGTAGTGAGGCTTAGAAGGCTCGGCATTCAGGAAATCTAGAAAGTTCGCTTCTGTTGGCAGTATATTAGGTATGTCTTGTCCCGTGTCTTGACTCTTGCTCCATTACACAACAGAAACTTACAAAATACAGTCACTCCCACATCCTCGACCTTTCAACTTCCGGTCAAACAACAATCTCATCTCCACACCGTCAAGATGCAACTCAAGTCTTGTCTTCCACTCGCTCTTGGAGCCATTGCTTCAGCCCAGAGTCTGACAGATGTCCTGGCAAACAACACTGCTGAATTGAGCACCTTGATCAGTATGTAAAATGATTCACTGTATGAAGTCGGCACTAATCGATCTCAGGTCTGCTCTCTGCTCAGCCAGCCATTGTCTCAGCTTTAGGGTCCGCCTCTGATATCACCATCCTCGCGCCAAACAATGCCGCGTTCGCAGCGTTCCTCGCAACCCCAGAAGGAACCGCAGCTGGCGGCGATCCATCTACTGTCGCAGCTCTTCTCACGTATCACGTTGTGAACGGTACCTTTTACGCATCGGACTTTAGCAGCACCCCTGCATTTGCTCCAACTCTCCTATCGAATACAACCTTTACCAACGTCACCGGTGGACAGGTCGTCGAGGCTGTGAGCGATGGTACCAATGTTACAATTTTGAGCGGACTTCTTGCAGAATCTAAAGTTGTGGCAGCTGTAAGTCGAAACCTCAATGCTTTGGAAATTCAATCTGACCTAGGATAGAACCTCAACTTCACCGGCGGAACCGTCCACGTAATTGATAAAGTTCTCACTATTCCTCAAGCCGCCGGTGCCACCGCTGTTACTGCCGGCCTCACAAACCTCGTCGGAGCTCTTACCCGAGCTGATCTCGTCAACGCTGTTCAAGGTCTCAGCGACGTTACCATCTTTGCACCGAGTAACGCTGCCTTTGACGCTATTGGATCCGCAACTGCCAACCTCTCTGTCGCAGACCTCGCAGGCATCCTAACCTACCACGTGGTGAACGGTACTGTCGGATACAGTTCTGCTCTTACCAACACCTCATTGACTGCTTTGAACGGTGGCAGCATCGATATTCGTATCGAGGGTGAGAATGTGTTCGTCAACTCCGCAAAGGTTGTCACTCCAAATGTTTTGATTGCCAATGGTGTTGTCCATGTTATTGACAAGTAAGTCGTTCCTCTTCATATCAAAACACGGCATCAAGCTAACCTACTTTAGTGTCCTCAACCCTAACCCCGCCTCCGGTAGCGCTACATCCACCGGTGTTGCATTCCCTGGCGCCACATCCGTGAGCAGTACCGTCTTCACTGAGGCTCCAACCCCATCTACCACTCTTGCGGGTGCTGGTGCTACCCCAACCTCATCCGGAGCTGCTTCTTCATCGTTGTCTGCTGGCGCTGCGGGTCGGGCTTTCCCTACTGGTGCAATTGAGATGGCTGCTTTGTTGGGTGGTGCTGGTGTTTTGATGAACTTGTAAAAATGTAAGGGAGGATGAGAAATGATAATGATGGTGCACGGAAGTGGTAATATGATGTGGTCGGGCGTTGTGATCATTGACTGGCTTTCTTATAAATGAGCAACTCTAAATAAATTTCATCGAGTACTTACATTTCCGAATGGTTTCATGTTGCTTCCTGTTGTTCAGAATTCACTTTGTTTTCAACCACATGATGATTGGCAAGCCTATCAGTATCTACACTTGCACATCTGCACTACTATCACGTATTTCTACTTTCCCATACGCACCATGCCCTTTGTGCAGGAAAGTGGAGGGTGGCAGACTCTCAACCCAGCGCGAAAGCGGGTAGCTCCGTGCTTGCAGCTAGCGTGAAGTCAAATCGACCACACCATCTCTAGGGTTCCGCGTATTCGGATGGATGGCGGATGTTATATCTGTCCTTACTTCATCGAAGTAAATAGGATAGGTATATGTTGATTAGTTTTTGTGGTCTTTTGATAGGGAAGTGGATGGTCGTAGTTGTTTCAGACTTGGGGTCGGGTGGCACGGATCAAGTGCGACTGAATCGATTGGATGTTTTTTGGAGGATTGTGGGACTGTGGGAAGATGGGATGGGGGTTGTGAGATGTGTTGATAGGGAGGGGATTATGGGGTATTGCTTGATTGGCTTTGGGGAGGTATTTGGTTCAGATTCGGTGTTTGGTATATAGGCTGGGTGATGGGATAGGGATACGTTCAGAATGGGATAATGGATATGCTACTTTCTGGGGGTGAAGCTAGCGCTCTCCGTGGTGTTGCAGATAGATGGAGGGGAGCGTGAGATGTAGTGTTTCTCTTTGTGAGTGGGTTGTTGATGGCATTACACGATACATTGACGTCTCGAGTGGCATTCTCTTCCCGGACGAGAACGACTTTTGGGAACTGTCTTTGTGAAAATAACGGTCTTTGATACTCTACGCCATTCTAGTATTCGTAGCATCAAGCGGTGTATGGTTTGGAATCTAGAAAAAAATGTTCGGTTGGTTGTCATTTTATACATTAACCAGACGCTCGGGAAACTATGGCTAGCGTGAATGCAGATATCATCTACCCCTACCCCGGCTTTCCGCGTTCCGCGTTCCTGGAGAGTATACCAGATAGTGTGTTCTTTTTGTGATTATATGGATAGAATATAAGAGTGTGGGGTTTGATGGTGTCGTTGAGAGAGTCACTGGGAGTGAATATCGGATACAAAATATTCGGACGGAGTAGAAGAAAAGAATGCGGGCGAGACATGAATGGTGCGCGCGAGCTGTGAAATGGGAGATCGTCGATTTCGACGGACACTGTAAGGGATCGACGTGAAGGGTGGGATATTTTTCATTGGATATCCGGAGGGAATTGGGTTGAGCAGTCGGGTTCGGCACGTGGGATGGGGGATGGGGAGGATGGTGTTGTGGATTAGTTGAGGAGAAGAGGATGTCAGTGAGCTGTGGAGTTTCTTTCGCGGGTAATTTAAATCATTCAATTGGGCGAGCGTAGTTTTTCGTCCAGATTGTTAGTTATATGAGAGTATTTCAAAGGCTTTGCGATGAACTACTTTTTCCCTCCAACGACATGTATAGACCTGTATCCCAGCCATTCCAGCCATGCCAAAGTCATAGAAGTTGGATCTAGAAGTGTTTGTTCGATTGGACATCATATTCATTGAATAAGTCGCTCGGGTATTCCAAATGCATAGCGCGGACATGAGATATGAAGCACTTCTTTATTTTATCATTGGACATAAAATCACACCGCCTCTCCTGCAAATTTCCACTCTAATGGACAGCTTCAACTTGAGTCTGCACGCTAAGCCAGCCTACGCGTATCTTAAGTCGCAAGAAGGAGCGTCTAAGATCAGCAGCACGTTTGAGAATTGGCAGCCTATTGCATAGCGGCTCGTATTTTGGGATCGGCAAGAAAATTTTGGGATGATGTATGATGTTGGAGACTGGAACAAGCACCTTTAACATGTATTCAAGCACACTTCTGGCTTTCGAAACTTCTTTTCTCTTCACAATACCTACTCCTTCGCCAGCCATACCATGAAAAGCAACAGCACACACATTCATCTCCATTTCTTTCTAAACCCCAGACAAGCTTCAATCCACTTGTCGCCCCGTTTTTACTCGTAGCGAAGCTGTTCAATGCCATGCAAACGGTGTTTAGAGTTTCATTTCTGGGAAAGATCGACATGCTAGACAAATGATCTTCTGGATTATCTCTCGTTGGAGATGGTTGTGGGCTAGTCCCTGACATCATCCAATTTCTGTATATGCGGATTTGAGATTGCGATTTGGAGAAGGGCGAATGTTTGGGGATGGCAGGATGGGACTTTTTGATCCGTGGTGGTGGTTGGGCGAGGCTAGGTTGGTAGAGGGTTGGCTAGTGAAGGATGGTCTGGATTTGAGATTGTGTTTGTGAAAGCTTAATACCGTCGATTGGCTTGAAAGGCACGAGAGTAGACAAGAGGATATTGAGGATTCGTGAGGCTTCAGATTTACGACTGACGATGATATGAGTACGAGATGTCGTTTCACGGCAGAGTGGCGGATCACGTGCCTTGCCCCAACCTGCAGGCTAAGATCAGATACCTATACCGTATGTAACTAAAATTAAATCTTCGGTACGGACCGTACCTGACTATGAACCTCGCTCTCACTATCCCCTAACCAACCAAATTCTCTACACACATGTTACACCTGGAATTATACTTTCCCGTCAATTTCCTGTTGCACGTCGAGGCTCCTACGGAAGAAACGTCCCACTCCACTAACCCCAAGCCCATCCTGCACAGCTGTTCAATCCCAGGAAAGAGGACCTGGAACGCAAACCCGCCCGTTCAATAATGCTCATTGTTCTTTTGTTGCATGTCGAACCTCACGGTTTGAAACTCCGTGCCAATGATGGGTGGCAGGATGGAGTGTTGGATATGTGGGTTTGAACTTGTGGATGCGGGCGTGAGCTGATGATATCTTGGTCGCTGGTAGCTTGGTCGGAGGCTCTAGAATTGCTCCTTGGAGAGGTATTGTTACATTTGTTGCATTTCGAACACCACGGTCTCACTTTCCGTACCAATAACGATCGTTTATAAGTGTTTTGCTTCATGTTGGGATAGATGAGTTTTGCGAGAGATTCATGGGTGAGAAGAGATCTTGATCGTGGGATCGGAGTGGAGCTCCGATTTGGCGAAGGTTTGGAGTTGTGATTTTTCGATCTGGAAATTAGGCAGGTGGGGACATGTATCTTCGGGGCTTAGGAAATTGAATATATGGAGAAAGTTTACGGTGAGGATGGGGTTGTCATGCCACGTGCGTGCGTTGAGTTTGATTCGCGGTGCTTATGGCGACTTGTTGACGTCGATGTTGCTGATGGGAAATATTTTCCGGTGCAATGCATGTCAGACTGATGCTGTTTTATTAACCCGATCGTCGAGATGTAGCTTTATCAAAACTTCGAGAATTTATTTTATGATACGATTCGGTCCTTGTTACGATGGTAGAGTGAACATTCTTATAAGTATAAAGGTGGTCGTTGTCTCTCTCAAAATCCAACAAACGACATCACAAAAAGTCAAAATATATTGGGATTATTTTTATTACACGACACTGCTAGCTCTCTAGATCCATTAGCCTTTTTTTCCGAGCCATCCTGTCGCCCCACTTTCTTAGTTATTAGAGACCATTAAACCAACTTGCTCGCTATCGAGTCAGGAGGAGTGTAATCAAAAGACTAGTTGAGTAGTTCCTGCAAGTGAATATTATGTCCTTTTTCATCCACCACTACCACTTCATCGTTAATTCGTCAAAGGCTCTTCCAAACCCCACTGTTTCCTCAAGCTTTTGCTGAACAACCTGGAGCTGTGCCGGGAACAGGTGAAGTGGCATATTGAAAGGTACTCCTTTGCCCAGTTTGTGGTGCATTCTCCAATGCAGCCATCTCGAATGGAATACAGCTGCTTTTGTGTGCAATAGCGGCAGCAAAGACTTGATAGACACCTGAATCTGGAGTATAACAAGCCACCCAAGAGGCTCCACGAAATGTGATAGCGGCATAAGCTGATTCGCCCGGAGGAAAGTACTCGCCGCGAATGAATGCGTTTGCATAGCCATCTGATGGAGGCCCATCACCAGGGAAAGTGAAAGCAAGTTGACCTGCGAAAGCTACATATACTTGTTGTCCACCTGGTGCATCGATGTCCTGGTTCTCGAGTTAGAGGACATGCGAAAATCTTGTGGGCCTTGAACATACCATTGAGCCGCTTGCTTTGTTTTGATTAAAGTTGATTGCTGTGATGTTGGAATATGTATCACAGCCCGCGAAATCCGCACATGGTCCAATGGTAGTCTTTCTACCAATGAAAAAGCCTCCGTATACAGCGTTAATCAGCTGTCCATCAAGAGGCGAGCCGGCTAGCTTGACAGTAGGGGTAACTCTACTAATCCAGTCGTTTCCTCCAGTTGGGAGCGGGAGTGGTGCTGCTGAAGTTGCTTGTGGGGCTGCTGCTACGACAGCAACGAATACAGTGAGAGATATGAAGGCCGTGGAGAGCATTTTGAATTCTTGTAGATGAGCTTGACGGAGGAGATCAAAATGTGACTTGAGAGGGAAATTGAGACAAGCGCGTATCTTGAATGTTAGAAAGAAAATACTGGCGGGAATATTAAATATATATCTTTGGCCTCCTATCCAAATTGACATCTCTTCACTTCGTTTGCATAGAACAAGCCACCAAAAATGTATATAAGCGTGAGAAATTTAATACGAGAATGCGATACAACGTAAAAACCCTTGCTTTTCTCCACACAATTGAATCAATTTCTTTAAATAAGTTCTTCCGAGAAGTGTGCCGCATCAGGCTTAATGGGAAAGTTGCCGCCCAAACAATTTACCGTAAAGGTTCATTAATCCGCTCTTGGCACGTAGGATCATGGGCAAATAGTCGAGTAATAAGATACGAACAGGCATATCAGTACCTGGAGATCTTTTCCAAGTGGGCTTAAGTGACGGGTAGGGCCTAGTGCATCGCATTTATGCAGGTCAGAAGCGTTTATTATTGGTAAGTTGTTGCCTAATGGCGGGGACTGAAAGGGCATGACGTCCATTTTCGTAAAGATTTACGAAATGATTTTCGAGATCTTCTTGGAATGGTTCGTGAGTGGCAATACTGCACAAGTTTGTGGAAGGTTTAGCGCCAGGAAACAGAGACACGACGTAAAGACGACGAATTGAAAAAATGACGTCGATGAGGTTATTCAAGTCGTGGTGTGGAATGAAGGTTGGAAGAAAAAGCTCGTTGGGTTTTACCCAAAGTCCTCACGCGGGGCGAATTAAGCGAGTTTCAGGTTTAGAACCCTGTAATACAAACGTGCTTATGCGTCATGAACGTCTGATGTTGAAGAGATTCGAGAAACAATTGAAGAAATCGAGAAATGCTTGTTAAAAAGAGAGAGAAGAAAAGTTTAATGTAAGCCATAGCTTTTACCGATTCTTGCGTTCCCTCCCCAACAGTGATTGAGGACGCAAAATCAGACTTCCTCGAGGTGTTGTTAGCAGTTACAAGACGGCAAGATCCCAAACGCATGGTAATCATGAGCTAAATACCGACTGTGCCTCTTGGGTTTTTGAAATGCATAAAGCTTGCATTCATCTTACAACCTTCCCCTCAGCTCATTCTTACAGGCTGTTGCCTAAACAATTGTCCGTCCAGAGTAGCAATTTGGCTTTACAAACGCTTAGAAGGGTGAAATGGCAACCCAAATCACTTTCCAGCGATCGCACAATGAAGAACCATATCCTAGTTCGGAACGAATGTTTGAAGAGAAATTCACATCCTTCGGCCTTTCAACGGAACGATCACCCAATTCGTTGATGACAATTTGTCGTCAGATAGCGGTTCTTCTGGCTGTACATGGCTTGATCGCGGAATCGGTGGACCTAATTGAACTGAGCGATAAGTTCTCTCGAAATGGAATCGTGCTCTCTGCAAGTGGCTTGTATTTTGCATTCGAAGCGGCGAATGTATGGCCCTGCACGGTCCCTGAAGAACACAAAACTGTCGAACATCTGAACTCCTTGGACACTGATCCACTTGGAGATTGGGGGAACATAGTCATAGACCCACGTGTAGACTGTCCACCACTTTCTGTGGATGAAGAAGGCCTGACAAGACTTCTAAAATACATCAACGGGGACCAGAAAGAGAGACTCGCTTATCCCAGTGCGCATTTTCCTGGTCGAGTTTGTATTTTATTCCTGGCAGATGCACGATCCATGGCAATAGACTTCGCTTTGCGATTGGGCCACGAAGATGAAGCGGAAAGGCTGCTTGTTGGTCATGGAACAGATCCTACATCTGTAGCCAAATCTAGAATCGCTTGGAGGTTGTTGAAGGATGGTAAGATGTTTAGTCGAGCAAATGTAGAGGAAGCTCGAGTGCAATACCGACGGCTCAGAGATGTTCTGAACAACCGCTTAGAGAAAGGTCCACTTGATCTTTTGAAGGACAAGACGTTACTGGAGTTGGTGGAGTTATTGGACAAGCACACAGTAGCACATGATGATGGTGATGAAGATGACCATCTTGAAGAATACAGGCTGCGCGACTTCCGAGGTAATCGCAGTATTCGCTACGAACCAGCCACGAACTCCCAAATATCAACATTGGAACACAAATTAAACACTACCCTTCCAGATGATTACAAAGACTTCCTCAAGATATCCAATGGGCTTCGATTCATTTGGAACGGCTACTTCAGGCAGGGATTTCTAGGCCAATTGAGCGACATCCAAAAGGGCGAACACATCCTACAAGGGAGCGATGCTCTCGAATTCTCTCTCATGGAGTGGTCCGAGCTACCTTTCAAGGTGGAATGGCCGAAGCTCGATCAGCAGCAGGCTCTGCATGTCAGCAGCTTGAATGAGGAAGGAGATGTATGGATTGTGGAACCGAGTCTGGTGACTGAAGCGAAAAAGGCGTTTTGGGATGTGTATAATGATCCTGGCACGAGTGAGGAAGCCCGGACAACTGCCTTCCGAGTGGTATCTGATCACTTTGGGAGTACTGATGGTTTTAATGATATGGAGTGGGCTGTTGTATCGTGGACTCATTGGGGGATGACGATGCTGGTTTGGAAGTCTTTTCGGGATTTTTTGGAGCATCTTGTTGTTCAAGGTGGAAAGTGAGGTGCAATGATGTATCTCTCCTGCAAATTGATGAATGTGTAGCTGAAATCTTTTGGTCGCATTCTAAAATCTCTAAACATATGTCCGTAGCCGTGGGGGTGGGTTGATTGACTCCACTACAGGCAACTGCAAATTATCCATCAAGCGTATGTCACTCTCACGACTCATGAGAACCAAATCACAGCGAATATGATGGTGAGTTATGTTGACCTCATCAAGTGATGCCCCCATCCAACTTAACGAATCTTAGCAGAGGCGAACACTTGTTGATTCTCAATATGATTCAAGCGTGTAACCAACGACTCTTCATTAGTTTTCATATTCTAAGATTGTGATACATGCATGATTTTTCATCCTCCAAAATGTCATCCTCCACAACTGACGCTCCCACACAATGGGCTAGCATCACTAGTTTTAACAGTCTGCATTCCCATCGATAATAACATTGATTCCCACATCGTCCAGGAACATCTGACCACAACAAGTCGAGCAATGATTCATAATACTACTGACTGACGATTTAACCTTATCAAGTCCTTGTTGCTTGTCGAATACTGTTTGGCCCTAGAGAACCGTTACTTAGGTTCTCAAGGGAAAATGGGTGATGGACTTACTGTATTACAGACCCTAATTTCTGAAGCTGAGTTGCATGCAAGCTGCTTACAGGTTCCAGTTGGGGTATTTGGATCACTCTGTTCTTCAAAAAGTATTCCGAGGGTGCTATCTACTTTCCCTTTAGTGCTGTGCTTCCAGGGCTGTCCAGGTACTGGGCAGCAAATTGTAGCTTTCTGATCTTCCTCTGTCGACTTTTGTCGGGGGGTGAGTTCAGCTTGTAGGTCTTGAAGCACTCTGTTAGAAATTAGAGCAACTTTTTCGTCTGCAGATGCTTGTGCTATGGTCTGTCAACTTCGTCAGTTTCGGTAGGCCAGTATTTATCTCTACGACTCACTACAGCGAGGAAGCTAAGCAAGGTTAACAGAAAGGATAAAAGAAGCATGATAAGATGTGATTTGAAGGATTATAATATCCAGATAGATCTACGGTTGTTTAAAGGTTTATTATAATGATGGAAGTTTAGGGAAGTTGGTGGACCTCAATGTTGGGATCGTCCAGCCTTTTATAGATGTAATAACTCCGAAGCGATGTGACTAAACTTTAGATGCGCACATCGTTCGAATTATTTATATACTGTGGGTCTAAATTTATACTCATGAGTCCGCTGCGGAATACTTGAGCACATTTGCGGGTTCTCTCTGATTACTTCATTCGTACTGAACCATACTCATGCCACCACTTATGATTCATTTTTTGTAAGGAGCAAGGTAAGAGTATGTGACAAAATTCTTTGGCACCAAGACTCGTGCTCATACATTTCATGAAGCTCGATGAACACGATAGTGCTGAAACGGAAAATGATGGAGCTATACGAAACGTGTTGTATGCTGGAATTAAGCGAGTACCCCCCTCCTCAACGAACCGCTGCAACTATCACAACTTTTCTTCTTCCACAAGACTCATGGGAGCAAATTCTGTGCTGGTTGAACTCCATGAGCTTCACTATGAATCAATGATTAGAGTGATATACTAGTCATTGGAGTTAGGAACGAACATGACTATCTCTATCCATACATATATATGCATCTGGTAGTATCCCAACCCCTATCATAGATCTAAAAGAAACAGGGACAATAATGCTGCTGGTACCCGGCAGTAATTTATTCCAGCTTGCATCTGAAAGATGAGCATGATAAAAACTACACCGACTATCATCTGGATTTTGCATTAGTTTGTTTATTTGTATCAGGGGGTTAGACATATGTCGAAATGATGAGCACCTTTACCTAAACAACGATTTGTGAGTTTCACTGACTTCATCGAAGTGTCACGGTGTCACCCATGTTGGTGGATCTGAGTAAAGATGAACACTTCTTATGTTGCTAGTTCTCAGAACATGATTCAAATATGATTTACTCTTCATTGTGTTTCATCTTCTAGGAATCTGTCACATGACTCTACTTCCTGAATTAATCTATCTTGGGACCCGAACCATGAACTGGAGCATCTACATTCTTCTCGCAAGTTGCACCCCCAGCAATAATGACGTTGAATCCCATTGAATCGGCAAATACTTGTCCACACGAGTTCGGGCAGTTGTGTAGAGTACTATTGACATAAGCACCAACCAGACCAACTCCTGCGTCCAGGTCGATCCTTTCATCCGTGACCTGAAAACTTGTTAGAGAACTTCGGAAAGTAAGATCGCAGACTTACTGCTGTAAGGTTTGTATTGCAGAAAATTATCTCGGTAGATTTGTCGCACCACATCTGCTTACAAGTTTTTGGTGGGGGAAGTGGCTTGGGTTTTGCTTTAAACATTTTGAGGTTGTCTCGGACTGTTTCTTTAGAGCTGGCCTGCCAGGATTGACCAGGTACTGGGCAGCAAACGGTGTTGCTCTTTTCTCCTTCTTCCCACGTTTCTTTAGCGAGCGCAATTTCTTGGGGTGTCATCGTAGGCCACGGGTGCTCTTCATTTGGATATGCATGTGCTAACGTCTGTTAAATTTGTTAGCGCCAGTATGCCTTCATGGCTCTAACTTACTGCAGCGAAAATGGCAACCAAGGTCGCCAGAAAGGAAGTAAAAATCATGATCTAGATTTGTAGCGTCGTAGTAGGAAGAATTTTATTCTAGACAACTTTATTTGATGTTATTAGAGGGTCTTTAGTGTCGTGGGTAAACTTGAATGTTGGTGGATCTCAGGCTTTTATAGATTTTGTAGACCGGCTCCGTGTGAATAAGCTTTCGAATTACTGGGTGATCAGTATGTAAATTCATGTGATTTTTAGCTGAGGAAGACGGATGAGTGTAAGGTGGAGCGGTTCGAGCACACCTGTCAGTTCTCTCCACGTCCTCGTTCCTCATTATTTTGAACCCTATTCATACCATCGCTCATGAGTCATTCAAAGTTGATACGAGGCATGCGAAGAGAAATCTAGGAAAGCCACAGCACTACCATGTCTTTTATGATGTAAATCAAATGCGACAGCAATAGAGTAGATAATGAAAATCGAGCTAGGAAGATCTATAGTCGCCGAATTAAGCGAGAACCCCCCCTTTTCTCTACCAACCACGAAAATCATCTTACCATTTTTTCAATTCCACAATAACATTAGTAGAAATCTGTTGCCTAATACAATTTATTGTTTTATTGGAGCCATCAAGAAGCACTAACGACTGAGATTGCACATAATGGTAATTAGTTCGATGTTCATCCGCACATGTCATAGCATTTAGCCCATATGATTAACACGACAAGGAACAGAAGAAGATACATTTATACTCACCCAAAATACAATGATTTTAGTTTGAGTGTTGCATAGATTTGGCGACTGTTGGTCATGGTCGAGGCACGTGTCGAACTTGGTGAGTTGGCACTATTGTTGAGTCGCTTTGTCTGGACAACAACTCACCAAAGTCTCATTCTTGACAGTAATATCCTTCATTGTTAGCAATATCTAACACAGCACAACTATCACTCATAGCTCAAGCCGGGTATAAATTTCGAGTTTCCCTCTACGAGCTTTCTCACCAAATCATTGTCCTTCAATGAAATACCATAAATTCGTATCTCACAACCGCAACATAAAAGTCAAATTGTTATCCTCTTCGCTATACTTAAGCTGAATATGTATACCATTACCTTCATCAGGAGCATCCTGAGAACCCTTTTCGCAGGCTTGTTGATCTCTGTGTCGGGTGCAAAAATCAATCAAAAGCGCACACCAACGACACACCCAAAGTACACTCCACTATGCCGTCCTGCCGGGGGGCAACCATCTTTGGAAGGAAGTAAAATCGAGAATTTCAATGCCAACATCGCGAAAATCAACAACCAAACCCTCTCACTTGAAATTCCACCAAAATCGTGCGAAGATATTCTGTGTACTGTAGATTCAAATATCCAGCTTTGCAATGAAGTTAGTCCTATTATTTCTTATCGCTCTCATTAATAGACTGTTATCCCTAAATTGCTAACATTTCCATCCTTGCAATAGAAAGAAGACATGAAAACCGTTGATAAGGCTGTTCTTCTTGATATGTTGGACAGTATCAGGGCTTACTGTGTGGATCCGAGATTTTACGGGCAAGTTTCTGATGGCAACGGCATCAATGTTGTCCACAGCACGAATTGCAATTTGACACCAGCTTCACCACGAAGTATTGCGCTGGAATTTGAAGACCGTTAATTTCAGACGTTTGGTGTTAAAAAAGCAGCGATTTGGACGGGAGACGATCGGAGGACTTTTGTTTAGAGATTCTAGGGTGGGATTGTACGAGTAATAAGTAACATATAGATCGATGGTTTCTTCAAACTCTTGTTTTGGATCAAATTCATACAGGAACTCATGAGTCGTTTGCATCCAGTATGAGACGTGAGAAAAGAAACCACAGAAATCTACAACAAACCATTTTCTCTTCTGATGTAGATCAGTTACGGAAATACAGCTGAAAATGTGAATTGAATTACATGTATAGACACCGAATTAAGCGAGGAGCACCCTCTCTCTTCGATTCGTGAAAATTCTCTTACCATTTATTTCTAGTTCTATAAGAGCCTTCGTGATAAGTCCGGTGGTTACTGCTTATTATATTCTTAATGTGATTATTCAGCTATACTAATAACTGAGATTATATCTAACGATAACTCGTTTCATGTTCTCGTATTCCGTTTGACCTAAGAAGGAACAAAGAAAGACACCTTGATACTCACAATTTACCGATGTTGATCTCTCATAGATAGAAAACTCAAAAGCGAAATGGAATATGAATCCGGTTTTACATGGGTTTGGTGACTGTTAGTCGTGGGTTCGGCACTTCTCGAGTTAGTACCATTGTTGAATTGCTTTGGCTGGACAACAACTCACAAAAATATCGTCTCTGTCAGTAATGTTCTCTCTTTTTATTAGCAATATACAACTAACCACAATCATTAGTCACAGCTCAAATCCGGGCATAAATATCGAGTTCTCCCTCTGGATCTTTCACTTCACATCTCTCGACAGCTCATATACAAATAAAACTTACCTGACAACTACCACACAAAAACCGAAGTATTTAGCTTAATCAGCTACGCTATATACAAACCTTCAAAATGTATACCTTTGCCTTCCTCAGAGGCGTTCTAGAGCTCTTTTTCGTCGGCTTCTTAATTTCTGTATCAAGGGCAAACATCATCCAAAAACGCCTACCGGCCCAACTCCAAGCCCCAACTTTCTATACCTATTGCTGCCCTGTAGGAGGTCAATCGCTTGACCCAGGAAGTAAAGCGGCGGATGTCAATTCCAACATCGACAAGATCCGATCGGGAAACCTGACACTGGAGGTCGAAGCAAAGTCATGTAAAGACCTCGTTTGCACCGGCGATTCATCTGTTCAGATTTGTACTGAAGTAAGTCATATCACATACCGACGCAAGAATTCCTGTATTACCACTTTAAACTTACTGATATTTGGCTTGCAATTTAGAATAATCAAAAGACACCTGGTAACAAGGATCTTGTCTCAGCAATGGTGCAGGCTATTAGTGTTCAATGTTTTGGTGCGCCAACCGACAATTGTGGGCAGATCTTTCATGAAACGGGCATCAATGTTATTCTCAGCAAGAAGAAATGCGGTTCATGAGGAATCATGAATTAGTAACGGTCTGTTTTAGGAAACAATTTAAACAGGCAACGACGGGAGGACTTGTGTTTAGAGATTTCGGGGTAGAACTATACAAGTAATAAGTGGCATATAGATCGTTGGTTTTCTTAAAACTCTTGTTCTAGCGAGATCACCACGTTATTTCCCAAGTGATCAAAATGTGTCAAAATTCCTGAAAGGGGAGGGCAAGTTTAAAAGCTTGGGTTGCGATTCGTGAAAGCTCAGATGCAGTCACATAATTGACTCGATGTCATAGCGTAGCTTCGTCTGCACTCACGAGTCCCATGTGAATTGGACTTGGTGGGTGAGCAATGACATCTTTCCTTGTCAAAATAATAAGACATGACACTTGTCATACTTGATATCTCTTCAGATCTTAGTCATAAAGTGTGACGAGAAACACGTCGCTGACTACTTGAGCATCGCTTTGGCCAACCCAACACATCACAAGTCTTGAAAATATTGCTGTGAGTGCCACTCTCGAACAGATTTCTCTAACCGTCCATCGTTTAGTATTTATTAGCACGTTTCTGATTCTCCCAGCATTATCCAATACAGACGACTGTGCAAGGTCTTTTGAAATATTTTACACTGTCATAAGCGATAGGAGCAATCTGCGCGCTCCGAACACCACGAAGAATGGACGGCGAGGACGAGATATATTATGTATTGGCAATATTCGCAACCAAAATTGTGTCGGCAGTATCTGACGGATTTGGGAAAAGTAGAACACTGGTCTCCGGTACTGTTACCATGCTCACTGGGTTGATAATGGGCTCCAGAAAGAACTCTGAAAGCGCTGAAGAAGTCTGATCAGTCTCCGCGAGCGAGAGGTGGTTGCGCGCATGTTTTCTCATTGAGCCTCGAAATAACCCCGATGTCCCAAGACTGTATGAATGACAGAAAGAAGCTTAAACTTACGTACGAGTTTCCAGATTAGCCTAACGGCGAAAGGGTTTGCGCACGTAGATGAGAACATTTTAGACTGTTGTGGGAGCTTAGGGAGGAGTTTACTTGATCTGTCTCCAGCGGTGTCAAAGTGATGCAGTATGTGGAACCCAAGATACTCTGCCGTACGCATCGGTAATACGGTCACTGAAGTCTGGTGACCACACCATCTGGATTGTTCAAGGACCGTTTCGTGGTACAGTGAAGGTGGTATTGTCGCTGCTTATGTTTCACTTTTTTGAAACAAGATCGCATGCCTAGCACAATCCTGTCAGTGTTATTATTACTTCTTTATACCTAAGACATTCAAATCAAAATGCTTTTTCATCATCATTAACTTTGGCTCACAAGCCTCATGCCTGCCAATTTTGCTAGGGTTGGTCCTGAAGTTGTTGGCCGTGAATTGAATGCTGGAAATTGTATATCAGACAGTACGCCTACTTTCCTTGAGCCAACTGCTTTGCCGAATCCATGACTCAACTTCCGATCAAAGTACTCGCTTTAACATGATTTCTAGCCACAGTCGTCTGCAATATTGAAATCAAGCACTGCTGCCCTGGTTTGTACTGCTATGTCGCCGCTGAGTTTGGGCCTGGCTATTGCAGGAAGTCCATCAATGTGAGCTTCGTTCAACCATATGTATTATCTCTGAGCTGAAACACGGCGAAGTGAACGCAAGATGAAGGAAGGGCAATAACCGAGGTTTTGTAATCCTACCTTTCGAGTTCATCCGGTTGCGCCATCAAGTAAATATAAGCTTTTCGGAACCCATTACGATACATACTTGACGTTCATTTGGCTTGCAAACGAGCTTGAGAACAGAAGTTGATGAAGTCCCAAAGACAGCTAGGGCAGAATTGCCAGTAACAACTCGTGGAAACTTGGGCATGCGTCGAGCACCCGCTTTCGGGAGATCATTCCATCCATCATGTTACACAGCCTAGCTACCGACCACACGATACCATCACACGGTTAGAAACCGCAAACACAGCATATGTCTCTATCCGCCAACCCCGCATCACATTCTCCAGCCTTCGGAATATTCGCGCAAGTCCTCCTGTGCTGGACTTCTAACCTTTCTTTTTGACTATTCGACCAATTGACCTCTTAAGCCTGTTTTTAATTGAACCACCTAACGAATAAATTATCCCTCGTACAAGATCTAAAAGAATCATTATCAAAATGTCAGTTGGTCGAGGTTTCGCTTTTGCAGCTCTTGCATACATGGGCAACGACAACGTGTCTCCGAATACGAGGAAGAGCCAAACCAGCAAACAGACCGAGAAGGCAAGAGTGTTACCCCATCATAAGCGTCGATTTAACTGGCATTTGCAGACCTCGCTCCTTCCCGTCTCGCGAAGAACCGCAGAGAAACAGAAAAGTACAGTTTGTAACGAGAAATCCGGTATGTCTAAATTTATTATGACGAAAGCCGAGGCAAGGACATACATCTATGAAATATTCTGACAGGGCTTTAGCTTCTTCGAAAGAGACCAGCGACAGAGGTTGGATCGATTGGTGTCTCCCTGAGTGGCGGTCGAGGTCCTGGGCCTTTTTGTGACGAGAAGGCTGCAAGTTAATTAGAGGGCATGAAATAATGACACGAGGAAATGACTTGATGATTTTGAGCACTTTGCCTAAATCATTCAACATTGAATGATATGACAGATACTATTAATAAAAATATTCTTTACATTTCATCATATTATACACCTAGATTAGTTTACAGAAAAATTCACAATACATACTGCCTTCGCTCACGGCCACTCATCTTGGTAATATCATACCGTCTGCCACCCGGGTGATTTGGTTTGAACTCCTTGAACTGTTGATCAAACCGTCAGTCTTTCGAAACCAACGGAAACAGATGTGATCGATAATTACCAGCTTCTTCCAGTCCCATTTCGATCGCCATTCCTTTTCATCGAATCCATCTTCATTCACCTGGCCTTTCTTCCTCCAATTTTCGATGTCTTCTTGACTGATGTTGATATCAACCCGGGGTACGAGTTTTACGCCGGCCAAGTCAGCAGCTAGGACAATATCTTCCACATTCTCAGTGTCAAAATCCGCCGCGGGGTCTTTGTAAAATTCAAGAAGAAGTAGGGTCATAGTATTGATGTTGAACGCTGGGGTATTTTCCTTTTTTACGAGATCGTGTTCGGAAAGGACCTCGAGACAGGTAATGTACATCGGGATGAACATGTCGAATACTTCACCGACACCGGGGCCATTCTCATTCGCTGTCACTTAAATTAGCAGGCACAAAAAGTAGATCTAGTTCTAAAGCTTACAAATTAGAGCGAATAAGTCTCCTAGTTTAAGCCATGTCACAATTCCTTCGAGGTGTGACCACTTTTGAAGAGGGGATATATTCTTCTTGAACAGATCCTTGTTGAAATCCGCAAGCTGCGAGTGAAGTCTGTTAATAAAGTGATCTTGCATCATGAGCTAAAGATAACGTCGCCACTCTCACAACGAACGTCTTCCACGTCGCGGACTCCACATATCAAGCTAAATCCGAACAGCCGTTTGTGAGGCAATCCTGGCGATAAATAACAAACAAAACTTACCGCATTCTCCAAAACCTCCGTAGCACCCCAGCCGCTCCAATCAGTATAAATATGCATGTCAAAAAGGTCCTGGTCTCTGGCATTGCACTCCTTGACAATGTTTAAAAATCTGTCAACACCACTCCGGGTGACACAATGCCCGGCTTTGAAGACGCTAGGGAGATATGCATTCCTGTTATTCTCACCATAGACATCGATTTGCGCCTGAGTCGTAATCTTCTCCTCATCTTCCAGACCTGGGAGCTTCTCTTTCTCCGTGCCTTCTTCTGGCTCTGCAGATTCCTCCTCATCGGATCCCTCATCGGATCCCTCATCTTCAGATTCCCCTTCATATTCTTCGGCCTCCGCGATTGGCCATTTGCAAGCGACTATCTTAGGAAATTCCTTTTCCAGCTATATGACTTCGTCAGCTTATACTGGGCATGAACAGGCATGAAACTCCGTATTCACAACGGGACCTACACTATCCTTGTTCGAGTACTTGAAAGTCCTCTTTTCTTCACTCTTCTTAGTTGCTGTTCCCGTCGCCGTTCTTTTTGCCTTCTTAGCACTGCTCTCCGGTAAATTCGCGATCACGTTAGGGTTCGAAGCAACCAACGGTGCTTTCCGTTTGGTTCCTTTAGGAGGCATTATAATAAAGCCCACTTTCAATTGAACGAGACTATTCAGGAGATTGAGACTTAGGCGTTAATTTAATACCGATTCTTTTGCGATAGTACTACGTCTAGGTTAAATATTGATATGAGTTAAGTTGGATTGGAGTGACCAGAGGTTACGTCATGCCGGCATGAAACGCGTGTTCACGTGAGGGATCAAAACAACTTTTTTGGTACGATTCTAAGACTAAATGTTATCCAACATTTGGAAAGCCAAATGAACTTCAGGATTTGAGACTGCTCCTAGTTATGTTCATTCAGCAACCTCCGAAACCATGGCATCGTTTCGAGCATATTCTCCTCCCTGAAGACTCCTACAAGGACTTTCAACCCACGAAATCAAAAGGTGTAGCAGTCAGCTTCTGGCGTTGGGCAACCCTTTGGGCAGCTTATCGACAAATACAGTCCCGAAAGCGATCGTAGTACAAGGAGACTTAGCTAGGGCCATCCGCGGTTAGGTTGTTCCTTTCCCAGATTTCATTCTTATGCAGACATGGCTGGGATATTTTGTACGTAAATCTCTAGCCGCCGGAATGACTCCCTTTTAACTTCTTGTGCTTGTTCATGTTCGCCCGCTCCATTGAATGCGTCTTCGAGCAGCCACAGTTCTCGCACCACTTGGGGATCTGCTTCACCCTGCAGATACTCACGGAGAGAGACCACCATACGCAGCCGCTCGATTATTGAAGTCGAGGACGCATCCGTATTTTCAGCTCCGACGATGTTGACCTCGCTCATCAACGATGCCGCCATGATCACGCAAGCGACGGGGACGGCCTGAATGCGGGGTGCCTTCATCACATCTCGCCCAGGGCGAAGTGAACATTCAAGCATGATGTCTGGCCGTTCTTCAAGTACTTTGGTCGCTACCAGACCCGCCAGAATGCCTAATAACGTCCCGCTACCGGCGTCAGAATCAACGCCATTCTCGAGGATTAGATCCCAACGTTCTCGCAGAAGTGCAATGCTACTCGCACGAAGATTCCCGTGCAGTGGTGAGGCGTGGGCGTTCGTATGAGGGGTTAACCGATGCTGCAGCTCGAAAGGATTGCCTTGAGCTGGATGTGTGGCGGCAGCGGCGGACTTCTTACTTGCAGCATTAGTTTGGCTGAGCCACTGGACCACCGGGTCCACAACAGCCACGGGAAGCTTGATAGAACATGAGTCCCACAACAGGCTCCAGTAGAGTTGAATCAGTTCAGGGTCGAAATGGTCGAAGAGAATCTGCGCATTGGAGATCCATGCCTGCTCAAGCAAGAATAGAAAAGCATGAGAAAACGTGTCAACGGCGATGATTGTTCCGCCACTGGTGGAAGAACCTGATAAGGAGGACCACAAAGACGGTGAAGAGCTGGGTACCAAGTCTCTTCGATCCTCGGCCAGTCGCCACAAAGCTTGCAGCATGGTAGACAGCGGATGAGCCTCTGGCATCCTGTAATTTTTGGCCAATGCAATCAGATGGACCAGTAGCATCTGGAAGAGCTGTCTGTGGTTTAACAACACCATGTTGTACATGATTTCGAGCAGGTTCCATATCAGCGCTGGGCTTTCGAGTGTGAAAAGATCCTCGATCAGGAGAAATGCCTTCCGTATCGTCCTACCTGCCAGCATCCCGTGTCCTCGGTTCAGCAGGTCAATCGATAATTTGAATGCAAAGCTAATCTCTTGAGCTTCGACGGTCAGAGGCGCCCGCTGTCGAATAGTTTGCAATCCATCAAAGAACGCCACACTCCAAGTTCGTACGCTTGTGAAAAACATAAGCTTTAGGCTGTCATTCGGTCCCAATCCGAGGGGCAGCATTAGTATGGAGCATGGCTCCCCCACCACTGGTGAGTGAGATTTTGAGTTTCTACATCTTTCGAGCCTTCTCGATAAGCGCTGTACATCTGTCGTCGACCGTCTTGTTGACTTCTGAAACCCCCACTTCGCGAATCTCTTTTTGTACATCTGCTCTCTACGAGGATAGGTTAGTCAATTTCACGGGGTTCTTTTATTTATCTTCCTTTTCCTCTTACTTACGTCGCTTTGAAGCCATGCTTCTTTTCCATGAATTGTATAATATACCGTAGCTTTCGACGCTCGCGAATATACAGTCGTTCAATCTCGGGGTAGGCGGTGGCCCACTCTGACTCGTCGTACACCTGAGCAGAGTGTGGCCTTGAGACGATTAAAGTAACTGGCTCACCCCCAGGGCGGGGGGCTAATATCGAAAGCCTCATATTGTAAGGATAATGTAAAATGATAACAGGTGCGCAACAAGGTAGGAGCGTGGGTATCTTTTTGACACTGAAAGCTTACTCGGCTAATAGGCACACAGGTGACATGAGGGATGGACGGGTGTTGATCTATTAAAGTCAAACATCTGCATCGAAAATTTGATCTTTTTCGAGGGGAATATGTCCAGAAAGAGATCATATTGTAAGAAGTATTGAGAATGAACGTTGGTTGTCTTCGCTTGTCTACGAGCTAACCAATGAGAATGCAGAAAAAAGTTCCATGCAGGACGACCAGCATTATTTAATACCCGGTTACCCCTGTGTTCGAACTTTGAATTTGCTTCCATCACGAAAGCTAACCGAGTATTATTACACTAGATGGAAAAACGTCCAAATCTGAACGAAAAGGGACCAAGGAGCGAGCAATGCAGTTTGTAATATGATTTCAAAGGAGTACTTTGGCCACCATGGCTATTGTCATCTCGGACCGGCATCTTATAGTTAAGTAAAACATGTTATATTTACTATACATATTTTAGCTAAAACTATTATATAGCTATAGTATAAGTATAAACGCCTCAAAACTACCGAAAAGGCTAAATAACTAGATACTATTCTCTCGGTAAAGTAGAAAATAAAAATAAAAAATAACAACTCTTATTTTCCTCTCCTCCTCTCCTCCTGACATCGTTTCCAAATTAGGTTAACGCTACGTTTAACCCGCAAACTCCTTCGTCATCTCCTCACAGTACGCAAAAAACTCAACCGCAAGACTCGTCCCACCATCCTCCTTCGACCTCAAGCTCGCCAAATGCTCCTTCTTCGGCTCCTTATTCCAGCGGCCCCAGGGGATAATATACTTCTCCCCATCCCCGCTCTTCACATCCACACTCAAACCAGCCCACAACCCCGTATACGCGCCCATCCTCGGCGGTTGGAAGATTGGCGCCATTAACGCACGCACGAGGAATGGCGTCCCATCCCAGCCAGGCGTCCGCAACATCTCAGGGCTCTGGGCAACAGCGACGACGCCCTCGGTTGCGTACCGGCGATCGAATTCAGAGGCGAGGAACCAGTTGCCGGCTTTCGAGGCGGCGTAGTTGCGGTTCATGTCGCGAGAGTGCTTACCTGGCTCGAGTTCGGCGAGGGAGAGCCCGCCGGGAGGGGAGGCTAGGTCGATGATTCCCGAGGAGGCGAAGATGATACGGATGCTGTTTTGGGGGGCGGATTGGGCGGTTTGGGTAAGGAGTGGGAGGAGGAGCTTGGTTAGGAGGTAGGGTCCTGCGAGTTGAATTAGCGTCGTGGGTTTCTACTGAGTTGTACATAGTATAGGGAAGAGAATCATATACCCAAGCAGTTAGTACCCATGTGAATCTCGTGTCCTTGCGTCGTTACACTCCCACCTGGCTGCCGACTGACCCCGGCATTATTAAACAGAACATCGAGACGGGATTCTTTCGCGAGAAAGGCAGTCACGCAGGGTGCGATGGTCGATAGGTTACCCAAGTCGACAATCAGACTGTGTAATTGACCTGCAGCTGTCGAATCTTTTGTCTGAGTGGCTGCAGCTGCTACTTCGGTTATGATTTCTTCAATTGCAGATTCGATCTTGGTTAGCGTGCGACCAGCAATGTAGACAGTGCCACCTTTTGCATATAGGATCTTTGCGAGTTCTCGGCCCACGCCTGAGTTGCCGCCGGTAACGATGTATACTTTACCGGCGAGAGAAGGGATTTGTGCTTCGGTAAAGTGAGGGTCCGGGGGGAATAGTTGGGTCCAGACTCCCATGATGATGGATGGTGGCAATTGGCAATGAAGATGGAGGAATGAACTAAAGAAGAATCTGTAGAAAGACTGGGACGGATAGAAAGTTTTGGAAAAGGAAAGCAGATTACATATTACATATTATTGACTTGAGGTCTCCAGGTTGGATGCTCGTGTCGTCCCCTGTCGATGGGAATTGATATGTTCACCTATTAGACGCATGAAGGGTCACATCGAACTTGGAAGCCAAACACCAACATTGGATTATTTAATTACCAAAAGGCGTAAGCATGCATGATCGCTAAGAGCGATATTGAAGGACATCCCTGAACATTGTTATCTCGAAGATATATATATTTGTTAGTTTGTATTTTGAACTCGTGTGCTCTACGGTCCCACGGCTTGTTTGTGTATAGGAACATAGAATAGAATAGTGAGAAAGAAGGTATAAACAAATCACTAACACATATCAAAGCTAGTCGGCCGCCCGCCCACATATTAAGTAATGCATAGTCTTCCGTCCGCAGCCACAGTCTTTAGATCACCCCCAACATTCACGGATCCCCAAAGCATATTCTCCGGGCCATATTTTTGCTTGATGGATAGTAACTGACCGTAGTTCACTCCATAATAATCCATTTTCCAATAGGCGTCGCTGAAGGAGGCCTCGTTCGGATAGTTCCCACCACCGGGCGTGAGCTTTCGGAAGGAATTCGTATGCCCGTCGACGGTCGCTTGCAATGTTTGTAGCTGCGTCGACGTGACGCCGGGAGACTGCGAGATGCCGAAAGGTCAGCATCCTGCCAGGCCGGGAGAACCGAATTAAATCCCGGGAAGTAAGGTGGTGCGCAATAACGCACCGTCTTAAAACTCTAATTTACCGAAAACACTAAAACGTTGATTTTAATACTTTATATAGTGATTTATATAGTGACTATTAACTATTAGGTAAATAAATTCCTGATAGATACTTCTAGTTATTCTTATTTAGCAACCTCCGAAACTATAGTATTGTGCCTAGTATACTCTCCTCCTTAGGCTCCTTTAAGGACTTTCAACCCACGAAACTAAAAGGCGTAGCAGTTAACTTCTCGCGCTCAGCAGACCTTGAACTAACTAGCTTAACGACAAGCATAGTCCCGAAATCAATCACAGTCTACATACCCAGCGTTAATCAAAAGTCTACGCGAGGAATTGAAAGCTTATCACGAGCCTCTGCTGCTCATTTCTTCCAACGATAGCTTTTGGTCCTCGCCCATGAGACTGTCATAATTGGGGAACGCTAAGCAGGGCTTCTATCATTTTCCCTCATACAGAATTGCTATCTTGGCCTCGATTTGGGATTTGTTGATCTGAAGTGGTTACGAAGACAGGCTATTGACACTTGAGAACATCTTACTCTGGGTCAAATTTATTAAGGAAAATTAAAGGTCTGCCTTGACAAAGATGTATTAACAATATACTGCGTTATTTCGAAGTCTTTATTGCTTTCAATATTAAGTCTAGTCGATTGCAATCAGTATCCTCGTTTGCGATTTTGCAGTTCATAGTTTCAAAGATCAAGACAAATCAACAATCTGTGTCTTGTTCGCGCTCTTGGTATCGTTATTTTCATGTCAATATAGAACTCGTCGCGCCTAAACAGAAGCAGAAACAGGGTCCTCGTACAACGACCGAGACGAGGTAAGCGAGAGCTGCAGTATTCCAGGTTCCCCTCTACTCATCCATTCAGGATTCAAGCCCCATGCTAAAATATCACATACATGAGTCACTCTCACACCGCTTACATATCAAGGAATCTCTATAAAATGCTCTTATATCATAGCAAAAATCCTACAAGTAAATAAAAATCAAACTCGATCTCCATCTGCTCAAAATGCCCTCACCAACCCCCACCCTCGTCAACATCGGCACTCACTCCCTGGCCCTATACGCCCACGGCCCCTCACCCACCCCCTCCCAACCCGTAGTCTTCTTCATCAACGGCATCGCAACAAGCAGTCTCGTCTGGGCAGGCGTCCTAAAACTCCTCCCCTCCACCCTCCGCAGCTACACCTACGACCGCTCCGGCTTCAGCGCCTCAAACCCCTCACCCCTTCCCCCCACGCCCGAAAATATCGCCCTCGAACTCTCACGGCTCATGAAAAACACACCCATCACCAATCCCTTAATATTGGTAGGCCATTCCTGGGCGGGCGTGCTGATACGGGAGTTCATCGCGCTCACGGGGGGTTCGCAAATCGCGGGGTTGGTGCTTGTGGATGCGAATCTGGAGACGTCGCTGCAGGTGCTGAACGTGCTTGATCCGCAGCTACGGGCGGTGTTTAAGGGCGTGGAACATTATGAGGGGAGTGGGATTGCGAGGGAGCATAAACTGACAAGCGAGGAGTGGGACGCGTTTATTAAGGATGAAAGGTCAGCGAAATTCGTTTTGCAAGCTGAAAATGAGAGTAAAGAGTATGAGCCCGGGTTTGGGACGCTTTTGAAGAAGGAGTTGGCGAAGAAACAGCCGTTATTGGGTGATGCGCCGGTGTTTGTGACTGGGGGCATGCGAAGTAGAGATTGGAATGGGTTGTATGCAGCGGGTGTAGCGAAGGGGAATGGGACGGAGGAACAGAGGAGGTATGCTAGGGAGATGATTGATGGGGCGGATGAGAAGCATATGGGTCTTATCCGAGAGCATTTGAAACTTTCTACAAGAGGTAAGCTGGTGTGGGCGTATGAGAGTGGACATTTTGTGCAGTTGACGCAGCCGGAATTGGTTGTGGAGGGGGTGGAGTGGGTGTTGGATGAACTGAAGGCTGGTTCTTAGACATTCAATTGAGTTTCAATGTTCAGTGGTCAGTATTTCGGGATACATGTGATTGCGCGTCTGCTTGGGTAAAGGTCTTCTCGGTAAAGGTCTTCTCGGTAAAGGTATATAAAGAGCAGACGCCTGGCAAATTCAACAAGCCTCAGACACTCATCCGAGTCTTGTATCACACAAGCATGTTTTCACCGCTCCGAAAACGTGATGGCGAGTCTCACAAGTACCACCAGGTTACTTCGTTGCACTACACAAGAGTCTTGGTTATTGTACGACAGTGACCCTCGTGGCTACCTAGATGTCACCTGATCGGAAACGTGTTTGACATAGGGGAAGTACATTGACGTTCGGGAGTGACGTGTAATAGAAATAGGGCAGGGACGGCGATACCGTTCGAGGGGCAGATCCGATTGGAAGAAATTATGCAACCATTGCAATTGGAACAAGGGTTTAGAGGGTATTAACTTTTGAATTTAGATCTTTAATAAGCTCATGCAATTGATTGCGGCTCTGGTATCATCCATCATCTACTCCGCATTCTATCATCAATCATATCCTTCCAGCTCTGAATTAGGTATGTGCTGTAATACAAACAAACGCAAAAACGACAATCCTCACTAAGTTGTTTTGCCCAAGAAACCAGCGGTATCATGGATCAACATACCAGCGATACTGGCAGAGGTCAAAGTGGAGATGACACCGGAAATCAAGGCGGACAAAGCAACCTTTGCGATGCGACCACCACGACCTGGGGCAAGTTGAGAAAGGACACCGATTTGGATACCGACAGAGGAGATGTTTCCGAAACCGCACACAGCGTAGGTTGCAATGAGACGGGATCGTGCAGTGAGATTAGCCCATTCGGCGTGATTTGCAAGATTGTCAAACTGCTCAAATATTAGCATGTGAAAAGGTGCACCAGTGGAATAGAACTTACAGCGACGAATTCATTGGCAACGACCTTGATTCCGATAAGTTGAGCGACCTTGAGAATATCATCTCCTTTGCGATCAACACCGAGGAGGAAAGCGATGGGGTAGAAGATGTAACCCAAGATAAGTTGGATAGTCAAGTGATGAATGGTGAGATATCTACCAATCCATCCTAGGATACCATCGACCAACCCGAGAAGGGCAAGAATGCAGAGAAGACCGGCAACGATCATACCAGCAATCTTGATACCCAACCAACCTCCGTTGGCAAAGGCGTGGAGAGAGTTGGCAGCGCGTTCCTCCTCGTCCTTGGGAATTGTGATGTGACCAGCGGTGAGAGATTCCTCGGTCTCGGGCCATCGTAACTTGGAGATGGCGAGAGATGCTGGAATACTCATGACACAGGATGAGACCAAGGCCAATGGACTGATACCCATAAAGATATATACGGACAAAACAGATCCTGCGATAGTTGCAAATCCAGAAGTCATAATCTGGTGGATCTCGGCATCGGTCAAATGAGGAATGAATGGCTTGATCAACATGGCAGATTCTCCCTGGCCAACGAAAGGAGATGCAGCAGCGACAACGGCTTCGGCACCAGAGACTCCCATGGTATAGAAGAAGAGGGTAGCGAACTTCTTGATGAACCATTGCAAAAGTCCCCAATAGTAGAGAAGTTGGACAAACGCAACGAAGAAGATAATCGGTGGGATGACTCCAACGAGGAACATGTGTGTCGCAACCACGTCTGCGCTGGTCAAGAAGGTAGTTCCGTTAGCAGCGTATCCAAGAGTAGTGGAGGCAATATAAGCAATGAAGTTGAAGATGTCGTAACCGGCCTTGGTGCGCAAAACGAAAAGAGCCAAAATAAATTGGGCAAGCATTCCGACGATAACCGTCTTCCACTTGACAAGGCTGCGATTTCTAGAGGTGACCCAGAAGCAGAAAATGAAGACCAAGAGTCCGAAACAACTGATGGCTCTGTTGGATCTGGTGTTGTCCGCGGTTTCTTCGGTAACAAAGGTACCAAGGATGATAACCGCAACGGTTCCAGCAGCTCCAAGAGGCAACTTCAACTTGTCGGGGATCATGTCGACTGGTTTCTTGACAGCATTGACAAAGACGAAAGCAATTGGCTTTGTGACATATTTCGTGGAAACGTGGAGAGTGACGACACGGACGGTAATGGCGAGGTAAACAAGGAATGGCTTGAGCCAGCCTTCCTTCTTGCGGGTTGGGAGGATCATGGCGGCGATGAACCATCTAAAACCATATCAGTACTGATCCTGTAATTGTAATTCTGAATCAGACGCAAACGTACCCAGTAATCACTAGCCAGATGGCGAGGTGGACAAAAATTCTGTATTTGCGGTAGAAACGACCGAATTTCGACGTCTTCTCCTCCTCTGCCTCCCCGTCGGCCGATATCGATGACTTCATGCCCATATCATTGACCTTCTCTTCATCTCCCCGGTCGCTGGAGCTGGTGTCCTTTACATCTTTGACGTCGACAGAGTAATCTGAATTTCCCTTCTGGTCGACGTAAGTTGGTGGTGGGGCAACTGGCGATGGCTCAATGCCATGCGCCGATGTCTGCTGAGTTGTTGACATTTCGACTGCAATAAGGCCGATTGTTGAATTGACCAACTCAATTGCTCTCCGTTGAAGGAAGCTGGTGATGAGAGAATAAACAGATCCCACGAAAACACAGAAAGTGAATTGGAGTGTGACCTCGGATGCGCTTTAGTCTAGTATTTAACCACCAAACCCTAGAGCTGCATCTCTGCACATCAACCCTTGGCCATCTTCGCTTGTCCACCGGGCCATGGCATGTCCCCACCTCCATATCAGTACCAAGACCGCTCTGCAGACCACCAACCTGGCGCGACGGTACGGCCGCGATGGATATTGGCGCTTCATTGGTTATATCCAGAGATAGTCGACATGGGCGCCGTATTACTGTAAGCTGTTTGGCTTTCTGGTAGGCTGATGCTCTGCGATAAGAGCTGGGGAAAGGAATAGCTTACCGGCGCCGTGATCTTCGACCTGCAAAGCGTCTGGACCGGTCAGGTAGCCCCGGCTCAAAGAACAAATCCAGAAGGTTTTGCCTCCAAGCTAGTTCTGATTCGTGTTGGCAGCACCGAGTTCGAAGAAAAACGCCCCTTCCAGCTCGTACTACGGGAACATTAATCCTAGTCTTGGGCCGGTCTCACTCCTTCAAATTATTCCACACAAACATCCTATCTCGATTCTCTTGCCTCTTCAATACCAACGATAAGAACACACGGCTCGTTCTTGGCAAACCGTCCATCGAGCCTCAGAGAGTCGCAGAATCGCTTTTGCGCCTTGAATCTTGGCCAGCTTTCCCTCACGGCGATGCAATCCAAAGAGGCAGGAGGTGAGCCTCTCACCACATTTGCCGCCATTTAAGGTTGTCCATGCTCCTCTAGACTGCGGAGAGTGGCCACTTCCGAAGCTACGAGCCTCGATGCTTGGAAGCGCCGGCTAGCTGGTTGATGGTAAATACTTACTCAAGAGAGCAGGAACGGTGAGAGGGGGGTAGCACGAGAAGGCTGCCTCGAGCATGCTGCGTCTGGGGAGTTCTGCGCAGTCTACGCGTGGGGTCAGACTGGAGAACGAGGAGCCGACAGACCAGACCAGACATCGCAGCAGAATCTCACCAAGTGATCGAGGCGACGAAGAAGACCGGCGCGTTCAGTTGCGGAGATCTTGCTCTCAAAGAGGAAGGAGGACAGCATAACTTTGGTTTGGCAGGACATGTCGTCGACTCGTCCCTTGTCTGTGGCGGATTAACCGCATTCTCTGGAGACATGGGTTTACATTGTTCTGATTTGCTGCAGCCAACCGGCAATCAACCATTGAAACATCCCTCCATCTCGGGAGCACCATCGCATCCACCTCGGCCCTCGACTGTTGCTCTGATTTCTGTTCTCAGCTCGACCAGTTGCTGCAGGAGCTGCACCCCTCTCGACCACCTACGAGTGCCATGCACGCTGTACGACTTGACGTATCCCATGAGCAAAAGCCAGCTGCAATGAACGACTGCATAATCTGAGCGATGTCAGAGGTCTACTGCAGAGTATCGGTGGAACGGTTCGCAAAACTTGGTCAAGAAAACCGCAAATGGAGTCTCCTTCGAATTCGTCTTGGCAAAGTGGTTCTTTCCCATCCTTATCAAGATGATCTTCGTGGCCATGAGATTTGGAAATGTGTCGCATGCTTACCATGTGAAATGGACACGGAGTTGACCGTGGGCGAAATGCGACATGCCAAACCTAGGATTTGGGCTTTCAAGCTTTATCAGTTGTGCCACCCAGATGCGTCGTCCAATTGCTTCCCAAGGAGCATGCTACGTACGGACTGTTTTGTAACCGGCTCGGGCAGATGAAGGATACATTTGCACGTACTGTGGCCAATCATCGTCGAACTACACTTGAATATCTTCGAATGCGATGTTGCCACAAGAATAACGGCTCAGCCAGGCGAATTGGCTGTCAGCAATGAGCTTTCGGACGTTCCATAGCCCTTCTATGGTATTACCACAATCAGTTGGCTGCGTCTGACGGTCTGACATGCATCTACGACCTGCTATCGATCGTTCGTCTCCATCAATTCGTCAATATGGTCTGCCTATCAGACCCTGTCGAACAATGTACACCAAAATCCTTCGTAAATACGCGCGATAAGAAATAGATGACAAGTCACGACGCTTGAGTATATAACAGCAAAGTTTGTGGCGCAGGTTGTCCAGTTGGTGGAAGTGGTACTTTAAGCTAAATTCTGGTCTAGTTTTGTCGCTTGGTCACATCTAGTATGTTAAGAGCTACGGTGCTGGAGCTCCAGTTATCCAAGCCCTCGCCCGTGAAACTTTGGTTCCGCTGCGACATTTTGATACGGGGAGTACTTTAGCAGAGTAAAGGGATACTGAGTCTCTTGCAGAATTACTTAATTCTCACGGCCTTTTCGCTGATCTTGAGGTGAAAGGTCTGGTTCTAACTCTGCCAGACCTGTGAGTGCCATCACATTCTGCCCCGGGATTCAGGTAGTGTTTGTCTTTGACATCATTCTTCATTCGCTTGCTTTTTATTGACTGTGGTTTTGTGAGGGGACATTGCTTTCTAAATGACAAAATTGCAATCTAAATTCGGTCAGCCTTCGACATACTACACGCGAAGCTGCTTGCAAGCAGTAAGGAAATGTGTTATTGGCATGATCTCATGGTTCATCACACTCAATCACCTCGGTCATTACCGCCCATTAAGCAAACGAAGGACCAGTCTTAGACTTTATACGAGCAGGCGAAGCACGCTTTGTAGAACCAACGGCAATTGATTTAACCATACGGCTTTGTGCATTTGGGCAGCGTTTAAAAACAGCTGATTCGATCGTGGTAAAGTCATCCCTTCAGTCTTCTCTTTCCTCTTTTTGGAAACTGGGGATATAAAATCCTGATCCGAAAGGATACTGTTTATCTGAAGAGGCGCCGAAGTCGAATTTTCCATTGATCTATCTATAAACTTTTGAGAAGATTTCACGATATGATGCTGTAACAGAAAACTGTACATTGCAGTAATGGTTTCTTTGGCAAACAACAAAGGCTGGTTAAGCTGTCTATACTTTGCAGGTAATGAAAGGAAGGTCGCATGGGGATGTCACAGTCACCAGTAAGCATTTAGAGTTGGATATTTATGTTTCAATTAGAATTTAAGATTAGTTGTAGGTATGATGTTGATTTCTGTCAATATACAGTGATGGTAAGAACTCCATGCCAGAAAATAAAGATACCTCCCATTTAACATTTGCTTTGAAAGCCTGGGTTGTTGTAAGCTCGATTTAGTGGCTATGTACACTTGAACTATGTGTAAGTTAGCATTAAACGTTTAGGGGTTACTTACCTTGATTCCAAGATGATTAAGCAGTGGAAACAACGATGCTAGCAGCACGGACTCCGATAATAAGAGAATTGCCAACCTAGCTTAAAGCGCGCCTACAGGAGAGCTATTTACAAGTTAGCATTAACAAAAGGATGGAGAACTTACCTTGAATTCGAACTCGAACTCGAACTCGCGCCCCTCAACCGCTCTTCATCCATCGTCAATCTACGATGATACTTCTGTCCGCCATCGGTCCCAATAATCAAATGCGAAAGCCACTGCGGTGTTCTATACCAATTCTTGACCTCCTCCATTCCCCCCGGCCCAGTCCCAGGACGACACTTCTTCCTCAACACCCCCGTCTTAGGCGCCTTCCTTCTCTCCTCCTCCGCCACCACAAGATTAAACTCCATAATCTCCGTCAGCAGCGCAAGAACCTCGCCCGACCCAGCCCAGAGATGCGAATCCGCACTCAGCGATCTGCTTCTCGCTAACACAAGCGTGTGTTCGCGCGACGATTGCTGCAGCGAGATGTGTGCGTCGATCAGCCATTTCCGGTCAACGTCGTTTCCGAGCGTCCAGTCTGCGCCGTTACTACGTTTCGCAGCTTGTAGGAAGTAAGAACCTACGTCGCCTAAGGGGAAGCTGATGAATTCGCCGTACCAAGCTGGAGCGGCGATGTCGAGATCTGCGACTGCGCTGTTGGGTTTGTAGGAGCGTGTGTCTTGTAGACAGGTGGTGCAGAAGGCGTTGGTTTTGAGGGGGATGGCTTTGGGGATTTCGGAGATGGGGATGCCGGCGCGGCAGGGCGTTATGTGGTTGTTGCTGTCGCGTTCGACGAAGGTGTCGTGGTCGCAGGGACGGACTAGGCGGTAGTATTGTGACATTTTGTTAGATGGCTTTTAAGTATGTATATGTCAGTATGATCTGAAGGATCTTGTTGGTGGATGTTGGACATGGCGGGGATGTGAATATTTAATTACCTTGGCTTCATTTTGTTCTTTGTGAAGAACAACGGCATTGTTTCTGTAGGACGAAACGAAAAGATGAACAATCTCTTTGTCCAGCTTTGTAGACTTGGACCACTTTGGGTTGACGTGATGTTATACAAAGAAGACATATGTCCTTGGATTCCAAAGCTTTGGCGATATGAGAAGGAAAAGTTTCCATAGTGAGGTTAAGCGAGGAGTTGGGATGGAAACACTAAGGCGTCCGCATTCGAATTGGAGGAAGCTTCGAGGTCGAGCTTAAAGTAGTGTGTCTGATTTGATTTAATCTCTCAGAGAGTTACGAGCGAAAATAAGGTACTGGTGTGCTTGCTTCACTTGTACCACAGGCTGGCTTTGCCATTACACTTACCTACCACATCAGACATATAGCTGCTCAACACATCAAACCTAATCAAAATGTCAAGAGTGGTTTAGCATCTTTTTCTCCTTTCAGCTCGTTTGCATAAACCAGTCGGATCGCAAAAGCTAGGTAGTAGAAAGCGTCAGCACCAAATTTACTGAGATTGCCGAGATCATTCTTCGCCACAGCACTCATGCAATTTGCAAAATGGTATTCTATCTCTCACTTTGGTAATACTAGTAGAACATATCTTTCCTCAGATGGACAACTAAATCAAAGCATATGTCATTTAGCTAGTATGTGATAATGAGGGGACATCTGCAACTACGATGGAACTGCGAAAAATTCTCGTGAACTTAGGTCCCTCCTTATCTCTCCTTTCTTTCTCTACATTGCACCACCTGGATGCTGCTCGTATGAATCTCAATTTGTATGCGATTGAATCAAGAGTATTATTGCTGATACCTTGCATCGATCGGTCATGCGTCAGCCTTTGAAACACAGTCACCTATCAATTACTTCCTTTCCGTATGCGGTATTGTGCCTTCAATAAATATGATACCCCTGGCTGGATTCCCGACTGCATTGGCCTGGTATAGTATGAGCCCAGAGTTTTCATTTGCTGATCTTGCTAAACCTCCCCGCCTGCCAAGTTCCCCGACGAGCGAGCTGAGCGAGCTTCTGAAAACGGAATATGGCAGTCCCTAGGCCTACATATGCCGTATCACTCTGTCAGACTTCCAGAAAATATCAGATATGGTAGAAAAAGTATAAGAACGAGTCTCAAGTCTCGTTCAAACTCTTCATCAGTAAACAAATCACTCAAACATCTTCGTCTCAACCCCTTCAAACACTTATCAATTAAATTCCCAAAAACATCATGCAGTTCAACAAACTCTTTGCCATCTTATCCTGCGCAGTTGCAGCCGTAGCAGCTATTCCCGTCGAAGACAACACTGTCATGGCAGCCATCTGGCACCGAGACCTCACTCTCTTTGAAGGTATGCCCACTCCTCGAATACGTATCATTGGCTCGTGCAGTCATTGTACCATTTAATTCATCCCATATCTCGAGCTAGCTCTCACTCCTCGATAGGACAATCTGTGCGAGTCAAAAGGGAGGACATCGAAGTCGCCAAGCGAGGTGGTTTGCAAGTTCGTTGCAAAGCTTATGAGACTAGCGAGTGGTGTGAGTCAGGATACTTCAATACCCTTCATATCCCATGAGAATTTTGATGGATTGACTGACGTACTTTCTCAATGTTATAGGCAGTGGTGATTGCAAGACCAAGACTTGCACTTGCAACCTCTGTTAGGTCATTTATACACGGTCTAGGCAAGGTTTGCAACAAGAACTCGTATGGTTGAGGGGATGTTATGTGGTCTGGTGCTTTGGAGTGTCGAAGGGTTGAGTGATATTACGTTTGGTTACAGACAATGAAAGTTATCCATCATTTGTCCTCGTGCACAAATTAAAGACTGGGCTCCCTCAAGTTCATCATGCAAAGAGAACAAGATGACCTTTAAACGAAGTTGATGTTCAATACCATCAGTTCGTCGGTCCACAACCGCCTACGATTAAGATTATGAGAAGACCTACTGAACAAGGCCAATAAGTTGGTTCGATCGACATGAGATGTCACGAAGATGAATTTGTGTGCATGGTTCGGACTTTCAGTCATGGGGCAGAAAGTAAATTACAATCAATGTCCAATATAGATATCTGTCTACGCCGATACCTACTTAAAGATTATATGCGCCGTTGCACCATCCCAACCTCTCCCAATCTCTGTGAATAAATTCCCGAATGCAATAGTAGCAAGATCGTGTATGCCCATAATTTTTCCTGATTTCCAAATGACTTATGGTAAATAGACCCCTCCAGCGATACCACAGTTCATCTGCGTGAACTTGACCTTGTATACTGGCGACTTCTTTGTTGGGTAGGCGCTGATCTGATCCGCTGTGATCATCGTCTCTTTTCCCTTTTTCTTTCCTCCCGCACCAGAAGTTGTATTCGTCTGAGATCCAGTAGCTGGGCCACCATTGATACGAGTGGCATCGGCCTGACCCCCAGTTCCAACAATTTCACCACCTCCATCTTTGTAAGGATCATCAGGAACCTTAACCTCCCAGATCCGGACTGTTCCATCTGCTCCACCAGATATCAAGCAGTCAGAATCAACACTGAAGGACAGTGACCATACTCCACCCTTTGCGTGACCACGGCAGCGCTTGATCTGTGTACCTTTTGCTAGATCCCAAAGAATGATGCATCCGGATCCATCAGCTGAAGCAAGAATCTTTCCATCAGGACTACATTCGAGAGCTGAAATAAATTCTGTGTGGCCAGTAAAGACTCGTACACATTCGCCGGTTACAAAGGACCACATACGGACGGTTTTGTCAGAGGTGTCGCTTGCTGAGAAGACGTATGCGCCGTTGGGATGCCATGCAACTTGGTTCACGCTCGTATCGTGACCCACCATCATTCGAAGGAATGAGATATGATCTTGCGCCCAAACACGAACAGTCCTGTCCCAACCGCAGGTCGCAAAGTAGTGTCCAAAAGGTCCCCATTTCACGTTCCAAACTGGTCCTTCATGGCCTTTGTAGACGACCAGACAAGTGAAAGTTTCCAACGACCATAGACGCACCGTTTTGTCCGAGGAGGAAGAGAGGAGTAGTTTCGACGTGGTGGATGGGCCTGATATATCACCGGGCGCACTCGCGATACCCGGAGAGAATGAAAGACTGTAAACAGGACCCGCGTGACCAATGAGTCGCCGAGAGTTTGTTGGTGTCGCGCTGTTTGCTGATGGGATAGTTGATTCAAGAATACTACCGTCCATCGTCCATAGCCGTATATAGGACTCTTCCGTTCCGACAGCCACGAGATTGTTATCGCCCGAAAACTCTATGCATGTGACACTATTTCATATCAGGATCAGGACGCTGCGAATGCCAAATTCGGGAGATGCAACTTACGTGTCCAGTGTGTTGTGGAATGTCCACATACATATCGATATGCCAGCACCGATACCTCCTGTACGCGTGTCAATCGTGAATCGGTCCCTAGATTCCTTGATCTTCAAAATCTCCATTTTGAGATCTCTCGCACGGGATGGCGGATATGGTATCTCGCTGGCCTTCGGCCCTTCAACGCTTTCTTCGCGTTTAATTCGCCGTTCATGTTCCTCGATTAATGTTGGTACCCCGGGCTTTGGGGGATTTCGAATATCCTCATCCTCAAGTTCGGCCCGGAGATCAGCAGCGAGATCGGGGTCCATTGGCGTGAACCCTAATTTGAGGACAGCCGCATTGTTGATGATATCTTTATTTGTTACTCCGATAAAGGTGCCTGGAATGCCTTCTTGATCGGCTTCATCGTTGGCTGTATCTTCAGATCGGCTTACAATAGCCTCGAAACTATACTGATCTAGATTGCCACGCTCGGTTGTCTTAATTTCAAGGTAGGCGACGAGGATATTTAGAAGCACCGTTCCACCGGTTTTGCTGTTGGCTTCAAGAAACGTTATGAGGGCTTGATACACGTTATTGTTGAGAGGCACTTTATACTTCTGCGAGCGATATAACTTCGCTGTAGGGTTTTCGTCAATGTGTGATTTTAATTTGAGAGTTTCCAGAAGTTGAAGATCCTCGTGGTGGAACTTTTCAAATCGAGGTCCGAAATCATGCAAAAAGGCTTCGGCATCTATTGTGAATCCGTAGGTTATCATGTCCAGGAAAGAGTAGATGAACACCGGCCACAGGAGTTTCTTGAGCTCAAACTGTGCCTTGTTAGCATTTTACCGTCTGCGCACCCAGTTCAACTGACCTTGTAAATGTCGAGATTCGAATCTACCCAATTGCTAAGAAGTTGAAAGGCTTTTGTGTACTTCTGCGTTCCTAGATCCTCAACTCGCTCAGGAATAGGCTTCCCATCCTTGTCTAAATTTGACGATTCTTGTCGAAGCATCTGCTCAGTTCGGTTGTAGCCTTTCTTGACAAGATATTCGATGACCTGAGGATCAAGGTTAGGCAATGATTGATTTGAGGGTGCCATGGACGCAGGGCCATTATGAGGCCGCATCGTGGTGGGAAAGATGTGTTAATGAACGCTGAGTGTGTCAACAAAGAAAGGTAGCAGATGTTACTGCAATGGAAATGACCCCTCAATACCGGAGTGAAACTAAACAAGTGAAGATGCAGAGACAGACGCTGTAGGTGTGAGCTTGTCTAGTGAATACATTGGCTAGACCCGGACGTTCCAGCTATTTCGCGGGTAACAGACAGAACGTGAACTTCCTCGCTAAGTCATCTGGAATCAAATCAAAATCGTATGAAGATGGCGTATCTCCCAAACTCTGAAGGTGACTATCTTCTCTGACGGATCATTTCTGTCATTGGTTTCCTCACCAGTGGTGACCAAGTTCGCAAGACAAAGAGACACGTCAAAGAGTTAGTGCTTCAGAATTTGGGGCCTTTCCAAAGGAGCTTAACTTCTCTCGGCCCTTTATTTCGTCAGGCTAACAAAGATTTTTCTGCCCGAGAAGGATAATACGTGACTAGAACTAGCCACGACTCTGGCCGGAAAGCAGCGAAGATCAAGATGGGAATAAATCAAAACACCAAAAGCTCAAATTAAGCACGATCAAATTCTTGCTCCTTCAAATGTACATTTCCCAGATTTCCTCTGGAAGGAAAGATAGCTGTGATAAAATAGGCTGCGCAAGATAAAACTTTGATCTTACAATTTGGTTTAAGTTTTGAGATGACATTCCCTGGCCTTGCTGAGACGAACTTTGACCACCGGATTGGTGTTGCATCCCCATTCCAGCACTTGGAGGGCCATTTGTCTGGCCCTGGGGCGGATGACTCGACATATTCGGTGTTGCTCTCGTTCTCCCGAGTCCAGACGCGTGATCAGTCTCCTTGCCTCATATGTCGGCGGTAGACACTATCTCCATTCACCTCAGCTTTGGTCGCCAAAGCGCATACGTCGCAGTCCGGTATTCTGATAGTATAGAGTGATGAAAACTTGATGGAGACGATTGGAGGTGGGATGGGCAAATTCGGACTCATGTTCTGGGGAAGCGATGGACGCGCTAATGCGGCTTCCCGCCGAGCCTCAATCTAGTGAGTTTCCTCCATGCCGACCCCTCTTGACTTCATAATTTCTTCACAATCATCCTGGAACTTCATATACACGACACTGAATGCTAGCTCGACCACCGATTTGCTGGAATCCAAATAACCAGTATTTTTAAATCTAGCATATACCTCATTTGAACTCACTACGCGCTGACTTTGGCTGCGAGAATGTCCGGTCCTGATCCCACTGAAACGAATGTGCCAACATCCCGGCCATTTACCAAAGCAGAACATATCAAGCGATTAAATGATATTGACAACGTAAGTAAATTTGGCATGCAATTTTGCCTTGCTAATATATTATGCGCAGAGTATCGCACAACTTCTTGAATCCGCAGGACTGGCACTCCAGACCTTGTCCTCCTCCCAAGCCTCACTGCCAATCCCAGAGCGCAAAGCTGCTTTCGAAACCTCATCGACTACGTACATCAAGACACTACAAGACATACATGTCGGATTGACGCGCTCAATATATGGTCTAGAAGAGGCAGGTATTATACCGGCAGAAAAGGCAAAGGCTAAAGCCGTTCCGCCGAAGAACTTTGGCGACAAGCAAGGTGTTCCGGAAGGAAAGAATTTTAAAACGGCGACCGAAGCTCAGCACATCGAAGGTGGAATGGGGAAGCTGGATATTGGCTGGTTAAATAGTCGGAGTGGGCGTGTGGATAGGGATATGGAAGCTGAGCTGTGGGAGAAGGCAAGACATTTCTTACAAGAAACACAATCTGGTACAAGTAACGGCGTAGATGATGATAAAGGGGACGAAGATGTCGCGATGGGGGACTGAAAAAACGCCAGAGAAATTCCAAACATGATGCCCAATGTATCTAATTCAGTCATCGCCATTTTAACCTGGCTACGAGCCTGTACGGTGCGTAATTTCTGAAGTGTGTAGGATTCTGACAGATGGCCATGTCAATTTCTTTTTATGTCTTGTCATAAAATCTATGTTCATGGAAAGTAGAAGGCTCGATTGTAGGCCAATGAAAGCGCAAAGCAGCATACATGCAAGGTCTGTCATAGCTTCATAACTCATAGAACCATTGTATTGCTCGAAGTTTCAAGATTCGGATTCCAATTCTCTTTTTAAATTACCCATAGTTTCTGTCCTTCAGACTGTCACAAATCATGGCGGATTATTACGTTGTCGCTTCGAGGCTTCTCTGTAACTGCATATGGTTACTCCCCACCAACTCGCCCCACTCAAAAGAGTACCACCAATCAAGGCAACCGTCATCACCAGCCGACGCCAGACCTAGAGCTTGCAATAGCTGCTGATTGTCAACTTTCCAACCAATCCCTCATTACACGCAGCAATTATGGATGAAGTTGGAGGAGATTCGCCTTGGGGTGGTATGTAATTCCAAAGTTTGCGACTGTTTGAAAAGGTCCATTGTTACCCATACTAACGTTGCTCCAGATGTCCCTTCACAGTCCCCACCAGCGCAATCAACTGAGAACCCTTTCGCGGGAGAAGGAGGTACGGGTTTTGCTTCTCTGAGCTTACTTGTCTGACCATACTTAGATACGTCAACCAAATCGAAAGCGCCGCAGCCTCTCGAATCATCCTCGACAAGCACACTCAAATCCCCAGCAGGCCGCGGTAGACAGCCACGTACGCCCCGGCGAGCTGTTGCTCAACAGGTTCATCTGGAAGCTCTAGATGACTCTCTGGGTCCATTGGGGCCACTTGGAGACAATGCGCAAACACCACAATCAGACCAACCTCCAGCGCCGCCTCAAAAAGAGCAAACGCTCACCCATAACACCCGACAGACCCTACCACAAAATGCAATTGGGAGGGGAATGCTGGAATCGGTAGGACCAGATGATGATCTTGAGACCGCTTCAACGGGACCAAGAATTCCTCCCCCAGTCCAGCCATCTCCTGGTGGGCCCATACGAAGGGATACACAGCCAAGTGTGAGTGTAGAACAAGCCGCCAAACCAACCTTTGAGATTACGGTCGGCGATCCACATAAGGTTGGAGATTTGACAAGCTCACATATTGTTTATTTGGTCAGGACAAAGGTAGGAAGAGCTATTCCCGATCAATTGGAGGTTTCTTACAGGCTCTAGACGTCGTCCAAAGCATACCGGCACCCCGAGTTCGAAGTTACCCGCAGATATCGAGACTTCCTTTGGTTATACAATGGCCTACATGCGGGGAATCCAGGAATTGTGGTACCTCCACCCCCAGAGAAGCAGGCGGTCGGACGATTCGATACAAACTTTGTAGAGACGAGAAGAGCCGCACTCGAGCGCATGTTGAACAAGATTGCCGCACACCCAACCCTTCAGCATGACGGAGATCTGAAACTGTTCCTTGAGAGTGAAGCTTTTAATGTTGATGTTAAGCACAAGGAACGAAAAGAGCCGGGGCTGGGTGAAAGCAAGGGTATGTTTAGTGGTCTTGGAATATCAGTTGGTGGGGGAGGTAAATTTGTCGAACAAGATGATGTAAGTCCTGATGTAGGGAACATCTATTTCATGCTAATTTGATCAGTGGTTTCACGATCGCCGAATATATCTTGATGCTCTGGAAAACCAACTGAAGTCGCTATTAAAAGCCATGGATACTGTCGTTATTCAACGAAAAGGTCTTGCGGAGGCGGCAGGAGATTTTTCAAATTCCTTACATGCTTTATCTACAGTAGAACTATCAACGTCTCTTTCTGCGCCACTAGAGGCTCTTTCGGACCTTCAAATCCGTATTAAAGAGCTATATGATCGTCAAGCACAACAAGATGTGCTCACGCTTGGCATCACTATTGATGAGTATATTCGCCTAATCGGAAGTATCAAATTGGCCTTCACATCGCGCCAGAAAGCATACCACTCGTGGCATTCAGCAGAATCGGAGATGCAGAAACGAAAAACCACCCAGGAGAAACTTCTTCGTCAAGGGAAAACACAGCAAGACCGTTTGGTGCAAATGAATGCGGATGTGACTGACGCCGAGCGTAAAGTCCATCAAGCAAGGCTCTTGTTTGAAGATATGGGTCGTTTGATGAGATCAGAACTTGAGCGCTTTGAGCGCGAAAAGGTTGAAGACTTTAAGAGTGCAGTAGAAACATTCCTGGAGAGCGCAGTCGAGGCTCAGAAGGAGGTAAGTTTCTAGTTTTCGTTAAGATATCTCTGGCTAATAATTTCAAGTTAATCGAGCTTTGGGAGACTTTCCTTATGCAACTGGACGCCGAGGAGGATGATAGCGCATTTTACAAGCCTCCTGTGGAGGCAGCCGCTCGTGCATCGGCAGGAAGTTCGATTTCGGGTCCCACAGCAGTAGATTCGACGGCTGCAGCAGTGGTCACTGCTGAAGATTCGGATTAATGAGATTAAATGGCGAACGTGGTCATGAACATGATCTGGCTTATTTTGAATGGAGAAAAGCTTTTCAATTCTTAGGGGTATTGGAGGCGTGATTGAGCGACCACTCTGAAAGATTTATAGTATTGTACATATAATCCGAACCCATATTCTCAGACGCCTGCTATGCCTTTCTTACACTGGGCGACTGTCACTTCTACTGTACAGTATATACCAGTTCCCTTTGATGTGCCTTGCTCAACTCCATCTTACACGCGATCGCTTGACGTCCACCAATTCCCCGCCAACGTAATTCTTGATGTTGGTAATCAACAGCCACAATCGTACTCACTTCTTAAACGAGACAACCTTTTTTAGTTTTCCATCGACCTTAATGGTAATCATCTTCTCCTTCACGGGTGCTGCGCTTTCCACCACCTCTTCTGGAGCTGGAGTCCCAAACCCAGTAGTTCCACTGATCAAATCCAACAAGCTATCATCCTCCATCCCGCCTTGACTTGCCACCTTCTCTCCTTTCGCCGGAGCGTCTTCCGCTAATCCAGCATCTAGATCCCATCCGCGACCGAACCTGTCTCTGAAAGCCCGTAATCTTCCTGCCTCATCCTGTTCTATGTTTTTCAGAGAATCGAGAGAGGGATTCCATAAAGCGTGATTTCGCGTGTCTTTTGTGCTGCGGTAAATTGGCGCTGGAGAAGATGTTCGTTGGAGATATGTTGACCCGTCCGATAGTGTTACGAGTTGGGTGAAGGAGTATGGGGTTTGTGGTCTGCGTAGGAGCGTCGCATTGCGCTTTTGTTGATGGATTTTTGGATTGAGAGGTAGACGTGCGCGCGTTAGGGTTTTGGACGGAAGTGACATTGTGGATTGGTGGCGGTATAGTATTGGAAACTGATACAAGAATTGTCGTTTTAGGAGATATTTTCGATGGACTTGTGGGCGTATTTAGTTGAAGGTGGTGTGGTTTTATCCGAAATATTCTAGCCTTGCTGTAGCCTCATCACATTGAAAATCAAAATATCAACGCCAATGGGGTGGAAACTGGAGACCAAATGTTAGAATTCGACGACATCAGAAGCGCACTACAATGATTCCCTCCCTCTATTAGTCTGTCATTACAGAATGCACACTCTAGCTGCCGGCCATGGCCGACTGGCGTCAAAAACAGCAGGGAGTTTTTATTTGGCGCTTTATCACTGGTCCCGAGTAGGATGTGTGAGCTCAAAAGGAGGTATGGTTCAATCGAAGCCCGTAAAATTGTTAATTGATTTGCTAAATCTTTTGACATAGGTCAAACACGATCGAAACATAGTGATGCGAACGAAAAACCATGTCCACATCGAACAGCTCCCTCCTCGGTCAATGGCAATAGCCTTCGGGGCATTATGCGCTGTCTTCCTCATTCTGTAGTTATCTTGACATCTACGAGTCTTAAAGCGCGCAAGGATATCGAAGACCTCTTACATGGAGCAAAGGAGACGCTTAGTAGTCTGGAGAACGAAGAGCTAGGAGCTCCAGAAGACGGCTCGGAGACTCTTGGGACTCTCCAGGATGGGTTCTCAATAGAGTGGTACCGCAAATCAATAGGAGCACTGGAACGGAAACTTGCAAAAACGTCTCCAAAATATCCCGAAGATTACCGAGGGATGACTCTGTCATCTTTCACTTCAGTCAGCCTCAATCATGCCCGGCCGGCAATCTCATTCAATGTACGCACACCATCAGCGACACTAGACGCTCTATTCCACAATGGAACATTCTTAATACACATTCTCGAGGCAAATAAAGCTGGAGCAGACCTTGCGGCCCGCTTTTCCCGCGGTGATGGCAGCAGTGTATCGGGCTTCGAAGGATTGGACATTCATCCATTACCTACTCAGGCGCATCTTCCACAAAACAATATCATGTTACCTATGATCAGATCGCCAGCTGTCAGGCGTGTCTTACTTTGTAACAAGTATGATTGGATAGATAGCCGTGGCCACCCTCATGCAACAATTAGAATAGATGATCATGCTATTGTGCACGGAAGAGTGGCACACATATACAATCGTAATGGAATCGAATGCAATCCAACGGACACCCCCGAGAAGGAAGGCTGGCACGGTCTAGGTTATGTGGAAGGTCGGTACCGTCATGTGGGAGAATCCATTGACAGCTGAACGACGCATACTCCTAGACTATATCGCTATCCATATCGCTATCCATTCGATACGCTTGGACTTTGTTCAAACTTTTGTGACGTGTGACATTGTAAGTTCCCACGCGGCCAACAATAAGAAGGACAACTGGCAGACTACCCTGATATCGAGCCTAGGGTGCTTTATTTAGGGGATTTTTGCCGGCTTCTTGTGCCCGTACTGCAAAATAAATGTATCATATGTATTTATGAGATTGTTGAGATACCCCAATGTAATAGATCTTTGCTAGAAACCTTTCCAGACTAGTTTCTAGGTTATGGAAAGTATAGGCTTCTATTTGTCTCACATGCTGTTGGTAATAGCTTCTGCATTTAAATAGTTGAAATAACGTAGAGAAGAAGCGCATCTGCTGACGCTGAACATGTACAGTAGATCTCAAAATCGCATCGTCTCAATCCATGACACGAGTCCCTCGATCTCCGAACAACAAAGCTCCAGACTGTACCCCAGTGGTACTCGTACCTCACCTCCTTCACCAGTAGATTGAGATATCCACATGGAGGTTTATTTTTGTCGGTACTTGCTTCTGTCTCAACCATACGTCAAAATCCTACCATGACAGTCAACTCATCAGTCAAAAGTACTGATTGGTATCTTCTTCTACCTCCCAGCTTTGGTTAGCTATTAAAACCGAGAATGCTGAGCATCACCCCTTCGGGAAGACCATAGGTAAGTTAAACCAGCCTGTTCAAACCGTGCTCGCAGGGAAATTTGGTGCCCATTAATTGAATGTGTTACGGTCAAGGGTTTTTTAGTATGAGTTTGTGGACAGGTAGAGGATGGGGTAATGGTGGAAGCGTTGTGGTAGGAAGGGCAACAGACTGATAACTGACTTTACGACTTCGTAGACAACTCACATGATCTGGCCAAGCTATAATTCTATCTCTGGGGTGAATACACTACTATCTAGAGCGTCAAGTTTCAGAGAAACCACCTTTTATTGCTCTGCAACGTCTGCAGGGCGATCATCTGTCTGCAAAACATTACTGATGCTGCACAACAGGGCTCGAGTTATTTGTTAGATACCCAAATCGCATAGAATCCATTCTGATTTGATAACATGAAGCAAAGATTGAGATCAAATACTTCATAATCACATATGATTGTCGAGTAGCTGAAACACATTCGAAAGAGGAAAAAAGGCGACCACACGAAGGAATCGGAATCAAATCAGCAATCTTGCTGCACAGACGATTTCATCTATAGAAATCAAAAGAACGGACTCTTACAATTATTTTGCGGCGCAAGAGTAGATCAGGATTGTACTCGATGTGGTGTACTAGTAAATTCAACAATCATTTACCGGAAAAGGTTCTCCTAACAGGAACACATGGACGAAAACGGACATTTCATCCAATATTTGAAGAAATCTCTCTTCATAAGGAATTATGTCAGTATGAAACCCGTTTAGGCCGATAGTGTGTCTACTATTAGGTGTGAGAAAAGATTTCAGAGGACCACTAATCTCCCATACTTCGAACGCTGCTTGTAGTGAACACTGGACAGACAATTGACAATGTCGTTCTCCTAGATTTTGTTTTAACGGACCACAGACCTAGGTTGAAAGCTAGAAGCGACAAGTTTTCAATTGTTGATAGAACTTTAGACGAATCATACGACTTTCTTTTCACCTATAGTAATCAACGAAATATCGTGTTTCGTTTGCCACTTGTTTTGCCTACAGTGAGATAGGCAGAGTCTGGTTTCTCAACCCTTTCCGATTGATTTTGAAGGAAGGAATCCGATAAATTGTTGACTCGTGGAAGCGAAAGTATAAAAATTCTGCTGATTCAATTTCATCCTACTTTGTTCGCTTAATTCAGGGGCGTCCTCAATCAAATATTGGATATGGGACTGTTTTATATTTTTCGACGTATTTCAAGATTCCAATAACCTATATATTGATTCACCAAGTCTATGTGGTTAATCTCAGGCGTCTATTTTATCAATAGATAAATTCTCGAAAGTGGGTCCAAGAATTGACATTGTCTGATTCTGGACCATTCACCTCGAGGGCCAGAATTTAGATATAACGCCAGGCAACGCCCCACCATGATGGCAAAATCACAAAGGGCAAACACAACAATTTCTAACGATTTTGCGCTTGAAAAAACTCATTTGTAAAATAGAGAGAGTAACGACGTTATTCACAAGCGCACCTGCCCTGATAATCGTCATCAGAAATAGTCAGAAAGCTAATCAGCACTTCACAAAACACACCCCGCAACTACTTGGATCTTATCGAAACAGCGTGTATCTATCACTAACCTCCGTTGTTCAACCAAGTTTCACCTTCAAGTATTGTTATTTGGGGGGTCCGTCGCGCAGTTCTATGCTCTCAGTAGGTTCCCTATGAAAGAAGTGTCGCAATTTAATGAAACAGGAACCCGGCCTTGGGAGAAAGTATATTAATCAAGTTCATTTTAGTTCAAAGAAAGCACCAATTGGCGATATAAATATGGGCTGCGACTTTTGCCACATGCTACAAATTCTCTACAACAACAAACAGTCATGTTCACAGTGCACCAGCTATGGAAATACTGGCCTGTATGATGGCCGACCTTCCGTAATCGAAAGGTCTAACAAAAAAGAGGATGGTGACAATAAGAACGCCTTTCAGACCAAGTGCCAACGCTGCATTCTCTTTGGTCTTGCCTGCAATATGATACACCCGTGTATTTCTTGCAGAAATGACCAATGTGAAAATTGCATATTTGAGCCGCAAAACACAGACAATGAGAGGCACGGTAGCACTTGTCCAACAACTGGGAGGTGCGAGTCTTGCACTTCTCAGGAACTTGCATGCGACGAAAGACTGCCTTGCCAAAATTGTGGTTTAAATAGGCTCTGCAATTATCCACAGATCAGAAATGAGTTTGATCCACACAATCAATTCAACAACACATTTGGGCCAACAAGTGGATTAACATTAGCTCATCTCACATCTGGCACGAATCTACCAGAGAGTGAACAACTTGTCGATTCTTCTCTCACCCCTTTGGGAGAAACCACCTCTACGACCGACGCCAACATGCTTGGAACGGGGACCAACTTACCTGAGGTCGCTGTTGCGAAAGGCGATAATAACTATCTGGTGGAATCAACCGAGACGGAGAAACCTCAACACTGTACTAATCAGATGCATTCAAATTTGATTGAAGGCAGACTTCACCAGGAACATGGAGATACGGCGTTGGAGAGAGTTTCAGAACCTCTAGCTGCTGGAGAATGGTATACCATAAATTCGTTTGAGGTTGATAGTCTTGTCACTGAGAACACCCATTCTTTCACTGGTAGTAACACCTAATCCATAAATACCAGTGTGCTTTCGTATCTTGAGAGCGGTAATGAAAGTGTGGTGTCGTCCAATTCATCCAGAGATACATGCAACAAAATTCTCCCTGCCCTGGCAGCGGGTCCGCAAACAGACAAGCAAATGAGCTGTATCGAGATAGCGGAGGAAGTCGGTCTTGATAGAATATGGTGTCTTAATTGTGCTTGCAATTTTGATCCAGTGAAAGACCTCGAGATCCAACCATTTGTGCTTCGGAGCATGGCAAGCCTTACCATGTTACCAGGCGATCTCGATTGTTGTTATAACTGCATTGACACGGCCGTCCTGACCTAATGGTTCGAGGTGAAATTACTGGTTAATAAGTCGCTATTGGGGAGAAACGCTCCGCTTACCTGGGTATTTTCTTCGTGGAAGGTCAAATTATCGCTTAACGAAGATGTCACGACATTACCATGTCTCCTTCTTCCCGCAACTTGCTGTGTCGCTCTCTGCAAAAATCGCTGGAAGACGTTTGAATATTTCTTCAGGTCTTAGGCTTGTGCAGTATGAACCGTTCAAGGGGTTGTTGCTGGGCTAGGTTAACAATTAGAACACCATTGCTAGTAGGCATTCCAAATATAAATTCAGAAAAAGGGCTTTAATATACCTTTGGTTTTGAGAACATTGGAAAAGAGTGCAAATGAAGGGGATTGTTTGTGACCAAAAGGTATCTCGATGTACTGCGAGCATTCTTCCTTGTCTGAAATTGTCTTAGTCCGGGCACATCACATGGTCTCCTATCGTTTGCAATGACAGACTCCAATAAGAACATTTAAATCATTTCTAGACAAAACACGTTTTGTGGTGACTTTACATTCTTTCCAACAATGAAATTATACAGCACGGGTAGTCTTGGGATGGCATGTTAGGTAAAAGCCAGTGGCAGCAGTGAATGACCTAAAAGCCCAGCCCTTTCCTTAAGTGTCCCGATATATTCACCGTTTGGAATCGGCAGATCAGTGAGAGATCTACAATTGATGGTAGTGAACGGGTTGCCCAGATCTCAAATTTGGCCGTCGGGCGCACTTGAATAACGTCTGTAGGTCGACATTCATATAATACTGTCCTAATTCAGAGATTGAATAACATCTTCGACCCACTTTCTACTGTTCACTATACTGAGAAATTCCACTTATCTTTTTAGGGAGCTTGGCATCGTTAAGCTATCGCCATTTAATTGGATGATGGTTCGTTTTCATGATGTAAATTAACATCAAACAGGTCAGAAATTGAGCATCTTGAGCAAGTTAACGAATTCACGTAGTATACTTGTATGAACTTTTATGTCTTTAATTCACATAATATCAGCTTGTCACCGTGGAAATGAGAGAAGATTTCTATAAAACCCCCTCCTCTTCCCTACATCTTCCTCTTTCTTTTCTCCACACATCAACTCTCCAACCCTCTTGATCAAGACAATACAGCAATTTCAACATCAAAGAACTGTCTTGATTCAATCCTTCTTTCAACTGCCACCCCTTTGTTACTCAAAATGCGTTTCACACCAACTGTTCTTAGCCTTTTGGGGCTCGCCAACTTCGGCCTTTCACTACCAGCTGATGGAACGGGTGGTACTGGTCTCAAAGTCGCTGGAGGACTTCCTTACCCACTTGAGCCATTTACCTTCAAGGGTAACATCGGTGGTCACGACGTAAGTTCATCCTTTTCTATCAATTGTTTTTGTTTTCATTGGTGAGATGTCGATTTAGACACCAAACCATTCGATTATTACGAAACATAATTAAACTGACAACTCTATCATTAGGTCGAGCTCACTGGTTCCATCGACGAGCAAATCGAATATATGGTCAAAACCTATCCTGATTTCGACCGTGAGAACTTCCAGGCCATCTCGGCTGAAAGTGTCGGCACATCACCAAGCCCAAAGCGTGATGTTCTTGGAACCAACAACAAAATTGGCAAGGGACAATGCTGCGATGAGCCACATATGAGAGGTCACAACTGGCAATACGTTTACACCAGCACTGTCCAACGAGCTATCAACGAGTTGAAGAAGTACGACAAATGTCAAATCAACGCGAGAACCTGCCGTTGCCTCATGCATATTGATGATGCGTGTATTCACTGCAAGTCCTACCCTACTTCACCACATGCATATGCACTTTTCCCTCTGTTCTCCCTTATAGACTCCGGCTCTAGGAGGCCATGAGACAGTTTTATCCTTACACCCTCCTCTTTTCTCTTGAGATGTACAAATGTTCATTTGCTAACCTCTTGCAGTGTGGTCAGTAAAAGCTTTTACGAGATTCCTCAACTTTTCATACTACTAAATGCCCCCTGTTAAATCTTTACTAATACAAAACTCCAACGATAGCAACGATAACAACTACTCCATTGAACCAAGCTGCAAATATCTGGCAACGTATGCTGAGGACATCAAAGGTCACTGTATTCACACTTTGACCTCTGATGGTATCACCTTCTTGACGACCACATGTGGACAACAGTTTGACACTGATAACTACAACGTCGTCGTCAATTTGACCAAGTAGAGGAATAAAAATGGGAACCGTCAGATTGGTGGTAGAGCCAACGTTTCTGGTGGATCTCTTGGTGTTGAGAGCGAAAATTGGTGCCAGCTATAGGCTTTTATCTTTAGCTCCGTCTCGGTATTGAATTAAAACCGTTGCTTGGTAGTGAATAAATGCGAAACTTGGTGCCTTACACTATCTTCAACCATCCAAAATGTGAATTTGACGCTCTTACTGTGGAAAAACAATTGGAAGTGACCGTCTGACCAATATGATGAAGGAAAGTACTTGAGAAATCCTGAGAATGAATAGGCCCTTTTGATTGAATCAAACATGAAGTGGAGCATTTGAATGCCTGCTGCACTGAGAATAACATACGACTTAGCACCTACTGAGACCAGTTGGCCGAAAAGATGATTAAGAGAATATAGGTACTGCTCAAGATTCTATCCAGAAGAAGGCTGAGACCATGGCTTTGAAGGTTTCACAGAGATTTGTCTCCGTCAGAGAGTAACGAATAAATTGTAGATAGGTCTGGCATAAATCCTCAGAACCAGGTGATGCTAATTTCTGCCTGCCAATTTTATGCAATTTCTGGACGTCTTCACCGACAAGCACAGGCTAGCACAATTCCTCGAGTGATATGCTCGGGGCTTGAGCTGCTTTGATCTCCAGACCGATTTCAGATTTTCTTACAGAGCTATCAGGAGCTTTGAGTTATTTTTACTCTCTAGCATAGCATAGAACTAACTGCTGACTCAAATGTTGAACACTAATTAGGCGGGGGAACTATTACTGGTACCCATTTATTACAGTTAGTTATCTTAAATCTTGACTTGCGGCTCAGACTCTGATACGTATTTAATCTCGTGAGACTTGCTCTAGCGAAGCTCGGAGTGATCGGCCAAGTATCTAAAAGTATGTGAGAGCTTTGTCTAGCTTGAAAATAGTTGCCCGCTGTAAGGATCCCAGCAATCCCGGTGTGAGCGATGGAACCTATAAGCATCTACAGACCGTATTACACAAGTATGTGGAATCTTCATGAGAGGTGGATCCTGCCGTGCTTAGTGGAGGCGGCTGCTTACTTCGTACGACGGTCCAGACCAGGTCAATCAGCCTCTGAAACCTTGACATCGCTCTAACCCAGTTGTTTCTGTCAAGCTTACATTGCGGTACATGATGATTAAAGTTCTGATCGGACAAGAAGTTTCCGAGCGCCGTTGAAAGACGAATCAACCAGAATTAACTCGCCAGTGTGCCAGTGAACTACGTCTACGAAGCATCGAATTAACACCTCATAATCCAATGAACAGTTCATGTTCCGCAATTGCAGCTGAACTGACAACAGTCTTTTTTAAAAAAAGATATACAGAAACTATACTTTGCTCATGACACCTCGTTTTTGAGATACGCCAACATCTGAATTGCTGATTCACGAGCACAGATGTACCTCGCTTAAGCCCCTTTCGCCCCCAAACCAAGATGCCTCGCAAAATCCGACGGTAATGGAGAGTGGTAAGCTCCTGATGTCCACAGCAAATACTATTGGCTTACCACCTGGTCGTAGAGGCCCCATCTTCTTGGTTATGCTCCGGACAATTGTAGCGTATCAACCAAAATCCCGAAGCATTTTCGACACCTCAAGCCACGCGAAAATCACCATCTGCAACAGTATCAAAAACAAACAATTCAAAACCCATTGCTTTGCCCTGCCACTAAAGCTTATCTCAGCTAAACATTAGAGAATATTCTCTTGCATGTTTGTCATCCTTCGCCATGCTTCGAGGCGCTAGACCAAGCTTACATCACCGGTAACGGATTGGGATTGGAAGTTAAGCGCCGCATTGATTGGATTCTGCCAAGGAAAGGATTAGATGAAAGTCTCGGAAGGATGCCGATCAGTTTATCACTGCCCTGTGGTGATTAGTGACATTAGCGAGATACGGATAAACACGCCTATTCTAGCAATTCACGAAAGCTACTCGTACCATTGACGGATATCTACCAAATAGAACGTGTTTCAATATGGGGAAAAATTTCAAATTTACAATCATCAATCATCAAAACTTCCAACAAATTCCTGCTTTCTATGCAAGTTGCCAACCATATTCCATTCTGAGACTAGGTCCGGGAGAAAGCCGCACAGAACACCAACATCTCAAATCCTTCGACCGCCTCTCGCCAATACGAAAGTGCGGCGCAAATGTCAAACGCAAAGAATTGGTGGAAGACTGCCAAAATGTGACGCGACCAACCCAGCAACCCAACGTGATCAGCCCCCATCTATTTTTGATTTGCAGCGGCCACACCTTTGTCACCCACACGGAGGTAAGGCTGAGAGACGCTGAGACGTTTCTATGCTGGTCATTTCGGAGGTTGTCCCAGCATGCAGCGAGCTAAGCCTAATTGTACCTCCACCCGCAAACACCAACTGCTGTGCCGTTGGGGGCAAATTTTGATATATGTTGTCTGGACCATCCCCGCTGTTGGTGTCGCCGCCGATCTTTTCTTCATCTTGGTGAGATCGCCTCAGGATGTTGGTGACAACTCATCCAATGTGAAATAATCGCTTTCTGTTTTTCTTTGTCTTATCTGCAGCTTCATTTTGTTCCATATCGGAAAACCCTACGTTTCTCGAAGATGTCGGCCGGGTACCCGCAGTTTTCTCCCGGGACTGGCTATTTCAGCCCTGGCCAACGAGTTAGTATGGATCCAGAGGATTACAAAATCACCTTGACGAGGAGGTTTGATGGTAGCTTCGAATGGAGTCCTGAGGAAGGAAGTGTGGCATTGATCAACGCACTCAACTTTAATTACCCAGAAGGCTCGACAATTGATCAGAAGAAGCAAAAGGCGATACTCAAGAAACTAAATGAAGAGATGATGGAAAACAGCTTACTCAACTCCAACTCTCCAGGAATGCAAGTTGCAACTCAGCAGCGTCCAAGTTTCTCGTCTGCATCTGGAACAACGCTGTACACCGTGAATAATAACCCCTCTCCTTCTCATTCGGATCCCTTGCCCAGAACCACAACACCACCGACGAGTGTTAAAAAGGAAGAGAAACTCACCCAAAGCGCTGGTGCGGGGCGAAAGCCAAAGATCGAAGCATACAAACATGTGTTTCCTTCGACTCAGGGCGGCTCAATGACAAAAGGAAGGAAAGGTCCGCTGGGCGAGAAATCGAAAGCAGACGCGAAGAGAAACAGGAAGGCAGGAGCTGTTTGTGCTTATCACCGCAAGCAAAGAACAAAGGTAATGGATTCGTCACTTGCAAGTAAAGAGATAATTGCTAATTCAATGACAGTGTGATCCAGAAAAATGCAAAGACAATGCTTTGCACGTTTCAAATATTCAAGCACAACCTGTCAAAGTAGAACACAGTCGGACTCCAAGTAATGTCAGTCAGCCAAGTTATGGGGTACCAAGTACAGGTGGACCATCACCCGGATTTGGAGGCCCTCGAACTCCTGCCCAAAGTAGCATTTACCCTGGAGCAAGTCCACCACCTTTTGGTCAACTTGGTCCGAATACGTACGGTCAATTCAGTCCTGGTTTCCCGTTCTCGAATGCAAGTCCTCCGATGACCTTGTCATATCCGTATACGGGATTCATGCCGCCGCCACAGATTAGAAGCTCGGCTAGCAGCATAGCTGAGCCATATGGTGGTTACGGCGCCAAATTCAGCCCAGAAATACCTATGTCAAGTGCGACCAACCCTACTGGACAGGTCTTTGCCACTGCTCCTTTGGAGAATCTCTCCCAGGATCCAGCTATTTTCCCAAATAACGGAGCGTCTTATCAGACCTTTGGACTATCGCCTAGACAGGAATCTTATCACTCACATGGCAGTGCTAACGAATACTTTAATCACGATATCATCTACAACAACGAGTACAATTTCCATAACGAGACTATTTTCACAAACGTCAATGAAGAGATTCCAGATGACCTCTTCGGTCCAGAGGTCATGAGAAGCATGGAAGATATCCATGAGCAATTTGGCCATGGAGAGTCATTCAGATCCGTCGAGGTCAAGAAGAGATCGACTAAGAGATGGTGGTTGTCTGAGAAACTGCGAAAATTCGTTCGGGTGGTGTACACGAGCAAGGTTTTCCGAAAGAATAGGAGAAATGAGCATGGCATTGAGACGGAGGAGATCAGCGTGCAAACGACTCAAGTCGTGGGCATTGCAAAGAAGCAAGACGAGCCAAAAGAAAAGTCGCCAGGGGAGCCGAGTCGGCATATGCACGACGCCAAACCACAGACTGGTGAGGGTCTCGCTCTTACAATGGCGACAAGCCTGAATATCATCGTTCAAGAGCCGGAAAGTATTGTCGAAGTCGGAGAAGTGGCGAAGCAGCAGGAAACTACGGAGAGTGCCGAACAACAAAAACAGCTCGAGGACATAAAACCAGTTGAGAACGCTAGCTCTACACAGGAATCAAACACTATCGACGCTGGTGAACCCTCGAAAGCAAGAAGCAAGGTCATATCCGACGTAAAGGACGCACATGCCACGAAGTCGACAGAACTAGTGGTCAACGACCTCGTTGCTGGTTTAATCGCTAGCACACAAGAATTGAAAATCCAGGATGAACCAAAAAACAAATCTACAGAACACATAGTGGAGATTGAAATGAGCAAGGCGGGAGTAATCACTGTTTAAGATACCCAGCCGTGCGAGGCTTTTGTACACTATCTATGTGGGCGCCAGGTTACTGATATATGGGATGCCTCACTTCGGTTAAGGGGGTTGGGCAAATACATAGAAATGAATCAGTCGATAGCTTGAAAGTCCGTTCATCTGTGTTATGTCTAGTGCTGTGATATTTGCTTCAAAGCCTCATTTCATTTGGAAAACTGGGACACGATTGGAAGTTGCAGATTCAGAAAAGCATTTATTATACCCGCAGTGGACAGACTAAGTCGTAGTCGAAACACTGTATTTCTTCGACTAAGCTAACGATACGTTATATATTTAGTGGATCAGCTTAACAATACTATATATTCCATCAACTATTTTAAATAAATGAGACTTCTTAAGCTCTATTCGAAGCCCACTTATTTAGACTAACATCAGTGGCCAGGTGACTGACACTTATTTTGTCTTCTGTGGGCCTAAGTGTGCAAACCAGCTGCATTGCCGGTGCGAGTTGAGAGCGCGGTATGACGGGCTTGTACATCTGCAAACATACAAAGTCAAGGCGCTATATGTAATTCTTGCAACATCGTCTTCTGCAACAGGCTCACAAGATAACAATCATCAATAAGATCTACCAAATCAAAATAACATTCACAATGCGTATACCCATCACGGCAAACTCCAGCCTCTTACTCTCACTTATTTCTACTTCACCTCCTACTTTCCACCCAAAATCTTCTCCAACTCCAAAATCTTCCTCGCAGCATCCCCAAAAGTCTCTTCCGCAGTCCTCAACTTAAGCCCCAAGGCCTCATTCCACTTTTCCACATCCGTAATAACAAACTTCTTAGGTACTTCAGAGCCATCTTTAGGCAGTCTGGATGCAACCTCTGGGACTTTCTTCAAAGAATCAACAGCAAGTTGAGAAGAATATTGAGCGCCACCGACTGCAAGTCGTTGATTGAAGACGGCTGGGGTGGTCAGCGACAGTATGTGAGCTGTTGCTAGGTCGCGGACGTCAATCTAGGATCGTTAGTATTGTGATGTTTAGATATTGCAGGGGACATACGTAAGAAGGAAACGAAGTATCCGGTGTGACTTCATAAGTCCCATTAAACAACGAATAGAAAACATCGTTGCTATAATTGATCTTCTTCAAGCTCTGCACAGGCTGAAGCGGCGGACCGAAAATCAAACAAGGTAAGAGATTCGTGACTGAGAACACGGGCTTCTCTTCTTTCACAAATTTCCAGATGGCTTTCTCGCTCTCCGCTTTAGCGACACAGTACGAGATGTAGGGATGTTGTGCTTTGATGGCGTCGTCAATGGTCACAGGGAGCCAGGAGTCGGATGAGAAGACTCGACTATCTACGTCCATTCCTGTGGTCATGGCATTGCAAGACCCGGTCACTACGATAGCCTTCACCGACTTCCCATATGCTTTTGCCGATTTCAGAAGTTCGGTCGCTCTGAGGTTTCATTAGCACAGCGTAGGACTGGAAAAAGTATAATGCTTACCCGTGAACACTAGGTTCCAAGTAATGCTTCACGAAATCCGTATTTTCCAGATCTGCAAAAGCTTAGTCTCCTTCTCTCAGGTCAATGAGAGAATTACATACTATCAAGCAGAGGAGCTGCAGTATGGATCACATAGTCAAAGTTCCCCTCCTGGAAGGTCTTGTCCCAGGTGCCTTCCTTGGCATAATCACTCACAACAACAAAGTCGAGTTTGCCAGCATACTCTGGATGAGTAGCAATAATCTGTTCGCCTTTTGAAAGAGTTCTCACTGAACCAGTGACAGTGTGGCCATATTGAAGGATGAGGGCATCGATGATGGACGCGGCCACAAAGCCGTTTGCACCTGTGACGAGCGTTTTAGGCATTTTGATACTGCTAAATTATCTGAATTCGAGTAGTGCTAGGATGAAGTCTGAGCGGTTCTGGGCTTTTTGCTGATAAGTAGCTCTTGTCACTTATCGAAGATGATAGCTGAAAGAGGGGTAAATAAAATATAGACGAGGCTGCGACAAGAGTCGGTTGAAGGTTGATGTGGAACAAAACCACGGAAATAAATGATTCACCTGAGTTGAGAATGATGTAGAATCAGTCTAGAGACGGAATGCAATCCTTTTATATTTCTTCATCTAACTGTTCAGCCCAACTCTTCGTCCCCAAAGTATATCTCATGCCCGAAAGCAAAATGCTCTGTCCCTTTCCTACACCGGTTGAACAACACGAATAACGGCAAGGCAGTCAGCAGCATCGCAATCACTCTGCCCAAAAGCCTCCCGGGCACTTCACAAATGATTTTGCAATACATCCAACATTATGACCAATCGCTGACAGAACGTCTGCTCTCATTTTACTGTGGCGCATGCGCTTCGACGCGACTTTTACCCAGCCAGTCAAACCACCCCACCAGAACGAACTTTTGTATCTTGAAAGCGCTGAATAATCAGCGTACTGCTGAATCCTTCTCTTATCGTCGATTGCGTATGTCGTTCTCACGGAATTTACCCAACGGGTACAACAGTGTTGCATGGGATAAGTATTTGCATTGAATGAGTGCTGAATAATCAGGAATCTGTTGATAAGCTGCCTCATCCATCTAAGCTTCGACTCGGTTCTCATTGCAACGAAGTTGCTTTGGAATCAGATGGCCGTTTTGGGCTGTTAAACGACATCGTGCTCAAACATCCAGCCTGTTTTCCATGACATTGCACAATAGCATTCGTGATCCAAAATGCCCTATTTCGCATTCAGTATTCGATATGTGATGCCTACAGTTTTCCAGTAGGGCTGCCCATTCCTTTCTCCGAGTTTGCCCTATTGATTTTGACCATGGCTGTCGAGTCCAAAGTACCGTACCAATGCCTCAATTGAGATATGTGATCTTTCTCCTCGTCTCCATATTCTACAGGGGGCCCTTTGGCTTGCACCTCATCACCACCCTTGAAGACTGCCCAGCTGCTTGCCCCAGTTTGATCTGACCGAAGAGCGAAACCTCTTGATACAGATGATACCTGGAAACTCCGAAGTAAGACCCCGTCACCTGCTTGAATAATTGGAAGAGCATCTTTGTAAGGTCTCGACACTTGAACTTGAATGACGCCACTGGGAGCAATCGAAGGATCTGTGATATTGAAGGAGACCTGATAGTGCCGTGGACCCCCCTTTGCGCGTTGCGGTTCAGGAGGAGTAGTCGTAGCAATTGCTAGCACATCGAGTTTCTGGTTGAGATGAAATCGCAGGACCTTAAGTGCAGTGAATTCGCTTAGTTCGGTCCGCAAATGACGAGATAGCTTCAACTTCAAGTCCGCTACGGGTGCGCTCCTGTCACGAGTCCTAGTTGGAGATTCGAGTGAAGATAGAGCTAGTTCAACGCTAGCATCATGCCCAACTGGGGAAACTCTCTGGTCTAAAATAATCGCTGGAAAAGAAGCTAGCACTTGGCTATCTCCAGGCTTTGTGGCTTCCCCGGATTTGACCGGAGTCTTAGGCCTGGTGTTATCCTTACTGAGTGACATAGAAGCTGTCTTGCTTCGTAGATCTCTAGCATCGGCTGCGGATGTGGTCGACACAACACGCCTATGACTTCTGCGAGGGCTGACATGTGTTGCGTCAGAGATTTCAGGACTCAATGTCGGTTCACCTTTGGTGGTTTGGGAATTTCGGGGGCTAGCAATCTGCTTTGGTGTTTCCGCTCGTTCTGCTGTTGCAGTGCCTTGGACCAAATCCTCTGTAGGGTTATCGCTAAGAGCCTCTGTTGTAGCAACTTTCCCTCGAGCTCGCGTGACTCGAAGTGAAGGAGCCTTTTCTGTTGCTTCGGTGTTAGATAGGCCATCGGGCTGGGTATTGGAGACTGTATGGGAAGGCTCCTTTGGTGAGAGGATGGTAGAGACCTGCGAGTCGTTCGAGTTATTGAAAGACGTTTCGATGGCAGGGGTAGCTCTTGAGCCTTGTGTGTGCTCTGGCGTAAGCAAATGTTTGACTTCTTCTGCTCGCTTGAGCAACTGCTTGACATCTTCGGGTAGCTGGGATGAGGTAGACGATTTTGGTAACATTTCTTCATCCATCGCTCCGTCTAAGCCATGACTTCTTCTCGGGGAATGTTTCTTGTGAGGCGGATGCGCAGGCCCTTTGCTGCGAGTAAAATGAACGTTATGCTCATTATGTTCTCGGGCCGGGCTTTGTTCTGTTGTTTGCTTCACGGTGCCAGGAGTGCCTGACTTACGCAGCGGACTGACTTCCAGTGCATCAGGCCTCTTGTTGTCGTCTCCGAGGTGCTTTAGTGGTAGGCTTTCCTGCTGATCAGCGTCGTTGCCATTTGACGCCGATGCATCATGATCGTGGGCCGCCATCACTTCTACTACTGCCTCGTCAACGGCTTCGGAAACAATTTCAGCAAACTCCTCTTCTAAAGTTTCAACAGCTTCTTCGGCCTCCTCATCCGAAGCTTCGTCGTCTACCTGCGCAATTATCGCACCAGATTCTTCCTCCACAGTGTCGTCGGCAGGTTGCTCCACAGTACGCACAACAGAATCATTACTTGCGGGAACTGCCCGTTCCGATGACTGTTCATCAGCAACACTGTGGTCCTTTTCATGGTCCTCCGAATCGTTCCGATCAATGTCCATTGCATCAGTGACCACTACTTCCACAATTGGCTTTTTAAGAGGACTATTCACGTCTTCCTGAATCACATCATTCGCAGTCTGTGGACTAGTAATCGGCGCAAGGCTCACCTGCTCGTCCACTATCGTTGGATTCTCTGAATCGTCGACATCAACATTTCGAGGGGAGTCATGTTCAAGTTTCTCGGTCTCAGGCTCCTCTTCCTCCGCGTCGTGTTTGCTGTCTTCTGCGATGCTTGGCTCTAAGGCTAGCGGCACGCTGTCCTGACGAAAAATTCGTGAATCCTCGAGTTGCTGCAGTTCTACAACAGTCGTCTTGATCTCAACTACAACTTGCGTGTCCTCCACAAGAACCTCCGTTTCTTCATCGTGGATTTCACTATGGGGCGAGGACTCCAAGTTGGCATTGCTGGGTACAATTTCATCGACTTCCATCTCATCTTCGCTCAATTGTTGATCTCCTTCGTTGGATGCGTCTATGTTTTCAGGGTCTTGTTCGTTTACAGAGTCTTCTGCATCTTCTAATAGCGTCTTGGTCCTGATGGACTCGAAATTCATCTTTTCCCTTTCTTCTTCCTCCTCTCCCTCTTCTTGTTCTTGTTCATCATCTTGCTCTTCGTCGTTCTCCTCATCATCCTCATCATCCTCCTCTCCTTCTTCCTCGCTTGAAGAATCTTGTCTGCTTGCAGTTTGGGGTTCAGTACCAAGGGATTCGGCGGTTCCAGGTTGAGCGGTATCTTCTTCGTCGTCAGAAGATAACAAATCGATAAAGACAGGTGCGGCAGGTGCCCGAGCTGAGGTTTCGGAGTAATCTTCCTGGCCCGATACTTCCTCTTCGTCGTCATAGCTGCCCTCATCACTTCCATAATTCTCTTCAGATCCCTCCGTGTAAGGAACTCCAGGTCCAGGTATCACGTTACCAGCACTGTCAATGTAGTTGCCGTCTCCATCAACGTCGTACTTGTAATGAACCTCGTCCTCAGAGTCCTCTTGGGGCTCATCAGACATATATTGTTCGTCGTTTTCATAGGTTTCCTCATCCAAGTCTTCGCAGTCCATGCGTTCTTTTCTCGTAGCAGTATGTCGCTGATCAAGACTTCTTTCTTTTCTAAGCTCGTCTGGATAACTGATTTCTTCAGCTTCACCATCGGCGTCATCATCCTGCTGGGACTGTCCTTCCTCATCACTGCTTTCGGTTAAATCTACGGCTTGCGCTTGAGATTGCCCGCTCTGAGATCTTGACATTGGGGCAGACACGGGAGCCCTTGAACTAGACCTATGCTCATATTGTTCCGTCTCTGATATACCAAATTCCGGGTACGTGACTGCCGGGGGTTCATTAGCCCATAATGGTATGGGTGGCTGTTGTGAATAGTCGTCCAGGTCAGGATATTTCATCTGAGCTGGTACAAGCGGCGAAGAGCTTGGCGATCTGCTACGATTCTGAACATTGCCGTCGGTTTCCTCTTCAACGTAGAACCGCTCGTGATCTGAAAGATCCTTGTCGTCGGAAGGCAAGGCAGATGTTACTTCGTGGATTTGCTCATAGAGCTCCGGAGCCATGAAGTGGTCTTCTGTTACGTTGTTTGAGGGGACCTCATTAGCGCTTTGGGAAGCGGAACGTTCAAACATCGAGGGCGCGGTCGTAAATGCTCCATGTCGCAAACCTTGGGGGCTGGCACCATAGATGTCCTCCTGCCTGTCTTCCAGTGAAGTATGCTGGCTTTGCGTCCCGTCGCCTTCTGCTGACTCTGAACTCAGAATAGGATGGTTGGCAGAAAAGTCAAGGCCTCTAGATATGAGAGGAGATACGAGTGGAAGTCCTTCGGATGACAGAGGCTGCAGTCTGGGTGATCGAGGGAAGTTTTGGGTGGTAACAAACAGGTTTTCACCTTCCAGGACATCGGTTTGTAGCTTTGGCGGCGGCATTGAACTCGAAAGATATTGTGATACGTAATTTGGCATGATATTCGCACCTGGATAGGGTATGCTACCGACATTGACTGCCTGTCGCGAAAAGCTAGCCAGTGCCTCGGCCGCATCGTCCATGGCTACCTCGACTGTCTGGCAGCCTTCATCCATCATGATTGGCCTTGGTGGAGTTGCAATCGGGTCTTCCGTCACCTTTTCTATCGGCGTAGGCTCCCTCTCCGGCGAAGGAGACCGACTGGTATATTTCCATACTGAACTCAATCTAATTCTCTTTCTGCCCTTTCCTGCCACAGTTCCATCCTCCTCGGCAAAAGGATCGAAGTCGAACATGGATCCGTAAGAGGTTCTGGCTCTCTTGACAAAGGCGGGGGATGAGAACAATGTGTCATCTGCATCATCTTTCTGAGGCTCGGTATGCTCGATTCCATTGGTGCCATTTGTGCCGTTGGATGGTAACGTAAATTCGGGAATCGCATCTGGTAGAATTGAAGCGATTGGAAGCTCGGATTCGGGGGGAGGATGGTCAATGTCAATTAACTTTGATTCCTGGGAGTCTTCTGGCCGAAACTACGGTGATTTTAGCTGTTGGTCAAACCCATAGTCTGAGGCCGCACCTTTAATAGAACTCTTTCCGTAAACCGTAGCTCGAACTCAACACCTCTGCCAGGAGTTGAAACCTGGTCGCCATCCTGAACCCATTCTACTCCATCCAGGCATAAGCATACTTCATCTCCACTTGTAATATGTGAGTTGGCGACTTTTCTTGCGCAGGATCCCGCAAATTGCACCCGTACCTGACCCCTCGCGCGTCGCAATCGAAAATCCGGCTCTGCCAGAAGGAACGCCACAACTCCAGTAGCTGAGCTGAAGGGCCACGTCAATGTCACTATCGCCTTAACAGATCGAGATGCGGGTGCTGCGAGATTCGGAGAGAGCTCTGCAATTGGAATGTGGGTTGTTGACTCTAAGCTTGCGCCCGGAGCTTCGTCCAATGCAGGCATTGCCAGTGAGCGTTTGGTCCTTCAGACAGAGACTATAGCATTGCACCTCTTGCTCCAATTCATATCCCTTGGTGTTGACTGTTGGTGGAGGGCAGTGCGCCCATGGAGGTGAACGTCAATGTACAGAATCGAACCTTGGAAGGGCGACGCGAACGTCAGTGTCTTTGTACACCGCCAAAGGCGACTTGGATTCTGCCGGGTTGATTCTGCCTTCGTCACCGCCCAGGCTACTGCAATCCGGTGAAAGAGGCGGCACGCGCTACGCCAAACCAAGCAAAACCTCAGGTCTTACCACCCACCTGCACCCACACAATATGAACCAGACCCTGACCTCCGAACATTTCATCCCACGCAAGATCGAGTACGGCTGGACGGCCATTGCGATGCTCGAATGTTGTCCTTACATATAGCGTACCAGCGTCAGTATGTCGGGTCGATCACCCATCGACATGAACAATATAACCATGGACCACCCCATGTTTTACTCAATGGATGAGCTTCCCGGGAGCATGTCTTCGCAGGTAAAGATGTCATTTCCGACGTGACTCTTCATTGCTAACAAGCCAAGACTGTCAATGGAAACGATACGTCTATGAGCGGAATGCTCGAAGATGGATTACTGGACTATCACAATGGTCTACCTCTGACGATGGGCGTGAACGACCTCGATAACGGCGCGGAAAATAGAAATTATTCCCCCCTCGACCCGTCGACGTCGCGCAGCGAGCTGGATCAGCAAGACGGTAACAAGCAGCCACAGAGTCCTACCGATGAGGCGGCGATCAATACTGTGGGAGGAGGACCGTTACCAACCGGATGGGGTGCCCCAGGTATAACGCCGAACAATGGTAGTACCCTCACCGAGTTCACGAAGAGACGGAATTGGTCACAGAAAGTAGTGGAGGAGCTCAAGGATTTCCTTCATATCCTCACTCCGGACGGCCGGATTCTCTATCTGTCCCCGAGCGTGAAAGCGCTTACGGGATACGACCCGGATGATCTTGTAGGGAAATTTATTGTCGACTTTATTCATCAAGATGACAGTGGTATATTCGTCCGAGAGTTTAACGAATCCATCGCGAGTGGAAATCCGCTTCGTTTCTTCTATCGGTTTAGGAAGAAAGATGGGGCTTATACCATTTTTGAATCTCACGGGCATCCTCATTTAACATCTGAAGCTGCTGCCTTTAATGCCGGTCCTACTAATGCCGCGGGTTTCTGTAGAGGCTTCTTTATGATGGCTCGACCATATCCTACAAAGAACGCAGCTCTTCTTGATTCTTTTCTGGAGCACAAGATTGAAAACGCTCGTCTGATGAGGCGAATCGAAGACTTGAAACGAGAAGAGGCTGAAGATGAGAGTCAACAACAGGCTTGGTCCAAGAAGGATAGCATATCGGAAAATCCATCAGAAGCTGCCGAAACCATAACGGGAAGTTCGGTCACTGTCTCGATCCCTCAAAACGTAACACACGATGCCCTTGCAATGCCTCCACCGGCAAAGCCGAACCCGGGTCTTAACATCGCTCTCACTCGCCAAAATCTCGAAGATGCGAATCTTAGTACCAGACCAGATTCTATTGGCGACAAGATGGCTCGATATGAGGCTAATTCTCATCGTGAAGCTGTTGAAATGCTTACGGGATTACGGTATCAAGAAGGAGAGCGAAGCCAAGGCATCAGTACCGGTGATCAGAGTCCGGCATTGATCAGAGGTGATGCTGGAATTGCAATAGCTGTTGACAAAGACTCGAGGGCGAATGACAAGAGGAAGAAAATTAAATTGCCTGATGAATACGTGTGCACTGATTGTGGTATGTTTAGCCATCGATTTCTTTGGATTCCAAACTGACTTCATAGGTACACTGGATTCGCCTGAATGGAGAAAAGGTCCAAGTGGACCGAAAACGCTATGCAATGCATGTGGCCTGCGGTGGGCAAAAAAGGAAAAGAAGAAGCCAGGTACCTCGAGTACGCCCGGTGCACTAGTTCAAGGTGCGAGCACAGGAAGTTGAAGCATATTTTCTGGATTGTGCAGTAGTGTGTCACCAGGCGTTAATGGTATGGCGAGGCGCATTGGGATTTTGCTATAATAACTGGCAACATGGGATTGGGAATTGTCGGTGTTTAAGAAGGGAAGACACTCTTATACCCAGGTTTTAATTTATGATTGAAAATGCATGTTCAATTGTGGTCAACTTGTCAATATGTCCGCTGTGGTGTTGTCTCGCTTAGGTCTTTCCCCCTTATTTTGAGAAGCAAACATCAAGACAAGATCTTAATTGGGAATCTGCGAAGCAGGTGCCCGCTAGGTCTGTCAATCATCTCAGATGAAAAGGAAATCCTTGCTGGGTGTACTTGGAGAACGCAGAGTCTTTCTGATTCTATATTATGCTTCCGAGGTGTTGTTCATTAACAAAGCAGGCTCACATTCCCCAACATCATGAGGACTAATTTTCCAAATTCAACTAACAAGCATTACTATTCCTCTTCAGAATCATCTCATACCAAACCCGACTACAATATTCACAACCTCCCTCCTCTCAACCTGCCCTATCACCCTCTTTTCCTAACAGCCCTCTCCCAAGCCTCCGAAACCCTCGCCCCAGCCCTCTCAACAAACCGCATCACCTCCGCAACACCCTCCCTCCCCAACGGCACACCACCCAGTGGCCCCATCGACACATCCACGCCCACTCTCGGCAAAAGCACACTCGCACTCATCGCAGCAAGACCTACACTCAAAACCAACACTCCCCCATTCACAATCACCATCCCAGCATTCCAAAACGCATCCCTCTTATACCACGGCTTGCCACCCACAAACTCCTGCAAACCGGGACCTGTCTTGTTCAACGGGGCGTAGTAACATGTAATCTGCGCCTTGATAATCTCCACCTCCCTAGACCCGCGTTTGGCGTACAGCGGCAGGTCTTCGTCGCGATACGAGCCGGGCTTGAAGCGTTTTACATTCGGGAAACAGGATATCTTGCACTGTGCTCGATGTGTACGCTCCGGACGGAGAGGTTTGGACAGTTTCGCGCGTGCGAACTCTTTTTTTGCCTGGCGTCCTTGTGCGGTGTGTAACTTGCCTGCTGGGATGAGCTCGCGGAGACGGGCTTGGGCGGCTGCGAGACGGGCTTCGTATGCTGCTAGGGAGCGGTCGTAGGTCTTGAGGACGGTGTTTTTGGAGAGGGTCCAGGATTCGGGGGAGATGTTTTCGTGGAGGTCGGAGGTGTAGATTGTTCCTGGGGGCGTGTCGAGGAGGTAGAAGATTGTGGGGGAGAGGCGGATGAGGAGGGAGAGGTAGGCTGCGTTGGAGAGGAGGGAGTGGAGGGATTGGTAGGCGGCGGTTTGGGAGGGGGGTGGGTTGTTGAGGGTGTGAGGGAGGGAACGGAGGAATTTGGTTAGGGGGGTGAGGAGGAGGGTTGTTTGCGCTGTGAGGGTTGCGATGGTGGGGTAGAAGAGGGGTGTTAAGGTTTCGCCGTCGAGGAGGGCGCGGGTTGTCAGTGCTCGGTGGTTTGTTCTGTGATATGCTGGATTCTGGTTAGTTGGTTCATAAGTTGAGAATGTAGGACGAACCATCATTGACAAGTAAAGTCTTTTCTAAACTCTCCATATGATCTGTCTGATCCTTCCTCGCCCCAAATAATAACTCGTTAAAGATCTTCTCCCTTATAACTCTCGAAATGATACCAGCCACAAGACAAGTCCTCGACTCATTATTTGTTAACAATGCATTCCATCCACCACATGCAGGATCGGCTTCCGCTACTAAGCTTGCCCAAAACACAAAATCTTTACTCTCTGGTAACTGTTTCCAAACGTCTGGACCATGTTCAAGGATATGTTCAGCAATACCCCGATAGTTGAAGTTATCTTGAGCAAAGTCCATGATCATCTCATTCAACTCGTCGAATTTTGCTATAAAGAATTTATCATCGCGGTCAAATTCATGATGATCCGGGTATGAGTATTGGATTGGTACTGGGTTGCGTTTTTCTAGGTCAATTTCATCATCTTGCTTCTCAATTGGGATTCCCGGTACAATTTGTGACAGCTGTTGTCTTTTGCTGGGTCGGTTTATTGACTATAAATGTTAGAGTCTTGAATTTCATTACTTTGCTCCCGAACACATACAGCTTTCCTCAACACTTCCAAGTTGTGATCCCTTACTCTTTTTCTATCCTCATCATTCCCACCAATTGACCTTTGTAATCCATATTTTGCAGCCTGTGCTCTCTCTTTCAAGCGCAACGCTTGTTCTGCTTTCTTAAACCTTTCAATAGAAGGAAGCTGGTCGAATTCGAACGCTATCTTTCGACTGGATTTCGCTTTTCCGATTGGTGTCGTGCTAAGACCGGTTTTGAGCGCTGGAGTTGATGAACGTTTCGGTGTAGCTGATGCCTTTGAAGTGACTTTCGATGGTGTTCGGCTAGGTTTACGTTTCTTTGGCGAATCGAGGAACAGTTTTTCGAGTCTAGGGGGCGATTTAGTATTTCTGAGGTTGGGTGTTATGTTATTCCATGCTGAAGGTCTCCGAGATTGCGGTGTTTTTGGCTTTCTTGACCTTGCTGTTCGTGGTGGTTGAAATGTATACGCGTTGGAAGAATCTAGACTTGAGTCCGTCGTAGAGGTCGAAGTCGACATTGTGGCGACTATTTATTAAGAAATGACCAACTGTTGGATAGAACGCGAATCGAATAAAATGTCAAGATCTCGCTAATAGCAAGTTTCTCGATTACCTTGTGGTTAGGTGTAAACAAAGAACGGGTAACATTCCTAGATGCTTATGAAAGGAATGAAAGCAGCCGAACCGAGTTCAAATTCGGAGAGACTGCATAACGAAAAGCAAAAAGCACGAAAACGGAACAGGAGGTTCAGAAACCGTCACTGACAAGCTGGCCAAATCCAGCTGAATTTCAGAAAACTCCAAATTAAACCAAAATCAATGAGAACATGAATTGATTTTCTCTGTGCAAGATACACGTTCTGTTACCCACATGAACAAACCAGTGAAATTATATCAGATTTAAATTCGAGGTCCCTCAGCTCAACTCCTAATCTCTCATTGTAATTCATCTACAACCTCGCCCTCTCACCCCTACCAAATCAGCCATTCTGTTCATCCAGACACCATCACACTTTTCACCCACCACAGCAAGAAAACTTACATCCAAAAGAACTTACAAATGCGCGATACACTCAATCTCAACATCCGTTCTCAGCGGCAACTGCGCAACGGCAACGCATGTCCGAACCGGTTTTGGTTCTTTGCTAAACACCTCGGCGTAGACGTTGTTCATAGCAGCGAAATCTTCCATGTTGGTTAGGAAGACGTTAACTGGGGATAGAATTAGTTATTGCATGGTTTGAGAGAAGGTGTTTGAGTTGAGCTGAGGAAAGGATGGATTGAGGTGAGAATGATGATTTCAAATACCTTTGACGCAATTATCAATCGAACTACCCGCGGCTTCAAGTACTGCTGCCAGATTTTTGAGAGACTGAGCCTATATCCAAAAGCATCGTTAGTAAAGCCCTCTCATCCATCTCCTCTGTCATCACAACTTACAGTCCTATCGGCAACCCCACCCTCAACAAGTTTCGAAGTTTTAGGATCAACTATACAATCAAAATCAGCATCATCTCCCCACCCTTCCATCTCTCATTGCAGAAAACAAATGCGAAAAACATACCACCAATGCTACCACTACAATAAACCATTCCCTGACATTTAATCGCCTGAGAAAAGAACGGGAGAGGCGGCGGGGCGTTGGGAGTCGAGACTGCTTCTTTTTGTGGCATTTTGACGGTTGTATCTTTGTCGCACTCTGTGATTGAGAAAATGTGAGATATGTTTTTGTCGGTGGGTGTTATGAGGGCTGTAACTTTGTAGGTTGTTATGAGAGAGCTGTGGGTTGGAGGGGTGAAAGAAAGTGGGGTAGGTAAAGTGGGATTGGTTGATAAGCTTGTTGCAGTTTTGACGTTGAATGAAGGGCGTGGATTCAAGTTTTAAGAGGATTTTTGCTTGAGATTCATAATAGGCAATATTGCATCAATATCTGTGAGGAAATTCAAGGTTGTGAGTGGTTGCTTACTCTGCGTTGTTTGCGCTGAAAGCGTAGGTGGAAGTTTCGAGCTTCAGAGGTAGTGCAGATCACATTTCTGTATATAATTCTATTTCTCTATACATCTTGTTTTGACTATGATAGTGCTACCGTGCTACAGATAAATCAATTGGCTAACTGCGGCGATTCTTGTCGTCTTTACCAATGACGTCCCAATTTCCAATTCAACACATATTTCCAACATCCTCATAATTTCGACTTCTCCATCTCCGGAACCTTCACATCAACCCTCTCCCACCAAGGCCAAACCTCCGGCTTATCATCCTCCATATTCCCCTCAAAACTCACCTCTCTCTTCCCCACAAAACTCTCTACCCCCTCCTTCTTATCCCTTCCCCCAAAAAGCTCCCACAAAACCCTACTCTCAAGTAAATGCGTCTCCTCCACCGTCCCCGGACCCCTCCACATCAGGTCCCTCATCAACGTTGTACTAACCGTACTGGTCTTTCCCGAAATTTCCTCCGCCAACTCCAACGCTTTCTCCATCACCTGTTCTGGCTTCACAATCTCCGTGAACAAGTCCCCGAAAAGCTTATGGGTAGCCCGGTACACCGCGCCGGTCGTAACTAAATGCATCGCCCTACTCCATCCCACCAGTCTAGGTAGAAAGAACGACGAACAAGCCTCCATCACAATGCCCCTCCTCGCAAACACGAACCCAACCTTCGCCTTGTCGCTCACAACACGAATAGCACACGGTAACGTCATGGTGATTCCTACGCCGACCGCCGACCCAGTAATGGCGGCAATAACCGGTTTTTTGCAGTTGTGAATGGCGAGGGCGACTTGTCCACCCATGTCTCGATGGGTGGTGGCTGTATCCTGGGTGTACGAGAGGCCGATTTCGAGGTCTGCTCCGGCGCAGAAGATGGAGCTCTGGGTAGAGGATGTGAGGACGATGGTTTTGACGCGAGAGTCGGTGGAGAGGAGGTTGAAAGCTTGGATGAGGGACTGGGCCATGTTGTCTGTGAAGGCATTGTGGTTTCTTGGACGGTGGAGAGAGATTATAATGATTGGGGTTGGGGAGAGGGAGGTTGACGGGTGATGGGAGAGGAGGATTTCGGGGAGGGAAAAGGTGGTGTAGGACGATGGGTGTGAGGTTGTCATTGTGTGTTGATTGAGTCTATAAGCTGAAGTAGGTTGAGGGGGAAGCTCTGTAGCTATCAATATCTAGGTAGATGTTGGTAGTATCGAACTGAAGAAATTGATGGAGAAAGCCGGGGGGTTCAACCTGTATGAAATAGAGTGGGAGAGAAAGTCAGCTTCACAAACCGGTTCCTACCTGTTTCTATACCTAAAAGGCACACTTCGTATATCCAGCGTTGGACTCTCGAGTGAAAGTTATAGATGCGGAGAACTATCTGTTTCGGGAATCTATTCAGAGCCGAGGCCTAGTCAACCCGCATGGCGGGGTAAAACTAATCACAGATTCGACTAGCAAAATGTCTATTAATAGAGATAAGAGTAGAAGATAGATGCGAGAATTAAAAGAAAATTTATTGTAAAGTATTAGGTCAAAAATCGCTCAATGTTGGTAAAATTGCATCCGACACTCTTCAATCCAATGGGATAATGTGGCATCTCAAACTCCGTCGCATTTCCAACGCCAGGTTCAATAACCTTTCCCTATCTTGATATGCCACACTGGCCAAGACAAATGAACTTCAAAACAAGAGTAAAATCATCTCTTTGGTGCCTGTTTATATGATATGCAATCCTACAGCATTCTCATTCCAAATACACCATATCCCAAGACCCAACCATGCGCTTAATCGATTGTCATTCGGCTCGATACTGGTACATGACCTGCATTGAGGTTTGGTAACGGTGTCATGTGGTGATCCATTCCTGATCCCAATTTCTCCTGGTCATCATCGCCAATTGCGCGCTTCACAAGATGTACTTTCAATCCCTTGTTGAAATTTAACATACAAGCAATGGCGTTGGCGATTGTAAGGACGATCAGGAGGATTGTGATACACGCAAAACTGGTAAGATTCTTTCGGACAGTGATGTAGAAATCTCTGTGGCTCGCCGAGTACATACGAGCGAGTTTGAAGATGAAATAGGCCAATCCGCAGATGAAGAGAAGGATTGTGAAAATCATTCCGAACTTATTTTCTCGTCGAGTCCAGAAGGCGGCCATGAAGAGGATACCGATGGTGATAGGAATCGCAGCAATGGTAAGACCAAGCTCTGCATCGGTTTTCCCAGTCACGATGACTAAGAATTGGACAGTGAACCCGAGGAAGAAGAAGAAATCGAATTTTAGTAAGGCAATGTAGATCTAAGGGGAGTCAGCAGTATTCACGTAAATATTTTGAGAAATGTCATACCTGGAAAGTTAAGAATCTACGCTTCATTCGGAGATCAGCACTAATGTGCTTGTAGATCGTCCAAGCAAACTCATCGTACAATTTCCAGGCCACGAAAGACATTACAACCGTGAAAAAGCCAATGATAATAGGCACCGACAAAAGATAAGGTCTCAGATCGTGCCATAATGGATCACTGGCATCGATGTAGTCCACTTTCTTGAGCGCGCTGATAGCTCGATCGACCTGGTCAAATTGAATCGAGGCGTAGATGAGCATACCAATGTTGTATATGCATAATCCGATGACTTGGATGGTGTTTTTCAGTCGCAATGAATCCCAAACCAACACAAGTTCGTATAAGAAACCGAAAATAAAGAGTGTCAGGTATGTCGGGATCGTCTTGGATTGTGCTGTGGCTGGCTTAGGCTTCAGACTTATTTGGAATTTGGCAAAGATATATCTAGTTCAAGTCAGCGGGATGCCACACAAATGATGACCCAGAGATAACGTACGCTTCAATTGCCAAAACTACTATCGTCTGGATGATGGTCGTAAGCATAAATGCCCACGTCCATTTCGTATTTGGTCTATCGCGGTCAGCGTTTATCCTGCCTTCCAGCTGTATCCAACTCACGTATACATCCCTCTCCGTGCTGTTCTGGATAGTGGTGCTGGAGATACGCCTTCTCGTTGAAAGTAGCCTCCTCCTAAGTACGCATCAGAATCTGGCAGAAGACTATTTCGAGAATCCTGCTTGTAAGCCACGTTGGCGATGCTTTGCTCGCCGTAGGAGCCGCGGTTTACAAATTCGATTAGAAAGTGGTTGTCGCGTAGGTGGACGCCGTGAATCTAAAATCAGATTACTGTGTTCGGATGATAGGTGAATGCAATTTGATGACTCTGGGCGGGAAGGATGATCGAGTTGGTGATGGACGTCGACCGAGTTGTTGGATGTGCGACTGCAACGAGCGTGAAACGCCTGGTGTCGTGGCAAGGGCTTGGTCTCTTCCTATTCCTTTGGACGGCCGGGTAAGCGGTCGTGAATATAACGCGATAAGCTGATTCAACAAAGGGGAGGACGACGAAATCGATAAAGGGATGCAAAGTCGAATTATTAGGTGGTAAAAAGGGCGAAGAACGTTGAACGGAGATCGAAAGCGGGACTGAACGAAGGGAAGGGGGTTAAGATCGTGGGGATGTTTGGAGTTGAAGAAGCAGCAGAAGATTCGGTTTTGGTCTCCAGGGCTGGCTCAGGCTGGGTCGTCGCTAGCTTGGCTCAGCTGGGGTAGGGGTTCAGGTAGTTTTGGTGCGCGAAGCAGCGAAGTGGAGCGGCCGGTTTGAGTTTCTTAGGCACTGCTCAGGGCTGACAGGTAGTGGACCACGATGAGGGGTTCGCAATAGTCAGGGGGAAAAGTAGTTTAGTGAAGAGTTTGAGGTTTCGACGGCGCGAAGTGGGATTGTTTTTGCAGAGGGATCTGGTTTTGGCACGACGGTGAGGTCACAGTTATGTATTCTGCCAATGTCGCGAGACGAGGTCTCTTTTGGGTGAGGATGTGCTGGCGGGATATCCAATCCTATTTACGAGACATCCGCATTCGCAGTACTTGGCGGGGCGCAGTTCGAATCAACCTGACCGGGTATGAGGCTGAGGTTGGTATCGAACCGTACAAAACGTAGAGACGGGAGAGATACTGTATGTATCGTTTACATGGACCTTTTAAATTCGAGAACGATGTCAAAGTGGCATAAAGTGGTAGGACCTTTTGCGGCGGCTTTGCTGATGCGTCAAACATGTGGAGAAAATGTTTATTCGTTCTTTCTGGCAATTGGTCGCGAGACTTTCAATGTTTCGAGTTGTACGAAGTACAAAGTATCCATGGATCACCGGTTTTGTCGGGAATGACCCACGTGAGAGATTGAACATCTGATGTGGTGACACAGATGAGATTTAAGCTTGAAGGCAAATAGAGATAGATAGAGGCGAACAAGAGGCGAACAAGAGGCAAATTGACAAGATTTCGATGGAATCCCTGGCGACCTTGGGATGTTTCATGGCATCAGTTTTTGCACAAGGCTGACATTCAAAACAAATCGGGGAATAAGATGCGTGACGACGCAAAGAGGCAAAGATCGATCATGTACATGGCCAAGAAGGCATTAAAATTCGACAATTCGAGCTGCGGCGTAGATATACCAACATGTTGTAGATGAGGTCCAACCATACGAGGCCAAGTACAACATTGTACACCGCATTTTGATCTTCGAATGGAGTGATCCTACTGAAATGCACAAACAGTCTGTACGCGGCCAACCAACATCAACAACACCATCAACCTCAAGTAACCAACCACATGAAGACGATTTCCTGCAGGACGAGAACGCAGGATGAGAAGCGCTTTCCACGGTTGTTTCAATCCGTTCCGCGATGCTTAAACCACCTGCAGGATTCTCACCTCTCATCGCGTCGAATCAATCTGCAAATTCTTCCTCAAGTCCCAACACAAGGCTGGGATCCCAATGAAAAATATTCTCTTCGCGATGAAGAATGCAATCAAAAATTCCGCCGATCAGGACCCCGAAGGATACTGAACAGATCTCGTCGCCCCGATGTGCAATGGAGGACTCGTTCTGCCAACTCGTAATTCTTGAGCTACGAGGTTGTCAACAAGGTAAGTATGAAGAAGGAAAGAGGGTTTGAGGGTGGACGAGATACTTAACGGAAACTCTTTTCTTAGCGCCGAGCTAGTGTTTAGTGAGGATTATGTCAGAAGGCTGCCGAAGATTCGAGGTTTCAAGGTTGGAAAAGTGAGGTGGGAGCATGCTAGAATCTTCAGAGCGCTGAAATGATGGCACTGACGGTAGAACGAGGGAACTCGGATGTCAGAATGATATATACTTCGAAGTTGTTTGTTTTCCTGGATAATGCGCGCAGGAAAGCTGATTCCTTGAACAAGGAAGCTTGATATAAATGCATCAATCGACACTCCACTGGAGCTCCCCATATCATATCGACATACCTAGGCAGGCTCGCGACCAGTAATCCTGGACTGAACAAGTTTCGCAATTGACGGAATGTCTTGATTTTTCCAAGTTGATCCACTAAATATACTGTTTCGTCAACTTGATCGAAGAAGTACTGTGTTTGCTGCCACTTATTTTGTTCGCCGCGAGGTTAGCTATATATATTGGTACAAATAGGTGCAAAATATAGATTTATCTGATTCTGACTCTCTGTGTAATTGAGAAGCTACCTACACAAGATATAACACATAGCTTGCTATTTTCAGTGAAACTTTGGAGCTGCCTGCTTGAAAACTGCTGGACCCGAGTCGTGAGCCAAGCTTGAACCTCAAAATCCGAGGCGCGTGTTTGGAGGGGTGTACGTTCGAGTCGCAATCCATCCAACATTTTGAATGTGTGACGAATTGGGAAAGCAATCATCCTCGCTGTAATTTTCCCATACCTATACCCTCAAAATTCCTCATCATAACACTCGTCATTTGGCGCCAGAACTGCCTGAGCACCGCGTCCATCTGGACTCCACCAAGTCGCGCCTCCAACCACCAAATCTGCGACTCTGTCGCAAACACCAAAGATGGATTCTGAGGGCGATGATGAGATCCTCAAGACGTTCGCGGCTGGAAACGATATCGACCAGTAGGAATTCTGCGCCTTGCAATCGCCGTGCGCCTGCTAACAAGCTTCAGTGACCAGTGGCCAGCCCTTCTATCAAGGTTGATTCCAAGACTGGAGAAGGTAAGTTTAATGACCAGCCCTTCTCAACCCAATTTAAAGCTAACTCTGGCAGATTGCAAACACGGCATTCCCTCCACGACCCTTTCTTGCCTCTCAACCTTCATCCTCCCACCCAATACCTTCCTCCCCACCAGCTACTCAATCAACAAACGCCGAATCATCCAGTCAGAATAGCACAAACTCAACAGATGCAATCAATAAAGAAAATGCCCCTCCACCACCGAAACCTCCTGCCCACAGTTTGTCACCATCGATACAAACCTTCCTCGAATCCATAATTTCAACCCTCCGAACCCTATTCTCCCAACACCCACCACACACTATTCAACGACTCGCCGAACTGATCCTCTATCCAAGACAGCATTACAAGACGGTATCATCATATTTACACGCGGTAGATCGAGTGGTACACGTCAGCTCAGGCTCCCATATATTTCCTCTCCCACCAGCAGTCCCCGACCCCTCAAGTGCCTCTGTGCTTTCAAACGGTACCATAGACCCTCTGTCCACATCATGGGGCAATGTTTCCTCAGTACAAGCAAATCTAGGCTCGGACGAAAGTCTAGGAGGAGCACTTCTCACACCAATACCATGGTTGACGAACAATAAGAACGGAGGATCACAACATTCAGGCGGTTCACGTTCACCAATCGAGCGAGAAGTCAAGACAGAAAGTACAGAAATGATTGAAGGACCCAATGGACTAGGAGGAATCGAGACGGTCACAGTATCTGTAAACGGTATATCCTCAACCCGGGAATCTACACTGGCAGCGGCGCCTACCGCCCCTACAACGGATGTCGCTGCAGAACTGAGAGCAGAGGGAGGTGTCACTCAGGGCGAATTACTACGACAGGAACAACGAGCGGGTGTGGTGCCTGTTGCACAGTTATCCAGCAACAGAGGCGACACCGATGGACTTGGAGAGGAAGATGAGGCTCCGCATGCTAGAGGGCCGGATGAGATAGGCATGGAAGACACAGGACCGCAGGCTAGTGGTCACGCCGCCGTCGGCTCAGGGCTGAATGTTAGTATGAAGGGGATTGATGTCGATGCTGCTGTTGGGAGGAAAGAGGTGCCTGTGTCTCCGAAACGGGATGCGGATGAGGAGATTGGAGGGCAGGAGAAGAAGGTCAAAGATGGGGATGAGGAGATGGGGGACGAGGTTGAACTTGTGGATGTGGATGGGAGGAAGGAAGGGGAGGGAGTTGGGGAGAAGGGGGAGAATAAGGGCGTCGATGCTGTGGATGGGAGTGGTGTGTGAGATTATTTATGACTTGTGATGGATTTTGTCACGTTGAATTCGTAGACCCATTTCATTTCGGAATAGAATCTGCGAAACCTTTCATACTTCTCTATTCCCGACTTGCTTCCTCCACAAAGGGTCTCCTCCAAAGCCCTTCCATCTCAACCCACCCCCCAAAAAACCGCCAAGACTCTCAAATGCGAAACGCAACAAAACCACCCTCCCTTCCTCTTTCAATCTAGCTCTTACACTCTCCTCCCCTTACCTTCCTAACTGTAGTAATCCGTATTTCCTGTGCGCAAACTGCCGTGCACGCGTGTATTGTGTGGAGAAAGCTCGGGTTTGCGGCGTGAGGCGGTTGTATTGATCCGTTGGGACGGTGAGGGAATTATGAATTTCGGGAAAGAGGATGAGTGGCGGGAGAGAGAAGAAAGATAAGAGGTAATGGTTGATAGTAAATACAAATTTCCTGGTTTATGAAGATATATGACTTCACAAGAGCATGGCATTGTGGAAAGTAGGGAAGAGATATTTCCATTAAACTCAACGAACCAGCGTGTCTATAAACCCGAGGACCTAAGCAAAATAACAAACCGCGAAACTGTAACTCCCAATATATCTAGAAAGTAAAGTTGATTCCAACCCCAAGCGCCATCCCATGCACCTCATTCCGTTCCCAAATTTGTAAACTCCATCAAAAGCTATGTATCCATACCAAACAATCTACAAAATAATTTCCCGAGCATCCTTCGGCTGAGATTCATTGGGACAATAAGGACATTTGAAACGACCTCCTTTACTTAATTTGGCGAGCGATTCTTTCGCTACGACGTGACCACATGGCATCATCATGGGTGGATTATCCTCTGTGGATTGTTCTTTGCTGACGGGACAGACGAAGATGGCATGGTAGATCATGCTTCTTGGAAGAGGGATTTCGACGGGAAATTCGTTCTGGGTCGTCCATTCTGTGTGTTTCTTTTTCACGATGTTGGCGTATTTGACGTGTGATGGCAGTGCTATGGCACCGGCTGTTGCGGCGACATAAAGTGGTGATTCGGCGGAGAGACCGAGTGAGGAGCAGAATTCGCGGGTGAAGGATGATGCCACATCGTCCCAAGCGGTCTCTATATCGAAGGTTCGCCAGTATGGGGATGCTCGTAGATTGGAGACGTATGCCATGGCTGTTGATAATTGCTGTATATCTCTTGTGAAGCGTCCTTGAAACCGTTGGAAATGCTCTCTGGCATATTTCAATGCTCCGAGTAATCCGTTATTCACATCATTCGGCATGCCATTTATCTCTGGCCCCAGAAAGAGCCACACATATTGCAACTTGCAGAGTTCAAACTCCAAGGTACTGCCTCGCTCTTCTAGCTGAGGACTATTTGCTCGTGCCCAATCGATTGCCGGACCAAGATTTCGGGCCTTCAATTCGTGTAGAATGTTGTACATCCCGGCAAACTTATCCTCCAGTTCTCTTGACTTGATGCTTCCCAAATCTTCTTCAATTTGGTTCAGGTTCGGCGTGCCAGGCGCAGATTGCGGATGGGGCGGGTTTGCTCGTGTTTCTTCCATGAAGGTCGATGCTACTGAGAATTGACCTTCCCGGACCAAATGCATGGCTATCGCTCGATTTATCAGGGTAGGATAAGATGCTAAAGCATCATAGTCGGTTGGTAGAGCTTTCACTGGAAAGTTCTGCAAATAGTCAGTATCTCATCACTAACCCGAGTCTGCTATTCCTCTTACCCTATTCAATGTCTTTTCATAACTCTTCTGTCCCTTGTCCACCTTCTTGAGATCATCGAGGACTCTATCGAAGCCATTTTTGAGGGGGTTTTGCAGGCTGACTAACGTTTTGGAAGCTTGATCTGGATCTTTGAAATGTTAGCCATGATTCAGAGAAAGAGCATGCTGGATCGTAGCATCTTCGAACTTCAAACAACTTCTGTTTCTTGCGGAGAATCGGCCATACTTTCTAATATTGTTTCCCTCGCTCTCTCGAGCTGCTCAATAATCTTATCAACATCTGCAATGCTCTGGTTCAAGCTGCCATCCCTTCGTAGCTTTGCCAGCTCGATTTGAATAACGTCCATAGCTGTTCGATGCCCCGCTACGGTCGTGGCAAGTTGTGTTTTGCTTTGTCTCGAAATCGTCGGGCGATAAAAGTCAACTACTTGCAAAGTAACCTCCCAGCTTGCTGCACTCTAGTATCCATGATAACCATAAGTTTGTCGTCTTGAATAATGTCGTGACCTGATCGATGTGTGTTGCTGTCTTCGGATGCACCTGGATACTTTGAATGTGGGTCACTAAAGCCTGTGAACACCCCAGAGTTGCGCATTCGGCGTTGTATGACGCCCAATGAATGGCCCCAGCCTGGATCATGAACCTAGCTTTCTCCCCTGGTCAGCCCGCGTCACATTCACGTTCAGTATCTCGGTATTGGTTTCAATGCAAGAAGTGGAAACTGTCAATTTCACAGTCTTCCCTACTTCACCTTGGCCAACCAGTTCTCTTGTCTATATTCCGAAGGCTGTGTCTTGAGTGCGACGCTCGACAAAAGATGCTTCTCAGTTCTAATTACGCAAAGGCGTCATTCGCATACTCTTACGACGAACCCCTCGGTTTACATCAGTCCATTCATCTCGATTAAAGCCCAAATGTTGTCTAGATTCCCACTGGGTTACGATCCTCAGATGTATCATGAGGACAGAGTCACTCTGTCGCGGACGACATCTCATCAACATGCAAACGCTCGAGCAAACGGAAAGGCGCTTCAGTCAAATCCAGTTGAACAAGCTCCCCCCGCGAGCGTTACACCTCAGCCACCGACGAGAAAACATTATGTCTTTCCAGACCCGGTAGCTTTTAGGTCAGTATCTTCTCTATAATTGCTTCCGGGGCTAACATGACTGTAGATACCTGGAAGAAGATTCGTCGACCGTTGTCATCGAACGATATGGGAAGCTAAAAGGCTACGAATTATACGTGGTCGAGCAATGGGCATGTTCGAGGGTTCACCCTACGTTCGTTATATCTACGTATACCGGCGATTCGAATCATAGTATCACGGTTGGAGTTTTGGGAGTTCCATCGGATGAAGGGAAATGGTCACCCAGACTCCGAGTGTATTTCAAAGCGATTTCACAGTTCCACGCGAGGCCTAAAGACACACCACTTGGATCGCTTATGGTCACGAATCTCAGCAGTTTTCCTTCAGCTCTTACAGTCATTCCGGTTCCTGCTGGCGACATCAAGAAGCATAGGGAGGACTTTATCGTAAACGAGAATCTCAAGAGGTTAGGCTGTTCTGGGAGATCAGGCATGAGTTTGGCTACACCCGCATCAGCAACACAGGCCAAGTTTCTGCAGTTATACAAAACCAGTGATCGAATACCTTTATACGGGGCAGTTATTGAGCTTGTGAAGCTTTGCCAAGTTGCTCTGATGATGTTTGGAAAATTAGAGCAAGAATATGCTGACGGATGTCTGTGTGATGTGACTGAGAAGGCCGTTCACGATTGGTGGGCGGAGATTGGATCTGAGTACTATAATGTTGAGCCTACCGACGGTATACTCGGACCGACAACAGTATCTGCACTCTTGGGTTTGCTCATGGGCGCTAGGAATCGTCTCAACTATTTTGGAGCTCCAGTTTCCAAGGATGCTTTTGACGTTTATAATCTGAAAAGGGGGATCGCACATTTTCAAAAGTCACAAAAGATAGAAAGAACCAGAAGACTGGACAGAGAAACACTTGCTCGTCTACATCGAGTAACTGCAAAGGCGGCGGCTGGAGAAAGCTGGGCTGTATCAAAAGCCGTCAAGTCCACCGTCGCAGAGCTCAGTGGTAAAGGCGGAGAAATGGTTATGGGCATGGTTGGACGGGATAAGGCAGGTATTGGTGAGGTAGAAACTCTAGATCTGGACCGATTCGTTAGCCTGGTTCATGGAGAGAGAGCGAAATGGTTGTGGCATGGGAAACCGAGACGTAGTGGTGGAGACAACGTTGGCAAATCTGACCCAGGTCTCGGAACTTTGAGTTTCACAAAAGACCATTCCGGAGGTTATATTTGGTCTCACAGCAGAACCGACTCAGTGCCACCGGAGGAGGATAGCGACATTCGAAAGGTTGAAAAGGGAAGCTCAAACAATGTCTACAATGAAATACCTCCAGGCTCGGCGGTCAGTGTGACAGAGACTCCAGGGTCGGACCGTGATCCACAATTACGACGGACAGTACTCAAGGGAGTGTCAGACAAGATGAGCGATGCTCGATCAGGCTTTGGTCGAATCAAAGATGCGGTTGGTTTGCGAGGTCATCAAAGCAAACATTCCAAGGATGACGGTATATATGGGGACCCTCGCGGGTCAGGTTACTTCAGTCCACAAAGTACAAGCACATTGACGCCTGGTACTGCCCCAACAAGTCCTCTTATGATGAACAAAGCTTTCACATGGAAGTTGACCCCCGAAGAATATCAGAATGGTCAGCGAAAGGAAAGAGATGTGGTGGCTAAGACTGGGGCATTTGATGAAGATCGAAGTGGAAGTGCTCCCCCAGAACAAATGGACCCAGAAGAAGCTCGAAGGGCAGCAGAAGCAGAGGAGAAGTGGGCACAACAGGTCAAAAGTATCCGCCAAGATCTCGTCGCCAATGAACCATCCGTCGCCGGTTCAATTTACGGGGATGGAAATCTCGCAGGTCCGTTCGTGGAAGCAGAGCGTGATCCGCATAGTTTCGAAATACTCTTACACCGTCGACACAGCATAACTGGTGTTTCACCTTCTGCCACAAATCATCGAAATGAAGCTTGGTGGCCCCGTCAGATGTCTTTCAGTGATGCTGAAGAAGCTGTCTTGACGTGGGAGTCAGTGGGTGAGCTCGACAACAACGCGGAAGATGGCGATGATTTGACAGCATTTCAGAACCAGAAGTTCATCGCTGAAGATCTTCGACATTTGTATGAGAAGGTTATCTTTTTGCAAAAAGAGATAGCTCCATGGGTTGAAAGCAAAGTAGCAAGCGTTGAAGCTTTGGACGAACAGGCAGTGGGTGAGACAGAGCAATTCCAGACACTTGTTTATCAGCTGGGCGAAGCACACCAAGTCATCAAGGCGGCCAACCAAGAAATTCTTGCCGGTGAACGTTCTCATATTATGGAAGCCGTCAAAGACGTCGAGACACTAGGTGCAAAGCTCGAATATGAGATTAACGCTCTCATATCAAAGGTTGAAGATGTCGAAGAGGGCGTGTCGCAATTCGAGAGGCAGGTAGAGGGCTTGGAGCGCAAGGCAAAGGAGTTGGAAATACAGTTGAGGACTGAAAGTTGGCCTCATTATATTGTGCGTACTATTACGGGAATTGGGACAGGACCAAACATTATCGCTCCCCGTAGGTAGACTTTTCTGCATTATCAAGGGTACTGGCGCTTTTGGGAGTGGGAGCATCACTTAATGGCGTTTGAAAGATACCCCTCGCGCATTTATAGAGTCAATTGATGAAGATCCGAGATTTAGTGTGGCATGTTTAATATAAAGGTCCTACCTATCTGGTATTGAAACCATGTGTATCACGAGCTCACCCAGTGACATAGATAGTCAATGATTGAGTTCCAGATCCATCTAGTTTGACAGGAGTATAACTTGTTCCAATACTCCATTGCGTCATGTTATGATCCAAGATCCATTAAGATTTTAGAGTGGATGTGGCCGTCGTCCAGTGCCCAGATCTATTATACAAGTACTTATCGTACAAAGTCCTTTTGCCTTCAAATATGGCATATTCCAACAATGCGCTCCATTTCAGATTCCTTCATCGAAATGCGAATTGTCGTAGACGTCCAACAATAATACAGTGTCAAGAAGTTCTCCGCCATCAACATCCACAAAACCTTCCGACATTACAAGCCTCCAACGCCGAATCCACCACCGGTAGCTCCTTTTGCCTGAGCCTCTGCTTGCAATAACTCCGAGATCTTCATCTGCACGTCGAAGAATTTTGAGGCGCATCGATCAATGCATACACCTTCTCCCTTGTTGAGCTCGCCTTCGCGGTAATCTTTTGGTACACACTTCTTCATGCATGCTTGTTGGAGTCTGTAAGCTGTCAGTCTAGAGCCTAGCAGCGTAGAGCATTCGATTCGGAGGGTTTTTGGGAGAAGTACTTGTTGAACATGTCTGTTACGAGGTCCATTTCCTGCTCTGCGGCTGCGATCTTCTCCGCCGATGATGGCTGCGGTCGCCCAAATCCGAACATTCCTGACATGTTTGCGGGTATGAATTGACTGGAGGTTTGAGTATGAAACTGGTTGATTTAATGGTTGGCTATTGAAGTTCAACGAGTTCGAGAAGTCTGAAGCTTGCACGGGGAGCAACACTAGCGTTGAGTCGATGGTCCGTGCCTCAGATATTTCTTCAAGCTTCCTGTTTGGCAGACCAGATCAAGTCTTTTCGCACAACCTCGCACTCAATATGATTGTGAGTTCGACTGGCTACAGTAAGTTCAATCCTTTTTATTAAATCTTGCCTGGGTTACTATGATGATTTCATTATAACATTAGAACCGTTGCGACTGACACCTTCGGGTGGTTGATCTCACATCGATCCGTTGTCTGATATTTCCCTTACCGCTACTTCAAAAGTACTTTCAGTTGTGCGATTGAAAATCTTACTGATTGAGTGGTATACAGAATGAGCTGTTCGAATTCCTTCCGCTTCCTGCGGCCGTATCTCTGCAGGAACCTACCTGCCGCACGGAAATCCGCATACCTGCGTTTCTTTTCTACCACGAAATGCAGACTCGATGAACACGGTATTAAATCCGATGGGGGACTCAAGCATAAGAGTGTGCCAGACCCAGATAGAGCTGAGAGATTGGAGAGTGCTGGTCTTTTGAAATGGCCGCGAATTCAGAGGGATGTAGATGCAATTTCCGCAAAAGAATTTAATCGTCGTTATAAATCATTAAATCCAAAAGAAACATCTGAGAATAATGTGATTGTTAGAGGTAAGGTGTCGTAGATCTCGCCCAGAACCCATACTTACGGTAAATCAGGAAGAGTAGCCAAAGTCCGATTACTGGGGAAAGGTCTGGCATTTCTTGACATCGTTGAGGATGGGTACACGGTTCAAGGCATGTTGAATTTGAAAGCCCTGGAAGCATCTTCCCCGACTGCAGAAAAAGATTTTGAACGTCTAAGATACATTTGCCGTGTAGGGGACATCGTCTGTAAGTCTGACACGTACGATGTATCTATCTTGATACTAATCTAGCGCAGCTTTGCGTGGTCGTCCATATATGCCTGCCCGTACAAAATCCCCTTCTATAAACTGTGATGGGATTCCGCAATTCCTATCTCCCACTCTTCACATCACTCCCGATACCATCCAAGACAAAGAGGCCTTGATTCGAAATCGGCATCTTGATCTCCTCGTCAATGCAAAATCGGCTCAAGTTGTCAGAGCTCGGTCTTACATTATCCAGGCCATTCGAGCTTTTCTTTTGAATGATGATTTCATCGAAGTGCAAACTCCAATGATTGCGGATACCGCTGGAGGTGCTGTTGCCAAGTCTTTCAAGACGTATGCTACCGAGTTTCCTGACAAGGAACTTGCTTTGCGTATCGCCCCAGAACTATGGCTGAAGCGTTTAATCATTGGTGGGATGGCAAGGGTCTTTGAGATAGGACCAGCCTTCCGCAATGAGGGTATAGATGCTACTCACAATCCAGAGTTCACAACATGCGAGTTCTACAAGTCCTTTGCAGATCTTGAACAGCTGATAGAGATGACCGAGCACATGATCGCAGGTATTGCAACACGATTAACAAGCTTACGTGCTAGCTCTCTATCAGTCTTGCCCGAGATACCAGCATCCCTTCATATGGGGACCTTCCAAAGGATCGAATTTATCCCAGCTATCGAGGAAGGTCTCGGAGAGAAACTTCCCGACCTAGCTGCTGATGATGCTACATCCAAACTCATCTCTCTGTTTGACAAGCATTCAATACCTACTCCTTCTTCGCCAACATTACCACGTTTACTTGACAAGCTAGGTACAACATACATTGAACCCCAATGCGAAGCACCCACATTCATCATGTACCATCCAGCGTGCATGGCGCCGCTGGCGAAATCTTTTCATCACCCTGGGATCAATCAAAATGTTTCTGCAAGGGCAGAATTGTTCATTCAACAGCGAGAAATCGCAAACATGTACGAGGAAGAGAATAGTCCAATCGAGCAGAGAACCAAAATGGAGCTTCAGGCCAGATACCGGGATGCTGAGAATGACGCCCACGTCGACCAGGGCTATATCGAGGCTCTTGAATGGGGTCTTCCACCGACCGGTGGTTGGGGGTGTGGTGTAGATCGACTTGTCATGCTCTTTACTGGTTGTACCCGGATTGCGGACGTTTTGCCTTTTGGAAATCTGAGAAACGTTGTGAATCTAGGAAGTCCAGCTCCAAGAACCTCCACGTCAAAGTCATCGTTGACTGAAACTATGAAGGGTTAGATGCAGCAATGGATCAACTATGGGATTCTTCGGTGGATAGCCGTCGATGCTCTCTCGGCTGTAAAACAATGTAGAATCACATGTATTTATGCAGATGTAGAGTACTGTAGCTTATATATTGTATAGATACGTTTACCATACTGCGAATTCATTGTGCTTCGATCATGGCTGTGGTAGACGATGCCGCCTGTTCATAGCATAAACTCTTCGTATGCGCCTCTGTCTCAATTATTATTTCTCCGTCAGTGGAAGTGACAGGATATTCTTCCTCATGCATTCATGCGTTGACGCACGATGAACATCTTACCGAATCTACTACTCAACAAAAGCTCCTTCAAGTAAAATGTATTAACAAAAGGATTTTCTGCCGCCGTGATAAGGCAAGTATCGGCCATCGATTGCTAGATTTTTTGTATTTCGCGCGCCAGGGATTGGTGCGGTCTACCGTAAGATATAACCCAAAGCCGGTTGTAACTTTACGTCTCCTACAGGATGATATGATGTTGAGAGTATTCCTGCAAGTGGCTAATGACTAGTCGAGTAGGAGGTTTCACAATGCCCGAGATGTTTATCAGCAATTTGCCACTTAGAGATATTGAAATACTCGTGGGTTGTCACTTAGTGCTATAATCCTGAGAGGTTTCAAACAGCGCTCAAGGAGTCATTATTTACTGCAAAAGGTTGACGAATTACACAATACTGCCTGTTCATCATCAGAATGCCGTGCACCAGTCACCACTTATCTTGTCCAAGACGCGAAATCTACGCGGACATATTAAACTTCCTTTTACGTCGCTTTCGCACACTCTATACTTAAACTATACTTTAATACTTAGCTGTACTATTGTGATTTATATCATAGTAACGATCTTGTTTATCCTCCTAGGAAGAATTAACATAACCCAATTAACATTAATCGTCTCATAGACCTCGGGATTAAGTATCATAATATTTAACGTTGTTTTGCCCAAGCTCAACGGACTGAAATCGTTCAGGCTCTGAAGTTCAAGGACATATCCAAGCGTGCTTCTCGAAGCTATCCGTATCCAACCAATGTACTTGTTTCCTCCCGATTTCGATAAGCCTTGAATTTATACAACCATCTGCACATCCTTTCAAAAACTGGCCTTAGACAAAGCCCTGATAGCCTTCTTTCTCTCCTTCCTCTCCAGTTCTCTACTCGGTTCCAGTCCGGATCTCCTACCGCTTAACTTCTTCTCCTTACGCCTCAACCTTGCTCTCCTGTTCTTTTTGCTCTTCTTTCCGCTCGTCTGCCGTTGATCACTACCTTTTGCCTTTCTGTGCTGCTGACCTTGAGGTATGAGATATGGGGTTTCCAGGCCATACATTGGGAGAGGCGGCACGTAGGGAGGTTGGCTGAAGTCTGCCAAGTATGTCGGATCATAAAGTGGCCAGTAAGTAGGGGGTGCATGTTCGAGGTCGGAAATGTAATGATTGGGACGATTGATACCCGCTGGGTCAGCGTCCGCGTTGTAGTCGGGCGTGTAAGCTTGGGAATTGTAACTACTCGTCTCGCGGACTTCTTCGTAAGTTTCGGTTGAGTACGACGAAGGAATTGTGGCATCGTCTGGGTGCACAAGTTCTTCTTCTGGGTAGATGACCTGGTCGTTTCCCAACAAGGAGTGCTGTGCGGTTCTGTTACTGGTCCGTAGAACTTCGCGGGTGGGTGATGTAGGCAAATTGTTCGAAGAAGCAGTGGTCTAGAGTACCATCAGTAATCTTGCTCTGCCTTTCCATCCAAGAGACTTACCGCAGTCGACATGCGTTGAGGGATCCCAACTCGAGGATGTGTGCCTGCTATAGTTTGCTCAGGAAACTCAAAGGTGCGCTCAGGTTCCGGGATTTCTGAAAGCTCCCATACCTGGAAACCCTCCAGGATTTCCTCATCCATATTGGCACATTGCTCGTATCGTGGTGTCGCGCTTCCTGGAAGTGTTGCGTGATCATATGGCAACTCGTAGCCAAGAACTGTAGAGCAAAGCAATTGCCATTCACCAAGAAGTCTGGCTGAAATAGGCATGGTGAAAGCTTTCGCAAGGGTCCGTAAGTCACAGATGAATTAGCACGAAATAATCTACGTAAAGAACAAAGAGACGGCGATGATGGAGGACTGCTCGTATCTCGCTTAGCGAAAGAATGGTAGGAAGTGATGGAAATTTCAATTTCCAGTGTATCATGTGCACAGTTTTATAGGCACTGATACCCAACTAGCACTAATAATGTCATAAACTCCTTTCTTGTGCTTACATAATTATCATGGTTTTCCCTATGTTTGTTAGGGGAAGCATGACGAAAGCCGCGCTATCATTCGGTATCGGTAGTACTAGAGCTTTCATTAGTCCCGGACTACATTCTAGTATTTTTTGGTGAGACAGAATTGGAAAGGAAAGTTCGAAAACCTGATGTCACATAGGAAAATCTTTCATATCGCGCACAGCGACACGTGCCTAGAAGTGTTCAGGATCCACATGGCGCAACATATTCACTTCTTGACTACTTTATATATTAGTTTTGACAAAAAGTCAAGCACCAATCAGCAGAACCACAGCTGGTTGGGTTTATAAATTCGTTCTGAAACCAAAATCGCCGCTCGCCAAAAAAAGGAGTGTTAGATATCATTGATGATCACTCTAAAAACCCAAACTAACCAAGTCGCAAGCAACAACACCGCCAAAAGAATCGCCAAAAGAAACTATTGCCCTCAAACAAATACTGGGGATTCCCCCAGCGATCGGGCTTAAACATACCCATCCTAACAAAGTAAACTGGACAACCGGTTTAGACACTAGGACATCCTCCTTGAGGGTGCAGTCAGCTTTTGCCTCTTTTTCCTTCCAACCTTTTTCTCAAGTCTGCTTGTACGATTTTTTATTTACCATGTAGTGTCACTTTATCTTATTAACCTCGAGGCGTTCATCTAAATTTTATATATGCGGCGTTGCTCGCCTCGCAGAGGACAAGATAATTGGCAAGTGTCAGTAATCTACCCACTCGCTAAACTTGGCAAATAACAAGCCCTTCGAATAGAGCTTATGGTATTATTTAGTTCAAACAATTGACCAGATATCTGATTATGTGCCAGGTCCATCCACTAAGTTTGCGATAATTTGCCAATTTGATCGAAAAAATATCGTGTTTCGACAGCAACTGATATTGTCCACTCGGAGCTCGTGTCCAATTCAAAAGGCCGACGATCTGCTGCAACTACATCGCGCGGACATGATAAGTTTATACTTGAATCTTCCTAAGAAGAGGAATTAGGCTATCAGTTTACAGCATAAGACTTAGTACTGAATTGGGGAAGGTTACAAAGTTCGATCTTGAGCATCCTCTTCTTCATTCTCCTTCGCAATTTTGCACCATTTTGGCTAAATTTACCCTTAAAATTCAATAGGAGATGTGCACAAGTTATTTTCTTCTCATAATTCAATTCGCTGTATTATCCTAACATTTATCGGTTCTCTCAACTAGGAGCCTTGTATCCATCCACATCCGTGCTGTTGGACAACTTCTCATACTTCTTATAATTCTCGTCATACTCCTTGAGCTTACCCAAGATTCCCTGATAAGCGTCGGTACCAATAACCACACGAAGTGGAGGATCCTTCATAATCGCAAATTCATACATCGCCTGAGCTCCTTTCTTGGGCTCGCCGGCTTGCGTACCATTTCTATCATTCATCATCTTCTTTGCGTCCAAATGATCATATGCAGGGTGTCTTTTCTCTGGGAATGCCATTGATCGGCCTGCCCAGTCGGTTCGGAATCCTCCTGGTTCAATACAAGTAAATTTGATGCCCCACTCAGGCTTGACCTCCTTGCTCAGGGCCTCTGTGAAGCCTTCTACCGCCCACTTGCTGGCGCAATAGATGGAAAACAGCGGAACACCTCGCTGACCACCAATCGATGTAACCTGCTGTATCAATCCTCCAGAAGGCTTCTGATCACGCATGACTTCCAGCGCTTTCCTCGTGACGGAGATGAGTCCGAAGAAGTTAACTTCCATTTGGGTTCTGATTTGCTGCTCATTGAGCTCCTCAAAGGGTCCTGAAAGTCCATAGCCGGCATTGTTGACAACTACGTCGACACGGCCGAACTTATCCAGCGCAGTCTTGAATGAGGCATCGATGTCCTCTTGTTTTGTTACATCAAGTTTTACTGCCAGGAAATTCTACTGAAGGTTAACATAATTCGATATCAGGAGATTCATAATGGATTACCTGTTCTGAGGTTCCCTTGAATTCAAGTGTATCCGGCTTTCGAGCTGTCGCGACTGCGATGTCACCCCGATCAAGAACTTCTTGGACCAGGTGATTTCCGAAGCCAGTGGATGTGCCGGTGATGAAAAAGACGCGAGGCATTGTGTCTGTAATTTGCTGATTTACTTGATTAATTGAAATAAGAAGGTTGTGTGTGAGGATAATCAAGCGGGGGAGATTCGAATATATATTCTATAGACATGGTCATCAACCTTGATGGTACAAAAAGCAGCACCCTAGCGTACTCATTTCGCCACATCCTTTCTGATATCCCAGTTCCAGATTCCTATAGTGTGAAATTAGGCTGATGCCGCTTTCTCTTATTCTAGAAGATAGGCGTTATGATGAGGCTTCGGCGGATTCTCCGGAGTTTATGTTTACCTTTGAGAGCCCGGACAAATGTACTGCACTCTAAACCCTAGGTTGCGCGTAGCTCAATAAGTCTTACCAGCTACGTCCCCCTCATCAAAGCCTTGACCGATATCAACCCAACGAACATGACGTAAGCGGGGTTAGCCAGCCTATTCGGTCGCGATTTGGAAGATATTTGGAAGACTTGATCGCTCTTAAGGATTAAATCCGGCTTGGCTTAGGCGGGATTTCCCCACTTTGCGAGGTTGTATCAACGTCACCTCTTCAGCACCATTAATGAAGCTTGAAGAGCTCGTTCATCAAGCCGAATTTAGTCTCATAAGTTCTTTACCAATCTTAGGTGGGTTGTACATTGAATTGGGCTACAGAAAATGCACTCGAGGATCTCAGGTTCGTTGGTGATCCGGAAAATTCACACCGTCGTTTTTAACCAACGAAAGAAAATCAGAACTGATATTTGTCATGCTTGTTTGTGGCACATGGTATCATTTTCGTTCAGAGTATTATGATGGCAAATATAGCTGCCAGAAGGAGATAAAAGAGGCAGTCCAGAAACTATGAACCCGAATTGCTTTTCCTTGACCATCTATCTTATTTATAAAAGTACCCCCGCCCTCAGAAAACACTCTTATCCCAAGAGACAGGAGCGTCAACATCTATTCCAGCATATCAATGCCATTCTCTAAGCTCTACACTAACTTTTCGATTTACAAAATGGGATTTCATACTGTCTAGACTGTCACGTTTTTCATTAAATTCCAGGCGAAGTTTCCGAAGTTCAGTTACCGAGGGACCACCCGCGCAGCAATCCCGCATCCCCGCAGCGACGCTTAAGCATTTTGGAAGCACTACTTTAGTGATTCCATTCTAATGATAAGTCAACGAATCAAGTTGTTCAATTCATGCGAGGCTATGAGCTGGTGATTCCCCCGCAGAGCGGGGTTGGGGTTTAAGAATGCCATGCCCTGTAGCCATATCTGTGTGACAGGAAACATCGTATTTCTATACTTTTGTTCAACATTTCTAGAATTAACTCAAGATGAAGGCACAAGATCTTCCAAAATTCAGTGATATGCCAGCCGTAAAAGGCATGCCTCATGGCACGGCCTGGGGTCTTTGGGACAAGAATGGAGAACGTGATAGCTGTGGTTCTCTAAACCTCCTGACACCCGAAAACACAATCGCAGCTCAAAAAGAGATCAAATCAGGAACAGGAGTTGCGCTCAAGTAATGCATCCAACCATACTGATTGAGTTCTTTAAACTAAACGAATGATGTAGTTGGGATCTCGAATGCGTTCACGAGCCTGGATTCGCTCGAGAAAAGCCAAAGCATGAACTCAAGGATCTTCGGAGTATGGGATTTGTGGCCTTTGACGATTTGATTCATATCAACACCCAATCTGGATCTCAAGTGAGTTACTTTTCACCGCGATGGGATTCGAATAATCGCTGATTCTAACGTAGTGGGACGGGTTCAGACACTGGGCGCACCAGGAGACTAAACTATTCTACAATAACCTTACAGCGGATGAGATTGTTGACGAGAAAAACAATGAAAAGAATGGCATTCGTATGTTCTCTTCTCACAGCACATGTATATCATATTTACAATTTGCAGATCAATGGTCCCGCCGTGGTGGGATTGTAGGACGTGCAGTTTTCATCGATTACGTCGCTTATGCTGAACGCCACAACATCAAATACTCTCCAGTCGAGCGCCATGAGATTACCGTCAAGGAGATCGAAGAGTGTGCAAAGGAGCAGGGCGTTGAATTCAAGCCGGCAGATATTCTGGTGGTGAGAAGCGGGTGGATAAAATGGTGGGACTTCCATCTCCTGTGGTCCAAGAATGGATTTCTGATTGACAACTGGGAACAGGTACAACAGCGCGAGCACTGAGGAGAGAGTGGAGAAAGGGAAGAATGGCCACGAGTTCGCTGGTGTAGGGGGAAATGAGGAGAGTGTTGAGTGGCTTTGGGGTAGGTTCTATCTCTGCTATCCTGATACCTCTGAATTGGGAAAATCTTGCTAAAATCATCGGTTCCAGATCATCATTTTGCAGCGGTAGCGGGGGACGCGATAGCCTTCGAAGCTTGGCCACCTAAGGCTCCTTACAGTCGGTTCCCTCTCCCACTTCACTAACCTTGATGCTAACGGATTTCATAGGACTCCACGACCACTTCCTTGCGCAATGGGGTACACCGATCGGCGAGCTCTGGAATTTAGAGGAACTATCAGAAGTTTGCGCAAGGGAGAAGAAATATTCTTTCTTCTTGACGAGTGCTCCATTGAATGTCCATGGTGGAGTAGCCAGCCCACCGAATGCTTTGGCCATTCTTTGAAGCAGTGCCACTTTTGTACCATAAGATATGTTAATTGATGACTAATAAACATAGCAGCTAAATAAAGACTTTTATGATGATCATTAATAACAAATCCTCCATGAATGATAAATGTTCCAAGTCAAGTGAGACTTCATCCCACTGTGTGCCGATGGTAAAATAAAATGTCCGAAATTGAATGAGACTTTTAATAAATCAACGATTGTTCCTTCCTTCCGACCCGAAAACCTGAAAACTTAAGCATTGTAAACCTCCTGCCTTCCCCCCCTTAGAGTTTAGCGGTGGAACGGGATCTGGTGAGCTCGGTCGACTGTTTGTAGATCCCAGGTCGTATCCCTGTTTATTGGATCATTGAGCTTATCGCATATCAATGGAGTACGGCTCACACTCCCGTACATGTTTAGTTCATGCTTTTGCAGCCTCGTTTGTCTTTCTTCGAACTCCCTGTCGTTTCCATACTTAGCCATGTCTCGTCCCCTACGCTCCTGAATGCGACGGGCTAGATTGACGCATAGCTGCTCGCCATTTGGAAGGGTTGTGCTCATCGTTTTCAGGAATTCCTTCAAATCGGTAGTATTGAGCTCGCCATCTTGGCCAGGCACAGTCAACAGCTCCCTAATTGCTGCTCGCTTCATATGCTTGAGATGGTCTTTTTCATTCTCAAGAACATGTACCATTCTGCATCCCCAGCATGACTTCTGGGCCGTTGCCCCTATGTCGTAGCTTCTGATTTCTTGGTAACCGAAGAAGATTCCTAATGGGCTTCTTTGGCATCCATCGCAGTAATATGTTTTAGTGGCCCATTCCCAACCCTCGTGTCGGTTTCCAATTTTTCCTGTGAATTTCTTAACATTGCCATGATGGGTTGGATTAGCCGCATCCAATAAGGCGCACAAGTGAGCCACAGGAAATGACGGGTCCAAGAGAGCTGCAAGAGTCGCTTCCACACGCCAACAAGGTCCATCATCTAACCATTTCCGGAAAGCCGTGTGTGGCGATGTCAAGTTGATACCTTGCGCTTTCGCTTGAGGTACTACCACCGATACTAACTGCCAGACAGCGAGGGGAGAGTTGCCGTTCCAGTTATCCCAGGTCGGCCCAAATCCCCCAATAGAGAATGGGTTGCCCGGTTGAAAAGGGGGGCCATTGTGATGATTCGGGTAAAAGTCGAGATATACTTGGTGCTCTTTCTCTAGAGGCCTATCAGTCTTGAGGATCTCAAGTAAACGCATAGTATTGCCGATGTGAATTAGTTGACATTTGTAAACCCCAACATTTGTTAGATGACGCATTTTGGGTATTAGAAGTGCAAGGATGTTAATATCCAAGAAGGGTACTCGGTGAAATTGAATATTTTTGATGTAATCAGCGAAGTTGTTAATAGAGCGGCCTAGGAACAGAACGTTTATTAGCAAGTCAGAATCTCAAATGTCTCTAAATCTTACGGTAACTTGAGATATTGCCTCTAAGATGTAGAGGAACTCAGGGATAATGTCTCAAAAACAGACAGGAACTTACAGAGATATTTGATCGATTTTATCTGGTACTGGTAGGTGGTATTGTCCACCAGTGGATCCACTTCCGTCCGCATTGGGGTCACCATAATAATAGGATTGACTCCGGGTTGCCGTCCAAGGAGGGCTCTAGCTTGAGCATTTAAATTGCAGTTGTTGTACCATTTAAGATTGGTAATCCAGAGGTCAAGGCGGAATAGGACTTGCCTCCAGGCTAAGCGAGATGTTGCTGAAAACTTCCATATAGTTGAGTAATGATCGGCCATATTGATCAATATCCTAGTAGCGATGATATCATAACCCTCCATAATTCTAAGAAGAAGAGAGGTTTGTTCTGCCTCTGGCAGTGTGTACCGACTATTATTTTCTGGATAATTCCAATTTTCGATCAAAGGCCCCTATTTGTGTAAGCGAGATCCAGAATCCGAGTATTTGATTGGCTCACCATTGTGATTGCCCTGGAAGGCTCTTCTTCCCAAGGCCAGCCCTCGATAATGTCTCTTTTAACCTCAGGAATTGGGTCTTTCCATTCTTCCTTCTCAGTTGGGTAAATTGGGTCCGGAAGCAGCTCCTCATCATTTCCATGCCAGCCGCCAGCGGCATCCCAATCCACAGTATGACTATCTTGCATTATTTTTTTGACCATTTCATCTGAGAAAAGGCCTGGAACCAATTGGTCTGCTTCACCTCTGGCTTCCTTCGCAGCTGTTTCTGCATTTGACTTTGCCAGAGCCGCCTCGAACTCACGGGCCTTCTTTCTAGCCTTTCTCTGGCTGTTCTTAGTCATCTTGAAGAGATAGATTTATTGAAATGATTTGAAGAAGTGATTTGAAAATGTCTCAAGTCCCGAGGGACTTTGGATTGGAGGGGCTGGGTGGTTGATGAAGAAGAAGAAGAGTGGTGGATGGGGGAGAAAAGAGGCCTTATATACCCCAGAAAAGTGGGTCCGGGGACAAGATTATTCACAATAGGAAGCAGCAAGTTATCTGGGGAAGGAACGTTCAGACTATAATCGGAAAGGTCAGGTAGCAGGGAAGAAGCAAGTGGTGTTTTGGTAGTTGCAACCAGTGAATTAATTCAATGGTGAAAGAGAATTGGAGTGGAAAAATATGATAAACCGTTATCGAAATAAAGTGGAGCTACCCTCATCTGCAAAAACACGAGCGATGGCTGGTATCGAAGAACTTTGTGAGCGAAAATATGGCTTAAACACGATGGTGCGTGAGGTCGCGGTAGACAACGCGGTAGACAATAAGACCGGCAGTCAGAAAACGATAGTTGCTCAAAGCAATTGACGAAATATCGCGAATTCGTCTATTGCTTTCAGTAAATGTACTCAAATCTACAGGCAACAAATAATCCCGTGAAAGATGAACCATGATGGTAGCTGTGCTCGTGGTAGACAATATATCTGACAGTCGGAACACGATTTAAACTCCATGTAAACTTTGGAAGAAATGAGAAATGTGAGAATAGTAGAGGTAATTTCGCGGTCGGTAGGCACGAGCTGACGCTGGGATCTGCATGGGGAAATTCGATTAAAGTTCTCACATTGGAAATCGTAGGACGATTTCAAGGCACGAGATGCTCAGATACCAAAGCTTCACTCAACTGAGTAATCAAGTAATTCTATAAGAGCTAAAAATATGGCAAACTAATTTTGGACACCAAAAGAGTGAGTTTTGCACACCAAACACCCAAAACTAATGTACCAAAGGTTTTCAAGGCCTTCAAGTGAAAGAAACGGCGTGCCGTTGCTGATAAGGCTTCATTTACTTTGTCAATCACTTTGAGGTGCCCTTTCTGGCGTCCAGTGACTCTGGGTTCGTTTCTTTCCAGGCAGAATATCCTGGCGTTGTCTGTGACGGGTCCTTTGGGATCGAGAAAAGAAAGTCATCGGGATCGCTTTCCTCTCCATCTTGAATCTCACGTCCATTGACTCCCATCTCGTAATCTTCTTCCTGGTTACTGCCGGGATTTGAAAAGCCTAGTTGCTCCAATATTTCGGGCGAATAGTTCCCTACTGATTCCCCGTTCGCGACTGAACTTTTGATAGCCTCGAAAGTGATATCTGCACCATATCGTTCAGATTGACTTTCGTATCCAACCGGGTAAAGTCTGTTCGAACCTTCTCCTAAAGAAGATCTCAGCATCGCATTCATAGAGCCAAGTTCCGACATCATGATATCGTACTGATTTGTCGGTCTTTTTGCCTTTCTTGAAGGTCGGGTAGGTGCTAAAGCTACATTGGCCCTTTTCTGACCACCACTTAGGGCGATGGTCCCTCCTGCCTTTCGTTTGCGTGACGACTGAATTCCTGCAGAACTGTGAGCTGGTGCATCAGCATCGGCCAATCCAAATGAATTCTGCTCGAAAACATTAACCTGAGTGGAGGTGGCGTCTTCCTCGGTTTCAAATTGTGCGATTTTACGAAGACCTCTCATCTCATCATTTTCTGCGCTCTTTGGTGTATTCTTGGGGTTTTTCCTGAGATTCATATTATCTCATGTGCTTCAGGGGCTGGAAGTGGTAATTGAGTCGATATGATTCTTCTCCTATCTCTGCAAAAAATATTCAAGAATGATCGTGTACCAGTCATTCTGACTAATGATTCACAATAATATATTAGTGGCCTGAACAGTAGCGAAATCAACACTTGCTGTTCTCAAATGTAGTTCTCCCACATCATGAAGGTTGTTCTCGGGTATACCACAGGTCAACTCAGTTGCTGTTCCTTTGGGATAACAAAGATTCGGTAGTATTGAACACCAAACTTATGTCTTAGGATGCTGAATTAGCGAAGATAGAACCAGTGATCACCAACCTAGTCATGAAAAAAGAATAATATTCACTGCGACTGGAGGGTTTTCGAATGAATTTCATGTGATTATGCCGAGCCCACGTGTCAGCTTTTTGGACATAATGCAAGACAAAATATAGATTGTTGTGTCAGTGTTGTTAATAAATATCATTTTCAAACTGCTCGTTACTAGTACAACGTCAGACTATATACTAGTTCTACAACTTTACTCAGCATTGGTCATCGTCATTTCGTGAGATTTTCGGTCACTGCCGTCGCATCTCAGACGGATTTTTGAGCATCCATCTCGAGCCATTCAACACCTGAAATGAATGTTTTAATCAATTGACTGTGGCAGTGTGGCCCAAGGTGGACATTGATAGGGATGAAGCGGCTAAAACACATATCATGAAAACCTACTCCTTGACACATATGTCTCATGCAGTCCTGTCTCAGTCATTTTTCACATTTTCCCGAGACTCTCGAGTCTCGGCTTCAAACCCAAATACCTGAAGCGCCCTGACATTCAAATCTGTTTCATTCACAATCACAATATCTCACATGCTAATCTTCCACAGGTTCTTACAGGATATGTCTAGCACCGACTGTTTTTTGGGGCACTAACTGTCAGATCTCAGGGGGTTGTATAAAATGTACTGAAGCAATTCTGAGAGGATATCTTCGTTTGAGTCGCTTTGTAGAGGACAAAACATGTGCTCATAGGTGGGTTCGTAGGCTCACTCTAAATTGTTGACAATTTAAACATTCTCGAAACCTTTCAGACGCCGGAAAGAATCGACAACATACTTGCTATTTTGTCAGCTTGAGTGAAGAAGTATCTTCGTTCTAAATGCTTCTCTTATTCACCACGAGCCGGCAAGAGGTGAACGGGATTGATCTATCTGGTGAGAATGAACTTACCCCCAGAACCAGATCATCAGGAATGCCCGGATGCGTGATTCTTTTGCCTGATGAAAAGTCACCCGAAAAGGTAGATATCAGCACAATGCTACATCACAGCAGTCACTCTGGCACACTTAATTTCATTGAGGTCTGCCGATTGTTCGGGAGATGATGCATTATTTACAGCATACAATGTCGTCTTTACATTGAGCTCCTTGAACCCATTGCGCCGGGTAGCTAATGTATTTGGCCACCGATTAATCTGTTGAAGAGGTGGGTTCAACATCTAGTGCTGTTTCTAAATCTGGTTGCTGTCAAAATGAGAAATTTCGAGTGTGAAAGGAAGCTCTTCAGATTATAAAATGTGCAAATTAGCGTGGCACAAGCACATTTCACCCCCTGAGTCTCTACCCTCAGGTCTGTAAACAATCCCACAGCCAGCTTCCGATTTCTCTTAATAGAACACGACATGCGTATTTGAGAAGTATGCAGAGGGTTTCATGGCCTCCGTAGATTTTGTTATGAATAGCAGTTCCTCCATTAGCGACTTCTGGGTCTCATTCATGGTTTGCTCATTCCAGCCTACCAGGTATCCGCTACGAATGATCGAGCATGGAGGATACACTTTATCTCAACTTTCAAGGGAATTTAGGACTTCGAAAATGCTCCCATTCACTATGACTTGTCCATAATCACCTCCTGCTTGCTCGAAAGTACTCAGATTCTTTGACAGTGTCCTTGGATCTGCGACCTGGTGCTTTTAGGTTCAAACTTCCCAATGCAATTGTGGATTGTATCAGCCATGTCACCAAGTCTTCCATCTGAGCTTGCGAACATCCTTCCCAAATGCTGATTATTGTAGCTATCGCAGTGTTGACTTGCGAGATGTGTTAAAGTGGATGGAGGTACTGACGTTACCAAACTGTGGTGTCATAACAACAAATAGCCCACCGCACCTTCCCCAACACTCACCTTTCCATCAGATTCTTTCGACCTTCCAAGTTCTTCCACATCTTACCACCATTACCATCATGAAATTCCGACCCAACTTTTTCCAAACTACCAAACTACCAATCTTCAGACCATCTAGTGTTTCAAAAGAGTAATCATCTCGACATGGCTGCTCCCGCAGAAATGAACTCTCCCGAATCTCAACTCGACCTTGATCAAAAATGGCTTAGCCTCGAGAAGGAGCTGCTTGAATTGAACGAGAGAAGACTTCAGTTGAAGGAGTAGCAATTAGAAGCTAGGCAGAAGCAGTTCGACGAGAGAGTAGCTGCTTGGGAGAAGTCTGTCGCCGTTTGGACTCGATCTCAATCAGAAACACCAAGCGAATTGACTTTGCAAGAAAGCCATGCCAAAGAGATACAGCGTTTAAACCAAGAAATTGTTGCTCTGAAAAACGAAAACGAAATTCTCAGAGCGCAGCAAATTGATTTGCTAGATGATCGCTTGACCAAGAAGCGACGCCTCGATAATGATCTTTCATTGTCGATTCCGCAAACCTCGACAAAACACGTAAGGAGCTCCGCCGGCTATCTTTCATGATCTTGATACGTCCTACTGTGAGAACTACTTCGTAGAAGAACTTCTTCGAGCCAATAAGATGTTATTCTTGTGTAGTTTTACTAAGATTGTTGTCGTGTTCGCCGTTGACGGCTCCCTGTTCTTTTATGGCAACAGCCAGTTTCTAGTTAGTGGTATACGGATAGAGGATGTGCGGTTTTTACCTGTTATAAGTCGAAAACACGTTCGCACGGTAGGGCTAGTCGTACTCGTGGAGGACAGAATAGGTGTCATTCACCTACCCACGAATCTTGGACTCAACAAGTCGACTTAGCCTGAGAGGTCTTATTTACTTAAAATAATTGACGGAATATCTCTTATTGTTCCAAATTGATCCACTGAATATACGATATTTCGTCAACTTAATCGAAGAAATACCGTGTTTCGACTGCCACTTAATTTGTCCACCGCAAGGCGTGACATCTACTATGTTGGTGCAGCGAGAACTAGGTCTGGACGTTTCGACCGGTGGTCAACATAATCATTCACCAAACCATGTAGCAGCCCGTGAAGCAATCGGAAATTTGGAGAGCAAAAGTTACTTCAGCACGAGGATTTGACATATACCAAGCCACCGTCACTGTGATATCGGCAGCTTTGCTCTCAACTATGTGCTGTGAGTGGTGGTTAAGATAGTTCTTAGCCACACCCCTCTGGTCGTCATTCTCACAACCGAACCACGTTGACTTGCACATCACGGGTATGCTCAATCGATACAAGATCAGATGCTTGGTTGAGACGGCGTTGAATTGGTGCGCCTACAAGCAGAGCATCAGTCTCAAATCGAAGACTCTGGCTTGTAGGCATAGAAAAGCTCGTCTGCACTGCCAGAATCACCAGCACGTGGGCTTGATCCACTGCCCATATGTGACTTTATATTTGGACTGCATCAGGGAGCAGTTACGTCAATTCTGTAAGCACTTCCCCATCATGAGCACATCAGATCTCCAGGAACAACGCAATAAAGAAAATCGCTCCAGCCGAGCACAATCACCACACCGCCAATTCCAAAAGACCTTGAGACTTCAGTAGGTTGAGGATCTCAGAATTCCGTACACCATGCTATCATTCTCCGCGAATAAAAAGTGCTGACCTTATCAAGGCGGTGTACGTTCTGAAGATCACTACCAAACCATCCCGGCCGCAAGATGACTCTTCTTAGAGATTGTCTGTCATACCCTGAGAGATTCGGGCAACCAAATTTGGAATGGACGCTTCCTAGGCATTCAGGCTATGCAATGCAGCGAGGTCTTGTAGAACCGTCAACAGCCGTGTTTGCTCCTGGGAAGTAGTATGGTGTGGTCTGGAATGGCGTCGTTCTGCAGGAGTCTTCGAATAGAATGTTGACCATATGTTGAAGGCGTCATCTCGTGTTCCTGACTGTGGAAGAGATGCTGATGTCAACCCCGCAATAAGACGAGAGATTGTGGATGTGAGAACTCAAAAGAGGTTCCGGAATAGAAATTGCACTCGGCTCCGTTCCGCTGCGAAGGCATCTCGTGCCGTGACCTTCGGTTAGGTTCTCGACATGTTGACTTCCCGCCTGAAAATCGGTATCAATGAAGGATGCTCTCGTGTGAATTCAAATCCACGAAACTCACTTGTCAGACAGAGGAAGATGTGTGAGGATTGAAATGATAGGTCAGATCAGATCATCAGGGTCGTCTTACAACTAGTGCAAAAACTCGCGAAGGCGTGGCTAGTGGTCCCATTCTAATGTGGCTAGTGCTTCTGGCCCAGGTGGATTGCTTGATAGATGCACGCTACTTCGTAGGTCGTGCTTTGCCGGCGCTTGTCAGGATTCTGAAGGAGATAAAAAAGTCGGGTCGTTCTGGAGGAAATTGAAGTTTGAAATAAAATGTGGTCGGCGCTTCCAGCGTGTCAGGGACTCAAGGAGATCCGAAGTTTCGTGGCAGCTCACAACAGCAGTAGTGTCAATTATTGTGATACAAAAAACCATTAGAGTAATTCATTAGCTAAGGGGCCGACCTCAGTTAAAAGGGTGAGCACTAAATTTAAAATTGGTTGTGAGAAATATTGAGGAGTCCGAGAGCATAAAGGGACGTCTGTCGATCGGTTGACTTTTATGCGGAGTGCAGAAATGTCGGTGCGAAGTCAAAGTTCGAGATCCAGAAGAGTCCATACCGAATACTCTTAGTGAAACAAATCAAGCCCTTTCATGTTGCCTCGTCAATGCGGAATTTTGACTGGCTAGTCATATTTCTTTCGGTGATTCTATCAGTCCACCACGATCAACCCGAGACTTCAAATGAAAGGAGATTTTGCTGAAAGTTCTGCATACTGTAAATGACATTCGGCTTCTGATGCTGATGGATCTCGCCAAGTCGAGAATAGCTCCCCTGAATTGGCTACAGCAGTTTCTCGCGAAATCGTACCGAGTCAAAATACTCTTCGTGAAAATTTGTGGGAAAACCCTAAAACTCAGTTTTGCACACTGCACTTGCAGGGCTAAAAGTTCTTATCTCAATTTTGGCGTTCAAATTTCCCGATACTGTAACTCTTTCGAGGATCTTGTGGGGCAAACAGGGAGAGAGGTTTTGGTGGGCTCGTACTGGTAGGTTGTTGGCTAGTCAGCAGAACCTCTATTCCCGTATGGGCCAAACGTTGAATAAGAAGATGTTACTCTGGAACCGGTGCTCCGAGGTATTGATGAAAAGGAGAGGAACATGAAGATATCGCTGGATATGGGATAGTATCCATCGGCGTGATTGAATGTACGAAAAGCCGTACCTTCTTGTAAGGTTAGCGGAACAAACATGGCTGGCATAGCATGGGCACACCATACAACATCTCAATGTCCTTGGGCATGTGATGTAACCTGAACCGCAGCTTACGGCGAGCCATATGGCGTTGTGGTAGACTTCACCAAGCATCAGATGAACTTGGAATGCTGCTCTTCGAATCACAGCGATAGAAGCAGATCGAAGAGGAGTTGACGACACAGCCCTTGGTCTTGCTGTCGCCGTTGGGATGCACTTGCACCATCGAGACCAATAAGCCGCCAGGACTGCGTGGTTCCTCGATGCATCGTCCTTGATGCAGGTTTATTTCAGAACAAGGTGCTCGCATGATCAATGTGTCGATCTCGCAAGTCAGGATGGCGTATTCTGGCCGGTACGACTGGGACAGAGATGGTGTGGTGAGGTCCTGCTATCGAAATCTCCAGGAACCAGGAGCGAAAAGCACGAAAAGTTAAACACAGAATCCCCGCACTGCTCATGCGATGGTAAGATCGTTTCCATGATCGAGATAATCGTCATGATGGGGTTGCGACAGCACATCCCCCCTTCGTACACACTTTGAAGATATTCCCAGGATGCGCGCTGGCGTGGTGAGATTCAATAATCACGGAGTTTTGCCCTCGATTATCCGACCGTAGCCTCGTGTCCTTCGAACTGTCTTTCGGTAGTCTCTCGCCTGTCGCTGATGTCTCAATGTAATTCTATGGTATCGGCCTGCACTGCTCGTCTCCGTACAAAGGTCTCATTGCTGTGTTGTAACTGGCTGCCCGCGCAAGAGTCTGTCAGTCGAGGTGCTAAAATGCTTGGATGCTTTGGTTGCGGTACTGGCCTGCCGCCGCTTCGAGTCGGGGCTAAGTGGGTCTTCTGCGGGCCCTTCATGAGTGCGGCTGGTCCAAGCGTCGAGCTCATTTAACGCCCTTGCTCCCCATCAAATAAAAATCTGGCTGTCGAACCTGCCTCTTCCTCTTTCTTACCTTTCCATCACATTCACGAGACTTTTCTTCTTCATCGCCACGAGTTTCCACAAATTTGAGGCCATCTTTCACGGTCTATCAATACTTGTAATAACCAGTCACATTTGTCAATATCAACAAACCACGAGATACAAGCAATCATGTCTGCCGAAGCACCAAAGACCGTTGAGGCGCCTGTCGTTGCTCCTACCAGCGTCGAGGCTCCTTTCACCGAGACTCCAGCAGTTGTAAAGCCAACAGAGACAGAAGCCGTCGCTGAGCCATCGACGGAAACTCCAGCCGTCACTGAGTTGGCACCAGCAGAAGAAGTTGCTGCGCCAGCAAAGGAGGAAGTCAAGCCAGTTGAGGAGGGTGTTCTTGGATACAAGGGACCTGGTCTTCTCAAGTAAGTTTACTACACCTCATCTTTCAGATCAACCTCTTCCGCTCCCCGGCAAGAGTTTTGCGCAAGTTTCGTGAGAGCTTGGGTAAGCTTTTGTGGCTGGTTGCGCGCGTGACAGTCACACATCCCGGCTCGATCGTATCTTTCACAAGGCATGACGTGCTCATCGACTTTATTCCCTTGCTAACACAGATGTTTCTAGGAGCTTCATTTTCCAGAAGAAGTTCTTCTGGTTTGGTACCGATGCCGTGGAGACAAAGGCGCTCTCCAGCTACCTAAGAGGCGAGAAGGATACCGCAGCTGCCAACCACAACGCTGCATGGGCGTCCCACACCGGCAAAGGTCTCCTTTTCTTCAGCAAAAAGGCCACCGACAAGGCCAGCCCAGCCGGTCTTTTCAACCTGGTAAGGCTTTCTAACCCCTCTCATGTCCAGCCTGATGCTAATTTGTTACCTAGTCTGATGTTGCCGACATCGCTGAGGAGGGTCACGAATTCCACTTCGTCTCTGGAGGCCACAAGCACACTTTCCAAGCCTCGTCTGTTTCTGAGCGTGAAAACTGGGTCGCTGTTTTGAAGTCAAAGGTCGAGGAGGCCAAGACTTTGGGAGAGACCGTCAAGGACACCGAGGAGTACAAGAAAAGCCACACTGCTTTGACCCCAGCTGTTGCCGCTCCAGTTGTCGCTGCAGCAAAGAAGGTCGGAGAGCCAAAGACAGAAGAGCCTGTTGCTGAGGCCGTCAAGGAGGAGAAGAAAGAAGAAAAGAAGGAGATCAAGGAAGAAAAGAAGGAGATCAAGGAAGAAAAGAAGGAGGAGAAGAAGGCCCGCAAGAGCCGCTCCGCTTCCCGCAAACGAGCATCCATCTTTGGTGGTTTCGGAAAGAAGGACACCAAGGAAGAGAAGGTTGAGGCCAAGGAGGAAGCCGCTTCATCTTCAGTCCCAGCCGTCGAGGAGCCTGTCGTCGCTCCAGTTGAGCCAACTCCTGTTGCAGAGACCCCTGCTGTTATTGAGCCAATCGCTCCAGTCGTCGCTGAAGAGCCAACAACCGCAACTGAGGCCACCCCAAAGCCAACTCCTTCCAAGCGTAACAGCATCTTCGGTACTCTCAAGTCTCAATTCTCCAACACCAAGGAGAAGAAGACACCTGAGGCACCAATCGTCCCAGCAAAGGACACCGAGACTGAGCCAGTCAGTGAGACCGCTCCAGTCATTCCCCAGGTCGAGTCCACCGAGCCTCTCCCAACCACTGTTGCCACCCCAGAGGTTACCCCAGCCGAGCCTGTCGCACCTATCACCAATGGAGAGACCAAGACCGCCGAGACTCCAGTGACAAAGACTGACAAGCGCAAGAGCTCCCTCCCATGGTTGAGCAAGAAAGAGAAGCCAACCAGTGATGATGACACTGAGAAGCCAAAGTCTCCATTCGCCAAGCTCCGTGCCACCGTCAAGGGCAAGTCGTCCCCTAAGGCTGAGAAGACCCCAGAGGTTAAGCCAGAAGAGACCAAGAAGGATGAGGAGACCGTCCCAACCGTTGCCTCCACCGAGGAGCCAGTCGTCGCAGCTCCTGTCCCAGCCGTCCCAGCTACCACTCCTCAAGTCACCGCATCCGCCTAAGATCATTGTCGAGTCTGAATCGCGTCGTTATTTGTTGATGCAACGAGTTCTTTGTCATCGGAAAACGGATCTCCTTGAAATACCCCAAGATTGATTGATACCACTCATTTTTGCATTACTGATGTTTTTTCGTTTTTGTTTTTTGCTGCTTTTGGTCTGCGCGCCGCATATTTTGCTGCGTATTGATACCCCTATACCCAGACTGTTTCGCAATCTGCCATTAGGGCAACACACTTAATACTTAATAAAAGTCTCCTTTTGTTCTGCGAACATTACTCTCTCCTTGTATGATTATGTGAGATGACGTGAATATATTAATGAAAAGATCTTTGGGGGGCTAAATCTTGATTCAAAAGGTCATAGATTTGCTTCTTTTTGGGGCTCCTACGGTCTAGCTTAATGTCTGTACGGGATCCCGAGCTGTATCATCAGCATACTAGAAAAACTAGACCCTTGAAATCGGGAACCGAAGCTACTATACTTATACACTTTTACTTCTTCACACTAAATCGGACAGTAGTGCAAGCAGGCCAGCCTTCACTCTACTCTGAGATCAACACAACCAATGCAGCCATTATCTACGTAGGCACAAAAAGTACACGGCTCAATTCCTCTGGCCTATTCCCGAATGATCTAGATAACCATTCCACAAAAAGCAAAAATGGAAAACATACAACAGCAGGTATTCGCTGGTGGTCACCCACCCAACTACTAATCTGCCGATCTGGAGCTTGTGAAAGGCAGAGCGGACGGGATGCCCAATTCTCTCCAGTCTATGGTCGTATGTGATAGTATTGTGTATTATTTATGAATATATTAACATTTTGGCAGGCGAGAGAGGCTATGGCGTCTTAAGCAGACTTGAGAACAGTGTTGTAGAGGCATGTAGGGGTTGGAGTAAGGATAACGAGTCTTTAAGAACTAACTCGTTTAATTAACTTGTGCCGAGAGGATTGTAGGTTTGAACCGGGCCATTGGGAATAGTGTGGTGTTGTCATGATGGATCGGGTCGAGCCACAGCCTTGCGCTTGTGGGGCATCATTGTATGCACTAATGCCTGAGGCAAGCACTGCTACTTATTCTAGAAAGCTCTATTAGAGAAGTTCATGATCAGTCCACGAAGAAGTTTTGTATTCTGCAATTTCAATTTTTGACATTAATCACAGAATCTCGTTTTCTAATACTTCTCGTAAACTTCAACACTCAATATCATGGCGGACGATCTAAAAGCTGCTGGTAACAAGGCCATTGCGGAGAAGAACTTCGACGAGGCTATGTAAGTTGAACATTTATCTGAAGCTCCCTAACATATATTCTTCTACCTCCACAACTTCAACTTTATTGTTATCGAGTCCTCACTCATTCTACCAGTGATAAATTTACTCAAGCAATCGAGCTTCAGCCAGAAAACCATATCCTATACTCGAATCGCTCAGCCGCCTACGCTTCGAAAAAGGACTATGAGCATGCTCTTGAAGATGCGAATAAAGTTACAGAGATCAAACCAGACTGGGCGAAAGGATGGGGACGTAAGGGTGCTGCGCATCACGGTTTAGGAGATCTTCTGAGCGCACATGATGCTTACGAGGAAGGGTTAAAATTGGACCCAAACAATGCGCAAAATCAATCAGGTCTTGCGTCTGTTAAACGTGCAATCGACGCCGAAGCAAAAGATGGTATGTAGTTGAAGCTCTACAACTTTATCGTAGCTAACCTTTTACCAGATGGTGTTAAGGGCGATCCTACTGGCGGACTCGGAAGCATGTTCAACGATCCTCAATTATATCAAAAACTCGCCGCAAACCCAAAGACCAGCAAGTTCCTAGCAGACCCAACGTTCATGCAGCAACTTCAAAACCTGAAGAACAACCCAGGAGATACGCAATCCATGTTCCAAGATCCTCGAATGATCCAAGTCCTAGGTGTCCTAATGGGTGTTGATATGGATATGATGGGTGGTGCACCACCTGGGGGACCTGGTGGATCAGGAAGTGGGGCTAAGGAAACTGAAGAGGATGTTCCAATGCCGGATGCTCGACCTTCACAGCCGGAAAAGCAGCCCGAGCCAGAACCAGAGCCAGAACCTGCAGATGAGGAGGCTGCTGAGAAAGCGAAAGCCAAGGAGGCCGCGGAGAACGAGAAGAAGCTAGGAACGGAAAATTACAAGAAGAGAAATTTCGATGAAGCAATTGCACACTACACAAAAGCTTGGGAGTTACACAAGGACATCACCTACCTCAACAACTTGGGTGCCGCTCAATATGAAAAGGGTGATTACGATGCTGCTATCCAGGCTTGTGAAAAGGCTGTTGAGGAGGGTCGAGAGATCTATGCCGACTTCAAGATGATCGCCAAGTCTTACGCACGTATTGGATCATCTTACGAGAAGAAAGGAGATCTCACATTGGCTATTGAGAATTACAAGAAGTCGCTCACTGAGCACCGCACTCCAGATGTCGTCAACAAGCTTCGTGCGGCAGAAAAGAATAAGATTGATAGTGCAAAGCAAGCCTATATCGACCCGGAGAAGGCAGAAGAAGCTCGTATCCTTGGAAATGATCGCTTCAAAGCGTCAGATTGGCCTGGAGCGGTTGAGGCATACAGTGAAATGACAAAGCGAGCCCCAGAGGATCCAAGAGGGTATAGCAATCGCGCTGCTGCCTTCATTAAGCTTCTTGAATTCCCAAGTGCGATTCAGGACTGTGACTTGGCTATCAAGAAAGATAAGACCTTTATCCGAGCATACCTCCGAAAAGCACAGGCTTACTTTGGAATGAGAGATTATTCCAAGTGTTTGGATGCTTGCACGGAAGCTTCAGAGGTTGACACTACGAGAGCCAACGCTAGAGAGATTGAGCAACAACAGCAAAAGGCACTTGCAGCTATGTACTCTGCGAGAGAGAATGAGACCGAGGAGCAGACTAAGGAGAGAATTCAGAGAGATCCAGAGGTAAGTTATTCCAAGCCTTCTCCCAAACAAATGCTAAATTCAACTTCAGATCCTCGGCATCATGCAAGATCCAATCATGCAAAGTATCCTTCAACAAGCTCAGGGCGACCCAGCCGCTCTCCAGGAACATATGAAGAACCCAGGTATCAAATCCAAGATTCAGAAACTTATGGCGGCTGGTGTGATTCGTGTGGGTAGATGAGGTGTTTCATGAATCCGTATCTCTGCTTCCCTCGGCGTGCAAAGGCCTTGTCTCGCCCGGGGAAGATGACCCATAGTCATGAACTGCCTCATACTGGCAACGCGAAGAGGACTTGCTGTGATGGGCAAATGGATGGAGATGTGATGGGACGATGGAATGTACTTTAGGTCCTGATGAATTCATTTAGCGTAATATAATTGAATGGCTAAAGATTTGTATCGTCCCTGTAACATCCAGTCTTCTACGATTATGCTGGACTGGGTACAACCTGATTTACCATCTTTCTTCGAGTCTCAGCGCTCAAGTCAGAACCTATACACGACTGCCTCCCCACGACATCTTCTCGCTTAATTCCTCGAACCCCTTTTCAATACTAGTTGTGGCATTATGTGACAGGATATTATTACCTCCTCTCCACTCATCCATCGAGAGATCTCAGCATTTGCTATAATGAGAAGGGAGAAAGATGGCGGGATTAACAATCGACTTTCGGCAACGGTTGATACCCACATGGAATTTCATCTCTTGTAGGAACTCGAGGTGTCCCCTCTACAACAGACGTCTCACGTTTAATACTTTGCCTTTTGTAAATTACTAGGCGGTTTGTCTCGTCTTCGTAGGCTCCGTGTTAAACTCTCCCGAGCCCCCAAGTTACGATCATGAACGGTTAATCAACAGCCCGTTTCCAGGAATGTCGTAGTTTCTTAGAACAAAATCACACGAGCCGGACCCAACCATTATTTTGAAGCTATAAAGTATCCTACGATGTGCTAGACTTACTTTTTACACGACAGCTCTTTCACATTCGTCCTGCGACCAAAATTTAACCCATATGATCAAATCGCAATACCAAAATGTTATATTTTAATACGCCATTCTATCACAATTCGAAAATGGAAAAAACGCCCCCAAAATATCACTAAGCTCTCATAATGCCGTCCCACACCGAAACCAGCTATCTACCGTTATCCTACTAACCCAATAAATCATCAAGACCATTCCCACTCGAGCCCGCAGGCTTTTGCTGTTGATACTGCGCTGGAGGCGCGCTTGAAGAGGAACTCGCGCCCCAAATTCCGGCACTTGCTTTTTCCTTTGCTAGCTGCCCGAGAGCCGGACCAGTGGTAGGTGTGCTTGTCTTTTTGATTCCGACGCTTGCGGTGGACCATAGCGATCCGAAAGCGTCGCCTCCAGATGATTTGGTTGCGGCGGCGGGTTTTGAAGCTGCCATGCCTGTGCTTGGAGAGGGTTTGGCCTGAGTTGTAGGCACTTGGACGGAGGTGAAATAGTTGGGCTGCGAGCCTTGGTACGTGGTAGGTTTGGGAGGCTGTTGGGCGACCACTGGTGGAGCGAATGCTCCGTAGTTGGCTGGAGATGAGGTGTTGTTGCTTGGTGCTGGGGAAATGGATGAGAAGCCAACGAGATCCGACAAGTTTGCGGCCTTTGGAGCTGAAACTGGCTGGGGAGCGGCATATTGTGTATGAGGTGTAGTTGTAGCGGTTGGTTGAGCAATAGAAAAGTTAGATGATGTAGGTTGTTGAGGGGTGGCAGATTGGAAATCGTCAAAGTCATCGTCGTCCAAAGCATTTGAAGTAGGCGCGCTGATTGGAGCAGCCACTGGAGCAGAAACAGGTATAGGGTCATCGAATGAGAATAAATCGACCTCGGGTTCCTTCTTCTTTGGTGGCTCTGCCTTTTTCGGTTCTGTGGCCTTCCGCCTGGCTGATGAAGAAGACTCGGGTTGTTTTCTTGATGCTGGAGCGGCCATATCATCACCCTCATCATACTCCTCGAACCTATCACGTCGTGAACTTGATCCACCACCACCACCGCCAATTGCACTATCCTGGAAGTCACTTGTCTGTCCTCCAAACCCACCTCCATCTCCATAAACACCACCACTATATCCCCCATAACCACCACCTCCACCCCCTCCAGAAGCTTCCTCACTACCGAAGCCTCCATATCTGCCTCCACTACTGCTGGACATGCCTCCACCAAGACCAGCACCGCCCTCAACGCCTGTATATTTGTTTCGTGTTGCCCTGGCCTTCTTCCGCTCCGCGCGTATCCGATCAACATCACTGAGGAGATCTGCCAGTTCCTTGGCTCTGTTGCGCACGTTAAGCCCTTGGTCTTTGCCGTTTGCATCGATAAAGTGAAATTGCCGTAACATTTTGAGGAGTGTGAGATGGGATCGCGCATCGTCAATGACCCTCTCGGAACCATTCTTTATTAGGAATTCGAGGAGTTGAAGGGCTTTGTAGATTTGTCTCCATTCCTCAGCAGCCTTTTCTGTAAATCGTTTATATATCATTGGCATAATCTCGTTGAGGAGTTGGCTTAAATCAAATTAGCACGTTTCCAATTGATCCGAAGAACGGCTTTATTTACTAGTTGTATGTGCCATTGGCAATTTCTTGCATCTGCAATCAATTAGATCCCGCTTTGCGATCTACTACCCAACCACGAAACTCACCAGACTTGAACTAGCCCCCCACGGTTCGTTGTTTGTGGCCTCTCTAACTTTTGCCTCCATCTCCGTGTAGTTCATAACCGCTGGAATTGTAAGCATATTGACAACTGGCAAGAGGAATACTCCTACCATTCTGAACCTTTCTCACACTGGCTTTGAGATCGTAAATAGAGAGATTGGCCGCAGCCTCTTTCAAACTGTTGAAATCCATACTGGATAGGGCCTGCATGGGAAGAGTGGTGAGGTAGGTATCGTGGTGAAGATGCTTCTTGAGATGCGCTTGCGAAATGGTTGCTGGATGTGGAACGCAGTTGGCCCACCTTAAAGGACAAGGCCACCGAACGCTCAGACCGGGTAGCCTCGATGGATTACAGTCACGTGGATCTTTACGTATTATCTGTTCTCACTCCTACTCTTCGTCACGGGGCGTGGAGAGGTCATCTACATTTCTTTGATGAATCTTTAAATGTTATAATTAGATGGAGTCGTTCATAAATGGCCAAAGTAACCAGGTAATCCTCGTTCACGGTTGCTGCCAAGCCAACATCCAAACCCCTGTTGCCGAAGTGCCCCTAATGAGTTGAAAAGTCGGAACAGTGCAAGCTGTCTTTCTATCAAGTCATCACTGCTTCTGTACCACCATCAATTGTATCAAATCTGCTCTCTATTCGTCTTTATATTCCAGCCTTGTACTTTACCTGTACTTTTCTGTCTCAGTCCGACGTCTCCTTCATCTTTTCGCCTCTACAGCTCTACGGATCTCTTTAGGTATGTACATTTCCCCTTTGCATATTTACCTCTACGCATCTCACGGGGTTCTCGCTCCAAAGAGACATGTTGGAGCTCTCAGCGGTCATGAGATATCCTACATCTATGGATACTATGGTATTGGCAAAGGGGCCAGTAGTCAGCTCTGGTTATATCTTCGCCACGGTCTACTGATGGCCTAACCGAAGAAACCTCACCTCACCTCAGACTCCTCAGTGAATTGTTGGGAGAGCTGTGCCCTGTACTGCACAGCATGGCATAAGCCTCGCCTCGGTCAAGCCGCTGCCAATGTATTACCATCAAATCCGATGCAGCTTCGAGTCCCTCAGCTCATTCACCCTCTCATTACTCAACCGTCATTCGCTCCAGTCAACTTCACTGTTGGTTCCAGTCACGCTAACCCTAATCCGTGCTAGCTCACAATGTTCGCCAGAGCACCCCGCCAACTCTTTTCTACACCCCACTTCCCCTCCTCATTCATCGCAAAATCCTTCACACAACACAATACAAGATCATTTCACGCATCATCAGCAAATATGACCATTCAAACGTTCGTATCACCATCTTTTCCCGTGAGATTTGGGCTAACCGATGCAGTTTCTTCGATGTTACCTGGGAGGGTCCAGTTATGGATGCTCAAGGAAGACCAACCTCCAAGGTCCAAGGCAAGTTCTCCCCTCAGCTCTTACCCCTCCTACCATTGGCAATCGAGAGTCATCAGCTTCAATCACCACTTCATCTTTGCCATCAATCATTCATCAAATCATTACCTCTGCGAGGTTGTTGAGCTTCAGATGAATGATGTTGCTCCCGTTCTACCTCCTCGTTCCAACTTTCTCAAGAGCTTCAAAACACCAAACTAACAACAATATTTATAGAGCAATCCGGCCGCATCACATTCAACCTCTACGATGACGTCGTCCCAAAGACTGCTGAGAACTTCCGTGCTCTCTGCACTGGTGAGAAGGGTTTCGGTTATGCCAACTCTTCTTTCCACCGCATCATCCCTCAATTCATGCTTCAGGGTGGTGATTTCACCCGTGGAAACGTGCGTTTATACTCCATCAAGACACACGGGCAATGCTCACATTGATACAGGGTACCGGTGGTAAATCCATTTACGGTGAAAAGTTCGCCGATGAGAACTTCAAGAGGACCCACACCAAGCCAGGACTTCTCTCTATGGCCAACGCTGGACCAAATACGTAAGCTTACTTTATTTGCTTTTTCCAAATGTTTAACTAACAATCCTCCAGCAACGGTTCCCAATTCTTCATCACAACTGTTGTCACCAGCTGGCTCGATGGCAAGCACGTCGTCTTCGGCGAGGTTGCTGATGAGAGCTCCTTGAACATCGTCAAGGCTCTCGAGGCCACTGGCTCTGGAAGTGGAAAGGTCCAATACAACAAGAAGCCAACCATCGTCAAGTCTGGTCAGTTGTAAGCGGTTGTTGACGCTGGGAGAAGATTGTCAATGAAATCTAAAGCTATGCTTAGCGCAGGGCATTAGGTGGATTCGGCGTCTTTGTGACAATAGCGGTTGGGGACGAAAAGTTCAGCTACGATAGTAAAATGACACTGATTGCCACCCATTGCCAATGTCCTGCAGTTGATTATGTGCTTAAGTGATTTCTCAACTCTTGCGATAGCTTGTAGAGCTCGACTATGCTGATACCGTTGAATGATGCCGCAAGCTTCTAAGTATTTGAATTAGGACTTAAACGGAGCTATTTTGGTTCACATGGCCAATTGCTGAATTCTTAACTTTCAGTTGTATTTCATCTTGAACCTAAATACTGCTCCATTGAATATGTATGTGTTGTAGCAATCCAACAAAAGCCTTTGGTATCATCCCAGAACGCCAGAGCCGCCCACCGCTATGCAAATAAAGACAAAATATACCACTCCTTCAAAATTGCAGCCACTCATCCAAATAAGTACACTCCTTTGGATTCACAGGGCCGCCCTCGTCACAAATGTCAAACACAGGGCATCGACCACAAGGAGCTTCCGTAAGGACACTCCCAAGCTCGTGCTCATCTCTCAACGTCCGTCTGGTGGCTTTGTACCCAATGGATGCTTCTTTCCCCTCATAGGAACCCATTACCACACGCTCGATCTTGCCGTCGAAGCACATTATATCTAGTAGTTGCTGGATCTCGCTTGAGACGAGGAGTTGAGATGTGATTCCGATGTTGTGAATGAACCCCGTGAGCTCGTCTACGTTCGGGTAGCCGTTATAGTCTGCGGGCATGGGGAAGTACGCATCGTATTTTCGGGAGCGGGAGGATCTCTCGTCGTCGATTTCGGGTTTGTCGAGGCCTTTGGAGGCGAGCACTTTGTCTCGGGCTGCTGAGGCTTCTTTGAGAGAGGGTTTCTTTCCGCCTTTACTTGATTTCTTGTAGGCTGAAGAAGAGAAGTAGAAGCTCTTTTGCTTGATGTGCGCATATAACAAGTCGCAGATTTGCTGGATGAATACCTCGTCCAATTCTCCGTCCGTATACCAGGAACCGCCTGTAGCTCGCTCACTGGGCCGTAAATGGGCTTTAATCCACATTTTCCTCGAAGGGTTCTGTACGGATTTCATTTCACCAACCAGTCCCTTCTGTTGCAATTGTTTGAGACATAGCGTCAAGGCCGTCTCGTGGAGATTCAATCTTGCTTTGATAGTTTTGTGCCATATTCCTTCAGCTTCTGATTCGTCAATCAAGCCGTAGACAAGTTCTTGGTCTGCACTGAGACCTCGAAAACTACAGACAAAGGATTAGTTCAACCATCCAATCCGAGTCGTCTCTCGTGAACACTCACACTTTGGCTTCGTCTTCACTACGAACCCGGAACCCTAAACCTTCACTCGAATGTACCGCCTTGAACAATTTCTCATCCAAAAGCGCCTGGGTCACCATAAGAAGCGTCTCGATGTTGTTATCTGGGATAATGCCGAGATCCAAAATATCTGTCTGGTAAAAGACTGTCTGGCGGTTCCCTTCGCCATGGGTGACTTCGTCCCAACATTGCTGGTAGACTCGTCTCTTCGCATCATTCAGTACCTCAAGAACCGGATCGACCTCGTTCTTCCCGCCTAGCCCTGGAGTCTTGGAGGCCTCTTTCGAGGGTTCATCCAGATCCATGGCCGTGCTGCTGGACGCCATGATGGTTTACAACTCGGCGCGCAGGGCTGTCGCAAAGGTCGTGTCACCAGAGAGGATAACGTATTGACATCTGAATCTGCGAATGTGCTGAGGTGCACGGCAGATCAGGAAGTCGAGCAGAATGTGACGTGGTGAAATTTTGGTGTGGGTGACTGGTTCGAAAATCATAAATTTTGGTTCGGCGCTGAGGGGCATGGGCTAGCGAAGCAAGGCTACCAGTCACTAAATTTATGGGCTCTCAGCATGAGTCTCGTCTCTGAACGCTCAATTGATTCATCTCCATCACTAACTCCTTCATCTAGGTCATTCGGCCAGTCATCACATCAATTCGCATCTCATTGTTACCGCTGTTGTACTTCCCTGTGTTCATCTTACACGGATTTCAGACAGTCCACGTCGACACCATTCATGATATTTACATTGCGATTCAAAAATGGTTTACCGAGCTCTGCAACCGCCTGGTGTCGCCAGCGACCGTTGTCATGACAAGATGACAGCGAGCAGCCGTGACTCGGTCTTTCATACGTCAAGAACCAAACCGCAGAGGCCCAATGGCTCCAGGCCTCGAGAAAATCCCAGAAATCTAGGCCCGGAAGAGACCTTTCATTTGACTATGGCAATACTTCGAATCAACAATCGCGCTGGCGGTGGAGTAGCTACTCTTCGCGTACAATACCAAAGCTTTCCTCATCCAAACCTCGAGCTCTGTGCCTGACTCCAAGCTTGTATCCTAGCTCTGCGGCCTTCCGGCGCGCCTGTCTTGAGCCTCACGGGACGCTCCGCGAGTTCCACAGTCTTTGTACCTTCAGGTATTGGTGGCAGAGGGCCCTGGTCAAGGTTACAAGAATAGTATCGCGGCTTTCGACCCACTATCTTGGTTGTGTACCTGGCCAGTCTCATACTGCGACATCTTTAAACGCGAGCAGATACGATTTAACAGGCTCTCGATGATTTAAACTTAAAGACCTCGCTTGGTTTCTCATGAAGCGCCTGGCAGGGTTGTTGCGTCGGAACAAGCCAGTGCAAAGCTTCTCATCTCATTGGCTAACCCAGCGGCTGCCACTACAATTCTTTGTATCAACAATTTATAGACTCACAAGTGTGGTCTTACGTTACTTTGAAGTTATGGAGCTTGGGTCATCAAAGTAGGCCTTACAATGGCGATGAGTAAATACTTAAGCATTGTTTGATTCCTCTGTCCTATTCTTTATTCTTCATCTTATTTCATCAGTTCTCATTTCAACTACAAAAGCCTTTCTTTCCGGTCTCCTTTTCTTTCATTTCATTCTATCGTCTTCAAACCGTCTCATCAGACATTGATCACTCTTTTGCTGCTAGTACAGCCAAGTCACTTTCCGCCTTCATTTCAGTTCGTCAAATTACAACCCGCCAAACGTCAATCTTCAACTTTCATCGACATCTTTCTTCAAGACTTCAATCACCTCTATCCATCTCATACAGCCCTCGCAAACCCTCGTTATCTCATATCCAACGGCCAATATGTCAGCACCACAGAGAGAAAGAACTATGCTCGATCTTGTCTTCACCGTCTCTCGAGCAATGCAAGCCATCTGCCTTATCTGTGTCATCGGAATGACAGCCAACTTTGTCAATGAAATGGTTCTTGCAGAGCAACATCCTGTAGGAGAACTTGTGGGTACACTCGTAGTGGTAAGAATTCTTCTCTACATGACCATTGTTCCTTAAACTAACCATCACCTAGGCATGTATAGCTATGCTGTATGTCTTGATCACCTATCTGCTTCACCACGACGACAAAATCATGTACTTTATTCCGGCCGGAGGCGATGCAGCTCTCCTGATCGCCCTAAGCGTACTTTCCGTCAAAGTCGGCAAGCCACTTTCTTATCTCGACTGCATGGCTCTCTCTAGTTCTGATGCCACCGGGGCAACTGGTAGCTTCATTTCAAGCATAAGCGCCAACTTCAAGAAGAACAACTACTGGATCTGGGCCGGTGCCAACAAGACCACCTGCCTCGAGGTGAAGGCCGTCTGGGGATTCAGCATCGCATTGTGTGTGCTTTTCTCTTTCAGTGCTATCGTTGCTGCCTTGATCGGGAATCAAATCAGACAGAACAACGCTGCGGCGAACAAGGCAAAGGATATTGAGGGATAGATGATGATGTTGGCCGGGAATCATGATCTTGGGGAGAGTAGTAAAAGCACAAGCTGGTCACCGGAGGATCTCAATGCCTTTCAAAAAGGCGCACACAACTTCACACCATATACAAAAACAAAAAGGACACACTCGTTTTGGGGTATCGATTACTGGGTAATGATTTGCTGTTCACGAGTTCGTATCTAATCGACGCTGGATGCTGTCTGATAATGTGGGATAATACAAAAATAAAAATATAGATTGCGATGTTTTACAGATATCCGTCTCGTCTCTTCGTCTAGTGCTGCTGTGATATATAAGTAAGTACCTTCAGTCTGCATATTGTCTCAAAACGTTCCTCACCACCTGTTGCGTCTAACTTAATAGAGATTCAATGGCACTCAAAACAAACTGATATGTCTGAGCCGCGTGTGAATAACCACTTCATACCACCATAGACATATACGTATATATTAGCGCTCTATCATTACAGGCGCGTACAATATCTACACAATTCCAGCACCAAAGCCGCTTAATCCAAAAGAAAAAACAACCAGGATTTTCCCATCCCACACGCCAGACCCCCAAATCCCATGAACCCAAGCTAAAAACAAAATAATCACGAATAAAACTGACTCTTCTGGAAACTCTCAACCCCAATATCCGACGCCTTGCCCTCAACGACAGGCGCCTTCACACTACTAGTCATACTACTAGTTCGACTCCCTCCACTCTGACTCGCGCTCTTGATAGCAGCAACAGGCCGCCCGGGTCTGCCCGCGACTTCAAGATATACACCTGGTAAATAGCCCATCCGTCCATCACGCGCCCGACATCTCCACCATTCGCTTGGATTACCCATGGGATCTGATTTCGAGAGCACAGCTACCAGATCGCCCTTCTTGACTTCTAAATCTACGCCTTGCACCGCGGCGCCGGATTCGGGCGTAAAATCGTAGAGGACGCGGCAGAAATCGAGCTTTGAAGGGTCGAGTTGGGCGATGGGGAGGCCGTCGGGACCAAGTTGGCCAAGACGACGGGCTTCTTCTTCTTGAGAGGCGGCGAGGGCTTTGATCAGTTTGCCCATTAGGTAGGGGAGGCCGAAAGCGGCGGCGATGAAGAAGAGGAAGGGTTTTTTGCTGGGGCGGGGCTGTTGAGCTGGGGAGCCATCGGGGAGGAATTTACGGCCTTCGAAGGAGGCGAAGGCGCTGGGTGTTAGGGCCGTGGCATCGGCTGGTGGTGGTCGGCCTGTTATTTTTGCGAAGAGGGTTCGTAGCCAGCGGAGGACTGTGAAGATGCCTAGTATTGAGCCAAGAGTGTTTCTTAGGTTTCCAAATTGCTCTGCTACTGATACCATGGCTATAATGTGTTAGCAGTGTTCAAAACCTGAAGAATAAAACTTACCAAAGAAGCTGGAATGGGTAGCCATATATGTACTCTCCAACATCTGTGCAAACCCTCCAAATGCACCCACAATACTCTCAATTATCTGGAAAGTAGCCTGTGTACTTTGCGTAAAGCCTTGTGTGAGACTCTGTGGATTATTTGGATCCATGCCTCCCATACCACCATACATCCCCCCCATACCACCGCCATACATCCCTCCCATCCCCCCGATACCTCCCATACCTCCCATCATGCCTGAGCCATAGCCTCCGTAACCCATACCACCCATACCACCCATACCGCCCATGCGGTTATATGGCGAGGAGTATGAACCCATTCCACCGTATGGGGATCCCATTGCTCCAGTATTTCCGTACGGCGAATACGCGCTTGCGTTGCGATTTACTGCCGAGGTGAGAGTGGAAGGCCGTTCGGGAATTGCTGGGGCTGCTGAGGAAGTCGTCCCAGAAGCTGATGCTGTGGGTAATGACGATCCAGTAGTTGTTGCTGTTGAAGTAGAGAGCGCTGTTATCGCGTTAGCGTTTAGTCTCAACACTCTTTATCAGTTGTCAGTCATAACGAACCTGAATTTGCGCCTGCCATTCCACCTCTTTCCCACGGTTTTGGAGGCGATACGCTGGCCATCGCAAGACCCTTAATTATCACTGCCTTACCTTTGCTGGGCGGCTCTTAACACAGGTTACCGCTGATGTTGACGAGGATGGCAAGGCTTTGGTGTTGTGACGTTCGCAAAGCGACTGGAGGCGATTATCTCGTGCAAGCGGCGGGAGCCGAATGCATCGCCGATTTTCTTTGCGAGGTGAGGTTGAAGCCCACTTTGGTGATCCTAGAGAGTTTGCAGAGTATCTTACAATTGAGGATTGTAGAATTCAGGGTGAACACGCGTCAGTCTTTTCAGTGTGATGCTGTTGATAGAGTACAAGCTGTGCTTGAAGAGTGCACCAGACCTGGGAGGTTGGTGAAGACAATGGGTTTGCTCCGTGAACCTCGGCTCCACGAACAGGTCCATCCTGGTAGGGCCAACGTCCAACTCTTAACATCAACAACAACATAACACGAACCTCTCCAAACCGAGGATTCATCTTTCATTTACGGTAATCCTACTGGCTCGGTCTGATTCAATTCAGATGCTCCTTCACTGAAAGCAATAGCTCAGACACGACTGGTCGGCAAGACCCTGATGATGGAGGACGCATACCTGCTTGAGATGGCGTTCATATGCCGCCTACCTGAATCCTATTATTCTCTACCTGTAGGTGCCTAGGTATCAAAGCCAAAAGTTGGAGGTTTAAATCCCGGAGTGTATTCAATTCTTGTGAGCTTTTCATGGCGAGCTTCGGAAGAACTCAATGTCATGAGAAGTTTATTTATAATTGATATTTATTTCTTTTAGAGCAGTGGCTAATTCGACTATTCTTTCATGCCAGCCAAGAAAGAGCTTCACAGCTCTACTTCAACTCAGCAAAAGCCTTGGCCTTCTTCATATATTCCTCCCAAGTAGTAGCCGGCTCTTCCAAAATCTCCTTGCTTTCCTCAAGCGGCTCACCACCATAATAACCAAACTCATTCAACAATCTCATATTTTGAAGTAACTCCTCAGCCGCGAATTCACTTCGACCAAAGCTTATCATGGCACCTTTGAAAACTGTATGAGGGAGCTCATTATACTTGGCGTTCTTTCCGGATTCAGGGAACGTCTGTTTAAACAATTCGACAATCTCGTCACAGGTGTAGTATCGGCTAGCCGCCAAGATACGTTTCCCCAATACCTTCTCGCGATTGAGGAGAATGCCCTTTACGAATTTGCCGGTGTCGTCTTCGGAGTCAAAGAGAGGAATTGGAGAGGATCCTGGGATAGGAAGAGAGAATGCGTACTCTCCGGTTGGTTGTTGTCGGAACATTCCACCTGGAAGATTGGACATGTAGAAGCCGGGCATGAAAAAACTTGATGGTATGCCGGATTCACGAAGATACTCTTCGACTTGCGCTTTGGAGTCGAAATGTTCTACTCCGGTAAGTGCACCGTTGGATACTACATATGTGAGTTAGAATTTAGGATGTGGAAGTCAAGGACTTACGCTTGGTAACATTAGGTAAACTACTCCAGACAAAGTGTTGAACACCAGCTTCCTAGAAACGTGTGAGTTGCCTGATTTCACAAAGGCCTTCGAGAATAATACCTTAGCACCATCAGCCATCGCCTTTCCCTGCTGAAATTCTGCCTCCTTGCTTTGCTTCTCCCAGTAATTCGTAACGCCAAACACTGCATAAGAACCCTTGATAGCAGCCTTGACTGAAGCCGCGTCATTTAAATCCGCCTGTCTATGATATTAAACACCTCCATTTGATATTTTCCGAGATAGCGACTTACAGCAACTGTCTCAGCACCGAGACTTTCTAGAGCTTTTGCTGATGGCTTCGAAGTATCACGAGTAACACCTCGAACAGTCCAAGCCTCCTTCATCTTGGCATCTCCAAGAATGGATTTGACTACAGAACCTCCTTGGGCTCCTGTAGCGCCGAATACGGTGATGATCTTTTTGGTTGCCATTTTAGTTGATGGATTGGTTTCAATGGAGATTGAAATTATTTGCGGGGTAGTTTGTGTACTTGAAAAAAGTAGTTATTCTTTGTTGTTCGAATGTTTTGATGTTGATTGACTGTGAGTAAAGAAAATGAAGCTGGGAATCAAGTATACTTATACTCCAATACCCAAGCTATATATCTCGAGTTCACAGGTTCAAGTACGAGATACCGTATATGGTAAGTCCAATCACCAATTATGTGGTACGGCCCTCCTCATTTGCACAGGAAGTTTAGCCGGTTCTGATACACCAGCCTCACTTACACCAATTGCTAAAAGATGACAAAGGCTCGTCGCATTAGCAGCAAAATCTCCGGAGCCGCAACACGAATGTGTTGTCATGCCTAGTCATGGCGTTGAAAGAAAAGTGCAGTGTGAGTCCGGTACATTGTACGATGCCGGAATGCGAAGGTGTAACCTTTTGTAAGCAACTTTTCAAGTTCGAAAAGGTTTGCGATAGATTTGCCAGACTGCTTCACGCTGCGTAACGTACTCGCAATGAAAGTTGGTACGCGCGATGGACTTTTTAGAGGCCGGCGGCTTGTGTGCACGTGGTGTTGTTATGTGATAAAGCCCCGAAGCAACTAGATTATCAATCAGCAATAATCTTGGCTTCTTGACGCATTCCTGACACACGATCGGATTTTGTGTTGTAACAAGGTTTCGGCTTTACAGCTAGCGGCTATGATAGTTATCTTCTTCCTAGTCTTTTTTCGTAGCTATTGAAGACAAGATTCTGTTCTTTTCGATGCAAACTATATCTTCTTGTTCCGAATAGTAACTGCGGTCTCACTTACGTAATTGTCATGTTCTCTAACCTTGATCTTGTAAAATTTCAATTCATCTCTATTCTATTTCCAAAGACGAGATTCGGTATTCCTCTGATCATTTCATACCCATCAAGTGTGATTCGGAACACCTGTAGACCCAACCGAATTGTAGCATTTAACAAGCTCCCACCAATAACGAATAGTCCAATCTGGCGTGGCGTTTCCCGCACTTGATGGGATATGGCAAGTACATATAGGTTTATGGAAATTAACACGTGGTAGGTATCTGAATCCCGATATCGAGGTCGCAAACGTTGAGGTCAGCTAGGCATACTAGCCAGAAACCTGGTAGTGTGCCATTCAAGAGTAGTGAATATCCGGGGCTCATAGAAAGGGCAGAAGAGGTTTGCTTTTGAAAGTGGAAAAGCTAACCCAGGAGAAAGTGGTCAAAATGTTATGGTTGGTCGAATCTACTCACACGATACTACATGCAGGGACCATAAGACCCTTGGAATATAAAACCCATTAATCAAACGAAAAAGACGACCTTCTTTTCATGCACATGGAGATATGAGCGCGGTACCAATTCTGTAATTGTCTGCTATTTAGAGGAACTTCAATATCTAAGCATGGCTAGCTAGTATATCAAGATCCATCATCGATGATCAACATTCATGTCCGTAACGTTTCCCAGCCCGAGCCATAAAATCATCGTTATCCGTTTGGTATAATGCAGCTTCTCTACGCCGGAAAATGGGTAAGATAGAAGATTGAATAGGTTTATAGCCGAGTGTTTAGTGACCAGCACGGCTACCCATACTGTCGTTCTTTGGTCCTTGACGTTCAGTAAACTAAGTGGCAGGTCAGTAAATTGTAATAACGAGTGGTAGAGGGATGGTGGAAGATTTAGAACAAGAAAAATATGTTTGTACGGACCTCGCCTTCCTGGATGGTTCCCTTCTCAATGATCTGCTTGATCACTTCCTCATCCACGTGGGTACCGAATTCGTTGTCGAGAGTAGAGTGCGAGGCACCATCTAATGTTCCTTGTGCTCCCTGCCTGTTGGTTGAACTCAGTCAGTATGTGTTCATGCTAAATCTAATTCATATCATGGAATTGTGATCAAGTCCAAAGACAGGCTCACGATAGGTGCTTCCGCAGAAAAGGCGGGGTACGGTTCAGGTGAGGGGTAAACATACTTATGGGTAACGAATATCTTGAACGCGCTCACAACTTGTGCAAGTGGGATAGACTTGTCAGTCTTCCATTCCTTCGCAGCCTTTGCATCGTCAATGAAGATGATGAAGTCGTCGTCCTTCCCCTTGTAGTGGATCTTAGTTTGGGATGCTTCACCGCGAGCCATGATTGCTGATTTGGGTTGGAGGTGTTTTGGTGTAAAATTCGTGTGAAAGTTGAGCTGATATCTCAAGTGTAGAGTCTAATGAGTCTTTTGATGGTTTATGTGTTTGTTGAAAGACGAAAGATTGTAGAAAGGGAGATGTTGTAGTTTTGTAGCTCGGATGATCTGTCTGTTGTTCCTGGGGCTTGGTCTGATCGGGAACGGGAGCGCTACGTCATTTGACAGGGAGCCAGCTCACGCGACTACCCTTATGCAAATGCCTCGAACCCACAATTAATCCGTTTGCTATGCTTCAAGTACCATATCTGTTACTTTCAGGATGGGAATTCAAACTGCCTATTCTGATAGCGCTGTTAATCGTGCGTTCCTAGGTAGACCCAGGACAAGCGGACACGCCAGTTGGGCCCAGTACGTCATTAGTGAGCTGCTCCGTTTACAATTTGTTTTAGAACCACATATTGAACCCGTACGCTTTCGGACAAGTTGACAAGCCTGGAATGGATGATCATGAGCAATCAATCAATCTTTAATCGATGTAAATTAAGTATTCTGCAAACAAGGCAATAGAGGTATCAGGTTATTCTGACAGCAAAGTTATCTTCCCCCACTACCTTCAGGCAACGGCATTCGCAGGATCTGTTACTCAGTGCAGTACTCCTGGGCCCAAAAATCAATAACCTCGTCAACCACAGAATTTGATGGATCAGGAAGCAATCTTCGCAAAGCAACTTGACCATCTGGGGTAGTAGCTGCTTGGGCGAGTTCTGCAATGCAGTGATATTCTTCACCTAGAATGTTCCGAGTATGTTCTGGGATGGGAGGGCGAAGTGTACAATATGGAAGTAGAACAACCGCAGGGTTTCCGCTAGATACTGATTTTGGCTTTGTACTACTTGAAACCGCTCGACGGAATTTGTCCAGTGTTTGCTGGAAAGATGCAATCGAGTAGAGTGGAAGAATTGGCATGTCGAAAACACCAAGAATACTGTAAGTCGTTAGCTAGGATTCAAGCAGACGGAAAGGTTTACACACTTTGCTTGTAGGTTCATATATCCGATTGTGCCAGTCTTCCCAGGTGCTTTGTCATGTAAGAGGAAAATGATCCCAACATTGCGACCTCCCGACTGATGGAAAAGTCGCTCGATTCGAGTGGTCGACGTCGTGGGGTCCAGGAGATCAGACGACGAGAGAAGTAGCAGGCGAAAGAACTCCTGATTGTCTTCTTGGGAATACCTTGAAAGTGCGAGAGCTAGGTCGTGTGTCTCCAAAGTTTTCTCTGGTTGAATATTAGTTATGTCGGTATTGATGTACAAGACTAACCTTGCCATTGGCGTTTTGGATCACCAAGAAGAGTAGCTGGAAGTGTGTTCCACTCTTTTCTCTTGCGCAGCGTTGTACAGAATGTCGCTGACGGAGAAGCCATTGCTATCTTGCAATGGTATTCAAAGGATTAGGACCTGGTACTAGATCGAGGAATGTTTTATTATTGACATGCGGCTGAGAAGATACGATTTGAAGATGCCTAGGTAGATGAGTTACCTTAGCGGTCGCGTCGATTATCTAGTGGGCTACTCGCCGACTTATTACTAGACTGGAAGTATTCCCATGTGAAGACAGAAACCATTGCCAAACCACGTTGTCACGTCAGTGGGTCAAGTCAATAGATTAATATTTTTCAACTGGTGACATATGTAGCGCCACTTGATCCTGTCTATTTTGAATGTACATGTTCATGGAGTAGAGTTCCAGAAATTTCTCAATCAGATGAGAGTAGTAGTACAGAGGGGGGAGTTTATGGGTATCTGCGATCCAACATCTCTTTGTTCCACCCAAGGATATCCGCCGCCATAGAATTCTGGCCATGATTGGGCTGCTTCCAGGCATACAACAATGCCGTAGCATACCAACATACAACTTGCACTTCCCCGCGGTCGAATATGCCATCCCTATGGTTATGAAGAGAAAGATATTGATCTTTTCTTCTTTCCGCTTTCCGCTGTCTGCCTTTTCATCTCTTCAATGGCTTGTTCCAGTGTTTCTACACGAGTAATCTGTTTCTTTTCCGAGTCCTCCAATTCCTGCTCTCGTCTATCCAATTCTGCAAGCTTTTCATTCAGGGCAGCTATTTTCTCTGCATTCGCGTCTGGTTTCCCCCTTGTCCGGACATATTCATACAGTATCAATCCGCCAGCAACGAAGAGGATAAACATATCTCCTATAACATCTGCAAAGAGATCAACAGCTTTCCCCTCCGGTAACGGCCTAAATCTTCTTCTCCATATGCTGGTGGACGGGTTTGCCTTCTTTTGAGCCTTATGCGCCTCGTCGATTTTCGTCTGCTCTTCGGTTTTCACAGTCGGAGCCTCCGCTTTCTCTCTGGCTCTCTTTTCGGCCGCTGCATCCCGCAATAAAGTGACTGCCATGCGCATGTTTATTTGATGCATTGTTTGACCATAACGCGCTGCGATCGTTCGGAACTTCGGGTGGTCATGGGCTTGATTCTTAATCCAATTCTACAAAGGTATTAGACAATGTTCAGAAATGAATGGATCAACTTACAGCGCCATATTTCGACACATGTCTGACGAAGAGGGCCGCAAATTTAAAGAGAGGTAAGGGAACCATCTTATTAGGTGCTGTAGACACCAAATTCTAGGTCTTGAACCGCCCTTTAAAGTCAACGGAGTTGGGAGAACATTAATAGAGTCGACCTGCGACGACTAGCCATGACAAAAGCGCTCCACCATTAAAGCTTTATCTTGAATGCGATTCTTAGGCAGCTGAATATTCGAATGAGTCTTCCAATGTATCTACCGCATACAGCTTGACTAATCGGGGATTGTGGGTGCAGGTGGTTGTCCCGCCAACTAGGCATTCGGAAGAAAGTCGCACTCCCCTTGTACGAATGTTTACACCAGCCCGCACCCGTCAAATTGATTTCAAGTCAACGAACTCCAACTTCCGCCACTTCACCCTCGATGCTGAGGATACGATCATTCTCGAAGTGCTCCGTGTAGCATCGAATCAACAACAAAACGGACTCATATCTCTCGATATACAATTGTAAGCTGCTATTCTTTCTATATCGTCAGTTGCGACATTGAATGTACAACCATGTCTGCGCCTTTCCAGTCAATTGAACCCTAGCACAAACGATGTCAAGTTGCAGATACTGTTCGAATCGAGAGGATATGAATTGGAGGAAATGATGAGAAATGCTGAGACTGGGGCCTCGTGGGATTGAATGGCCCCATGAACGACGGCTCGGGTTGGGCAGATTTATCGTTCAATATGACATTCTTCATTGGGGTTCTCATTGATAAAGGTGTACTGGAGACGCCTGATAGGCCATGTGTTCTTGTCATAACATTTTTTTAAGTTATGAAGAATAGTGGAGGATACCTGTGAGCAACATAATTGGGAAATTTCGCTAACCACAATGCATTACAGTTCTATTGTTGTCTTTACACCAAGGGATTAGCTGCTGCCCAACCCCTCATTCACACGAAACCTCGTTCTCAACGCTTTCTAGAAGATTTAATTACAGCTACACAAGTTGTACAGAAGAGTTCTTTTGGAAATTCATAACAATAACTGGTTTGGCGACCGGTTTCCTTGACGGACGGAATAGATATGGAGGCATTGTCACCACGAGATGCGAATTTGCATCTCCGAAAACAGCCAGTCACAAAACCGAAGGCAACAGCGACAATCAAGCCAATGTCGAAGGAAAAAGATCATCCTCCTCCACCTCCTCAAGCAGTTCTGGAACCAGCATCGTCAGACCGCATAGATGGAGCGATTTATAGAACGGGGAAGCTTCTGGGAAGAGGAGGTTTTGCAATCTGTTACGAGGCAAGACTGGCTGGCACTAAGCAGCTTTATGCTTTAAAAATAGTTAAAAGCCAGATGCCACAAAAGAAGATGGAGCAGAAGGTGAGGGCGGAATCTCTAAATCCAGAGTCATACTGACAGTCGGAAGTTTCAAACAGAGCTCCAGATCCATTCTAAAATGAACCACCCGAACGTGGTTAGATTCCACCGAGCATTCTCATACAATCAGTGCACGTTTCTGGTGCTTGAACTCTGTCCTAACGGGTCGCTGATGGATATGGTTAAAAAGCGGAAGTTTATCACGGAGCCGGAAGTCAGGTTTTGGACAGTCCAGATGACTGGAGCAATAAAGTACATGCATGATAAGGGCATCATTCATCGAGATCTTAAAATGGGCAACATCTTTCTGGATAAGGATATGAACGTCAAAATTGGAGATTTTGGACTAGCAGCTTTGCTCATGTCTGGTAAGGACTGGACCAATGTAAGACGGACAACATTATGTGGAACGCCAAACTATATCGCACCCGAAATTCTTTCCAAGGACAAGCAAGGACATGATCATGCTGTTGATATCTGGAGCTTGGGTATTATTATGTTAGTGTTCTATGAACTTCGTATCTCTCCTTTACTAACCAATTCAGCTTTGCCATGCTTACTGGAAAACCACCATTCCAGTCAACGACTGCTGATGAGATTTACCGACGAGCACGAGAAAGAGAGTACGACTGGCCAGAGTTGGACAAAACCGAAAACTTCATTTCCGCAGAGACTAAAGATCTCGTTTCACTCATGCTACAACCTGCTGAGGACCGACCGGACCCAGATACAATTGTTCAACATCCATTCTTCACATGCGGATACATGCCGCTTTCCGAGGAAATCCTTCCTGAGTTCCGGGAAGCCACACCAACATCGAACCGCTTTCTGTCAGTTGAAGCTCGAGGAGGAAAATCAGCACTCAATATACGAAACCTCAAGAGATTATGTGCTATGTGCGGAGTCGGACCATGGGGCTCTTCCCAAAAGCGTCAACAAAGCACATACCGTGAAGTTGCTGCAGAGGAAAAAGCAGGTCTTACTCCAGCAATTCCACTACCTGAGGGCATTGTATACCGACCCTTCAACGAGTGGTTGCGAGAAAAGGCAGATCAATTTAACGGAAATGAGAATATCAAAACAACAGCTGAACAGGCAGATCAAGCGGTAGACAAGATTCTGGAGGAGCCGCCCCAAAGAGTAGAGCCCCCGCTGCCATCTTCCAGGCCTGTGGCGCAAAGCTTCGCAGCTCAGCAGCGAGCAAGACCTGGATTGTCTCAGCAACCCTCCCGTGGAGTAAAGTCGCGACAGACATCATCTGACACTGTCAGTAAACTTCCGACATCTTCTTCGCGCCCAATAGTCAACATTTCTGCTAGAGTTGCCCGCCCTAGGAAAGGAGACCCGAAATATACAGAGGATGTCGCTGACGTTCAAGATCGTCTCGCTGCAGACATCGTGAAGCAGCTTCCTGCGAGAACTGCGCGAAGTGGACCAGTGGTTGAAGAAATGCCTAAGATTCAAGACAAGTCACATTCTCTGTTTTCAACCCGTGAAAAGGTAGAGAGGCTCCAGAACACTAAACCTGACGATGTACTTCGTTCACTTCAAAACCTTCAGCATGAATTAGAGAGAGCATTGAACAGCAGGACTACTGCTATCGAAACAAAGACACTACATCCGGCTTTGACACTGGTGGTCAAATGGGTCGATTACACTAATAAGCACGGCCTCGGTTACATTTTGAGTAATGGAAGTATTGGCTGCATATTCAGTACTACACAAGTAGATTCCTCCGACACAACTAAAGGATCTTTACCTCCATGTTCTGTAATTGTTCGTGATGCAGAACATCACTTGCAGAATCGGGAAAATACCTCATACCCTGATAGACACGAGATCGTACCAATACGTGGCTCGCATATTGAGTTCTTCGAATCTCGCGGTGAAGCTGGCATTGTATGTGGTAAGGTTCTGCCGATTAACTTCAAGCTTGCGCCAGGCAAGCCTGGAACTTCTGGAAGAGCTGCAGAGGCTGGGAAGCTGGAACCAGGGGCGGACGAGTGGGATCATAGGAAGAGGGAAAAGTTGATTCTTTGGAAGAAGTTTGCAAATTACATGGTATCTTATGGAAGAGATCAAAACTACCCCAACGACAACGCCGCTAAGCGAGACCTCGAAAAGAAGCCAGAACACAAGCCTTCTGGAAATGTTATCACATTTTATCAACGATGGGGTGACGTTGGATGTTGGGGATTTGGTGATGGCCACTTCCAATTCAACTTTCCGGATCATACTAAAATTGTCATCTCGGCTGACGGGACATGGTGCGATTTTTACCATCTACCTATTGACGCCGCGAGGGACATTGCTTCGAAAGGAACTCTTTCTCCTTCGGCTCTCGATGACCGACAAAATCTCTCCTTTCCCCTTCAGACTCTTCTGAATTTTATGACCAAGCCAACCAAATCCACGACCAGGAAGCGTCCTGAAATCGACCCGATGATCCAGGGTATCCCTCAGGCGAACGACTTCCGAAGGAAGATTGAATTCATCCGTAGTGCCATCAAAGAATGGGTCTCAAATGGCGGGCTGGGAAATAGTAATATGGAAGCTGAGCACCGGCTGAGATGGACAGGTTGTCGTGAGATCGTCAACACCAAGCCAGAATACAAACATGTATGGGTCACAGTTGGTGCTAGAAATGGCGACGACAGAAGGGTGGCATGGTTCGACCCTAGGAAACCAGGAGAAATTCGACCGGATATGGAGCCTTCAAAATCATGAAGCTCTTCAAAATCTGTGAAAGCCAGGATTTTGGTTCATTTTCCAGGAGTACAAACAAGATTTTTGCATCACTTTCCTCAATAGCAGACAAAGCATGATAGCCGACTCGCTGCACATGGCTTAAGTGCATTCCTATAGGTGTTTGGGTTGGTTGACATTATTTTGCTATTTTTTCTGTTGCATAGCGTTATGCGTTTTGGCGCTGGGTTCGAATAGCATATCGAAACGTCGGGGATTCTTTCTTCTAATGGTTATGGCTGAATGATTGCATGACTTTTGCTTTTTACATTTTCACAGATAGCTTCCGGTACCTGGGCAGGTTACCAGTCGTCTTTTTGCTTTTGCCTTCGTGGCTCACCGGTTATTGCTAGAAATGATAGTCCTATCGGCTGGTTGTTTGGGGAGGAGAGGGGAGCAGAGCATAGTAGAGAGCGACAATTACATAATTTCTACAACCTACCTGATTACTTGTCAGAGAACTTTTATGTGACGTGCCTAGGTATGTGATATGTTTATTCTGACTTGATCTGAGATCTGGCTTTGAACAATTATCTCTACCGAGCCGCTCATATTGTGATGTTGTTGTATCCTTGCCAGCTGCTTCATGTATAGTCATTTGACCAGATAGACAGTGTTGCACATCTTGTATTGGCTGCCTTACTTAGTACCAAATAAGAATAGCTCTTGGCATATACCTTGATTACAGGATGCGCAACACTGCTAAAGAGATGGATCATCCAGCAATCAGGTTCAGGCGTACATAAAAAGTATAGAGGAAATGTAATGATGAACAATAATATATTAATCCCTCTGATTGTATAACCCAAAAAACACCTATCCTAATGCGCGACAATACAAATTACACAAGCGCAACAACTGAGACCTAAAAATATCAAGACGCCCTTCTCATTCAAAACACCAAGAGTCCCATTTTGCCTTTCTCTTCTGCTTCATGCCAAGAATTTCGCCGGGTTGATAAATGAAGACCACCCAATGCAGAGCCCAATGTGCCATTATACAAAAGAGGTCGGTACTATGCGGGCAATTATGCAAAAATCTACAATCGCTCGACGGGAATATCAGAGTAGTCGTCATCGTAACTGCCGGCACGGTTCAAGGGGTAAGCGGCGGTGGAAATGCTTCCTTCTTTACTTCCACTTCCGTAACCGCTCCATGCTTGTTGAGATCTGAGACGGCGTTCTTTCTCGAATTCGCCCCATCGTTTCATGGTGATCTTGGAACTGTCAAACTCTCCTTCGTATTCAATACCGGCTTTCTTAGTCTTTTCACCGGCAGTCTTTCGAGTGTCTCCCCATGAGAAGTCATCGAATTTCCAGAAGGCGTAGGCGGGTAGGACGAAATTCCAGATTGGGAGGGAGAGAAGATAGATCAACATCCATACGACGTATGACCAACGATGAGCTGTGAGGACGATGAGGACGGCTGGAAGACCTAGAATCAGGGCAAGAAGCACGAGTGGAATGATTTGAGGAGGTTGATTGACGATTGAGATGATGACTATGTAAGTTAGTACTGAAAACAATGATTTTGACAGAGAATTACTTACCGACGTAGAAGGTGAAAGCGAGAGCTGCAGGAAGAACAAGTGTACCAATGAGCTCAATACCAACGACGAATTGCATACTGAAGCAGAAGGTACCGCAAAGATCTCGAACAAGAACAAGTTCCATAAGATTATGGACGGTACTGTTGATCCATCGTCGTCTCTGTGAAAGAAGAACGCTGAACGTTTCTGGCACAGTGGTTTTGCAGACAGCTTGGGGAACGAATACTTGTTTTCGCTTGGGGAATGTTCGGAGCATGAGGGTTGAAAGATAACGATCCTCTCCGAGCAATAGCAAGTTCTTCTTGTGAAGGGTGTCAACGACGTTTTCGGAGTAATGCTCGACAACATCAGGATTGGCGAGGATTGGTACCCAGTAGTTCTGGCCTCCCTTTGGAGCCTTAATACGGTACATGCAGAAACATCCAGGGAGACAAGTGACACCACCAAAGACGGATTCGAAAGATTTTGACAAGTGATGCGATATGAAGTACTCGAAAACTTGGATCGCAGATACCCAACTGGCTCTTTTGTTGGCAATTTTGGTTTCACCACAAAGACCCATGATTTCAGGATCTTTGACCATTGCGGAGATCATATGTGTCAAGCTGTCCGGGAAGACTTTGGTATCGGCATCAACCATAAGAACAGTTTCGTAGTAATCAGGCGATATGCCTGTGACTTTCCATAGTCCGTTAAACATCTCAAATTCGAGCTCAGTCATACGCTCATCGAACATAACCTTTTGCAAGAAAGACATCAAGATAATTTGACTGTCACGCTTTCCTCTATTTCCGGGCTTGCTCTTATGGGCTTCGTCAGGGGTGCCGCACTTGACTACACACATCATTGGAACACGTTGCTGCCTTTCAAGAGGAATGGCGGAATTGACGCCATAATCGTAGAATCCAGAATAGACCTTTGCCATGTTGTGCCTCTTTGAACCGCTTGATACGGCTACGTAAGAGAAGGCGGGGACCTCGTCCGGTAGAATGGAGTGATCTTTCATCATACTGAGAATGATATCTGGGGTAGACATGGTCTCGCCCTTTCCTTTGATCACACCATCACAAACCACGAGGATGACTTTGTGGCTGTTGGGATAATCGGTCATCGCAACAGAGTCCAGAGTCGTGCGTACACCAAGCTCACCTTCGGAGTAAGCAGTAACGAGACAGATGGTGTGGGCAAGTGGGTATCCAAATGGCTGCCAGTCCGCTGGTGGTTGGGGAACCACAGCCTCGTGAATGAATCCGGCTGGTCCGGGTCCGGCATCAAACTCGCCTGGGCCAAAAGCTGCAGACTCTGGTCGAAGGAAGCTGGTGCGGCTGTTATTTTGCTGGGAAAACATTGGTTTCGGAGCAACCAAGGCAGAAGTAGAGGTTTGGCTAGCCATTGTGACAGGTTGTGGACGATCAATTCTAGACATACGGTTGTTGCCAGTATAAGGGCTAGTAAATCTGGAAGTAGTTGGTAGGAATGTGCTCCCTCGTTTGCTCATTCTATCAGAGCCAGCAACGGTACTACTTGGGTCTCCAGGAATCCTTGGTGGTGCGCGATAGATATCGTCAGACCAGTCCTCGATTTGACGGTTTCTCTTCTTCGAATTCGAAGACTGAGAGGTCTTCGCGGCCGCAAACTTTCTGCTAAAGAACCACTGGAACAGGAGGGCGAGGACGAATTTGGCTCCGACAATCGCAAGGATGAAGACCAAGGAGACGTATAGCACAACTTTGGAGGCAATACATCCAACTGTTTCTGTATCGACGGATCCAACCTTGATAATCTGTTCAAAGCATTGGGCGATTCTCTTGTCTTCTTTTGATTGAAAAGCGTGGGTTACATCCTTTCCGTGGACCGCTTTGTTGGCGGCAGTCGATCGATCGCTGAGTTCAACGAATTTCGACGGGACTGTAACCTGTGTCCCGTTGAACCACTTCAGCAAATCCAGATCCAAAACGTTTCCGGAATACACCATCAAGTTTCGAGAGCTATTCTTGATATCATCCCAGGTGAAATAGACATCTCCAGCACTGCGGAGTCCATAAAAGGCAGTTCGAGAGCTCGCAATGTAATGGCACTGATATCCCAAGTATTCTGGAACCGTCTTATTCACCGGAGTTGAGCCATCCTGATTGAAAGTAGTACAAGGGAAATACCATGCCAGGTCGTTGTTCGCGTTTGTCGGTACGTCTGAGCCTTGAGTCAAGGTGATGAGACCCTTGCATTTGCCATTGACATTCTGGAATAGAAAGCTTCCATCCTGACCTGCATGTTTAGTAGGAAGATCGTACAAAACATTGGCGTTGTCTGTGATTCCCTTTGCGGCTGGGTGATGAGATTCGGAAAGATCGTAAGCGCTTCCGTGGAAGATCATGTATCCACCAGTAACCTCGTTGACGCGGAGTCGTAGTCCTGGATTACCGCAAACAGCAGCGGTGAAACCAAAGGTCAAAAACCCAACACATGCCATAATGAACAGAATGATACTGATCAGTCCCATCTTTTCTCTCCAAGCTCTTTGTTGGGCTCTCGCAGGTTTTCCGAAACACTTCAGCACAAAATCGGGGCACCAGAATGTGACTATGGCACAGTAAACGTTCCAGAGACTAGGAGGCCTCACAGCGTCGAGTTGCTTTTGCCTCTCCTTCTCCTCTTTGGTCAGTTTCCTTGTCCTTTCGCGGGTGAGCTTCTTTGGATTACGAGATCCTCCCCCAGCCTTTTCTGTCGAAGTAACATCGTCCGGACCAGCACCATGTCCTCTCCTGCTTTTCTTCTTCATTGGCGGCGAAGCATCCGATTCGGCTTCATTGGAAGTACGTAAGCCTGATGTCTCTGTCGCGGCTGCGTCTACCTCTAGGTCTTCCAGAATTGGGTCGTTTCCAGTAGAAGAAGGCAAGACGTCCATATTCGCGGCATGCTGTCGATAATGATAATTTGGGTGGTCTCGATCAATTCTGTTACGTTCCGGGCGAATCAAACTCCTTTTCCTCGAAATATCGCCAGCATTGTTCGTTGTTGAATGGTGCGGAGCGTATGTTAATGGTTCGGTGGTAGGAGTTGGCGTAAGGGGAGAGGGTAATGTATCGGCGTATGATGATTTAGACGGTCGACGGCCATGTCTCGAAGGCGATACTGGAGCTGCTGCTGAAGAGAAGTAGCCAGCCTCTTCGTCTTGATGTCTACGCCTCGATGGCGTTCCTCTGTGAGAAGGTCTCTGCTCGCCCACCGGGTATTCACTTGCGATTGGTCTTTTCGGGAGCGACATGATTCTAAAGAAGAATTTATCGTCAGTAAAGATTCTTGGAAACAGGTGTTCATCGAGTGTTGTTACTTCAGGCTCTTGCGTCAATGGGCGAATGGTTAGTTGAGTTGCATCAACACAACAAACAAATGTGCGGACCACTAGCTAGGGTACCGCAGTGTTGAAGAGGGATGCTAATGAACGAGCGAAGATATGCGAAATATTTCGGGAGAAAGTTTTGACACGTACAATGATGATATTGCGAGATGATGTTTGGCGAGGAAGTGGTTGTTTGTATGATGTTGAGTGACCCCCTGTGGTTACGGCGCAAGCGGGTTTTGGTTCCTGGGTCGACCACCTCGCAGACCTGGGCAGATTTTGACTCCGGATGATATTCCTGAACAACGAAACTTGGAAGTAGGGTCGTAACGAATGTATGAGATCCCCGACACGACGAAATGTTTATCGACTGTTTATATTATTGTCGTTGATCGGAACAATGAATAAGAGCGAAAGCGGTTCGAAAAATCGGAAGGGGAGGATTGAATACGACGAAAAGCGATCGAGTGGCGGCAGGATTGCCTTTGTAACGAGGGAGAATGGCAGCAGAAAGCGAAACCAACGAAAGGGAGAACAAGAGCACAGTCGACGAAACACCTCTCAAGAAGCTCAGCAAAGAGTTTGAGTTGAAAGTTTCCAGATCATGAGATGGAGAGACAATATGCAAATGCACCTCTACGGGGAGTCTTGTTGGTACCGTAGTGCACGGTGAACTGCATAAGTGTACCAGTTGCTCCACCATAATTGCCCATTCATGGTTGGTCTGACCCCCTGATCTGATGGCAAAGAAAGGCGACATTTTCTTGCCGATCTCTTCGTATTGGTCAGATTCTTGAAGCCGGAAAGGCTTGTAAAGAAATCTATTTTGAGTGTCGACTACAGATCCACCCCTCCTCCTGTCACAGGCTTCTCCCCATGTCTATTCTTTACAATACGTCGAATTATAGAATGGAAGTAGAAAGACGTCCACATAATTATCATTTGTATGAACTACAGTCGCTTCTCCTACTAAACAAAGTTGACGAGCCGCTGCCAACCCGCCAAGTGAGCTCATGTTCGTGTTTTTACGAAGGCCAACAGCAATCTACTGGATCACCGCCAATACGAGGAGACCATGTTCGTGATGATGAGGCTTAGTTGTCCTAGTACCGAGGTATAGTCAACATATCATTGCGTTGAAGTCTTTCAAAGGTCTATCTCAAGTCGATTTATCCGGACGTTTCCAAGTACGGATTTTCCTGGAATGCGGGTCAATTCGAGTTACTTTCAAAATAGATTTCTGGTTAAAGTGAGCTGGTCTGCAGCGGAATATTTTCTGCGGCGCATCGATTCAGGGTGTAAATATATTGTGATCCAATCACAAATGTCTTCTCTAAAACTGGAACGCCATTGTCAGTCAATTTGTCTTCTGTACGCTGCAATAAATGTGATGTATGTGGAAGGTTGAAAATGCCCAGGACTCTCTTCCACTTACTCTTCTACAGGTACGAACTGTGCTAGTACGTTCTAGCATGACAATACTGTACCGGGAAGGCTGTCATTTACTAAGCCGACGTTAGTTTGCCCCTTTGAAGGAACGGCTCGTATTTAAATCACCACTTGTACAGTAGTAGGTGGCGGCTTTACAAGTGCCCGAGTTCGATGCACCTGAGGAATTCTAGCTCCGGGACAACAAGGCGTGCTAAGTGGTCGCTACCCCTTTTTGATTCCAAAAAAGTACAGTAGTATCAAAAGAATTGCTACTTCATACTGTAACTGGAACAGCAACAATAATGTCAAGAGGCAAAATTCTGTTAGCCCCCTTGAGACTGCAGAATAACCCAGCTGTAAGGCATTAGAGCGCACATATCTGCAATATCAAAGTAAGATTTTACGAAGTACTCACAGAACCACAGGGAATGATTCGGTTAGTTTGCAACATTGTATACTAACCTCGAAGGGTCCAAGACCCCTACTTCCTACTTAGACAGACTATTAAAAAGGTTGAGAGTAGTCCAGCAAAGATCTTTCTTGAGCTGCTCCGTATTGAATTACTGAAAGGAATCTTGGCCCTGACGTAGTATTTTGAAACCCGGTCGAAAGAGTTTCATGCCCGGCACTGCAGCCATCATTTAGTTTCATTCCCCCCGAAGAAGCTGGTTGCATCAAGACAGGGTATCCGGCGCATTAGATCAATTAAAAAGGAGGGAATTATTCATGCTTCTAGAAAAAGTTTAGTGTGACAAGAAACTACAAATCCTAAATTCTGGGACAGCATCCCAATAAACGAATCGCCAACGTGCTTGAGCGGTAGGACGAAAAGGACCCGAAATTCAAATTCTTGGGAGCGAGTCTGCGGCTTTCCTCTGCAACTTCCCTCCGCACCTGCACTGCACCCTCACAACCAGGATTATACACCCATTCGTTCAGGCTCTTCTTACCCCCGTTACACGAAAGTAATGATTGATTGGTTAACTTCGATTAAGACTTCCTACAGTAAAGTGTAGCCTTGTCTTTGAAGTTGCGGAGTGTGTGGGGTGGTGTTTGAAATACCTCGCCTCAAGCCTGTCAATACCCGAGAAGCAGCACACCAAACAACATACAAACAGCACTCACTTCATAAGGAGTATTCATCTACTATTGACGCTGCTTTGCTACTGGCGCCCAGAGTCTTGAAATAGCAGTTTTGGTGTCAAACGGATCGTGAAATAGATATTAGTGCGGCAAAGCCTCAAAAGCCCTCGCGGTCCCCACCATTGATCACGAAGGTTTTGCCGGAAGTACGAACGACGATCCGGAGCTGCTGCTGTACGAGTTCAAGTCCCAAGAAACCTGCAGAATCGGTGCAATCGGTGCTTTCATTCTTGCATCCCAGACCTACTGCATCATCTGTTAGAGTCGCATTCCACGAGCCGATTTCGAGCTTCACCCGCAACGCAACAAGACCGAACAACTTTCACCACTTTGCGCCTTTGGCGCCACACGGAGGTACTTCCACGGCTTCGTCACCACAGCCTTTACTTCTCTGTTTCTTCTCCTCCCACCGTTTCTCTAGCATCATATTCGAGCACTCTGTCGTCAATTGTACGGGGCCAGGGTTTGCGTGCGGTTGGAACAAGATATTGGCGGTTCCTCTGCCGGATTCTGCATCCCCCCTTGACCAAAGCCATCGTATGTCAACTTTTCAGGGTCCATGACAGAACCTGCCGATCGCCTAACCATACTCACCTAGTGTCCATATTTCGACGTATCTAGCATCATTCGACAAAACTTCAACGACTCCTTTGCTGGCGGACCCTCTGCTGTCTCTGGTCATTTCCGAAGCAACACAACCTCATCTCGCATGTTGGCTTCTAATCACGTACACGACAATTCATAGCACCTCCCTTCCGAGCTCTGTAGGACGTTTGCGCCGCAAAAAAGGTTTGGTTTGTGCGTTGCTCAAACAGATTGGCTGTCTCCTCAGCCCTGCGCCAGCAACAACGCCCCCAGTGCTTGACAACCCCGGGCTGACCGTAAGACATCTTTCTCATAGCCAAGCCGAAATCCCCATAAGCTCTTCTTTCGAACCTCCTTTTTTCAATGTTCAAGTCCTTGCTAACATTGGGTTATTGCAGCAAACATCTCGACTTGTTACGGTGAACCTGTCACTTGCTACAGGTTATTCACTCCTTCACCCATCGACCCCGCCACCAATCGTTTCAACGGGCTTCCAGTCACAGAAACATAGCCTGTCTACAGGTCAAAGCGGAATCTCAGATCTCGACTGCTTGCCATCACCATAACCCAATCGTAATTTAGCTGATCCGCACATTCCGAACGCTTTGGTAGAAGTGCACTCCGTTGGTTGCTCGAGACAAGATGGCTACAACTTCTTCCCCGCCGTCTGCGAATTCGAAACGCATACCTTCGGACGGAGTAACACAATTCGATGGAAATGGGGATTTCAAAGAAAATGCTGGAAGAAATGAATCTACATCTGCTCCTCCGTCTTCGGGGAGAGTTGTTGGGGCACCTATGTCGCCAGTGCGAGTCAGCGTCCAATCTAGTAATTGGACGCCTACAGCGTCGAGCGCCAAGGTGGAGGCTATAGAAGCTCATGGACGACAATTCTCGGTGGAATCTGAGGGATTCATGAATGAGCAATACGATCCATCGCAAACGCAGATGCCTGTGATACAAGATCTCCCATACCGACCAAGCTACACCACCAAAACCATCAATAGCACGAATTCAGCACATCAGTCGCAAGCTGCTATTCCTTCATCAGCCGAAAGTGCAGGCTCGAGATCGCCCTCCAGTGGCTCTTCTCTAAAACAGCAGAATGGGAAACATAGAGGCGAGAACGGAGCAGAAACAATGAGCCCACCTGTACCGAGATTCCAATATCATCATCAATCGCATGCATCTGAAGGAAACGTACGTGTCCCTCAAACATCGAGGCCATTTTCAAACTCTCCATCGAACGAACAGATAGAAGCAGGAACATCCATAGGGCGTCATTTGACCCCAACCCTTCAGGGACCACGCCGTCCAGTTTCGGCGTATTCTGAGTTAGGGCCACGAGGCCGTTCGACGTCTCCTTATATGTCTCCTGGCTCGCCAGCTTTCGGTGCGCGTGTTCCTTCAGCCAATTCAAATCGTTCGTACGACGGGCGGCCAATGTCTTATGTCGACTTAGCAAATGTATCATATCCACAAGCTCCTCCTGCACCTATATCTTTGGACAATTCCCAGCTGAGGGCGGCAGTCGGTTCAAATGCTTCCCTACTCAGCTCCCAGCAAACCTTTGAACTGTATCGCCAGAATGTGAAGAAGCTGGATGATCCTCCAATCCAGTATAATTTTGCCGTCGAGTTGGTGCGAAGGGCCCAAGAAGTCGGAATCGATCAAAATGGAGGAAGCAAACCACGTAAGGTAACGAATAAATCGGGCCCTCGGGACCTGGATAGCCCATATGGCGATACACCTCAATCATCTGCTGCGGAATATCTAAATGAAGCGAAGCAAATTCTGCATAAACTTGCAGACAGAGGCTATCCTTATGCTCAATATTATCTGGCAGACGGTCATGCCTCTGGGCTGTTTAGCAAAGGAAAAGAAGATTATGGAACTGCATTCCCACTGTTTATTGGTGCGAGCAAGCACGGTCACGCAGAATCCGGTTATCGTGCTGCGTTGTGCTACGAGTTCGGGTGGGGGACCAGAAAAGATGTTGCAAAAGCTGTTCAGTACTACAGATCAGCAGCATCGAAAAATCATCCAGGAGCGATGACGCGACTAGGAAGGGCTTGTCTATCAGGAGATCTTGGTTTGAACAAGTATAGGGAAGGGTTGAAATGGTTGAAGAGGGCTACTGAGTCTGCAGATGTGCAGTATAACGCTGCCCCATATCATCTCGGCCTTCTGTATGTCACCGGTGATAGTCACGATATCTTTCAGGACGAAACATATGCTGCTCAACTTTTCACACAGGCTGCTGATCTGGGACACGCGGAGTCTTGTTGGATTCTGGGTGATGCTTACGAACATGGCAAGCTTTCGTGTCCGCGAGATCCAGCGCTGAGCGTGCATTTCTATACAGGTGCAGCCCAAAGAGGGCATCCTGCGGCAATGATGGCTCTGTGCGCCTGGTACATGGTGGGCGCTGAGCCAGTACTTGAGAAGGATGAAAACGAGGCATATGAGTGGGCACGTCAAGCGGCCGAGGCTGGTAAGAAATACCTTATGAGCTCATATTGAGATATCGGATCATTTTCTAACATACATATTTCTGCAGGTCTTACTAAAGCCGAGTACGCCGTCGGATATTTCACCGAGATGGGCATTGGTACTCGCCGCGACCCCTTGGAAGCAAATGTCTGGTATGTCAAAGCAGCCGAAGCAGGCGATGAACGCGCCAAACATCGACTCGCAGCTATCAGAGCTGCTGCCAATGGAGGTACCCCTATGGAAGTCGCCGCTCCTCGATCCGGCAAGATGAAGAAGAGTGCAAGCGGTAACGAGAAAACTGGGCAGAACGAAAAGGAAAAAGATTGCATCATCATGTGACGGGCGAATATCATAATAACAGGAGTCTGGAACCATACTGCATTGAAGCACGGGAGTTGAAAACCATGGGATGGAATTGCATGCAGGCAAAAGAAGGCTTTGTCAGCAATGGCTGAAGTGACTGGGGTAACGGTGTATATAGGGAAGGATCGGGGCTTTTAATGTAGGTTTCTACATTCGTGGGGAGGAACAGACTTTCAGCCCCTGTTGAGATGACGAAGAGAAGAAGGAAAGTCAGAATTCTGACTCTAATTTGTCTGATTTGCACGCATGAGGTATGGCGTTTTGTTTTTGTTGTTTCGGTGCATAGGAAATGGGGATTTGATCATGGGATGGTGGGAATGCGGGGTAGTTTTGTGCTTTTTGTTGCGGTTATGGGTGGTGTGAAGGTTGAAGAGCGTTCCAGATTGGGGTTTGAGGGGTTTGGTAGAGTTGAAAGTTGGTGAGAGCGTTGATTTGGGACAGAGGAGAAGAGGAAGAGGAGGGGAAAAGAGATTGGGGATGGCAGATGTCAAATATATATAATTTGAGGATGGAAATTATCTAACTAATTCTTGGAGGCAACAAGTGTTTTGATGAGAGTGAAGTTCGATGTGAGGGATGGATGATGGAAATAGGCCTGTTGGTGAGACGTGTAAGATCAAATCAAATTCAAGGAAGTCATCGCCGACGCTGTTAGCTCTTTTATCTTGGTTACGTAGCCTGTTATTACTCGTTCATGATTTTTGAAATGCACACTGGTGATCTGTCTCAATTTATCTACCTTGGTTTCTGAAATAGGAACGAGAGACGAGATTCGGTATTGCAAAGCCTTGTGTGTTTAAATCGGAATGCTCACCCACTCGGAGGGGAAGCGTTCAAGCCTCCTGTGAGAAGAATAGGTTGGATAGTTGTGGATCTTTCACTTCTTTTTAGATTCGGGCAGTGTGTTAGTTTTTTTGGGAGTTTCATGGGGAATTTATTGCTATACGATTTGGAACTTGTGCAGCTGAAAACTTTTCAAACCAAGGGTTTGAGTCTTACTTGAGGTGTGATACTAGGTCGTAGCCGTTGCTGTATCTTATTCATAAGTCACTCGTGGTTTCATACCTTTGGCGCTCAATAGCGAGGGAATCTTGGATTTTCCCCAAGAGTATCACTGATAAAAGTTACCACCAATACCTACAATATCTATCATACAAACCACTCGTCGACCTCATCAATTGAAGCTCTCATCTTCTACATCCTACGCCTCAGGATGTCCATCCCTCAACTCCCCATGTGGAACAGCATCATACTCTCCAAAACAAGCAAGATCAAACATGGCTTTCCCCTCTTCCTCCCTTAGAATCTTGACTAAAGTCTCCATCTCACACAACCCATCGCTTCTCAGCGGACATCTCGGGTGCGGAAGCGTCCGCTCGTTAAGTTTAAACCGGATATACTTAGTCTCGGCCCCTTCCGCTTCGACATCACGACCTTCAGAAACAGGATGCGGAGTCTTCAAGACCTCAATGTCAAGACGTGCGCCGAAGGGCGTGACATGCGAGACTGTGAGGTTATGTGCGCCTGCTTGTTTCGTGGCGGAGAGAGGTTCGGAGAATTGTGTGAAGCCGAGAGATGTGAGTATCGACATGATATTCGTGTCGTGTGAGAAATCGAAGTAGAGACTTTGGTTTGTGGGGAAGGTGGTGGTGGTGCTGTCTAATGTTGTGTTGATTTGCGAGTGGGAAAAGGAGAGCGTGTGGTGTTCTAAGCGAGCGAGGAATTCTTGGTGCCATGCTAGACCTACTGCTCTTCCTGTTGGAGATTCTACACAGTGTCAGTTTACTTGTATGCAATGCATAGATGGATGTTGTTTTATGAAAGATTTCGGATAACTGAGGTGACGAATAAGGTGGTACGGTAAGGATTTAAGCTTAACTTACGGTAGGCTGAGCCACCTGAGAAGTAGAGATCAATGCTGTATTCGAATCCCTCCCATTCTTCGTAGGTGAACAGTTGGCAGAACGGACTATAGGCATACGCGGCCTGATTACGAGTTAGCATCGGAAATTTCCGTTTTTGACTTGAGTTCAGGTTAAGGGTTGGATTTACGAATTCATATGGGCACATGGTCTGCATGGCGTAGACATCCTGCACCGAGAACTCCAGCCCGCTCATCAATCTATTAAACCTGGTAGTTGCATTTTGTAAATAGATCTCTACCCATTCGTTGGTAGCATTTGTGCCTCCTTGATTGCGGAAGGTATTTGAGTTGGGGCAGTTATCATAGCCTGCTAACGAGTTATTCCAGCGATCGGTAGTACTGAATCCTTCGATTCCGTAACCAACAGTCGCCTTATCTTGCCAATCTAGGCCAAAGAATCCCGAAAGAAAGTTCCATACGCTCTGTTGGAAGTCAGCCTTGTGGTAGATGCTAGGATAGGTTGTGTTACTTCACGCATCCGCTTTTGGGTAGTTGAGCGGACAATGATTTTGGTTCCCGGGACGTAGAGATGACCGTATTGATAGTAACGATGCACACCACTTTCGAATAACTGCAGACGCCCTGATGGAACCATAATCTCGGCGCCTAGCCCATAAGTCCAATCATTGAGAAAAGAAAGGGCGCCAACAGCAGTAAATTTGCCTTTCAAAATTGCCATTTTTGCCCCGAATCCTTGGACATTAACCCCGACTGTTGGATATCTCGATCCATGTCGATGTAACGTCTAGTATCAAATCAGCCCTTGTAACATCACATGCTTGAAAGTCTCATAGATCTCACATGAACTTGGGTTATTTCTGCGCCGTCTGGCAACGGGTATTCCTCGATTCCCCATCCCTCGTAGTTTGGAGAATATGGCGAGAGATGTCCCCAAAGTCTCTCAATGCTTTTGTTTGGAGCCGGTCCCAGACTTGGAACCACACTCTCTTGAGCAAGAAAAGGGGCTCGGCCCGTTGCCGTAGGGCCAGGCCAGAGTTCTGGGTTTGGGTCGAAGTACTGCGGTACTTTAGGATGTGAATTTCCACATTTGTGATCATCTCCTCCTGTCAGTTTTTGATAAAGCATGGTCAACATGCAGTATCCTGCTACAACAAAAGCTGCAACCAAGAAACCTGTCTTGATAAACTGAACATGTTTGTTGACTTTGAGCTTGGAGGAATCCATGATCGCAGGTTCGTCCCGTGACATTTCGCCCAACTCAAAGTTTTTGCCCATCAGAGACTCAGCTTCTTCCCCAGACCGCGTCATATTGACAACAGCTCTTCTCTATACTCTTGTATTGGACCAATGATTTTTAGGCAATAGAAGGCTGCGAAATTTCGGACTCAGCGCCAAGCGTCGCCTCGACGCTGTCCTTTCTTGAGATTACACTACCGCCGAATTTCGAGCAATTGGGCGATGAAGTAAGCGTTATAACGCCGAAGAGATCATGTACTGAAATGACAGACGGTAAAAGTCGCGTAATATGAGGATGTTCAACTGGCTCGGCGCGCCTCGATAGTTCAGACAAAGGCTGATAGTTACAGTGAAGTCGGCGATGGCTGAGAGGTGACGTCGAGAAAGATGGCGTATCGCCTATCTCCGAAGTTTAGCTCTTTTTGTACCCCGCGACTCGAAGGGTCTCTGATTGTACAAAATGCTTCATTTTTGATATTCTCATTCTTATTGTTATTCTTAAGGATAAAAATTTTTGGACATATCAAATGTTTTGATTTCCTGGACTTCCAAAATGGCGATCGAGATTCCTGAGAAAATGCTTGCCGCGCAAGTGGTCGAGGTGAGTTACTTTCTCATATAAGCAAATGAACATATCCCAAATTATCCTTCAGCTGTGAAAATTGTTTTGCTTTATTTTCTGAGCTGTATCTTAGTCGTTTGCCGCGCCCTAAGGGCATGACGTAGCCGAAATCCGTCTTCTCGTCGTTTTTATGCCATTATGCCGTGACTTGGACCTATACTTCACAACCGAATCAAATCACTGGTTTTATTTTCATCTTAAAAGATCGACGATACTAATGATGTCCATTAGTTTAAGAAGCCTCACAAAATCCATGAAATTCCCACTCCAGGGAAGGATCTGGACGAGAATGATCTCCTTGTCAAAGTAGCAGTTGCATCGCTCTGCCATACTGACGGGATGGTAACGAATGGCGCGTTCGACACCAATCTCCCATGTATTGCAAGTCATGAAGGAGCTGGTACTGTTGTCAAAGTTGGATCAGCAGTTCAAGGGTTCAAAGTTGGTGACCGAATCCTGTGCAGTCTCACATATCATCGTTGCGGCATCTGTTCAGATTGCCAGGGCCCAGAACAAGACCGACAGTACTGTGCCAACGTTGGTGGATACAATGGAGTCACACGTAACGGCGCCTTTGCAGAATATGAGGTTGTAGATGGAAGAGAATGTTGGGTTTTGCCTGAAAATGTCAGCTTTCAATCCGCCGCACCCTTGGCCTGTGCCGGAATAACTATTTGTGAGTAATCTTTCAAATTCCTCATTGACCGAGGAGATCTTCTAAGTAATTTCATTGTAGGGGGTGGACTCGTTCGGGCGGGATTGAAGGCCGGCGAAGCAGTGGCCATTGTGGGGGCTGGCGGGGGCCTAGGACATCTTGGGATTCAATTTGCTAAAGCACTGGGCCTCATTGTGATAGCCATTGACGCTCGTGATGAAGGGTTGCAACTTGCAAAAGACTGCGGCGCGGATACTATAGTTGATGCGCGGAACGGGAAAGATCAAGTGGTCGAGGAGGTCAAGACAGTGACGGGTGGAGAAGGAGCCCAGGCAACGCTGAACGTCAGCGACCATGAAACCGCAGCTGCAACTTCTGCAGCTGTCACGAGAATGCATGGTCTTCTCATCCAGATCGCGCAGCCTGAAAATGTTGCCGTACCATTTCACGAGCTTGTTTTCCGGGATATCAGAATCCATGGAAGTTTGACCGGTGAGTCCTATTTCGCTGCAAGAAAGCGGAGACTAACATCATTAGGCTCTCGTACGGAAGGGCAGAAAATGCTGGATGTTGTATCTAAGCACAAGATCAAAGTAAAGACAACTGAATTTAACGGCATCAAAGAGGTGCCGAAAGCGATTGAGCTTGCCCACTCCGGGAAGATGTCTGGCAAGCCAGTTATCATAATAGACCAGCAAGCGATTGAAGATCAAAAACGCTCGGAAATTGAAATGATATGAAGAATGATGAAGAAGGAACATATCAACATCAACACATGACAGGTTGATATCGAGGAAGACATTTAAAGGTCGAATCGCGAGAACCGATCACATTCTGGATACTCTTTGACCAATGTATACATATTTATCGTCTATATATAGGTTAAATAGAATCGCCCAATAAGATTATTCTGGTAAGAAGATATATGCTACCGAATTTTCAAATACAGTCTCCGTCATGAAAGTCAAATCTGATCAGCTTACTAGTGTTTAAAGAGATGTAAGATGAATGACTCTTTTTGGGTCATAAAAATAGCATATGGTTAGTGCACAAGTTTTGTTTCAGTTGTTAAATTCCCAACTCATGGTCTGTATCTTGTGACATTTGGTTGCAGATAACCCTCGGGCTTTTCTTGTTGTGTTGGCGGGCGTCAAATTTGACCAATCGTCGACATGATCATGCCCGGTATAAAAGAATGGGAGACTGTTTGACAACAAATATTCTCTTCTAAATAGCAAGCAATTCCCTTTCAATAAAAGTCAACTCTGATTCCATCCGCCGCATAAATAGAGCTTGCCACACTGATTTTACGTTGTCAGTCCGTGACTTTTTATTTAATGACTGCCTACGACGAAATCGCCCAGCTCGAGGGAGATAATGAGTGCAGAGCCTGGTTAACTAAGGTCATCGCTACAAGAAAGGACATCGCAGCTTTCGTATCAAGCCGGCGCCCAGGATCTGCGGAGGGCGAATTTGATCGGTTCATGAATGGCTCCTTCAATTTTTGTGTCTGCATTCGTTTCAACGACGACGGTCCCAAATCCATCATCCGTTTTCCCAAGCCAGGTCACACGCTTACCGCTCGACGGGAGGAGAAGGTCAGGAGCGAGGTCCGAGTCCTAGAATACTTGAGAGAAATGACGAACCTACCCTTACCCAATGTGACTAGTTGGGGCTTAGAGGACGAGAGTCCCCAAAATCTTGGCCCCTTCATCATCATGGATTTTGTCGATGGCACTTCGCTCAGTACGCTGCTGAAACAGCCTGTTCAATCTGAAGAGGAAGACGTCATTTTAAGCAGTGATATCGAAGATGCGAAATTGGATTGTGTGTACGAGCAGCTGGCAGAGTTTTTGCTTGAGCTTTCTCAGCTAGAATTTGATTCAATTGGAGGTATAACCAAGAACGCCGACAGAAATGAGTGGCTTACAACCGAAAAGCCTTTCACTTACAACATGAATGAAATGGCGGTAACCGTTATGAACTACCCTTTGGGCACATTTCCAACTGCCCCGTTCCCAACTACCAGACATTACCTCGAATACCAATCCGACGAGAACATCACTCACCTTCGCATCCAACGTAACCTCGCCCACGACCGAGAAGACGCGCGGAAAAAGTACATCGCGCGACACCAATTCCGCAAGCTTATTCCAAAATACTGCATGGACAACAACGGCCCTTTCAAGCTCTTCTGTGAAGATTTGCAGCCCTCCAACATGCTCGCTGATCCAGAAACTTTGAAGGTTAACGCTATACTAGATTGGGAGTTCACGCATGCAATGCCCGCACAGTTCACTTACGATCCGCCATGGTGGCTTATTTTGAAGGGGCCGGATATGTGGTTGGATAGGTATAGTATGAAGGAGTTTCTCCATCGCTATGAACCTAGATTGGAGCAGTTTCTTCGAGCCTTGGAGCGAGTTGAAGCGAGGTCGTAACCGACGGCATCAGTGATGTCGACTCAAATGCGAGAGTCGTGGGAGAGTAAGAGGTTCTGGTTTGACTACGGGATCAGAAAGAGCTTAGATGTGGATGAAATTTACTGGGAAGTGTTTCATCAGGAAGGAGATGATGTCCTCGATGGCGAAAAGCAGCGAGAGATGGAGGGGTGGATTGAAACGAAGATGATGGATGTAAAAGCTTATGATCGAGAATGTAAAGAAAGGGGTTTGTGAGAATTCTAGGAAGGCGCAGCGCGGCTGGTGTGCTTGGTGGGATAGTGGTACGTGGAAAAAGATATGCTTCTGTGCATAAAAAGAAGAGATGGACAGCAACCATCAGCGGTGTTATATGGCAGAGGAGATAAACATATAGAAAACCAGAGAAACATTCAGCATATCTTTCAATTTGTAAATTCCAATTTCATATCCCATCCTATATCCAAGAGTCTAAGCTCGACCAGCTAATTGATACAAGAAGAAGTAAAAGAAGACTTAGCATGCCTGATGCTAAAAGCGCTAAATAATCTAAATAAAATACATATAATGGAATAAAGAGGCATGGCAGTGGGTACCCAATCGTCACGGTGTAGAGATAATGATTCCAACTTGTGGAAATGACAGGTGAGGTAATAGAACGCGGTTTGAACCGGAAATAGACCTTCACTTCAACCTCTTTGCACTACTCGTATCTCCTCCAGCGTCTCGTCTTTTTCGTGTTTTCATCGTCGTAGATGGGTATCGTGCTTTCATCGACGATGAGGAGCTGTCACCTCTTAAGCGAGAAACGATTCCGCGGAGTTTGGAGAGGTATGCTTGTGGTGCGCTCCAAGCAACGGAATCTAGCATCGCCAATTGCTCTTCCAACTTTTCGACGTGCCCAACCGCTTCGGGTAGATCCTCGAGAGCTCTCAGAACAAATGTACCGCCAGCAGGGTTGGAATCACCATTGACACCTATTAAGCGCATGTATAGATTTCGCTCTGTCTGAGGTTCTCCATGTGGACGTTTCCTGCGCACTGCCGGATCCCTATCTTGGTAAAGCTCTCGGTTCTTGTATATCACTATATCGAGGATCTTCACCAGCGCTCGGGCGGCTTCTCCTCGTGATTCGGGCGATAGGGGTTGCCGTAATGTGACGTTTTGGTGGATGGAGTCTACAATATTGACGAGTTGCTGAGCGCACCAAATCACGTCGTGGTCAATATCATGATGCTGTCTGCCAGACCTCGAGAATGCATCCAGCAACCTGGTCATGTAATCTGCTCGTTCGGCCATTTTGCGAAAGTACTCTGTTGCCCGAAGCTCGCTTGGTACGAGTGATTTGAAACGTTGTAGCAAATCGTCGTCTCCGAAAAGCATACGTCCTACGGTTGTTTCGAGGTCGCGTGGTGCCAGAATGTTATCGCTATTTGAGTGTGCGTAATTGTGTCCGAAGATGCTCGATTTGAAATCGCCAGCGAACTTGTTAGGCGAAAGAGTCGCTAGTATATCGCATACCGTATCGACCTTGTCTTGAACACTTTCAGTTTGTAGCTCCGTGTTTCGAGATTCCTGTTTCTGCAGCTGGTATTCATTCTCTGCTGCTACGACTCCTGTCTCTACCAATTCCCAGCCCAGCTTGTGACAGATATTTGAGAGACCGGTGGTTGTGATATGCTCATATGGACCTGGGTCTCTTCCACTACCACGCGTCTTACTTCTCGCAAGTTGCTCAAGTAGCCACTTCGAATGTGGACAAAAATCCATACTGCAACTACATGTAATTGACATGCCATTGGGATCTACTGGGCTGATGCGAACACTGATATTCTGGACTTCCGCGTAAGCTATTTGAAAAGCGTACTTGGCTCCGATTTGGCGACAATGGTCAAGAGCAAACAAAGGTTTCCCTGAAATAGTGTCGGTAGTCTGGTCAGCATCGTCTTCATCCTCGGTACCGCTTTCGTTGTCTTCGTCGTCTTCATCTTCTTCATCACTAGAATCTTGTTTAGTATGTTCAGTCGGGGACGTGGGCGTATCGTCGGGTGGAGCTCTGCCTTTGCCCTTGGCTGTTTGTCGGCCATGACGAGAACTCCCGGATGCCTGCATCTTTGGATTGATAGAAAGCTGACTGAAGTTTAAACCTGTAGGAGACATAGAGATGTGGAATCGCTTGACTTGATGTTGGAGAATGCATCGCGGATGTTGGTTTTCTTATATGGAAGGGGTCAAGTGGTTTTTCGTTCTTCTGCCTATAACATATGTCATTGCAATGTTAATCTTCAAAAGTCACAATGAAAGGAACACCTCGCTCAGCCTTTCCTCTTTCCAACAGCGCTTATTCTGAATGCCTGATGTTGGCCGCAGGAACGGTCGCAGAGGACGGCTGGTTTTTCACACACGGTGGTCGATTGTAGATGGATACTATACAGTTAGTGTTGGAAACTCACTCGTAAAGGCACAAGTTGTGTGGGAGGTTGTGGCGTAGATAATCCCAGCATCCATGGATAGTGAGAGGGGCCGTTGGTGACCACCTTTCACTAGGATCTGGCTGCAGCACATCTTCACGATTGCCCAGGTGCTTCCCCATGGGAAGGAACGCGACGCGAGTAATGTTGGGAGATAATTTGCCTCTTTAATATATACTGAGAAAAGTATTCGATTTCCCATGAATGAATTGGTCTTTCTTTGAGATTACTGCGGCACTCACGTACCACGTTGTATTTGGTTTGAATGAGGATATAAAACTGTGAGTGTACCTAGGTAGTCCTACGGTCGACTCTTCAGTCCAGTGACGGTATGGGGAAGTTCGGTCAGGGCTGACTCGGCTGAACAATGGGCCTCTGGAACGCTGTCGGATTGGCTGAAAAAGGAGCCTCTTGTGCCCCGTGCACTGCTTCAGGGCTGACACCTCCTCGCTCTCAAACTCTCCAGCTTTGCCTCCCAACAGCAAAAAGGCCTAAAGCGGTCTCATATATCTGCTTCATGCCACCAATGCGATAATCCATTACACCTGCCATAGACCTCATTGACCTTTGTACGACAATCTCTGTACAACCTCTTTCCCATATACCTGCGTCAGGCAAAAGCTAACAGCCATTGCATACCAGAATCCTACGCATGCTTCACCTATAGCTCCAAGCGGCCTGACGACGGCCAATGCAGAAGAGTCAATTATCACAAGCTAGAACCTTCTTTCATGTTTCAATTACGGCCAGTATTGACTTACACTGCAAGTGCAAAGCAGGCCGACCGACTTCGTGGTCATATCAGGAGTTTACACGGCGTGCCCTACACCGAGTTACACGAATCGAAACAACAGATAAGATTGTCGACAACACCGAGTGACCCAGTTATCCGGAATCCTCTGGTTTAACAGGTATGATGACTGTTTTACCATGCGAGTGGTCGACAGTAGTCTAGTGACACTTGTTCACAGCCGCGAGAGCGTCTACGTCTGCGCCTCATCCGGCCCAATGTTCGACCCAAATGTGGCTCCACCTGCGGACTACTATTTGGTGACGGCTTCAAAAGATACTTCTGAATATGTACATTTGGCTAGCAGCATTTGCTTTCGCATTCGCCTTGTACTCGGCGTTTTCACTAAGTGGTCTTTTACTTCACCGAAATTTATTGCGTTGCCTGAATACGGGTGGCATATCTTGGTTTCCCCATTTCTATGCGCAATATCCAAGTATGTCTTGTTTCCAACGCTCGGGCATATATGTCCTTCCATGAAGGAGAATTCAGCAGGGTCCTGTGCATCATCTGACCCGTTAAAGACTCACGAGTATCTAAGAATCAGCGGGTCGTCAGGGTTATTTTCTATTGAATTGGCCCAGATTTCTTTTAGGCATCTTCATTTGTTTACGGAATCTAGGGAAGCTTCCTTCAAACCCCCACTCGGTTCGGTCATTCTATATGTACTGCATCAAATCATTGAAGGTCGAGAACGACTCTTCCCTGCATCTTTCCCTCCGACATCTCTTGAAACACCTCGGTCAACTTTTCCATCTTTTCCACCCGGAGATGAGTCTTAATGATCCCACGAGCGGCCATATCGAGGACCTCGAGAGCCTCTCTCTGATTTCCTACAGCAGATCCTTTGATAACATGTTCATTTGCAACCTGTTCCTTGTTAGTTTGTTCTCGTCAACCTGATTGAGGAACTTGCCATCGCCGCGGGGAATGACTTCGCAACGGGTTGGGAATCTCCTTCCGGCATTCCTACGCAGACCAGAGTCCCACCAAACCTCAAGAAGTCGAGAGCCTGTGCATACGCCTTATTGGAAGCGGTACAGACGATTACTGCGGCTGCACCATAACCTCCGGTAATCTTTTTCACTTCCTCAGCGATGCTTTTGTCGTCGAATTTCGTCACATCTAGAAATGCCTCGGCTCCGCATTTCTTTACGAGATCTTCTTTACTACCATGATCGATTCCAAGAATTCGATAAGCCATTCCTCGAGAACCGATCTGCGTTGCTAGATGACCCTGTTGCATTTAGTAAGCAAGCGAATGCTAAATCGACAGCGATCATCTTACAAGTCCACCACCAGCACCAGCTGTTGATACATGTTAGTTGGAAGTTTATACTCGTAAACTGACGGGAGTGACCGTACCAATGACAACCCATTCTCCACTTTTCGCGTCTGATTTCCTCAAGGCCGAGTATCTGTGGTTGACTTGAGCTTCGGCTAAATTTGATGCGGCCCCTGAGCGACCTCTGAGGCTGTGCGACAGTTGGAGAGTACCTACGTTGTAACACCAGCACATAGCATAGGAGCTGCATCCTCCGATGTCAAGGCTTCAGGAATAGGAGTAACATAGTTTGCTGGAGCAAGAGCATATTGTTGAAAAGTGCCGGGATCTTGAATTCGTCAGTGGATTCCCCATATCAAGGCGCACGTGCCTCAAACTCACAATAGTAGCCTGAAATCTTCTGATTCTACCATATCGATTACAGTTAGGACAATCCGGCAATCTCTTTATGCCGAGGTCACTTACAAAGCATACGCCATCCTGTTGTCGATGACATGGTGGGCACGATCCGCAAGCATATGCTATCCACTATCAAAATTTCAGCCTGTAACGACTCACATTTCGTAGGTTTGTTACTCACTTTGATACCTACGCGATCACCAACTTTGACTCGACCAGCTTCACTTCCTGGGCCCAGCTTGTGGACGATACCAACACCTTCATGACCCCCAACTTGTCCAGCTTGTGTTGGATAGGGTACTAGGTTTGTTAGCATGGGCTCATATGTTGTTATCTGTACCACAACGCGCGCGAGTCAGAGGTTTGTCGTCAGTGGTGATAGGCGCCTGTCGTGTGTTACAAGAACATGGTTATTTATTTCAAGATCGTCAATTGTTGTTTGAGCCATTTTGTTTTCAGCTTTCCTCGCGGTGAAACCCTTTTGGCTGTGACGAAAGGGTGAGGTTACACGATGGCACAGAAGTGTGTTCGACTGCATCTTCGCCACCAACACAAATTTTGATAAGGAGTTTGAGAAATTAGCTTACATCCACGCCATGTATTCTCCATGATCCCCATATCGCTGTGGCAAACACCAGAATGTGTTCTACGAGTGTAACCGTCAGCCCCTGTTCGAAGAACATTTTCACATGCTTACAATCTAACGAGAACTTCTCCAGCTCCTGGCTCGGGCGTCTCCAATTCCTCGATCTTGGTTGAAATGCTTCCTGGTTTGTCGTAGACACATGCTCGATATTTCTTTGGGATATCGAACTTTTGCTGGGTATCTGCGGATGCCATATTTGCGATTGGAAGAGCTATATTATGTCTCTTTGTATATGAAATGATATCTTAAAACAAGGTAAAATCACAGCAAGAGTGAATAGTCAAGGGGGTTGTCCGGTTTTATACACCATCTCCATCTTACCTCCACCTCAAGTCCGAAATTCAGACCCGAATGCGGGGAGTTTCCCCACATCGCGATGAAACACTATGACGAACTCTGATAAACTCCACAAGCTGATAACCAGATATGAGGGGAAGACAAGAGTTGCTAAACCACCGAGGTTGGCTGGATATTATTGGGGGTTTGGCTACGCCAGTGAATGGCGGGTGCGGGGTATATTTGTACGAGATCCACTTCCCCGTGTGGGAGCTTCGTGACTTTGGGATTTGGGTTGTGGGTTGTGGGTGACATGATGAGCATATCTGAGGAATGACGGGCTGGACGTGTGATAGAGTTTGGTCAGAAAGATACGCTGGGTTCAGAAGAAGGTCGTCCGCGGTAAATGATAGGTTGAGGATACGAGCAACTCACGTGATTCGCCCCCTTTGGCTCCTACAATGGTCTGGAACCGACAAACATGCTGACAACATCTGAACAATCTCCATCCCAACTCAGACTTAAAGTCTCAAAATGCTGATCTGTCCAATGATGTTTCAGATATGCTTTATGGTGAGACTAGTAGAAAGAAAGTATAGAAAACGCGCAATGCTACATGCCCAAAATTCGAGTTGGATTACTTTGATGGTGAGGGATCCATCCTTATGACTGGATTGTTGCATTCCTTCCCATCTAACTAAGTCGGAATTACTATGATCCTGCATCTGTATCAGCAATTGGAGAAATGGATAGGTACCTTATCTAGCTCCGAGATTCGACCGCATAAGTTTGATATATAACATTAGATTTTCCAAATTTTGCGAAAGAACAGCTCTAGCTAAATATCTATAAAGTTCGAAAGTGGCTGATTGCTTTGGTTATTTGCAAATTGAATGCGGGGTTTCAACATCAGCCGACCTTTCATTCGGACTTTCAACGAGGTCAGTCTGAGAGTATCGTGGTATCGAAGTTAACTCAAGTCATTCGAGTTGAGCTATTTGTGCAGTTTAAGTTAACTTGCAACAATGGACTATAAGAGACGTGGCATTGACTACCTAGGTATTGAACCGAAACACCGTCTTATGATGGATGTTGGGAAGGTCACTGTGAATTCCCTGTCAAAAAGCTTTGGCTTTTTGGTTTCCAGATGCTCGGAAGTGATGCAACGTTTGACACTTTTGTGAAGTTCGTCACGAGGGCACATAAGTGTCGTGTTGTTTGAGTGAATGACCAGGGAATTCTTGAGCATATAGGTCTCTTAAAGATTAGAGTATGTTTTCGAAGATTTAGGTTAATTTGCTTCGACGATGCCTCAAGTTTGTCGCACTGTTGGCAAGTCGGTTTAGTTTTCTGTGAATTGCTTCTCGTTCGATTACCTTGTTTCTAAATAGTTTCTCTTATTTAGAAAATCACGGTACTGCTGCTCTCTTTGTACCGTTTACTCATTAAAAGGCGAGAGGGTTCGACACTGTATTAAGCACAATAAACCTGTATTGAGTACGATAACGGCAGTACGACAGTCAATCTACCCTACCAACGTACCTAAAAAGATGTAGAAGATGTTCAAGTGTCATTCGGCTCTAGGAAATGCATTTTGTACCTATAGGTGGTACATAGGTAGGTATCTTTGCCAGGTTTTTCATCTTTTCCAGCTGGAGGTTATCACTTCTCTAACACGACTTTCTGCGACATCTTGGGGTATAATCTTGACCATAGAGTGAGTCACGAATGTGTATGGTGACCACATCATGAGAAATTGCTACACGCGTTCTACACATTCAATCTTGCACGCCACGATGTTACCTTACCATGTCGTGGTTGGAACCAAGTCACACTCTCGCCTGAACAGATGCAGGTGGGGATCTGGGAACGGGACCGGGAGTTAGCGTTTCTATCCTGACATGACCTGTCCGACGTCAGTCATCGTGTCCCTCCCTCTCGCTTCATCGACAAATTCTTTGCAAGCACATCTGCGCGCACGAAGTCTTGAGACGGGAAACAAGAAGTCGGGCATGCCAAAATTCTACTATAAACCCCCCCTCGCCACTCCATTTCTCAGATTATCTTCATCGATCTACTTGTGATTGCATCCGACCCGAAGACCAGTCCCACAAAGTCTCAGCACATCTCATGTTGCGGTCATCTAGATCCTCAAACAGCACATCCTCAGCTCCAAGAATCTCAGAGCAAACACGCACGAGTCGTTACATGCACCACTTTCAGCAATTGATACTATAACTTTTAAATCTTCCAAGCAGACAAGTACCATCTTGAGTTGTAGCATCAAGCAACTGACCACCGCAGTTCAATTGTGTCCAGATACTCGCAGTACAGCCGCTTTCTCCTTGTGAGTTCCAGGTGAAACTGCGAGGGAGGACTCCATCACTTTGGATTTTAACATCAGCATTTGCTTATCATGTGAGTGCCAGAGACGAATGGAGGTGAGGAATAGTTCAACAAGCTTACCTTCGAGGAGCAATGTTGAGACAAGCTCTTCCACTTTGAGCCTGGGTGTAGTAGCTGTCGCCTCCGCAGTTGTTGTTCCAATTCGTCCAGACTTTCCATGCTGAGGCTTCGGTGATCGTGAGAGCAAGAACCGTGATGACTGGGAGTACGACCTTCATGTTGATAATGCTTTGAGAGAGTCTAATATCAACTTTAGCAGGTATCACTTAGCTTCTACGTGCTCGCTGGCGTACTCGTATCGTGTTCTGAAGAAGTAATTGAAACCCTTGGAATAGTGCTGGTTGTTGTGATGGATATTGGGCGGGATATTCGAGCTATTTAACAATCTTTCTTAGCTTCGTGACCAGTCGACAAGTCTGCCCATGTGGTCTTCTCGAATTTAAAATTCCAGTTCCCAAATCCATGAATTCCAAATTCAACCCCTGATTGAAAAATGATGCTGGTATTGAGCTTTCCTACAATGAACCAATGAATTTTAGAGCAAGGCTATAAATCAAAACAAATCTTGCCTCGAGCGAGACGTCGCATCTCAGCTCAATACAACCACTCCATTTTCAAATCAAAATGGGAAAGTGGTAAGTTTTGACTCGCAAGTCATCCAAACACGTTCACGACTCGCTTATTCCGCATCCGACGGGCTGCAGAACGATAGAAAACCGTTTACGCCACAGATTACTTGCGTCGGAATTTATATTTTGTGGTAGTACAAAACAATGTATTGCCCCGGTAGTTATTAGGCTGCGAACATTCAAATTCTTCTGTGGGAAATTCTGCGGGGAGGCCGAGGTCTTGTTAAGTGGGTGGTTAAGAGAAATATAGAACTCATCTAGGTCCCTACCACTTGAGCCACTTACTCACTTACGTTAGGTTCCTCGCGGTCATTAGCAACGTCAGTTAAGACAACAATGGGAAGAATTCTCGAAGAGTACTTGTTTATCACGTAAAATCATCTGTTCAGACCTTGCTTTCAGTTTCGAGGTTGAACTATCCAGCTGTCATCAGCTAATACAACATCGAAGAACTTCATGGACGCTGTCACATGTACCATTGAACGGTGTATGACTTGGATGCCTAGGTCGATTGTAGGTACCTAGGTACCTAACTAAGGTAGGTAAGAACCTGAAACATAGAGGCACCTATTATGCGAGTAAACGATTCCTTAGGACGGCCCTAAGAGCGCATGCAGAAGACCGACGACTCCCATTGATGAAACGATTTATCACCCCGACTATGCATGAAACTTATTGAAGACAAGACATGAAAACAAGCAATTACAATCCAACTTGATCCTTCCATAAACTAGAAGACTGACGACATGCAACTTGCTATAACCTAAAGGCATAGTCCAAAAACCGCATATGAAAAGCAATATTTCTCCGAGTTAAACATGCTCAATGCCAATTGAATCTAGCAAACCAGTATTTGTGTCTTAACAATTCCTTTGAATTTCAACTTCGAGAGAAGGTTCTTTCCAGCGACATCAAGATAAGTATCATCACTCGTTAAAGGAGCCCCATGAGAATGACCTGAAACCCAAGTCGATACAACGCTTGATATAATCATCAGTTTGAAGTCACGTCCCAAGCCCTCACTCAACGAGCATTTCGAGAGATCTTTTATATACAGTATTTCGAAACGTCCATTTCCTCCCACGGTTTTCGTCACGCACCTAGCTAGGTAGGTAGGTATCTATCCATCTGTGTCCCTCCTATTAAAACCTCTCATGCACCACAGGAATTCTGTGCCATTATCCGAAGTGTTTCTGATCATACAATCCCTCAAGGTGTCAATGAATCTCACGAAGTCTTTAAATCAATGCCCTTCCTTCTCAAGGGGCTGGGAGAGTGGCAGTGTTGTGACTCGCATATACAGACACTTTCTCGAGAGCATTTTGTAAAAATTGTCAGACTACGAAGTATACCCTCCAGGGCTCCACCCTTATTTTCGATTCACCAAGTTCAGTCTTATATCAACACCCTCCTCCGAATATAAGATCGGAGAGATATTCTGGATCTATAAATCACGTGGTCTCGCTTAACCCCCCTTTCCATATTTTTGAGTCCGAGTGTGCACGATAATGAAAGGCGGATTGTTGGCCAACACCATAAATCAAAGCCCGTAACAATCGACCGTAAATATCTTCTTCGATATTTCAATTCATTTTCCCCTTTAGTATCAGATTCTAAGCAAGGTTTACCTCTCACTTATCCTTATCAGGCATATTGCATAATAACGCCCATCTCCATCTGATAAAATATATCACAGTTTAAAATTCCATTCGTGTTCACGTTGTAAACGTGATTCTCACCGGATCCTCATTCAGTTATGACACCAGCAGCTGAAAAGCACCAAACAGGCGCGGTCTACGGCGTAGCACGACTCCCAGCTCAAAGAAGTGGCGAAATGAGCCGATCTGGTATGTCGTGAAATTACTTCTTAGTTGGTGTTGGTAGGGAAATGTTGGTGGCGAGGAGGGAGGACAGGTAAGCTGGGCATGTTGTATTTCGCTTTGAGATTTAGGGGAGTGAAATTTGCTGGGTTATTGCAGAATTTACGAGGAGTGCGCTATAGGTAATTCATAATTTCTTGAGCTTCACTTGAATATTGAAGGAGTCAAAATGCATAGTTTGAAGTATTTTTCATTATTTTTTAGTATAAATGTAAAATATAAAATACACTCTAATCCGTGTATACATCCATCACCCCAGAAAAAGCTATCTACAAAAATCCACCCGGGTATTCCCAGCCTTCTTCCACCCCATCCTCTAATTAAGGCCCAAAATTTGCGCCAGGTATTATGAATTAAAAACTCCGTCCCAATGTTTTCTTTTTCTAGTCTTCTCAGACAAAGATATAAGTGACAAATAAAATACAAGCGCAGAGCGCGAGACTTGGTTTCTGCGTGTTGGCGCTGCTCTTCCGGCCAGATGTGGCGGTTGCGGTGCTCTCGCCGCCGCCGATGGTGACGGTACCTATTATTATTACACCTGTTCCGTCGGGGGCGATGGAGAGGATGTCGTTTCCGACGGTGATTCTTCCGCCGGCTGTTAGGGTTTGGCCGGCGACGTTGATGTTGGTGATGGCACTGGTGCCAAGGGCAACGTTGGTCTGGAAAGTTGTTGGTTTTGGAGTGGGAGCTGGGAGGGTGTAAATTCTTCCGCTTTCGGTGATGGCTCCACCGGGAAACAAAGTTTGACTACCAATGACGAAACCAGAGTTTGAATTGGCTGTGACAAGGGAAGTTCCAATGCTGATCACTGGTGGTGGCGCGCCATTGAACGGCGTAGCAGTTGGACGAGCCGGGTTTACAATGACAGCACCTCCAGTCGCCGCGAGACTTATCTCTTGGCCATCGATGGTAATCGAGGAGCCAGGGAAGAGAGTCTGAGAACCGACCATCAATACAGAAGATGGCCCTTTGGTCATGGTTTGAGAACCAATCAGAATAGGAGCCGCAGGGACAAAGCTGGGGGTCGTAGCAGCTGGAGTCCCAGACTGCGTTGGCACAGGTACGACTGGAAGAGATGCGCTGGTAGCAGTCGAGTTGACCACCGGAACTTTCGTTGTACCCTGTGAAGCTTTTGTTGAATCATTCTGAGGGGGTGGAGGGTTGACAGGGCTAGCGACGGATGTAGTTGATTTAGTCGGCTCCAATGTGGGGACTGATATTACTGTGGGTGGGGTATTTGTTGGCTTTGGGCTCTGATCTGTACTCGGTGTGTTTGGCGGGGGAATATTAGTTGCTGGAGTATTAGGCGGAGGTTGAGGGGTTGTTTGAGGCTGCTGTGGAGTTTGAACAGGCGGGGTAGGTTGAGGGGCTTGAGATGGTTGTGTCGGCGCAGGTTGAGGGGGTTGAGTCGGCTGCGTAGGTTGCGGTTGAGGAGGTTGTGTCGGTTGGGTTGGCTGGGGTTGGGAGGTTGTTGAGGCTGCGTATTCGGTGGTTGTGTCGGCTCAGGTTGTGGAGGTTGTTGAGGCTGCGTGTTCGGTGGTTGTGTCGGTGGGGGTTGTTGAGGTTGTGTTGGCGGGGTTGTTGAGGTTGTGTTGGCGGGGCTGCTGAGGTTGTGTCGGTTGTTGAGGCTCTGTATGCGGTGGTTGTGTCGGCTGAGGAGGTTGTGAAGGCTCTGTGTGGGGAGGTTGCGTAGGTTGCGGTGGTTGTGGAGGTTCAGAGTGAGG